ATAATTGTATCATGCGACGTTCCAAATTTCGTCACTTTTCTGATCGGTCATGAATACCTTACCCTACCACATCTCAAATGTTGAGGCCATAAGACGACAATAATCGATGAAACATTAATATCAGCTGACATATCATTCCATTGCTGATCATCATAACTCATATTCACTTGAACGTCGGTCATTCTTACGCCTATGTTTATACAAGTAGACTAATCTTCATGATGCTAGGACGTGATTGATAAAATGCAATTTGTATTATGTCTAGTTAAGACTTATGACTCATTCCATCATATTGGTAGTTTACTACAGGCCTCTACTTTAAGCGTGCGGTTGGTGAAAAAGTGCTAATGAGATTGTAACTATCAGGCATCTAATGAAGATTACATCCCATGATAACGAAATCATTTAGTGGATAGTAAGGATGTATTTTTGTACAGTTCAGTCGCATAGTAGACCCGAGAGAGTTTGAAAAAATCGCTGCAAATGGAAAACCGTCAGCACGTCTGTGGTAAGCAACACTCTCTATTGCTCGCGTCTAATAGTATTCCTTACAACACTATGGTGCATTAATTACAAAAGTGGTACTTTGAAATAACAATACAACATAATTATTATAGTGAAAATTAACTTAGATGTACAATTTGAATGAATAAGATCGACATCAAACAAGAGTCTTTATTGATTTATGTTTAAGTAGTTGGAAACGTGATTGAATTTTGCTGTTCCTCGTCTCCTCTTGGATTCGTCTCAATGAAGTCGACTTCATTGTCAGATACGGCATCATTGATAATACCTACTTCAGAATTAGAATCGTCATCATCATGTGATGCACTGTTATCATCTTGCTCAACATCATCGCAAAAGAGGTTACCTTCCGGTAAAGCTATTACACCAGAAGCTCCGTCATAAGATATTGTTCGTGCTCTAGTTGCAGCTTCTTCTGCACTCGCCAAAGCCCAGGGATTTGTTGGATATTGTGGATCAGCAAATGAATTGACTGATGACCTCATTCGTCTACTTGTACTTTGATCTCTTTCGTCGTTCGAGAAAGCTCTTTTTGCATTCTTCTTCACTTTTGACCACCTTTTACGTAGCGTGAGAACCCTTCCTTCGCCCACGCCTCTTTTCTGAGCTATTGCTAAACGTTGAGGAAGCCATAATTCCGGTAAAATACCTGTTAAAGCAGGGTGACCGTACCTCCGTCTACCTGTATTGAGGACACCATAATACCAGTACCTCATTGGTGGTTGGGAATAATCTGTTTTGTCGGTTTCAGGTGCCACGTATAATGTAGCATCATTCATAGCATATCTCCTTCTATTCAAGTTACTGATTCAAATAAGCATAAAGATCCTTTAAGATAAGTAGCTATCTCACCTTTGTGATCGAGGTACAGATTGATCATAACGCAACCCCACAATTTCAGTAGGCGTTGTACCCCTATTAGCTTCAAAAAGTGAGCTTAGACTATATTGCCGAAGTAATTAGTTGAGCAATAATAATAGATAATAATTTACTTACTTGACAAACTTTGATAAGCCTTTAAATTTACGTTCGGTATGAAATGCCCAAAACACCGTAGCTGTAATTAGTGGAAGAAGAATGGAAGTATACAAAAATGCTCCTTGTAATGTAAACAATCCAAGCATGAATGTTTGAAATAAAACAACTCCCCAACAACATCTTGCATAAGTTATTGGCCAAGCTTGACCGGATGATTCCCATGGTTTATAAAATATAAACAGTAGTTTATATTTATATACCTTCAAATTCAATTAGTAACTCCTCAATTAAAGAAATAATCACTAACAAGATATGCCATACCAAAGTATGCAGCGGCTGCAATAAGAATATAAGGTGAAATAATGGAATAAAGTAATCCAACCATAAACACTAATATCGCTTGAGGATATACTGTACCATAATTTAGTTCAGGTGGTGCATTTAATTCTGCCCAATCACGAGGTGTTTTTGTGAACGGTCTAAGGATCATATGCGGTAAAACTTGATTAAGTTGTAATAATTGTAAAGGCAAAATACCAAAACCTTGAAGAATGATATAAGAAACGAAGAAATGTCTAGCTGTTGAAGATTTTAATGATTGAGCTAATTTATCAGGTATTTTTAGTGGAGCGTCAGCTAATTCTCTAACCATGGAAATTGTTGCAGTTGTCATTCTAGCCAAAATGACTGTGATGAACAGTGCTAGGAAGTACTTTTTCATTAGAGAATATTCAATATGGCTACGTGCTTTATGGCCTTGTATAACGCAAAGAAAGTGTAAGAACACGGGTAGAGTTGCGTTGAATAACACTAAAGCTAATGGCGGTAAAGACGTTTGTACCAATGCTCTTAAAGAAGGATGCTTTTCAAGGAGCTTAGCAAGTGATGGTAAGTATTTTGAAATCTAATTTAGTAAGTAAAGCTAAAACATTATTCGAATTATACTCACTTCACTATAAGATAAAAGAGTATAAAGTGCAGTTACTGGAACTGCCCAAGTAAGTAATAAAGTTGTAACCGTACCATAAACAAACAATTTCTTGCTTAATAAAGCTTTTGTACTCAGAGCAACGTTCTTCCAGACGACATCTCGAGGCTCAGGTGCGGGTTTTGTTACTAATTGACCAGGTTCTGGATAATGGGATGATTGAGAAGCTATCTGTGCACTTGAAGCATTTTCGAAAGTAACAAAAGCTACGTGTGTATTTTTGTATTCGGATTTTCTTGAAGTCTTGACAATCCTATCTAAATTTTCGAAGTTCCTTTCTAACATTCTCAACTTATCAATTTTAATACCATTTAATCCAAATAAACCAGATCTTGTTGTTGGCCTAGACTTTCCAAGTACAGTTAGATTAATTGAGGAAATCTCTAGATCATTATTTGAAGGTTGTGAAAAAGTTGCTTGACTTGGATTTCCCAAGTAATTAGACCAAGCAGATTCTAAAAGTAATAATGCTTTTGTCCTTTTTGTCAATAGATTATCAAGCGCTTTAACACCTTTAACTAAACTAACGGTTTCAACTTTCATATTAATGCTATCAAAGTAATCACTGAGGGCCTTTTCATCGCGTAAATGTGAAGGAATTGATTCAATCATAACGGTACGTGCACTAATGGCATGGACTAATTCGAGACTAAATAATTGACGTTGTCTAACGAACCTCAAATAGTTTTTATTAACGTATCTTAAAGCGAGTAGAGATAAGAAGAATGTAAAAAGTAATTGTAATCCAAGATAAGGATCAGTGTTTGAGAATAAAAAGATATCTAAGATTTTCCTCCATTTTCCTTGATGTCTTTTTAAAGCATCCCAAGGATTACTACTAGATTCTTGATATAGTGGGTATTCTTCATAATTTAGGTATTCTTGAGTATTAAATGTGGATAAAGTTGAGTTGTCACTTTCATCAGAATCATCTGATGCCTCCCAAGTACCATATTTCTGAAAAATCAGGTTAATGTAGTTCTATATCAAGTTTAAGACACCTCACATTATAGTTGATAGGAACAAGAATTGGACAAGTGATTGCAGCAGCTACTGAGAAGAACCAGAATCCCATTTTAAGGAAGTTCAATAACTAAATTAGCCAAATTAATATGAAAAATGAAAGTGATTGATAAGACTAACGACAGCGGCATCCAAACCAACGATCTGTAAAACAGTATACTCTGAAGTTCTTAAAGTTGGTAAAATCCAACCAAAGAACGTGCTAGTATCGTGTGCCTCATGTGGTGAAAATCCTAAACATCATAAATCAATCAACTTGGTTGAGAAATAATCTAACCTTTTAACTTTGTTCTTGGTGCAAACAAGACAGTAGAATTAGTTCTAAGGCTGCAAAACAATAAAAAGGAAGGAAGACCAATTAATAACGCTAAACCAATTTGAGTGCGTAACCAAGGTCCTTCATAGTGAGCTGTGGGATGAATCAATTAATTAATTAATTATATGAATAGATATTCTACTAACGTCTAGCCCAATTAGGTTCATCATTATCATTCATTCCCGCGTAAGTTAGACCGAATAACGAAACCAGAACTGAGATCATGATGGTCAATCGATAAGATAACAATGCAACTATTAATATATATATTTTAATAAAATAGAAAATATCTAAAATAAGTGGAAAGTTTATATGCTTTAGTCGATCATACGTACGCCATTTGAATTGTGATTGGCGCTATAAGAAAACTGAGTGGAGAGATTATAAAAAGTAACTTAAGCGGCCACGGCCAGCGTGGAAGACGCAGCAGCCGCGAAAGATTGTTGAGGTAGTTCTTTTGTGACTGAATTTGTGATATTATTTAGAACGAGGCTTGAAGATGGAGTAGTTTGAGGTGTGGAATAATTAATGCTATAATTGCCATTCTCTGATGAGCTACTAACGTTTGATGACAAACTTGGGAAATCTTCTTGGGTTGGTACGCGTTGAGCAGGCGATTGTGTGCGACTAGCGGCTGCTTGAGCCTGAGCGCGTGGCATAGAAGGAGGAACTTTGTTTCCGGTAAATGAAGCTTGATGGTTAGCTTGTGCTGGTGTATTAAACTTTTTATTTTCGAAGTTATTTGAACGTGAAGATTGGCGTTTGTGTGAGTTTATAGGAGCAGTTCCTCTGAGAGCAGGATCGCGAACATCTGTACCATCTGGTAGTAAATGTGGGAAAGCGCAAGTGTCTTGGTTTCTACATTTACCCATAGGGAAGAAATAGCAAGGTGGTAATTGACCATCTTTTCCACGCTTTGTAATAGTAGGACCTCTGGAAACGTTACGGTTGTTTCTGAAGTTATTGTTTGGCATCATCATTGGTGGTGGACGTGCCAACGGGATCATATAAGGATCTTGTGGAATGATAGGATGCATGAATGGTGGTGGTGGTTGCTGTTGTTGTTGTTGTTGCTGTGGTTGTTGTTGTAAATCTGGTTTTTGGTTTTCATCCTCAATCTTTTCTTCGTTCTGTTGAGCTTGCTCTGTTGGAATGGGTGTAGGTGGAATTGGGGTAGCAAACGGAGGTGGTACCATCTGAGGCGGTAATTGATAGAATGGGGCATGTGCCTGGGGTATAGCCTCAAATGGTGGTACTTGCGGTGGTGGGAGGTACATCGTTGGTTGTGGGTGCATAAAGATACACTCGGAACCGTAACGACAACCTGGGAAGAATCTACAAGGAATGTTTCTTGCAACGTCTGGTGGTGGTAATGTACCGTTTTGCGCACCGAACTGTTGTTGCTGTTGATCTTCCTGGTAGTAAACCTGCATATCCATTGGTGGTGGGTAAGGGTAAAAGTGCTGGATAGGTGGTGGGTAGAACGGTGGTGGTTGTATCGCAGCATGTAACTTTTGAGCTACTTGTGGGTCTGACGCGTGAGGAATTGCACTATATGGGTTTCCATCTGTTTATAAAGGGTTAATAATATAAATAAAAGGGAATAAATCACGTACTCTTTGCTAAAAGTATATCAATTGCTTGAATGTTCGAAAGTTTAGCTGCCAAAGCTAATGCAGTCATTCCATTTTCATCAACCAATTCAATCTCCTCTAAAGGCGCTTGCTGCAATTCTGTGATGTTGTTGCTAGCGACCTTCTCGTGCAGCATATTGTCTCTTGGGTAGAGTTTAAGCTCAAGAAATTCTCACTTCAATTTTTTTGATCACAAGCAGAAAATAAATAATAAAATCTAAATTATTGTATTATTCTAATTTACACGTAAATATATATATATATTCATCTGTATAATTATATATATTATTCCCATACTCATGTGACCAATATGAATACCAAGAACTATATCGTTATCGTTAGCATTATCTTTAAAAGTCACATATACTTACGAAAATGATAATTATACCGAACACTTTGAACATCAACATTCTATTGCTCTTGATGCTCTCATAATACTTGAGCAACTCAGTTTGGGCTCCATATACGTTATCACTGATATCTTGTACATCTGCATCAATCCTTTGTACCGTTTCACCTTGCATTGCAACCATTGAACTCAATTGACTGAAAATTTGACCAAGTTCACCTATAGTAGACTCTATAGTATCGATTGCGGTTGACCTTTCATTCATATAATCAGACTGTCTATCAACTAAAGACATTTGTTGTGCTCCCGGTTGACCATTGGATTGACCAGACTCAGCGTCATCAAGATCTAAAGCGAGGAAATCAGAATTCCGTTGTTTTCGTCTATGAGCTTGTGAAGAAGAAGGTCTAGAGTTGTATAAGGGTGAATCTGAGACGTATTCAGGTTGTTGCGTTTGAAGATTAGTGAACTTCTCAGTTCTTTCTTTCGTCTTTTTAATATTTTGGGTACGTAATTCTAAAACGTCTTTGAAGCCAATTGAAGTGTTGGCTAATTTGTTCTGTAATAGAATGACAACGTTAGACTGATGCTCTCCTAAAGGTGACTTCTTGATTTGATGATTAGAGTACTGCTGTAGGTGTTGAATCTGTGAATTCAAATCGTTTATATCTTGTTTTATAATATACGTTAACTCCTTTTATATTATTCAATATAAGTAAGATTAATATCAAAGTACGTACGCTAATCTCTTGTTGCTTGTCATCGAATAGACTCTTTCGTTGGGCGACTGATTTATTAGTAAAATAAGTATAAGAACATAAATAAGCTCACGTTGTGTTAGCTTTTGTAATTTCAAAGTCGTCGATTCTATATCTTTCGCTATCGTTGTAGCTAACCTCGAGAATTCTGTCCTTGAGTGATTATTATTAAGATTAAGGTTATTAGTTAAGTTCCTTTTATTTATTTTATTATAACTATCTAAATGGGCTCTCCATTCAAACGTCCTATTCTTAATCGTCATGACTGTGTGTATTTAAGCTAAATATAAAATAATTTACAATCAAAATATTAATCAAAATTGTCCATCTTGTCCTACTATAACACGATATTCGAGGTTTTATAATGAGTGTCTGTCTGTCGGTCTGTCTGACTTTCTGTCTTGATTAAGAAACCTCTTATCGTGAACATTCAAATGAGTGTTAAGTCTTGAGTCTTGAGTCTTAAATATTTGCATTTACTTTCTCATGTATATTCAACTTGATGGGATTTGTACATTGAACTGACTGAATCAAAATCATCATCATCCGAGTCACTTTCATTTTCCTCTGAGCTGTCGCTGTCGCTGTCACTTTCTTCATCATAATACTCGCATTGTTTAGCTTCAACTACAGGGTCCAATTTGTCAAAGTGCTTGATTTGTACTTTTGTTAATGATTTTCTTCTTTGTTCTTCCGGTTCACGTTTAATTATTCTAGGTTGTTGATATAATCCGCACCTAAACTCATCGAGGGTTTCTAAGCTATGCTTCAATAAAACATGCTTTCTCAAACTATTTGATCTCTTTTCTACTGTTATAGTCGAATTTTCATACTTTTTTAAAGTCAGTGCTTCAATTACTCTGAGTTGTTCTATCATTGTCCTTGATTGTAGATTTGCAACCTCTATTTTCTTATTTTTCAGTTCCTCCGCTTTTTTAGGTCGAATAAAACGGGTTCAAGAAAGTACGAATTCAAAATTCTAATTTGACGGATTTTTCTGAACGATCAAGGCCAAGGCCCCGCAAATACCTTATTCCAGATTATGTTGTGTGAGATTCCCATAAATGGCTACTCGCAGTCAAATTACGTCATCTTACTTTAACTCTTTTTGGTATTATATTCAAAAAAGTAATTCATATAACTGCATTATATACGCTTTTGCTGGTTTCTATTTTTTAAAATTTTATTCTAAATGTCAAACTATCTATTCAGTTCATAGAACTCCTATTTTCCAGCCATACATAAATTAAATTCATAAATTAATTTGACTACGCATTTTCACTTACTTATTCTTCAACTTCTACATCTGGTTTTATTAATTCTGATTTCATTCACACTGCGTTTGGAACATTCGATGCCATTTGGGATGAAAATTTTGATTTTGCTGTGTAACGCTAAAAAAGGAAAACCGTAGTCATTCTACAAAATTCTATTACAGTAGCCAATTAGAAGGTAGCATTTTATTCATGTACTTTCCACGTTCAGTTCTATTAAGTTAACGTCATTATACAAGGTCTCACTACATTTGCTCCCTTAACGGCACGGCACCCGGGTAAATTCTTGATACAATAACGGAAATATTTTGTTAACGAAATGAGTTTATTTCAATGTAAAATCAATACATGCTCCTTCTAAAATTTCAATTTGAACATGAAAGTATCATATAAATATATGTATGCATATTTCACCAAGCTGTTATGTCATTAGCTTCGGCTTCACCGAAGACACTAGTTTTTTGTGTATCAAATGACTTGATCTCATCTAAATCAAGTAATGGTGCCGATGAATAAATTTCCGGTAACTTATTTTGCAAAAACTTGGTTACATACTCATTAATTGCTTCAAATTCTAACAAAAATCCATCATGCCCATCTGGTGAAGGTATCATAACTAATTCTGCACTTGGTGCCGAGCCAATTTGATGTTGTTCAAATGGTGTAAACAAACCATCAGATTCAATACCAATTACCAGTAAATTTGACGGGAGTAGCTTCAATGCCTCGTCTATACTTAAGCCATTAGATCTAACTTTAACCCCTGGTTCGTTCGTATCAAACTCTGCTGCAATGTCATGTGTGTCCATCTTTCTAGTTAGATGAATGTAACAGTTTGCATCGAATCTGGAGGTAAATTTATCACCTTGATAGCGTAAATATGATTGAGCCGTGAATAAATTTTTTGGTCTAGGTATTGATGAACTACTACGTGATCTGAGATTACCGTCATTATGTGCATCTCTTGCTTCTTCAGCTGGACTAGAAGGTCTAGAAGTTGAATTAGATCCATTCGATTGTGTTTCATCATTAAATGGTGATGAAATTTTCTTCCCAGTTTGTCCAAGTTGGGGTTTTCTACCAAATCTAGCTTCAAAGCTATCTCTTGATCTATAAGTAAGCATTGCAGCCATCCTTGCTGCACCTAAACCTGAAATGGGACCCGCCCTCTCTTTCTCGTCGGGATGTTCATAATAAAAGCCATCAAAATAAGCAGGATCTGAATAAATTGATTGTCTTTGAGCTTCTCCCCAACTAATACACCAAGCGCTATGTCTAACTGAGGTTGCAATTGGTATAATTGATCTGATATATGGATAGCCGAATGTCATTCCCCATTCAAGCGTTTGCATGCCACCCATAGAGCCACCAATAACAGAACTTATCGCTTGAACACCCATACCATCTAAGACTCGCTTATGAAGTCTAACATCGTCACGTATCGTACTTAAAGGAAACTCTGGTCCATATAAATCACCGGTATCAGGATTAGCAGTAACTGGTGAAACTGTACCATAAGGACTTCCAATAACATTTCCGCAGTATATAAAGTAACGACTTGGATCGAATGCTTTTCCAGCACCCATCAAAGGTCCCCACCTAGGTTTTTATTAGATAACTTGATATGGATAACAAGTTACTCACCAATCTTCTACGTCTGCACTACCAGATAGAGCGTGACAAATAACCATAACATTATCTTTTTTATCATTAAGCTTTCCCCATGTTTTGTATGCTACCGGTACGTTTTTCAATTCAATACCGGACTCTAGCTTGAAGGTATCGAAGTGAGTAATTGATTGATTTGGTACAAGACTAGCAAGTTGTGAAACTGGTCTATCTGGTGGATCAAATGACATTTTTTATTTCTTTATATCAACGTTAAGTGGAAAGAAGAATGATTGTCTATCACTTGAACGATTAAGCTGAAAATGAAGTCTATTATTTTAACAATTTTTGCTTTACTTGCTTTAGCATTCGCTAGAGATATTACTGACAAGGTTTATTTTGATATAAAGCAAGGTCCAGAATCACTTGGTAGAATCGTTTTTGGGTTGTATGGTACAACTACACCAAAAACAGCTGCGAACTTTAAACACCTCTCCATTGGTGATAAGGGATACGGTTATGAAGGCGTTCACTTCCATAGAGTTATTAAAGACTTCATGATTCAATCAGGAGATTTCCAGAGAGGTGACGGTACCGGTGGTTACTCAATCTACGGCGATAAGTTTGACGATGAGAACTTTGAAATCGTCCACGATAGACCAGGTCTTTTGTCAATGGCTAACAGAGGAAAGGATACCAACGGCTCTCAATTCTTTGTGAGTGTACACTCTTTTTACTTTCTTAAATCTCATAATTGTAGATTACCACTAAACCAACTCGTAAGGTGGTATTTACGTGTCACCAATAATCATTAACATTTCCTCAGCATGGTTAAATGGAAAACACGTCGTTTTTGGCGAGGTTATCGAAGGTATGGACGTTGTTCGTACAATTGGTAGGTGATTAATTTGATATATTGTATCGTCTAACACATCAATAAGAAAATACCCGTACTAGTTTCAGAAACAAGCCAACTGTTGCAATAACCGTCGAAAAATCTGGCTTACTTGAAAGGAATAGCAAAGATGAGTTGTGACTATATGGGGAGTAGAGTAAAGTATATTAGTATTATCTAAATATGAATACTATTTGTTTGGCAAAATTATTACCATATCGTCTAACACCTATTGAGATGACAACACTAGATGTAACTGGTGAATGTCCAAAACGTGGAATGACTTGTGTTGTTTATGAAAACGAAAAATACCAATTTAGATTATTATAACCACGTTCCATGACAGCTTCTCTGCTATATACGTACTAAATCCTCATTCTACTAGATGATCATGAGTTCATAGTTTTCAGGACATTCAGCGACCCTTCCGTTAATGATATATTATACATAGCTGTGTTAATAGCCGCCCTACTTGGTAACATAATCAAGTGTCACTAAGTGAATGCTCAGCGGATTACGAAAAAGCGAACGAGCTACTGGCTTTAAAACTTTAAAGGTAAGCTGTTTGGTAATGTGGCGAGCATTATATAGTTATTTTAATATGCGTCATATACTTTGGAACAAAACCCATTTAAGACATATATCACTTACTCTAAGTGTTCTCCATCTATCACACAACTTGCTGATCACAAATGAAGATAATGTACTAAATAGTTTATGATGTCAAATCATCATTAATCTAATTCATATCGATTTAATAATTTCTACATTTCATCCATATCTGAAACCTTAATGAACATTTTCATATTTAAACTTATTGCCATAGTGATTCTCCGGTAAACGTTTGTTCCCTGGACCAAAGTAGCTCTCTCTTGCCGTAAGATTAGCACGTCCATCATTTGAGCTAGGATAATCGTCCCAATGTAAGCCCCTCCTTCTCAACTCTGGAAATACATACTTGACTAAATCGATAAAAGTACCAGGTTTGGTAGCATAACCGAAATTGAAGCCATCTATATCACCAACCTTGATCCATTCTTCGATAATATCCGCAACAGTCGATGGTGAACCGACAATATTTGGATGTACACCACCAACGCTAGCATGAGTAGCCAACTTAGACTTTGTCCATTTGGAGTCTTTGTCATTGTGCCTCTGAGCGTAAGTCTCAACAGTAGATTTGATTGCGTTTGATTGCACAAGTCTGAGTTCATCATCCTCAGTGAACTTTCCAAAGTCATTACCTGTCCAACCGCCTAACAATACGAGAGCACCTTCTTTCGTTGCATTAGCGCGTAAGTCTTCAAATTTCTTCTGTGCTAATTCGTCTGTTTCGGCAACAATCACATTTGCACCTGCGATCGCCTTGATGCCATCTCTACCACGACCAAGCTTCTCAGACAAATCACGCAAAGACTTCACCTTCTTTGCTAGATGATTTACATCACTACCCCAGAGAAATACAGCCTCTGAATGCTTAGCAGCGAATTCTTGACCAGGACCAGATGAACCAGCTTGGAAAACCAATGGTGTGCGTTGAATAGATGGTTCAGTGATATGTGGACCAGCGCACTTGAAGTATTCACCTTCGTGATTGATTTCATGAACTAATGCAGGATCGTAATACTGATCCTTCTCTTTGTCGAGAGTTTTGGCGTTGTCTGACCAACTCGATTCCCAAAGTTTGTATAGCACATCCATAAATTCGTCAGCCCTCTTGTAGCGCTCATCATGGTCTATCTGCTCCGGCAGACCATGATTGCGAGCAGCTGAGTCCAAATAACTAGTGACAATGTTGATTGCAACTCTACCTTTCGTCAAGTGATCGAGTGTGGAAAATCTTCTAGCGACATTGAAGGGATGCTCGTAGGATGTAGATTGTGTTATACCAAAGGCTAAGTTTTTCGTGACGGCAGCCATTGCAGGTACGATCAGCTCAGGTGAGTGTATAGGGAATTGGGCGCCAGTCCTAACAGCAGAATCCTTGTTACCATTGTGAACATCGTACGCTCCAAGAACATCTGCGATGAAAAGAGCGTTAAATTTGCCTTCTTCGAGGACCTTTGCTAGCTAAAATTTGTAATGTTAGCGAATATACCATAAAGAAAGAAAAACACGTACTTCAGTCCAATGCTCTAGATCTTGGAAGGATGTTGAAGTGTCCTCAGGGTCTTTCCATTGACCTGGACTAAGATGGACTAGATGTTTTAGAGCGTGAAAAGTTTATTTCTACTTGAACATACCCGGAGTATTCATAGCAAATGCATTGAAAATGAGCTTTTTGTTAATGCCAGACATGGTAATTAGAGTAATAGACAAGTATTCTGAGTTGTTAAATATGACGTAATATCGATTGAGTGATTGATAACTAATGTTGCTAATACGATAGCATGATGTATATTAAAATGAGGTGACAGTCCCTAAATAGCAGGTAATCGTTATATTTGAGAGTCCCCTTTTCTAGTAAACGTGTTGTAAAAGTGCACTAAACCGCAAGTAGAGTGCTATAGTTCGGAAAACTAAATTAAACAACACCATTAAGTATAGCAAGCGATAAGAACTCAATTCTGTTTATATAAAAGACAAACCGAGATTACAAATGATGAAGCAATAATCGGAAAACAAAGATCGAATTTATAGCGATTTAGATACGGAAGACTATCCGCAAGCATAAAATATATTCACCGCCTGATATATTATAAATTATCGCAAACGTTCCTAATTTCCTTCGGACGATAATTCCACTTTTCACGGTAGGGGAGCATTATTAGGGAATGTTATAATGCTGTATTTAGTTTGAAATATAATGAATTTATATTTTATTTATTATCACACACCCATAAAATGATATCTTCTTTCAACTTCTCTCTTAAAGACGCACCGTCATCATAAAAATGGTAAGTCTCCTATACCGATGTATATAAATGCTCACAAATTGTAGTCATTCCCAGTAGATTTGTCTAAGTTCAAGCAACTCAAGTTGGACTACACGTGCGTTTATAATTATCTTCTTTCCTCTTCTAACGTCACAAACAGTCGTTCAACACTCTCTGAACAAGAGAGAAGCGACCTTTTGTCAAACATTAACATCTTCCGTGACGCTATCGTTGCTTTCTCCGCTACTGGTGTGTTATTTCCTTGTTCAGCCTCTTGATTCTTAAAATATCACAGGTAACGCTAGAGGTGTATCTGGTCACACCGGTGGTCCATTTGACACAGCACCAGAAGTCTGTATCCTCCTCGCACTCATCAACGCCAACCCAGAGAAGTTCATCGACACCTTCTTCGATGAAGCTGGTCACCGTGTCGCTACTCAATACCTCCTCAGCACTTTGGACGGCCACATTGACCCAGAGCATCTCCTCAACTACCGTGAAGCAAACTCCAAACTCCCAGGTCACCCAGAATTAGGTCTTACACCAGGTGTCAAATTCTCATCAGGTCGTCTCGGCCACATGTGGGCTATGATTAACGGTGTTGCACTCGCCAACAAGGACAAGAATGTCATTATGCTCGGTTCTGATGGTTCCCAACAAGAAGGTGATGATGCTGAGGCTGCTCGTCTCGCCGTCGCTCAAAACCTCAATGTTAAATTGTTTATCGATGATAACGACGTCACCATCTCAGGTCACCCATCTGACTACATGAAAGGCTACTCAGTCCAAAAGACACTCGAAGGTCACGGATTAAAGGTCGTCCGTGCTGAAGGTGAAAACATCGACTCTCTCTTCAAGGCTGTCTGTGAAGTCGTTGCTCACGATGGTCCAGCTGCGGTCGTCGCTTCAAGAAAGATCGCACCAGAAATCGAAGGCATTGAAGGTGAATCACATGCCCACGATGTTATCCCAGTCGCCGTCGCTAAGAAATACCTCACCAAGCGTGGTTACACTGAAGAACAACTCAAATTCTACGATGATATCAAGCCAAAGTCAGTCAAGTACGATTATAAGGGTGTCACAGCCGACAAGGGTGCTAACAGAGTTATCTTTGGTGATGCTGTCAACCTTGTCCTTGACAAACTCTCAAAGGAAGAAGCCGCCAAGCGCGTCATGGTTATTGACTCCGATCTTGAAGGTTCAACTGGTTTAAAGGGTATCCACAAAGCCCACCCAGAAGTTTTCGTTCCATCAGGTGTTATGGAACGTGGTAACTTCTCAGCTGCCGCTGGTTTCGGTTTCGGTGGTAACGGTGAACGTCAAGGTGTCTTCTCAACTTTCTCCGCTTTCCTTGAAATGTGTCTTTCAGAAATGACCATGGCTAGACTTAACCACTGTAACGTTCTCTGTCACTTTTCACACTCAGGTGTTGATGAAATGGCTGACAACACCTGTCACTTTGGTCTCAACCACTTCTTCGCCGACAACGGTTTAGAAGACACTGCACCAACCAGCCTTTACTTCCCAGCTGATGGTGAACAAATGAAAGCTATCGTCCAAACTATCTTCTGGGATCAAGGTATCAGAATCGTCTTCTCAACCCGTTCAAAGGTTCCATATATCCTTAAGCAAGGTACTCAAGAACAATTGTACGGTGGTGACTACAAGTTCGTTCCAGGTAAGGAAGAAATTGTCAGAACTGGTTCAGCAGGTTACGTTATTTCATTCGGTGATATGCTTTACCGTTCTTTGGATGCAGTTGAACGTCTCCGTGAGCAAGGTATTGACGTTGGTTTGATCAACAAGCCAACATTAAACGTTGTCGATGAGGAGACTCTTAAGGTTTACGGTTCATCACCATTTGTTTTGGTTGTTGAATCAATTTCACAAAAGAACGGTTTAGGTTCAAAGCTTGGTACTCAATTGATCCAACGTGGTTTCACTCCAAAGTATAAGCACATTGGTACATTCCACGAAGGTTGCGGTGGTATCGCTGACCAAATTCCATACCAAAAACTTCACCCAGCTGATATTGAAGCTGAAATTAGAAAGCTCCACGCTTAAGTGTTACTTTTTAAAGCATATGAAATGTAATTCAATCTTTATTTTAACTTCTAATAATCTGGTAAACCAAATGATGGCAGGTGGAGTTGCTCAAGTGATGAGAGTGTTTGTTTAACACCTTGAATACTTGGGTCGTCTTTGTAAAGTTCAAGGAGGGGTTCCTCTGGAATCCAAATTACTGCGATAGTTAGTAAAGAGCTTATAAGACGTCATCACCCACCCTCCATATTGGCATTCAAACCAGCTTGTGCACCGGGCACAGCGTCTTCAAAGACAAGACAACTTTTACGTGTGACGAGATGTTCTTCCGTTGGTGCGTCATTTGAGTCAACATTGAAACCAACGGTAGCACCCAATCTTTGTGCAGCGAGGAGGAAAGTATCAGGGCTAGGTTTACCTCTACCTGGTGTGATATCGTCTGCTGTGACGACGTTATCACCAAAGAGGTCCATTAATTCTTTTACTGGTTGTGCTCTCATCTTTTGTTCAAGAGAGGTGCGTCTACTTCCCGTAGCAACCTTTGTATTATTTATAAGTAAAGAAGCATTTGAATGTAGCAGACACCCACCGCGATTGGTATGTTATGTTTAAGTAGATGTTTGATTAACTTTAAAGCACCAGGGCGGAGAATAAGTCTAGGCCAGGCTTCCGCTTGCTTTTGATTGCGTAATAAAAGGTAATCATCGACAGTTATCGGGAGATTTAATTCACTGACAAGATATTCCGATGCAACTCTTTCATCTGAAGTGACATTAAGATGAATGCTAAGGCGGGGAAGACGATGGACATACGTTTACCCATCATATTAGCTTTTAGTGTCCCTATAATCGTTAAAAACTGACTAGTGAACTGATCGCTGCGTACAATTAAACTGTTTGCCATATTTTGACAGTATATCGTTTGTTACTTCCGTGTATATACGCTCAGAGTCAATTAATAAACCCTTTAATTGTAAATAAAGATAATGAATAAGTTAAACACTAACATCTAAATCGAATAAACAGTATTTAATAGTGGAAGTCATACTTCAAGAGTATCTATGGTATAAAATTACATTTTGGTACAACAAAACAATGTCCGAAGGTTAAGCGATATACAGAGATCTAGTTGCGAGAGATAGAGTGTGTAATGAACGTCTAATGAACGTTTTTAGCAGTGTTCTTTTTATTAGGTAGTAGTAAGAGTTTGGAACTATAGCAGCTATGGTAGCTGTAGTGGCTGTAGCAGCTAGAATAAGGATATTATCCAGTGGTAGAAATGTTTCCTCTTTCTGTGGATAGAAGAGTACTTGTATGATTTTGTAGAGGAGTTGTTCGTATAGCTTGACTCATCAAACGAATGGTTATCTTGCATCGTAGAGAATACTTCATTATAAACCTTCTGTCTAATGTTGCTAGTTATGAAAATATCATTCAGTTTTTCCTCCTCCTTGCGCTTATTTTGAAACTCATTCAATTGTGGTTTATGCTTGAATATGAGTGAACTTCTCCTTCTAAGAGTATGCATTATATTTTCTCTCCAATTGTGATTGTAAACTTTAAACTTTATCCATCCTAAGCGCAGCTGTTAATAGTTTTTTTTTCAAGAGTCCAGACTTTGTCTCTCAAGGTACGCATTGACAAAGCGAAATTAAGCGCACATATCATGACTTCTTAGGCAATTTCACAGTTATATTTTATATCAAATATCAATATAAAGTACCTGTACGTCTTATTTTGCGTCTTATTATAGAAATTTCATACATATACCTGCACCACAGACTGACGTCAGCGATCATACTGAAATCTTTTAGCGATCTTTGTTTTAGATCTAAAACAACTCTATGTACAGCCTTACAATTTATCTAATAGATTTTCATCACAAAATCTTCTCTGTAAAAAATGCCTTGATAGATATTTTGCGGCAAATAATTGACAGCTAGTTGGTATGCCTATATCTAGTCATCTATCTGAACATACCGAGCCCTACATTCCTTTAATACACACCTATCAAACATGCCACCAAAACGTGAAACCTCACCTGAGGGCGAAGAATCTTCGACGAAAAAGCCTAAAGTTCAAGCGACACCTTTAGATCCTAATCAACCGACGAATAAACAGCTACCAGATGAATTGAGCCCATACGATAAACCAGAGAACGTTACGCGTTTTGCTTGTTGGAATATAGCGGGATACAACGCTTCAGTGAAGAAAGTGAGTAAATAGAATATTAATTAACGCGTTAAATATCTCCAGGGTTTGCATAAATATATACAAGCAGAGCCAGCCGATCTGCTCGTCCTCACAGAAACCAAAGTGAGCTGCCGACTGATATAAAATCGTGACTAATGATACAGATTGACAAAGAACCAAATGATGAGATTATTAAAAACAAATACAAGCATTCAAAGTGGGTACCGGGTGTCAAAAAAGGCCATGGTGAGTTGACGTCACAAAAATACACTGATTCTAACAAAGCATAGCTGGTATTGCCATCCTCTGGAATGGTTCAGAGGCCATTTCGACAACAGATGTTTTACCTACCCATCCAGAACCTGAATCAACCAAAGGTAGAATAATCATACTCGAGTTTAAAGATGTATATGTAATCGGTACGTATGTACCTAACGCAGGAAGTGGTTTGAAGAATCTCGAGGACAAGAAAGTCTGGAATGAAGCTTTCAAGGAATACCTCCATAATCTCGGCAAAAATACCATCTGGTTGGGTGATCTTAATGTCTGTCACGACAATAAGGACCTTAGGAATGACAAATCCAACTGGAACAAGACACCTGGTTGGACAGAGGCTGAAGTTAGCCAATTTAAGGAACAATTATCCGACAAATTTATAGATGTATGGAGAGAACATGTGAGAAATTGATTGTTAAATAAAACAAATGCTAATCTATATATTAAGAACCCTGATGAAGTTGGACAATATAGTTATTGGGGGTATAGATTTAATGCACGGGTCAAAGGTATTGGATGGAGATTAGACTACGTTATAATCTCGAAAGACCTAAGTAATAAAGTCAAGAATGCAATAATGAGAGCTGAAATCTATGGTGCATCAGATCATGTGCCTGTAATAGTTGATTTAGATTCTTTGCTGTTGTAAATGAATAACGCATTGTTATAACAATTAATGAGGTGCTTATAACCAAGTATATCATTCTTTAACTTGAATAGTCTAATGAAATACTTGTATAATGGACAAGTATGTCGTCTAAAGTGTAAATTATGCGTTGATGATGATGTAATCAAATGCTCTAATTTAGATTTATATATATTATGATGATCATTGAATTGTATATTAATCTCTGGTGGTAGGGTAGCTCCTAGATGACCCTCTTTGACCATGACGAGGTAGTATAATTCCCATATTATTCTTCTCGATAGTGACTTATTGATGGAATGTTTGATAAAAATATTTAGCGTAACTCTATCATAACTATCATGTAGATTAAGTGAATCTAATCCGTATTTAAACTTCTCTTTGCCCTTTTTTGACGTATGAGAAAGCTGGCTATTGTAAGCGTGATTGAATAGACTAATAGAGCTATGAGAACATTGTAAACCAAAATTTATGGCCATATCGTATTGTCTATTACGGTTAAATTGACTGTTGTAATAGCTATCGACACTCTCGAGCATATTCAACTCATTCAAACTTTTACATTTCCTTAATAAAGTTATAATTTCGTTATATCTAATTGTTTTATTATCAATTAACTTTATAGCTTTCAAATATTTCCTAATTGATTTGCTTTTCTTCAAATCATTCATCATCGTCATCTACAAAAACACTAACTTAATCCAACGATAGTCAAATCTTTCATTTCTTGCAGAGAATTCTCAACTTCTGCATCTAAGCTGCCATTCGCGTAATTGTCCCTAACGTCGTCGTTAAAGTACCTTTGTACACCACCCAACTTCTCATATCCTTCCTGACTGAATTTGGCTTGTAATCTAACCATAGCCTCAAATGATGGATCTAAATATGGTATCCTAAGGTCCAACATTTGTGGCATTATATCCTTCAACTCATCGTTCAATGCAATATAGGCTTGCTCGCACATGTCCATTTCCTGTTGTGCTCTAGGTAAAGCGCTTGCATCATTTGAAGGCTTCTCCGTTAGTTTTCTTACTTTAGTTCTTGCGGCGTCGTAATCTAGCAACTAAAAAGTTGTTAGAACATCGTATAAAAGCCAGCATCAACAAACCTTCTTATGTCTCTTGCTGATAGCCTGGTTTGTGTTAGGGAAGTATGCGCATAGCTTCTGTATTGGTTCAAGAACAGTGGTACGATATGGAGCGTCCAACTCTCTACCGGTCTTTGTATCTAAATCTTCTACTGCTCTCTTGTAGGCGTGTCCAGCCATTGCATCCTCGCTTGAATCTGTGTAGAAAGATTCAACGGTCTCTGCTATTCTAGCTTGAGCAGCAGTCATAGCTGAGTCGAATTAGAGAGTGAATTGTATAATAAATATAAAACGTACCCCTCATAGAATCCAAATAACCTTTTGCCTCCTTCTGTAAGGCAGTCGATTCCTTCTCATAGCTGTGCAGATCAGTCAACAATCAGCGCCGGATCCGATAAGAGAAAACTGACACTTTAAATCTAGCTTCGAGCTCTGACCACTCAGAGTCGTTAGTTTTCTCTATCTGGCCAACCTTTATAACGTTAGTAACTTCCTAGGCCCCTGTATATGGTTAATTACCTTTTGCATCATAGTTGTACCACTGGGTAGCCGTTAAATGAGTTAATAACTATATTATCAATAACACTCACGCTCTATTCATCGACTTTTTAAAACCATTCCAGGACATTTTGTTTCTCAGATAATGATAGTAACTCGCCAAGAGGTGATTAACGTATATAAAAAATAAATACAAATTAAAATAGACTAAATCTACGTGCTTTAGGTTTGTCTTGCTCCTTTAAATGTAATAAACTCTCTAGTCGTTTCAGAACCTAAATCGTTTAGTCGTCATATCTCCAACAACAATCTATACTCACATCTTCTAGCTTATCTTTCCGCTCCTGAAGATCCAAATGTGAACGTATCGTTGGATTCTCACGTGCGAATTTGTTTATTGCATTCCTGTCGAGGTCATACATCAACCTAGAGTCAATTTCACGAGGGAACTGATTGTTACATGAGTTTAAATGTTAGCTTAAAGTCTCTAACGCTCACCTGGTCAAAGAATGATTGTAATAGTTCAATCTGCAAGAACAATGACGAAGTGTACGCCAACTTCTCAGAGACAACGGTCAGGAATGCCTCAGGACATATTGTTTCTACCTTAGTATTGTCTCCATTACCGAACTTACACTTTGAAGAACGCAAGGTAGACATTCTCAATTTGAGAATGGCCAATCTTTCACTCAACTTCATAGCTTGTCGAGCTTCAATGAGATGTGCTGGATTATAAGCCAACTTCCAAGCTGGTTCATTATTGTTGACACCATCATTTTCAATCTCAGCTTCTTGGTTTAATTTCCGCTCATCTAGTGACTTCAGATAACTTATTATATTGTTCAACTTCCGGTAACCACCAACACGTTTTCTAATCTCGGACAGTTTTGCATCACATTCCTTCTGTTCACCTTCTAACGCCGAAAGAACGTGTCTACGCCCTTTGTTCCATTCCTTATCCTCTACATCTACTTCAAACTTAAATGGCTTCAAAGCATTTTCCACTTGATCTGATGTAATCGACAATTTATCGCGTAGAATATCATGAGACAGTTCTATTATTCTTTCAGCTGCGTTATTATGGTGCGAGAATGGTGGTCCATCTGTGAGTGCTTCAATTAAATTTCTGATTCCATCTGCAACCAGACTAGTTGAATCTCTACCAATCCCGCTCTTCGTTAATAAAGATCTGGCGGTATCTAACTTATAGGCCCAGTAGTTATCGTGGTCTGATTCAATATTGTTTTTACCCAAGTCGTTCAATTTTACGTCATTCCAGTATAATTGTTCGAGTATGTTCATAACTCTGTCATCCAACATGCTTTCCAACTTCTCTCTTACTTGAGGCTTACTGAATTCGCCTTGGAAGTCTCTCAATTTGGCTTTCAAATTATCAATAACTTCTGCAACGTAACTCTCTGGTGAAACTCTTCTATCATTGTACTGTACTTTGAATTGATATGCTGCCTCCTCTTGTTCAATTTGAACAGCATTGGTGATGTTATTCAAGCAACTACTCATTGAATTCTCCAAAACCTCCATCAATTTCTTACGTAAGGTGTCTGTACCAATAAGTAAACCAGGTTTATTGAACAACTCTTTGTTATTTTGGAAGTAATTCTCTTCACGTTTCATAATTGCACCGGTCATGTTCGGATCATTATCACTAAGTCTATCAATTATACCTCTCTTTGGTGCTTTACATACGACACCAACGTAACCGAGATGTAATGGATAGCGCTTATTACTTAAAATTGCTGAACCTTCGTTTGGTGTGACCATATCCATTTTAGTGATAACACCAACAGTTCTTAAACCTAATGGATCAACCCTTCTACTGGCTCTTAATGCAGGACTATTAGCTAAATCCACATCTGCTGCACAGACAGCTAGTATAATATTTGGTGTTTTTATGTACTTTTCACATAAATTGCTTATTTGTTCACGTAGGTTGTCTGGTTGATCTAATCCTGCAATTTGAACATATCCAGGGAGATCAATCAAGGTTAAATCGGGTACATGTGGACTATAAATACGTAAGTCGATAGGTTTATCACTAACACATTCACTAGAAGGTACTGATAAGTTCAAATCGGTGAGTATCTTCTGAATTGCGCCAAAATCTTCTAATTTGCCATAAGAACTAAGTGAAGGAAATTCACCATACTCTTTGTTACTATCCGGAGTATGTATTAAAGTCAACTCTATTGGTCTTCTAGTGACCATATTGTTTCCTTTAGGAAGGAACTCATGTCCGACAATAGCCTCCAAGACACTCGATTTGCCTGAACTTTGTGAACCGATTACAACGATTGACGGTAGTTTCAAGTTGTCTGTCTGGTCAATAGAGAGTAAAATGGAGCGTATTTCTATCAACTTTCTCGTTAAATTCATCAATAAATTTGGTTGTTGATTGTTATTATTATTGTCATTACTGTCAAGTGAAGCACCAACTGCAACAGATGCTATAATAGACTTCGCTATGTCCTTATCATTATCATTATTGTTATCGTTATCATTCTCTGTTTGTTTGTTGAAAGTAGAGAGCCACTCCCTGAAACGCTCTTTACGTTCGCCGATAGTCTCACTAGTAGGCAAGGTATCTTGTACATTCGACCAAGCGTCGAATAATCCGTCTGTGATATCCCCAAAAACGCCTGCAGTTTTATTTCGTAATTCTAGTGATTGTGAGAAAGTGTAGAGAATAGAGAGCTAGAACAGACCTTCAAATTTGTAGTTAGCGTACGCAAATGTACCGCCACCAACAGTAACCCCTGCGATTGGTACTCTAAGTGCTCTACCTATGAACCTGGGAAAACTGGAGAAAGAGATTGAGCGTGCGTGCACAAAGCGCATACCATAATTCAAGCGCTTCAATTGTCTTGTGCGTATTAAATTTATCACTGATTTAGATCTGCTATTATACAACATCCAACTATTTCATCGACGTCGAAGATCAAGAAATGACGAGCGAAATAATCAGATTTAGATTGCGGTGTTCTGATGGTTTGAAGACGCTGACTATTCCTGCATCCGCTAGTTTAATAGATTTGTTAGAATTGATAGCAGAAGTCTCTAAGATACCAATCGCAAACCAAGACCGTAGGTATCTAGTAGTCTTGAGCGAACATCTAATTAGCTTTTAGTTAGGATTGGCTATCCGCCTAGACATTTCAGCTTCTCACAAGACGATTACACTAATTTGGCCACCCAACATGGATTACGTAACGGCGAACAGTTGATATTAAATCATATTGATAATAACGCGTCAAATACAACTACAGTAGAAGCTTCAAATACTATAAATCATATTACTCCTCCTAAACCAAAAAATAAATCCGTTGATGGTCATTCTGTGCAGTTGAACAGTGGTGACGGTTGGTTAACCCTAAGAGTAGGTTTCATTGTCTTTATATATCATCCGCTCACTAAAGTAGGTCGTTCCAGATGATAATAGTTGTCTCTTTAGCGCGATTTCATTGGCTATTTTGGGCTCCATTGATGAAAACTACATGATGCGAGGCAGTGAGTTCATATAACTGTATTATTATACTCCTAACATTATACAGTCGTCGCAGAAACAATAAAATCCGATCCAATCACATATAATGAGACATTCCTCGGGTAAGTAATCACAATTATGTGTAAGACACTATTAAAACTACTATAGACACCCTCAAAATCAATACATAGAGACCATAGCCGATCCACACAGCTGGGGTGGCGCGATTGAACTTTCAATTCTCTCACATGCTTTCAAAATCTCAATAATTAGCTTGGATATAGCTACAGGCAGGATCGACAAGTATAACACTGAATATGAGAACAGAATATTTGTCGTATACTCAGGTATTCACTACGATGCGCTCTCTTTGTCGCCATCACAGAATGCTTCTGCAGAATTCCACACTACAGTTTTCCCTTCCTTCGAAGCACCATCTGATTTCCCTGATCCTCTACTCGAAGCCTGCAAACAGCTTGCCGGTGAATTGAGAGAACGGAGGTACTACACTGATACTTCTACTTTTACGCTCAAATGTGGCGATTGTGGCGCCGCCCTCGAAGGTGAAAAGCAAGCGACAGAACATGCTGCTAATTTTGGACATACCGCTTTCACGGAATATTAGCGTACTATTATAATGCAGTCCAATCAAAACAATGACCGTATTTGTCATTACGTTCACTGTAATCCCATCAATATAAGATATGCATGCAAACTTCTATTATATAACATGTGATTAACTATACACCACTATCAGTGCCACTTTCAGTGTTGCTATCTAGGAGTGGGCTAATGATCTTTGACCAGTCGAAATCGGAATCATTGACAAGGTTGTTAGGTGCATCAGACATAAAGTTTAGATTGTCAACACTAAACAGATTGTCCTTCATTGCATCTGTATTCTGCATGTACTCTAACATATCACCGAATAATTGATAATCTTGCTCTGCCAACACCTGTTGATTAGCATCCTCACTTTTGACTGCAGATAAGGTTCTATTCGACAAGCAATTATGTCTGACCTCATTTGTGCTTTGGTATGACTTCGTCATGTTAGGTAGGGTAATATGGTCACACCTATACTCACAATGTATTCCTCCATTCTAATAAAGTCTTCGCAATCAGGTAGCTTGACTGCTTTTAATACTTGTAACAGAACGTCTATCGCCCTTCCATATTGTACATTTTTCCTTTCATTCACTCGGAGCACCAAGATACCACTCTTGACGTAACATACATCATCCTTATCCACGTGGCCTGTGAGTCTTCTACTCTCACAACATCTAATAATCAAAATAAGAGTAGCCCAGAATGGCTAAAAATGTCAGTAAAGCATGGAATAAAGATAAACTTACACCCCAATCCATCATAGAATCCACGTAAATTTTGTTGAGATTTCTCTTGAGCACAACTTCCTTGCAGTTACCAATGATAGACCTAGATGCATTCGCACAAATTAGAAGACTGGTGAACTGGAAATTTGAGGGGTTTCTGAGTGTTGGATTAGGGAGGAAAGGTTTATACATGAATATCTAGCTCAGTTGTAAGTCATTATTTAACAAAAGTAACAAACTCACTTGAATGGTGTAATAAGCAAGGCGCAGGTTACTTCGCAGCTGCATAATGAAATCTGTCTCATTGTCATCTTTGCATATGTGTAGAAAATCAGGCATTTGGTCTAGCCAGGCGTGTAATTTTGAATGCAAAGACGCAATATCGGTCATGGTCAAAACATGATCATCACAATCGATCGATTTACGATATTTGTAAACTTTCTGCATTACTTGACCATGAATTTTGCAGAGTTTGATCATCTCACTCATGTAGAACACACCCATATTACCATGTGCATCTTCGTTGCCGTACGGTTGAGGTAACTCTAAATAAATATCCTCATCCTTGAGGAGTAGTGGTTTACCAAAACATGCTGAAGGTATATTAGAATGTTCGTCTGACAGTTGCTTATTACCCACAGCTATGGGACCTATCTATAATGTATGCAATCCACAATGCACGCTTGCTAGCTTCAGCTTCAAGCGGTTCCTTATGCTTGTTGAGTAATGAGTGCTGTAGGCCCATATTCCTAGCTAACAATATTGACATACCATGGATCATCCAGGAACTTTTTGTATGGACACCTTGATCCACATATACTTGAAGTAACTTTGAAAGCGTAAGTTTAAGAGCTTTCACAGTGCTGCAACTCACGATAAGCGCCTGGACATCCTCAAGGGTAGCTGGTGTTATAAAAAAATCCTTCATCTTCTTCCTTGCCACCTTGTAATAGTCGAATCCTGCCAAAAATTGCAGATGTTCCTTTTCCGCTATGACGAAGCTTTTGTCGCCTGAAAATATAGCACCTAAAGCACAAACCATAAGTAAGACACTTCCGAATTCTTTCTCAAGTTTCCGACTCGGGATGTTTGCTTTGAAGCGTGTCTCATTAAGCAATGGTAGTGTCACGTTGACCATCCTAAAATAAACGTCGACAAGATGATAGAGAACCTCATCGCTACCGAAATCTTCATCTGTATAGTCTGTATTATGACTGTCTAAATTTGAAGAAAGCTCCTTTTCCCAGTCTTCTACCCAAAAATCGAACCTTCTTTGGTGTGTGAGGGCGTCTGAGGCCATTCCAGTATAAAAGGTGATCCTCTCGAATAGTCCTCTCATTGAAGCTTTACCGAAGTTCCTATTACCCGTTCTGACATCGTCTGAAGGAATATAAAGTCCATTAATATTGCGAGCCAATTCCTCATCATATAAATCGCAATAGTCTGTGCTAGGAATGATGTCCGTAGTTCTTGAATTATCAGATGTGGATATACTATGCTTCCTTTTGAGGCTATCGTCTGTATTGTGTGATACACTACTGTTATCTAACAACGCCTGGCATTGTGCAAGTGTCGCCTTTAGTTCTTCGACGTAGCTCACTTTGTACATCTTTTTAGGCTCTGTATCATTGTAGGTGCAGTTATCTTTGCAGTTTGAGCATTTGTTAGGGAAAACACCATCACAACGAGTTTTCTTTCTTCGACAGCTATCGCACTGAAGATTATTTAGTGATGTATAATAAATTGTAACACACCTACCGCTCTGGCTACTTTCTGCTTCTTTGACAGATCACTCGCCATTATGGTCGTGATGTAATAAGGTGTTTTGATTGTGAGAATAAAGATCGACAGGAAAAGAAAATATTTTCTAGATCTGTCATTTTATTGAAACATAATAGATACTTTATATATACCACTCTTGGAAGTCGTAATTTAAATCATAAAATGTGTACAAAACGTAAAATAATAGTGTCATCTTAGTGATAGCTTAATGTAAGCTTTTTGGGATTAGATTGAATTCCTTGAGTTTATCCTGAGTTCATCATTAGCTACTATAACACCCCATTTAACAAATATAACCTACAAATGCAGCTTTATAACCATCTTCGTAGCTATCAATCGATTTGTTCCAGCCAATCTCTCTAGCTGCGTCCAAGCTACCTTGGTCAGGCCATGTTCTTGAAGTAGCACCATCGAGGAATGCCCATGTGGCGTGCTCATACGCTTGCGGATCGAGGTTATACTTTTTTATGATGCCACCAAACTTATCCTTATTCTCCTCAGCCCATTTCTGAACACTATGGACAGTCTTTACGTCTTTGTGACGGTTGACTTCAACATCCTCAGTGACTGGGTCAGGTAAAACAATACCAAAGTACTTGGCTATCTTTGGCCAGAGTACTGCAAAGCTGCTAGGCTTGCCATCTTGAATATTGAATGCTCTGTTGGCGGCTTTTGGATTGTCAAGTGCAAACACTTCAAATTCGGCGTTGTTTTTGGCATTACTGTGGTCGTATTGGAGATTGTAACTGTATTTTGAACCTGGGAAATAGAATGGTGTATTTAACTCATTGCAAGCGACGGCGTAAAGTGCAACAGTTGTTGCAATACTCATGAAATTGCCGAGTGAGACACCAGTGATAAAGTTTGGTCTAGCAACAACCCACTTCCAATTGTACTTCTCGGCAGCAGCCTTAAGATAGTCTTCCTGCTGATAATAGAAATTCTTGCCTGATCTGCCGCTGTTTTCAACCCAAGGATAAGGTTGGAGCGCATCACCGCCAACGAAAGCACCGTAATCTAATATAATATGGTCAGATAGCTATATGAAGGTGCAATGCACCCACATTTGTAACCCGTTTGAAGAAGGAATGCCTGTACTGTAGTTCCTTTGTAGAGTGCTTCGACAGACTTATAACTTAATAATACGGTTAAACACTGAAGTATTACTTACGTTTGAGAACAACTTGTAATTTGTGTTAATCAGGTCGTCCTCGTTTTCTTTAGCGATGTAACTAAAAAAGAAAGCATGTGTAGCATTGCCTGCGCCACCTTTAACCAAACTGCCTGCTATCTCATCTGGGGTTGAGTTAAGTAGATCTACGGAGACGTGGCTAATCTTCTCGCTCTTCTGAGGTGGTGGACGACGTGAGACAGCGACAATCTTTGTCCATTTGGCTGGATCTTCGAGGAGTGTATCGATAAGGCTAATACCAGAAATGCCTGAGGCACCAAATACTAAAGTGGTTTTAGAAATTGTCAACAAATCAGCCATTACTCACCGATTGCAGTTGTCATTGTGAAAGTTCAACTCCAAGCTGAATACCCACCCTAATGAGGATATTTATATGAAAACAAAAAAAATAATATTTGTAAGCATTTCTGATATACAATCTAGCCATCTATCCGGAGGTCAGATCCTATCAAGGGAGTCACTTCCTGAAGACATTTATATTCACATGACGTCAGTATATCACTTGGATGATAGCAGGAACTTATACTGAAAACTTCATTAAAAATACTAATAATAATAAAGAGATTATCTAATTTTACTTTGTAGTCTACGAATTGCGCTTTAGCTCAGTGATAACACGAAATAGACGTAAAATTTTACTTTGTTATTTGAGATCCACCTAGATACTGGAAGATCAATGAATTTATAGTAATACTACCAATTTTCTCTCATACATCCCAGCCTTATTTCTATCTTATTACGCTTGCCAGCTTCGTCCGGTTATCCAATCATCACCCAGATACGCAATCTTAGCATGAACTTACGAATCCTTTAAGACAGCTTAATGGCTGAAGGAAGCACCGTCAAAACGATATTATATGACGCACACCGCCTCGTAAATAGACAAAAAAATTATTATATTATAACATACACTAGTGCCATAACAATGATATTAATTAGGATGTGTTTCGATCTAAAGTAAAATAGGAGACCAACAACGGTTGTTGTTTTTCAATTTAGAGTTTAGTTTCTTTGTTGTATCCATCTGGAGGTATTGGTGTCGTGTTACCTGTTTCAGGTGGTGAACCTTTCTCATAGTCAGAATCAGTGCTAGTTAGTTCGTCTACAGGATCTATAACTTGCTCTTCTTTTGGAACAATATAGATAGCATAGCAAGTTGGAATGAGACATGCGAACCAGAATGCTAACGAAAGAATCATTTGGTTGAAGTATGGCCAGAGACCGGCTCCGACGACGTAAGAGAAGGTACTACCAATTGATTGGTAGCTTCTTATTAATCCTGTTGTCCTTGTGATATCGTTCACGCCTCCGTTATAACATCCCATGATCCCTACATAATGGTCAGCGACGTTCTTTCGACATGATAAAAAGAGCAGCAAGCAAGCTCCTTATAATAAGAGTATTGCCTGCTACCTCTAATCAATATTACTCACAATAGAGAAGTGTTTCTAAACTCTCATATAAGAACTTCCACAAAACTGTTAAACGTCAATATAGATAAACCTTCAAGGTCTATTACCTACCGTAGACAGCAAATGCACTGTTGAAACGGCCAGTGCTTCCTTCCCAATCCAGAGCGATAGTCTTTCCGTTATTCACATCCTCACTGAATCTTGCTTGGAGGATAGCATTCCATATCCAAGCTCCAGAGATAGTGACAGCGAGGAAGATCCATACGATAGCGGCTCTTGTTCTCTGATTCCATCTTGTCTGGTCGAGGAACCATCCAACGGATAAGTTGGAAATCAAACTAACGATACCGGCTAACAATGACGCTAATGCTCGAGTTCTAACGGTAAAGTAAGTAGTAAGGTAGTTTGATTGATAAACAGTTCCCCATTGTCCACTTCATATACGTAAGCAAGTTGAGTTTAGCTTTGGAAGTGTCACTCACAAGATGAAGATTGGTATGAGGGCAAGAAGGTAGCGTGATGTCGCCAGATTCTTAATCTTGATGACTTCATCCTTCAAGTTAAAGTTCTTGGCGAATTTTACGTGTGATCCATCACTTCTACGGACTTTACGCGGGTTGCTGAGGAGTAAGGCTGCCGGCCCGGACAAACACATCAAAGCGATCATCGCGTAGTATGTGCTATAACTAATTTTTCCGGTTGAATCACCCTTTATGTTGTAACCAAGTGAAATAGCACCACCTAATTCAAGGTCAGACACAATGTTTGTTTCGATTTTTCGGTTGATGCTTACCAAGGATCATACCGAATTGTCTCTGTCAGTTCGTAAGTGACGCCTTTACTACAAAAACAGTAATACTCACTATACCAAGCCAGATACTAACCATTCGTCCACGCTCATGAGGAAGCGGATAAGCTATTGCAATTGCACTCTCAGTACACCAGAAAAGTGATGCACCAAGACCACAAAGTACGCTGCCTCCGTAAAGGAAAGGGATATTGTTGTAGCGGTTTAGCGTGTACAATGCCGCGGCATATGGCGTGTAAAGGACAGCACCTGCGAACAAAACCCATTTAAGCTATATGTTAAGGTTAGAAGATAATCTTATTTGGCCTTCTCAGATGTACTCACACTAGTACGATTAGCTAAAACAGCTGCTAAGGTGCAACCAGGAATCATTATACCAAACGTAACTGCATTAGCACCTATAAGATTAGTCAGTTTTGATACGTCTCATTCAGAGAAGACACACCATTTACTTGACGGGGATCTGCCAAACCGGCAGCCTGTAATAATCAATTGAACGTCCGGTGAAACAGAATCATACCCACACCAATGTAATTTAGACTGTACCATAAACCTGGGAGCAAGAAGGATACAAGACCATCTATGATAACGTTGAAAAGGACACTTCTGTAAAATTTGACTGATATGTCTTTAGTCTTCTCAGCGACAGCGACCATGTTGAGTGTAAGTCTCTGAGAGTTTTTAATTACATTCCAATCGAGATTTAAATACAACTAATTGTTCAAAACTCCATCAAATTGTGCAATCTAAATATGGTAGTAGGGTAGGCACGGTTAATAGTTTGATGAGAGACTATTAATTAAACTTCCTAAAACCTCCGAAAGTACTATATTATAAATGTCTAATTCTGGTGTTCATGTCGGAAAATTTAGTAATACATACATAGCCGATTGCATAGCTTCGTAGAAGTTTATCAGCTATCTAGATAAATTAGATCAGAATCTTCATGCAGAAGTTGTAACATAATTAGAATTTATTGCGCAATGTTTAATCACGAAGTTTGACCTTCGATTGCATCATTTCATCATCTCATAACCACAGTCAGAGTGATAACCATTACACTTTTCGAGCAGTACAACAATGCCAGTAAATAAAGAAGATAAAATAAGTGTAACGATCGTTGGTGGTGGTATATCTGGTATTGCCCAAGCAATACACCTCAAACGACGCCTAGGTGACAAACTCGAGCTGCACATTTTCGAGAAAAAAAATGAAGCGGGTGGTGTCTGGAGAGACAGTCAATGGGTGCGTAGCGACTCCTTCAATAGTTGTCTTATTTATTTTCTTAGCCTGGTGCTGGTGTCGATGTCCCTATTCACCTTTACCAGCTTTACAGCGACCTGAACCCTTGGTGGCCAGACTTATATGCTAAGCAGCCAGATGTAATTACCTGTGAGTTTTCACATTCCCTCGTTTCAGGCTGATGCGTCATCAGATTGGCAAAGCTTAATCAGCAAATATGACCTCAGACCGCACTTCAGATACGCACACGAGTTTGAAAGTGCTAGATGGGATGATGAGGCTTCCCTTTGGGTGTTCCAGTTCAGACATCGCGGCGAAATTGTCAAACACTCGTCCAATGTTTTTGTCTCAGCTGTTGGACCATTCCACAAAGCGAACCTTGGTGTGAAGAACCATGAGAAGTTCCAAGGTTCGTTTTTACCCTATACTATATTCGTTCTCAAACTCTCCAGGCATTTCCTTCCACTCGCAGGACTGGCGCAATGTTGATTTCATCAACAAACGCGTAGCAGTTGTAGGAAATGGCTCTACTGGTGTACAAGTGGCAGCAAACCTTGCCAAGATTGATGGTGTACAACTCACACATTTCATTCGCTCTGGAGGCTACTACAACCCGAAAGTTAATACCAAGTACCCAAATTGGCTAAAATGGACATTTGCATATGTGCCATTTGCAAACGTACTCCATAGGTTCTACATATTTACGAGCTGGGAGAAGAGCTCACTCGCAAACGGTAACGCCTGGTGGCAGAGATACCTTCGTCGTGGCAAAGAAGCGAAAATGTTAGACTACCTCAAGAAAACTGCACCAGAGAAGTATCACCATGCGTTAATACCAAAATACGCAGCTGGGTTGAAACGTGTAGCCTGGGACGAGGGCTGGTTTGCCTCGCTGCACAGAGATAATGTCAAGCTTCTCAACGTTCCTATCGAGGAGGCGGATGAGACCGGACTTAGGCTCAAAGATGGTGAGAAACACGATTTCGACATCATTATTTATGCGACTGGATACGACGTCGCAGGATATGGTGTTGGTTTGAACGAGAATGTCTACGGTGAGGATGGTACTGAACTTGCGACAACATGGCAGAAAGACACGCCACAGGCACATCTTGGTGTAGCTACACCAAATTATCCTAATCTGTTCTTCCTTGTCGGACCAAATGCCTTATCGACATCATGGGGATACACGATAGGAAATCAGACGCTGTTCATCAGCAAGATTATCGAGACTATACAGAAAGAACGTCTCCTTACCATAGAGCCAAAACAGGATGTTTTTGAAGCATATAACAAGGAGTTGAACGGTTATTTAGAAGAATCAGTCTATACAACCTCCGGCGAGCGTTCATGGTACAGGTTCAAGGGCACTGGAAAGCCTACTGTACCATCTGGATTCACAGCAGTCACTCTCTGGTGGAAGACTGCTTGGGTCGATTATACCCACTGGGTTGGGCGTGATAGGAACGGAAAGCAAGTCAACCTCAGCTCCCGTTTGGTAGCAAGAAGACTTTTGCAAGCTCTTACTCTGGCTGGTATATACGGTGCTTACATTAGTTACCCACAATTAAAGCTTTTGCTTAATTAGATTGTACATTCCATGATGCATTTACACTCTTAACCAGGATGATAGAAAATTTGAATGAAATCATTAAAAAAGAACTACAAGTTTCTTCCCGTTCATATTGCCTTGCTTTAGTCTATCCAAACCTGTTTGGATGCTCTCAAATCCGTTGAGTATTTCAATAGCAGGGAATACCAATTCGTTCGCCTGTATCAGCTTATTGAGGTAGTCTGCATGCCATTTGTAACTGCTGTCAAGTATAAACCTAGTTATTTGTTGGTTATGTGATATTCAGAGTGAAAATGGCGTACCTTTTCATTTCTATAATTTTGACATCCACACCATCGGGTATTTTGGCATCCTTTCCAAGTGTCATACTTGCTAGTGGCGCTATAACGCCGCCTCTTTTTAGTAAACGTAATGCTGCATTCGACGACTCAATACCGATCAAGTCAGCAACGTATTTGATGGAATTATTCGAGACAGCGTTCACTTCATCGACAATTTCATCGTATGTCTTGTTTGAGCGCGATATCGGAATAGCACCAAGACTCTCGACTAATTTGAGGTTTGTCTCTGATGCCACACCGTAAACATTCATTCCGGAACGTACGGCTAATTGAATGATGAACTTTCGGGAGGTTTAGAATAGATGTATTTATACCAAGGTCTAGCTTACCTGCGCAGTAACGGTACTGGCACCCCATACAAGTAAGCTATCAGGGGTATTGGCATCTATAGATATGTTGAAATAATGATGAAGAGTCATAGACGCCGTTAATGCAGTAACACCGAGAGTAGCTGCCTTGTCATAGGTTATAGTAGAAGGTATTTTAATGACGGTATGGCTCGGTACTACAATATACTCTGTCCTTTGTGAATTTATGTTGATCAACTAAAATTTTCCTTACCCTGGAATACGCCACCATCGATATACTTGTAGTATGTCGAAACCCATACGCGATCGCCCACGCTGAGAGTTTTACTAGCCTCTGCACCTGCTTCGATAACGATGCCACTTGCTTCCCTGCCTAGTGTCCAGGGATACTGGGGCAGGTTGAAGTTGTAATCAACAGACTTATAGTCGATGGTGTTCAATCCGGCTGCGATTATCCGCACTTTAACATTATGTGGGTTTCCATTCAGCTTTGGCTGTTTCCATTCACTTGTCAGCTTGTAAGTGTGTTTTGACTCGATGATGAGGGCTTTTGAAGCGCTGTTCGCATCTTCAACATTTACTAAAGCGTCTCTATTTTCCGTGATATGCATTAGTGTATAAGTTAGTAAATTTGCTTCAAGTAGGAATAAACCGTAGGATTGCTAATTGTCTCATTGATTTTCGTAATCAGGCACGTCATAGCTTATGGTGGATTGCAACGTGCTTATTGAAATGTAATATAGAGAAATTATACATTTATTTTTACATCTATGGTTTTGTACAATATGTAGCTGTGTATTGATAGTATGTTTATAGGATGACGAAAAACAACTAAAAGTACGAGAAGGGGTTGCTAGTAAATAAAGTAGGGTGGAACACCCATTCTACACTCTAACACCCTTCAAGAATAACAACCAAGAGTATAAATGCCACAAAGCTCACGAATTGACGAACTAGTCGCCGAATGGCTAAGATATGATAAGGGAAGTATTGAAAATTTCCTAGTAACTTCCTAATTTCCCCCTAGAATCCCGAAACGAGATCGGAGATAGAGCATCTCTGGGATGACGGCGAGTGGGACGAATTGGAGGCTAGATTAGGCCAGCGTATAGAATTTGGTACAGCTGGTGGGTTTATATATACTGTAGTATTTCCGTATCTTACACTACCAGGTTTAAGAGCCAAAATGCAGGCTGGATATTCCTCAATGAATGATTTGATTATCATACGTGGGTACTATCTACTGACAAGCAACGAGGCTCTAATCTCCTTTTAGAAGCCGCTCAAGTGTGTTCTTATCGGATCTGCTATCATTCTGACGACATTTCAGGGATTGGCAGCACACCTAAGCAAACTTCCAGACGCGCAGAAGAGAGGTGTAGTAGTGGGACACGACCACAGACACAACTCTAAGAAATGGGCTGGTCTCACCACGCGCGCCTTCCTCAGCCGCGGTTTCAAAGTCTACTCCTACAGGGGCGTAGTACACACACCACTCGTACCATTTGGAATAAAGAAACTCGGAGCAGTTGGTGGAGTTATGGTTACAGGTGTGTGCTACTATACACCAAACATGCCCCTCTGAATAGTTCCAGCATCACATAACCCAGCCCAGGATAACGGATGGAAGGTCTACTATGAGAATGCAGTACAGATTATCCCACCAGTTGACTCTGAAATCTCTCAATCGATTTTGGACAACTTGGAGCCAGAGGATGAGGCTTGGTCTTATGAGACTGTTCGCGAACATCCACTTTGCGAGGATAAGACGAACAATATGGTGGGTTACTCGCTTTATAAGGATGTTAATCTCATGAAGTACTAGCGCTACGAATATCACAACCATGTCGCAGCACTCTTTCCACCGTAAGTCTCTCCAAGAGCCGCATATTACTGTATAACACAATGTGACAGTGAAGAGCCTGCTGACTTGGCTATCACTCACACCTCATTCCATGGTAGCGCGTGGGTATAATTTTTGTTGCTTATATATAGCTCATAAACCACTCAGAGATCTCTCCATCGCTCGTGCCTTTGCGGTTACCGGTTTACCACCGCTTATGACTGTCAGACAACAACGGGATCCAGACCCAGACTTCCCGACTCTGCCGTTCCCAAATCCTGAAGAAAAGGGTGCACTTGTAAGTCTTAACGTGTCGGAAAAATCCTTCATTTAAACAAACCCATAGACACTCGCTATTGAAACTGCAAACAACAACGGCAGTCAGTACATTCTTGCTAACGACCCAGACTCAGACCGTTTCCTCGCTGCCGAAAAAGTAGAGTGAGTTTTTCTATTATGATATATGCAAAGCTCATTCTGCTTAGTCGCAACAAATGGCACATCTACACAGGAGATGAAATTGGTGCTATCTTAGCATCTTATATTATTGAAGAGTATAAGAATAATGGTAGAGCAATGGGTGAGTTCCTTTGGTCAGTTGGGCGATCCTAATGACAAAATAATAAGACAAAATGGCAATGGTTGCTTCCACTGTGTCATCCAAGATGCTTGGTGCAATGGCCAAAGCTGAGGGTTTCCACTTCGAAGACACTTTGACTGGTTTCAAATACATCGGTAACAAAGCTATCGAATTAGAGAAGCAAGGCTACTCAGTTGAGCTACTCTATGAGGAAGCTATAGGCTTTGGTGTTTCGCCATACATTAGGGACAAAGATGGTATTACAGCAGCCATCGCTTTCGTCAGACTGGCAGCAAGATTACAGAAGAGGAACACCTCAATATACGCACAACTGCAGAACCTTTACAAGAAATACGGCCACTTTGGTACTCGTAATGATTACTTTAAATGCAGCAGCAACTCACTTAAAGATCAAGTATTCAGAAACCTTAGAGAGAACAAGGTACGTTAGTTTTGCTCTTGGATGACGTTTTCTAATTTTATATAGACTGAGAATGGATACCCTGTTCAATTGGGATCATTCAAAGTCAGTAACGTACGTGACTTGACGGAAGGTCACGCGTACGATTCTCAACAGGCATCAAACAAGCCAATCTTACCTGTATCTGCTGGTAACATGATCACATTCTACGGTGATAAAGAAACTGGTGAGACGTTTGTGCTCACCATTAGAACATCGGGTACTGAACCAAAGGTAAGCCAGAACGGTACATTCTATTGAATACTTTAACACCATGCAGATAAAGTATTATTTGGAAGTTAGCAGCTCAGATCGTTCAACTATAGAGCCGTTGTTGATAGAAGCAGAGAAAGCGCTCTCAGAGGACTGGGTAAAGGTCCAAGAGCTGGGACTTTAGAATATCCGAGAAGTTGTAGTAAAATTACATTTATTTAATCAATCTAGAGATGAAATTTCTGAAAAATGGTTGTATGCTGCTCCTTGCAGATCTGTTATGATTTAGATAAGGAAATCTAAGTAAAAGAGACTTACGTAGCAAATCCACGTCCTCCTAGTCTATTCACACGTCTGGCTGTACGTGCATTGGAGTGTGTACTATAAATGATCAATATATGGTGTAAAAGAGGAAAATAAACGCACTTTTGACCTCTAACAGGCAAACCTTGACCATGTCTTCTACCCTTGTAACTACCAATTTGTCTGTGATGCTCAATATTCGATCTAACCTCACGCCTCAAATCAGCTTCAATCTTGAAGTCATGTAGGTAATGTGTGGTTGGTAGAGCAGGTGGAGCAGATAGGAAACTAGATAAGCTCGTCATTTGATGCTCAGGAAGCTGACCAATCTTTGCTTTATCGTGTATACTAAGGTATGCGCAGATACGTTCACTGGTGGGCAAACCAATACCGTAGAATCTAGTGAGAGCTATCTGAAAGCTAGTCAGATGGAGTAACATAATAGAGTATACACACTTTTACTAGCTTGTTGTCTGGTAAATTGACGCCTAGTAAGTAAACCATTTTTTTTAGCTTCACTTGGACGTTGAAGAAAACAACCAAGAAGTTGATAGAGATCGAGAAAAATGATAATAAAGTATTATAAGAGGATACAAACACATTTTAAAACGCTCTACTAGCTTTTTTTTTTATCAATTTCCTCTATCAGAGAAGGCGAGAAGACAGGAAGACGAGAAGAAGATAGGAAAACGTGGCGTACCATTGGGATTATCTGCACGAAATGATACTCTAGCTGCTATTTACAGTAACTAAGAGCTTCTGTGATGCATTTATCGCCAGATGAGGTCATTTTACACAATTTATATCGCTTTCACGGGTATACTAACTATTGGAAAGCTATGATACCTTCAATGCTACGACTTTAATACTCATACTCTGTCAATTTATCCCTCTAGTTGTGTAAACGCGATTGATATAGTACACTTTGAATTAATACAAGTGATAGACGAGAAGTGGATACATAGATTCAGGGAAGCTCGAAACCATATTTACAGAATTGCAACAACCAAGCGCCTGTTTATTTTATTCGTTTGAAAATTTTTTTGACAGGGCAAAACTACCTCTACGCAGTAGTTTTAAAAAGAAGTATGAAGAATTGAGAACTCGCGCATTGGTACTTATATTCTCTACCGTCGCATAAAAGCTATCCTACCTTCGTACCCTGAATATCAACTGTATATAATAGACTCCAGATTAAGCAGTCTTGGTTCTCAACCATGATGTCTACAGCTAATACAGAGGCTGAAAGAACTATCCGCATAGATGGAATCAATAGGTTGTGTGGGTGTTTTATATCTTGCTATAAATAAGTTAATATCACAGTCACTGACGAGACATTCTATGAGCTCTTTTCTAACGTTGGTGTGTAGTTGAGCTTATAAATACCTCCCTTATACGTTTCTAGGCCTCGTGGACTCCGTCTCTCTCCACTTCTCTCGTGGTGCAAATTCCGGATATGCACTTGTCGTCTTCAACAGAAACTGCGATGCAATGTCAGTAGAACACTTTCTAGAGTTGTATATAACCTATCCCAGGAGAGCGAGTGCATTGAATGTTATAACGTGCTGTAACACTACACTGTCGGTAACCTTCTACTTTTTTTATCCTCAACTAATCAGTCAAACAGCAAAATTACCTATCAGGAAAAGTCGTTCGATGTCTCCCCAAACATGGCGAGGTCTGATACACATGATCGTAAGAACCTCTACGTCCTCAACATTCCTTTGGACATGACTTCGGATGAGTTCAGAGACCTCTTTACTCCGTATGGTACTGTTACCCATGCCGTTATACTCGCGTAAGTACACTTCTGCTACATGTTTTGATTTATTCATTCCAAGCCCAGAATGCTTGATACCTCGTCTCGCAGACGCGGTTTTGTGTACGTTGAAATATCTTATCGTAGATCCTACAGTATAACGCTCGAAATAGTGACATGTCAACACCGAAAGAAGCTGCAGAAGCTTTGAATCGATTGAATGGAGCAGACATCAGGTGTGTATAATCATCTTCATGATAATTTTCTCTTATGTCATTAGAACATACCAGCTAGAAGTTTCTTATGCACTTGTTCAACGCTCAGGATGTAAGCCACTCATGTTTAATGTAATGTTTAATCCCCCTACAGACTCAATCGAGGACCGCACCAAGTCCAACCGTCCTGTTAAGCATCGCGTACCTGTGCTCTCCAGTCGTGTTGCCAAGGAGCCAATCAGTGCGCCATCAAATACCAAATTCGCATCATTGCCAGCTCATAAGTCTCTAATGGAGAGCAACTTTACTCCTGACTTTATGTCACGCTCATACTCACAACCTCAAGCTGACTTCAACCATGGTTTCAACCCTTATGTGTCAGCTTTTGCACCGAACGCAACGAGCGATGCATCGACATACCCTATTGAGCTTGTGAGTGGTTGTTTCAATAGTACTTTTTACTAAATTAGTGATCAGGCGAATCAAATATGCTTGGTAATTAAGAATTTGCCAATCATGATAGTTAAATCAGACGCAGAATTGCGCATGTTCATTCAATCGTTAGGACCAGTTGAGCCATTCAGGGGGAACATGTTTGCACTCCCTGATTCACTAGTCGCATCGGCGATCGTTACGTTCATGTCACCATCTGATGCAGCATTAGTTATGCACGCTATAAACGGTAAATACATCGGCGGCAACTTGATTGAAGTAAATCATACAACGAACACACCAAACAGAATCCAAGACATGGGATGGGTACCTGCGATGGAAGGACCTAAAAACGTCCGCAGAAGCGTTTCTGAGAAAAAGCCATTGAAGATTCCTGCATTTGGAGAAACACCTCGCTTCTTCAGTGCCCCGCATGATCGCTACACTTTTACGGCACCGATTCCACAAAATAAAGTGACGACTATAATCGGTGAAGGTAAGACATCATCCGAAGATCATTCCACTACTTCTTTAGAGTCTCTTTTAGAATGTTCAGAGTTGATTGATGAGCATAAGAGGGTAAGTTGTCATTGTTAATATCAATTTATACTAATGAAGCTGCAGCGTCAGATTCATACTTCAGAAACAGGCGATAGCTCATTCTTGGATGCTTCATTGTCGACTAATGAAGTCTCATCACCATCTAATGCAAGTGCAAAGAATTTTCTCATTCACGGGTCACCGTCCGTTGAATCACCAATATTTAACACGAGATCAACTACTGAACACATCAAAGATAAAGAGAATTATCCGATTATCGACCGCTCAAACTCAAGATTCAACATCGACTAAATTATTGCTGTAATAGTAACTATGTAAAGACACACTAGCAGAATTTCTATATTAAATAAAGATATCAATCAAAGCTGTGTAGCTTCGCCCGCTTGATGTCACGCTGGTATAGTTCTCTCTCGTCTGCCTCTCGCTTGTAGCTTTCCATCGATAGTTTGATAGCGAGCTCGACATCATCAGCCATAGTAGTAAGAAAAGAAGATATCGACTAGTAAATTGAAGGGTGTGTGTCTATTTAAATAATTTTCATCTCTCACTATCTTCACTAAATTGCTAGCTTACGTGTTGCATTCTAACTACCAACAATGGCGAGAAGATACGACTCAAGGACGACAATATTCAGTCCTGAAGGCAGGCTCTATCAAATTGAATACGCGATGGAAGCGATCTCGCACGCTGGAACTTGTATCGGTATTTTAGCCCAAGACGGTGTCGTTTTGGCAGCAGAGAAGCGTGTAACTTCCAAACTCCTCGATAAAGCAGAAGCATCAAATGAGAAGATATTCAACTTAAACTCTAACATTTTAGCTGGTGTCGCTGGTATAACTGCAGATGCAAACTCCTTGGTGAATTACGCACGCATGCAAGCACAGAAGTACCTTTACACTTACGACGATAATATCCCTGTAGAACAACTCACACAAAGACTTTGTGATTTAAAGCAAGGATACACCCAATACGGTGGTTTGAGACCATTTGGTGTTAGTTTACTCTACGCTGGACATGACATGCATCACGGCTTTCAACTATACCACAGTGATCCTTCAGGTAACTATTCTGGCTGGAAAGCCACCTGCGTCGGTGCAAACAATGGTACTGCACAATCACTTCTCAAGCAAGACTACAGAGACGGTGTGAGCCTCTGGTCAGCAGCTCCTAACCAACAAGATGAAACTGAGGGCTCAAAGTGTGGCGCTGTTGAATTGGCATGTAAGATACTCGGTAAGACATTAGACGCGACGACTATAGACTCAGATAAGGGTGAGTGGAAACCTTTCTAAACTGTCTCATTCTAAGATCCCTTTAGTTGAATTTGCTATATTAAAACTTGATCCAAAAACAGGTGAACCTAAAGGACACATTTTGAAAGCACCAGAAATTGATAAACTACTCGTAAAGTTCGGCTTATCGAAGAAGAAAGACGAAGAAAGAATGGACTTTTCATGAAGAGACACTCGTCATTTCCTCAGACAGTGGCTCTGATAACGATGACGAAATTGGGAACACAGGCAGCATACACACTTTAAACGCATCTTCCGATAGTTTCGTAGTCCCAAAGCTCGATAATGCTATACAGTTCATCCTATTTGTACAGGCGTGCGTTGAATGCTCATCAACACGCTCACGGATTGAAATCACCAACATTTTGACGAATTATTTGCGTATCGTTCGTAAAAATGATCCAGATGCTTTATTACCATCCCTCTGGCTATTTTCCTCGCAGCTTGGTCCACCTTATGAGCCAAACGAGCTCGGAGTCGGCAAATTGGTACTCAACGGTGCACTCAAGGACGTCGCCGCACTCTCACCCACACGACTCAAACAGCTTCACAACCGTCTGGGTGATATTGGCGATGTCGCATTCGAGGCGACCCGTAACGTCATTTCTGTCGTCAAACCGAAACCATTAACGGTCTCGCAAGTTTATGGGACATTCAAGGATATAGCTACACAACATGGTCCGCGTTCTGTAACAGCCAAGACGAACCTTGTCAAAAAGCTACTTGTATCTGCCAAAGCTGAGCAAGCGCGGTGGTTGATGAGGGCCCTTGTCCAGAATCTTCGCATCGGGGCTGTCCGCACAACGCTCTCACATGCACTCGCGAGGGCGTTTGCTGTAGGTACACCAATAGATCTTCCATCCGCTGAGAAGATTGTCAGACGAGTGTATGCGCGACACCCAAACTATACGACACTTGTGAAGGCTCTTCTCGACAGTGGACTCAACGAGCTGGAAATGAAGGTACCCGTGCAAGTTGGTACACCTGTGCAGCCAATGCTCGGTGCAATTACACGTTCACTAGCTGACGTTCAGACTCGCCTTCGTGGCCAGCCATTCACGAGTGAGGCGAAACTTGATGGACAAAGGTGTCAACTTCATGCTAGTTTGGTTGATAGCAAGCAAAAGAACGGTTGGACTTCACCCCTCGTACGCGATAATACGTATCTCTATGTGCGGCTATTCTCCAGGCGTCTCGAAGATATGACAGAGAAGTATCCAGATGCCGCGATGAGTCTTTATGAGATATTTAAGAATGAACCATCACTCAGCAGCATCGTTCTCGATGCGGAAATTGCAGCAATTGATGATATGGATAACATTAGGAGCTTTCAGGAGTTATCGAATAGGTCACGGAAGGCTGTAGATGTAGATGAAGTTAAAATACGCGTAGCTGTTTTTGGATTCGACTGTATGCTATTCAATGGTGAAACACTCCTTGATAAACCGTTCAGAGAACGACGGTCGATAATGCGAACACACGTGCCTCCGTTCAAGCCATCTTCCATTACCTATGCACCCTGGGACCATATGCCATCAATTGATGATACTGGCCTCGTAGAAATAAGTGCCTTCTTCGAAAAGTGTATGACGGTCAGTGTGACTATCTTCTCGAAAAATACACTAACGCATTGTAGATGAAAGCAGAGGGTATAATGGTGAAAGTAAGTATACATCTATTGGTGAGGCGTATTTAAAGGAACATTCAGCTGCTTGATTACTATGAGCCAACGGACACAGATGACGCCGTGAAAACTCGTAGAAAAGCACTTCCAGCGACATATGAACCCGACAAGCGAGCAGAGAGTTGGCTGAAGGTGAAAAAAGACTACCTCGAAGATGTTGGAGATAGCATAGATTTGGTGCCAATCGGAGCATGGCATGGGATGGGTCGGAAAAACCAATTTTGGTCGCCAATTCTATTAGGTGTTTATGACGACGACGAGGGAGCGGTAACTGCCGTGTGTAAATGTATGTCAGGATTTTCTGATGCTTTCTATAAAGCTATCGGTGAGCGCTATGCTGAGGGTTCGTCCAACGTCTCTAAGCATGCATTTCCTGGCGTTATAATTGGCGATACATCTCCGGACGTATACTTCCAACCATCAGAAGTATGGGAATGTCGAGGAGCAGAGTGGGTAGTAGCCTAAAACTTACTTTACCACTAACATTTGTTCAGCATCACACAATCACCGGTTTACCCCGCTGCTAAAGGACGTATAAGTGATAAAGGGCTTAGTATACGTTTCCCGCGTTTTATACGGGTTAGAGAGGACAAGGATGTCGAGCAGGCTAATACAGCTGCTGATTTAGCCAGTATGTACGAAAAACAGCAGTCTGGATAACGATTATTTATTATATTATTTGTATTATTCGTAAAATTGCAGCATGCATAATGTTTCTATAGTGTATATTACATGAAAGCTACTCCAAGTGGATCTTTCTCTTTGTTTGTCTCTTTGATTGGTTTGTTCGTCTCTTTGGTGCTCTCCTTGTTTTGCACACTTTCCTGTGCTATCTCATGTCTATTTTGCTGAATGTCACGCGTGTCTTCACCCTCATCGAAAAGCGTGCTAGAGTCGTAGTCGCTTCTCAGTCGCGGCGGAAGGTCCTTCTGATCATCAATGCGGAGGCCTCCGAAGCGAGTTTCAAAGTTGTTGTACTCATGCACTAGTCCCTGTCCGAAATTTTGTACTTGTGTGCCGATACCACGCGCAACACCCGCCATTCCACCCCAACGCCCGAGGACACTCTCTTTTTTACCAAAAAACGAGTCAAGTGTATCAAAGTATGGTTTGCCCTTCCCTTTTGCATTATCTATAATCTGAGGAGTTGTTTCTGGTTCTATTTCGCTATTGAGGTCTGTCCCCTGTCCGAAAACGGCGTTCCACCAGAGTATATCATCTACACGTGGGTAAAGCACGCCCATATCTTCCACTTTGTCATCCTCTGAATAATCTTCATTTGTGTATTTTGACATATTAGTAAGAATTTCATCCCAGACGCTCTCAGTCGCTTCAACGACAGGTACGCGGTGCTGACCATCGAGTGGATCGACCATCATGCGCTCGCGCTCTGAATCTACGAGGAATGAACCGATGTCACATGAGTAAACTTTTTCTAGGAGCACTCTCAGAAGATCCTCATTGTACTCGAATCTACCTGGGTTTTGGCGGATAAGTTGCCAAAGACAGTCAAGGAATTGCAGGAACACAGGACTGACTTCCTTCAAACGTGACCCGAAAGTACGCTCTGGTGGTGGTTCCTTGACGCCATCGACGTAGAATGGCCTCTCGACGACTGTATGTCCGCATCTCTCGTTAAATTTATGTCCAAATGCCAGGAAATCTTTTTCAATGAGAACAATCAAACCTCTAAGTGTTCTAAAGTAAGGATCAAGACATATTTGAGCGAGTGCGGCAACTTGTGATGTGCGATCCCATCCCTGTGTGCTATGTTAGTGTGATGTTTACAAAAGAAGCTCAACCCACATCTGAACAGTGTACCAGAACATGAGAGGAATGAACGTGAATATTACGAACAGTGAGAAGCGTCCCACTGAGTATAACTGCAATATGCTTGAGGTATCCACTCCGCCCGACGGCAACTCGGTCGACTTGACCACCGGGAGTGTTTCCAAAACCAACTGCATCAACGACACGTGTGTAGGCATCACGCACGACGTGTATATTTTCAATACCGAGGTAGACTTTCTGGCAACCTGGATAGTTGTCCATATTCTCTGTACCTGCACCCTGGGCACGCTGTGCCATTGCATTTGTTGTCGGACGTGCGTCTACAATGATATTTGTTGCTGTGGCTCCGTGTGCTTTGGTATCTCCTAAATGTGATGTAAAGAGCGCTTCAACGAGCTTCTCATCCTGGATGCTCCTGTTGTTTGTGAGACCAACCAATGGTTGAGCACAACGCGTAATAGTCGCCCGATTATTCCAGTGGTGGTACGTTAGAACAGGTAGACGCTGACGGGACCTATATCTCGCTGCGTAGTTAAGTACGTTATCCGATATCTTGGTGGGAACTACGAGAAGAGAGGGGTATGTAGGGCAGAGCGTGTAGGATTTGTTGATAGATGTTGTTCTCCATGCTGGATTATCTAGTACGCCCTGTCTTCTAAATTCATCGGTTGGATTGTATATCGACCATCCAGAAGAACGACCTTTGTAAGATTTAAAAGCTGGTAAATCATAAATAGATAGTGCTATATCATTGTAAGCTTGTATTATTTCTTATAAGCTCACACACCTGCTAATTCCTGAGAAGAACGCTTTAGGCTAGAGAAATACTCCTTTGAAATAGACTGTGAAGAGAACGACAGAGTATATTTAACGAGGTTACGACATCCAACAGTGAGTTTAATACCTTCTAAGCTAACGAATTGTATCGCTGGTGTTGCTATCGTTAGTCCAATTGAGAAAGTGAGCAGATCATTATCAAAATCAACGTTTGTATCGCAATCTAAAGCATTTCCCTTGAGGTGAACAGCCTGGAGCTATTTAATTACACTCTATGTTGGCTGACTAACTCACTGTCATTAGGGCACCTCAATGTAGTTAAACAAGAATATAAACGTGTGTTAATTTACAAAATCAAGTACTAAGTGTTCAGATGTGGCTTATTAGCAGCTATCCAGCTATCTAGCTGTCTCCAGAAGTTTGATACGAGTGATTTATCGGTGTGTCGTTTGTCTTTGTCGATCTGGAGGGTGAAGTTAGTGGTGCTAGTAAGTTTATGAAATACTGCGACTAACAGCAAAAGTGGATACATTCCAGTCTCTAATATTCGCGTTTATTGGTTCGTTTGAGTAGTGCATGTAAATGCCTTTAACTGGTGGTATTGTTAGACAAATCTTGAGATTCAAGCACATAATACCAACCATTTCTGAATAAATCACGTGGATCAGACCATTTATATTGTTTAAACTGCCATAGCTGACCTGTAGTAAAAACAGCGACGACTCTTTCCCATGCATCTGGACCAAACTTATTGAGAGTCTCTACCGAATTAATAATATACCACTTTGAAGAATGCTGTGAATTTTTTGTTCTGTATACGGTTATCAGATCATCGGGTGAATCGTTAGATTGTTTCGCTTGTTGAGTTGTTTGGAAAGTGGCGTCTGAGAGGAAGGATTTAACGTTAAATATCGATATTAGAGAAGTAGGAGAGGATGGTATGATAATGATTGGTGACATATTCGTGGGTTTCTTTTGTTGAGTGCTGCTTGATTGCTGATGTCTTGGTTTGTTGAAAGAAGCTAGTTTGTTAGCTACTGACTGCTGTATAGATGAATAATTTAACTGTTTATCAGCTCTCAAACAGGTGAGTCTATCGTCAAGATCGATCTCATTCTGTTTAATCTTCTTGACAATCTCTCTATCTTGTTGGTTCGTGACAAAGCGTTTCTTATTAGATGAGCTGTCCTGTATGTACTTATGGCTGTCTGTCACTCCAGTGAGATAATCAATGATAGACTTCCTATCTAAAGCGGAAATGAAAGGAATGTTCGCATCTTTTGATAATTTGACATAATCGATGAATGGTTTGTCTTTATAATTCAATAAGTTAACTAAAATGTCCAAAGTAAGAAACTCGTCATTGAGGTATAGTTTAGTTTTCTGATCTTTATTGAAAGGTGTGTTGTCTATTAAAATGCTGGTAGAATCCTTTAAATTTTCGACGAAATTATTTTCAAGCTTATATTTGATTTCTCTATTCAATTTGTAGCATTCTCGTATTTTCACTAGTGGATCCATGGTCGAATTCAATCAGGAGTTGGACTTTAGGTTTTCTATAGAAAGTAATGGCAAATTAAAATTAAATGAATTCAATAAAATATTACCATCGACAAACACTCTATCTAGGCACTCACATTACAATCCTTACACTAAAAATTTGTTAGACATTTCAACAAAAGATAGCGCATACTTGATATCACCAACAAACGAAAATAACGAGTGTCTTAATATAAACTACCTCTGTCGCTACAATAACATCTCTATCAACCTTAATAGCCCGATACTACAACTAAAAGCGACAAAATCAAACACTCTCCATCGTTCACGTCTAGTCAGCAACTTATTGGCCATAAAATGTCAATCAAAGGTTATCTTTTACAATCTTCACAAGAACAATCTCACGGAGGTACTCAATTGGAACAATCCGCAACCAATTTCTGACCTCTCATGGCTAGACTACAACTGTCTGCTTATAGACAACATAGACAATGTCTACAAGTTCTCCTATAGTCCTAGATTGAAGAATCCTTTCGAATTACATCATCTCGTTTATCAGCAGCCATTTAACCAGTCATTTGATTATCGCTTTAGAGCAATAGATTTTAGTCCATATGATAGGCAGGCTAATAACTCATGCCTCACTGCCAACAACCACCAACTCAAACTGGTTGATTTTAGAGTCTGTCTTCACTTTTTTGTTGTTTCCCTTCTAACTATCAACAGTCACCTAACCCAACTGTATTACACTCTACAGATGCAACCATTACCCATCTTAAAGGTGTTTTAGATGCTACAAATATTGGTCATTACACTTCTTCGCTCACAACAACTAAAGATATAAACTTCTTCGACATTAGGATGTTCAAAGATAGTTTACTCACTATAAAACATCAAAGAGCGTACGATAGATCACTCACACTTGACACTATAGATACAGGTGACACCGTCTCCGCACTTCTTTTCTCTGCGAATCACCCACTCTTATCAATCTACAACATAAGCAACAAAAAGGATTTCCTCCAGATGGTAACACCGCCATATTCCCACAAGCTGCCTTATGCACCAGCTGGCGGTCATGCAGTCTATACCCGTGGCGAGGAGCCCGGCTACGACGTTTTCATACGTAGCCAGGGAGGCTCGCTCTGCGTCGCACCACTGGCATTCGAGGAGGTGGAGCCACTCGATATCCGCACTGATCCTTCCGTCTGGGCACTCGAAGTTGACGCTTACTTCGGCGACGGATTGGACTCCCTCCGCGAACATACGCTGCGGGATCTTACGCGGAGCTGGGATGCCATCGCGAGTGCAGAGAAGAGTTCGCAACCAAAACGCGCACTCAGCGACCGAGGGATCCGCTTTGACGCTGGGCTCTATGCGGAAGTCGACAACGAGCCGGGATGGACATACGACATACCAACCTCTCTACGTCCACCTAAACCTGTGGAGGTATACAACGACGATGCCTGTGAATCCGTCAATTCGGACCTTGAGGGATCCTATACTATCCTCGCGAATAAGCATCCTGGGCGTGCTAACACTGGTGGACTCGTTCAGGAGCTCACGCGAGCCGCCTCAGCGATGGGTATCCATCCAGTCGCACCAGAAGCACACCAATTTAGCATTATGCCACAGCAAGACATTTCGACGGCTGCCAATGCACTTCTCTCGGAGTGGAGTCTCGGCAGTGATCCTGTAACATACCGCTATCGCGATCCCTATGACTCCGATAGCGAAGATGAGCGACCTCTGCTGCCGGAGCCAACACCTTCGCAGGTACCCGTCAAGCAGCGTAGACCACCTGTGGTGGCATCCACTAAAGAACCACCTGCTGTGCTTTCACAACAACTCGTACAGTCCCAAGCGAGTCAGCCTAGCCAATCCAGCCAATCTCAACCATTTATGCAGACCCAGGTCGCTCCTGGCAAGTTTGGTGCTCGTCCCGCTCCTCCCAAGAAAAAGAAAAAGCGCGTCGGCGGATTCTAATCTAAACTTTATAATGTACGATAGTCAATGTATTATACAACAAACAATCTAAAATTAATAATTAGGTGTAGGATTTTTAATGTACTTCTAAAACTGATAGATGTTTACTGGCGAACAGTGCGACGTTTAACTTCGCGAGGCTGAGCAGACGACCGCGTGCGCGGAATGTTGGCAGAAGTGGCTCGTAGAGGAGCCCTCCGTACCCTGGTTGGTGGTTTGTTCTTGGTGGTATCCTGGGTACTTGTACTAGTGTTCGTGCTGTCCTTCATATCCTTACTTTCCGTATCCTTCACCTCTTCTTTTGCCTCATCTTTCATTTCGACATCCTGTGACTCCTTGAAGACCTCCCTTTCAAGGCTCCTTAGTGTATTTGCAAAGGGTGGTGGCTTGACCGCCTCTACGGTGTAGGCTTCCTTGCGAGGCGACATTTCGGGCGGAGCAGAACCCTGACGTTCATCTACGTGCGGTTGGTGCATCTGCTCGTCGAAGCTCCTTGAACGTTTAGGTGGCACACCCATGACACCCTCGAGGACTTCTTCTCGAGTGCGTCCAACTTGCATTTCATAGGTCATTTCGCCAATCCATTCACGTTTGGCAGGGATACTAGCCTCTGCGCCACTATGCACGCCTTTGCTGTACTCTTCGAGGGCGCTCTCTATTTTGCAAAGGATATCCACCACTTCAATGCTATGGTTCTGGCTACTACTGGTTGAATCCTCAGTGAGTGTAACCAAAGTACTCGTTTGCTTAGCAAGATCTTCCTGAAGGCCATGCAAATCACTTGCGAGACTGTCGAATGCCCTAGCGGTATTCGATGTCGTCTCACGCGAGAGTCGGTCGTATGTTTCATGGAAGGTACTTATACGAGCACGGGTACGGTCGCACGCAGCAACAATGGCCTCAACGTCAGCCTTGCCGCCTTCCATAAGCTTGACATGGGTCTGCTGTACAATAGCCTTGTTATCAGTGAGTGCACCATCGACGCCCTTCTTGACATCCCGCAGAGCGGCTTTGACGCTTTGCCAAGCAGACTGCTGCTTAGTAACTTCATCCCGCGTTGCTTGCGCATGGTTCGAAGAATTCAAAGTGAGTTCATCGACAATAGCTAAGTTCTTCTCGCGAGACGTGCCAGCTATGGAATGCAACTCCCCAAGCGAGGTAGCAACAGGCGGTATAGAGCTCAAGGAGGCGAGTTCTTCTTCCCGCATCGCGTCAACAATTCGAGTAACCTCTCCCACGAGTCGTTCTGATCGCCTAAGAGCGGAAGTTGTTTGAGAATTGTGGTATGCTTCCAATTTAGCTTTGTTGTTTTCAAGTGCAACTGTGGTCTCCTTCGCGTATTCTTCGAGATTGCTATAAAGTTCACCGAGCTTGACAACATCGTCTTCCATTGAAACAATTCTTTTTTCAGATGATGCGCGGTATTCACCAAAAAGTTCGTCAATCTTGCCGTCGAACTGGATTTGCGTTAGAATTTCAAAACGTCTGAAGATAGGCACTCACTCCGTTCATTTCCTTTGTGAGAACCTCAGTAAGTGCTTCGCTGAATCTTGCGCTCGCAGCATCGAGATCCTTAACAACAGTCTGGAGTGTCAGGTTGACATTTTCGCCAGCCCTCTGTATGGCATCGGTGGAAGCTACACTCTCAGTACCATTATCACTTTCCATTTTCGACAAGTGCGATATAGCATCCTGCATTTTGGCTGCAATATCCCCTAGAGTACTCTTCGCGAGAATAGGGATACCTTCCAATGATTGCACGAATTGTGATTTCTGAGACTGTACATCACTCAAAACTCGATCGACAAAGGTAGTGTAAGCCTGTGCTTTGGTACTACAATCTTTGATTGTCGCTGTTGCATCTGAATGGTAGACCCTCAAGAGTGTTTTATCTGCTTCTTCCTGAGCCGTCTTTTCATCTATACCCCTATCAGAATTATTTATCAAACAAAAGATAACTCACTGAGTATTCCATGCATCTGCTCCAATTCGCGCTGTCCACTACGTGCGTGATCGAGCCAAGACGACGCGGCCGCGTAGTTTACCTTCTCGCCGTGTGCACGTACACCACCGACGACGCGCTCTTCTTCGAGTTCCTTCTTGACAACCTCGAGCTCCTTCTCGAGTTTGGCTATGGTGTTCCGCTTAATGATTATTTCGTTATCTGCGAGATCTAATTTTTGTAAAGTGTGAAGATGTTCGCGCTCAGTAGCGACGAAACCTTCACGCTCCTTGTCGCACTTCTCTTTGTTCTCCTGGAGGTACTCAAACTGATGGACTTTGTCTTTCGTAAACCACATGCCATTATTCTGTTCGACGCTAGCGCGGAATTCAGCCTTTAGGCGGACGTTTTCAGCGACTAGATCGTTTATGTACATGTTTTTTGAACTTTTTTGCTGGACTTGTGGCTTATTCTCAATACTCTTCGCGCGGAGTGCGTAGTCTAACGTCGAAAGTGTTTCCTCTATGCTTGCCTTACTTGGTGAAATTGTAGCGATAATGAATGTCTTGGTTTCACCACCGAGAGAATCTTGCAGTAGTCGCGTAAGTTTTGAATCTCTGCGGATATGTCAGATGGGGAATGGTATTACATACTCCACACTAACCTGTAGGGAATATACGACTTGTCAGCTGCTTTGTCACTCAGTTTCTTATTCCTGTTCTTGTCACTCCTCTCAACGAGACCATTGATAACACGTCCTAGGGCTAACAAGCTAGCATTGATGTTTCCCGCTTCACGTGCACGCATATCTACCGCACCACTGCGCCCTATATTCTCACTACCAGCCAAATCTACTAGATTGAGTTTACCAATCCGGACAATCTCGTCGCCCCTTTCTGAGAAATCCTTAATATGTACTGTGATCGTGAATACAGAATGAGAACGAGACGAGTACTCGTTGCAGTTCGTCGATGCGATCTTCCGGCGTCGGCTGCCTCTCTCAAAAGCCTCGAAAGCCATCTCTGCAGAGTCTACCAGTGTTTCTTCTAGACCTTGTATGATTACACCTCCACGTCCTTTTGGATCACCAAACATTTTGAGACCTTCGCTGGCTACGCTTGGTGGTTTGTAGTTCAAACTGAGTAAGTCGCGTAACTCTTCATTGTAGAGCTCGATATAACTCACGCGGACACTACATTCTGCCTTTGCGTGTTCCAATTTGTTAAAAATACTATGTAATGCGCGTGGAATAATGCCTGCACCATCACTAATATCGCCTCTATCCTTATCGAGCGTGTCTTTTTCATCCATAGCCATGGTATACGTCTTCCCGGTTCCTGTCATACCATAGGCAAATATCGTGCAGTTGAAACCTTGAAGCATTTCGTCGACGATTGGAGCACCGACGTCTGCATAAACCATAGCCTGGTCTGAGTGATCACCGAAAACGTGGTCAAAAGTGTATGTCTTCTGTGTTGTAGTTGAATGTGTGCTGTCTATCGTCACGCTTTGCCCGCGTAGTGCTTCAGTTGATAATATCTGATTCTCACCGGGTTTGAGCGGCCTACAGCGTACAGCTACCTGTATATTATTATTCTTGCTCGCCATTTCTTTGCTTTTTGACGCGCGTTTTGATATTACTAGACCTGTTCTCGGCTGTTCACTTAAAAGAGAGAGTACGCGTCAGGAGGAAAGTGAAATAATAAAAAACTCGGAAATAAATGAATGAGTTGTTATAAAATAAATAATTCGCGTCGTGTCCTTGTAATAGTCCTTTTTAGGCTCTCTCACAACGACATTCATGACTGTGACGAAAACGCTGACGATTACGGTTGATAAAGCATATCTGGAGGACGTATGTGCTGGGATCCTCCATAGCATGCTATTCCAACGCACACTGGGTAACTTCAAACCCAAGGAGCTCGCTGTGCTCGACGTGCCTATGCCTGCGATAGAGAGTGCGTCTATCGGGCAACTCGTACAACGCTACGCACAGGAGCTCTCTGCAACGAGTACAGATAGGGGTGTCCTCGCACTCGTCCTCGCAGAGACGCAATCCCGGCGCACAAACCATTGGTTCGGCTTTGGGGAGCAAGAGACAACGACGCAGGTGCCTTGGGAAACCTGGATAGTTAACTTCAATATCCTCATCAGCAAAAGTGAGAATCGTAGGTTATTTTGTTATTATTGAGCGATGTGCCACCTTCTGACGCAATCGACAGATAAGCAAATCCTCTACACAAATACCCAGAATGATCTCCAGAAGGCTTTACTACAAATCCTGGCATTTGCAGATGAACGCAAGGATCATATTCCACCAATTATGACGGCCGATCTCACGCCATTCCCGTTCCACATTGTCGTCAATCCACCAGAGGGACCTCCAACGCGGAGTGGTAGCCCGCAGAGTTTAGCCGTCGCGGAAGTAAATAGAGTACTCAGCGGAGAGAAGCATCAGTCACCAAATTCTTACTTCAGTGCACCACTGCATTCTATAGCTAAGCGGATCACATCGTCGAACAACTCGGAAGAGAACCACTAGGGAACATGCTATTATAGTGCCATTACAGTGCTATTATATGTATTTTTACAGCTTTGTTTGTAATCTCGATTATGACGTTATAACTTTTGATAGTACTATCTACTTTATTCCGTACCAGATTGCTTCCAGAAGCGAGGGAATCCCTCAGCTGGGCGCATCGATAGGTCATAGTTTGGCAGTGAATTCTTTATTTCACGCTGCATCGACTGTATCTGGTACTTTATGCGATCCTATAAAGTCAGTAATCATAATTGCAGTATTATACACTCACAGGATCACTCTCCCATCTGTTCCGTTCGAAATCCATCCTGAACCATTTCAACGTCTCGTAGCGAGCTTCATCGAAGGGAATTCCTAGATTTTTACTTCAATCCACTAGAAAAACGCTCTAAAGAAAATCCCACCTCTTGTCCCTCGTATCGCCTTCCTGTATAAACTGATTACCTGGGATTTGAGCATAAACTGGTACCATTAGAGAGTATACGATTGTAGAGAGAACAACCTACGTGCTCCAACCTGAGCGCAAACTTCTCCTTTCTTAGAACTCCAGCTGGTCTCATGGATGTTCCTCTAATACGTCCACTATGGAGGAATACAAATTATCGATACCAGAATATGCCAATGAAGAGCGTTTACAGCGCCTGAAATCGCTTTATTCGGATTTTACACGTCTTAGAGACACAAATGAACGTGGATATTACGCCAATATTTCTTGGTGGAAGGGCGTACTAAACGGTGGCTTCTCATTAATCGATGGTTTGACGTTTAGATTTGATGATGCATACCTGCGCATATGGGAACATACAACTCTGGGTACTCCACATGCACTTGCAGCCGTTATCGTGCGTGTCTTTCTTTCAATTTGATAATACTGACATAGGTAGCCAGAATAGCATGGTAGATGATGGTATATTATTACCACTCACAGAATTCCTTTCCAGTCAGTCAAATACGCTATCGAAACAGAAGTCACTTTTAAACATGCCCCTCGAGTGGCTTTTCTCCAGTTTGGGACTGGGACAAGACGAGGGCGCCCATGATGGTCACTCTTTGTTTGTTAAAGCCAAGGGCAGCTACATATTCAAAGACCGTGTGCGTAATCTCGCAGACAGTCTCGTTGACGAACATATGATCGAGCCATCGACACGGAGGTTGTACAGTCGGCGTGATTTCTCACGCAAATACTCCCTTAATGGCTTAGATACTGAAGTTGTCTTAAAATGGCTAATAAATGATGGAAAAGTAATCGTCGATGGTGACGCAGTGAAGTTTGTCATCGAACCATCCGAGAAGATTATCAATAAGGTTGATATGGGTGTTATAAGCATGAATAGTGCACTTGGCAGTATATCATCTCAGGTCGACGAGCTCGAAAGGGAGATAAACAGGTGAGCGAATCTCAATCTATGTCTTACTACTGCTTACACGTCCAGACATAATGAAAACATATCAACACATATAAAGAACAAAGAAACTGACAAAGCCAAGCGTGCTCTCAGATCACGCAAAGCCCTCCAGGAGCTCCTCAGCAAGCGCCTTGATAGCAAAGAGAACCTTCAGGGAGTGTTGCTTAAAATAGAGCAAAGTGTAGGCGATATTGAGGTATGTTGCAGCTTCTTTGTCGATCTCATCTTACATGGCATAGATTATGAAAGCGTACGAAACTTCAAATGATACCCTCAAGACGCTCCTTAAAGCCCCAGAATTGGACAGAGACAGGGTGGAGAATACGATGGACAGCCTCTCAGATACTCTCGCAGATCACAACGAGATTGAACAAGCAATTGCTCGTCCTGGCGGCGCAGAAATTAGTACTGAAATGGAAGATGAGATCGAAGCGGAATACAGGCAACTCTTTGAAGAGAGTAAGAAGAGCGAAGAGACTGTGGAGGAAACACCACAGGAACTTCCATCACCACCAACTAATGAGCCACTTGAAGACAAAGTTGCACTGACGAATTAAGTGATAATTTATGCATATAGAATAATACAGAGAAATAAGTATCTAGCGGGCACTTTCTTGACCTTTCCTGAACGCCTCTTCGGCTATACTGACTTTTCCTGCTACTTTCTGCCAGTATTTGAGATTTTTCACCACTTTTTGCTGCTGTCTATGTCTGGAGAGACCGTCTTTGACGGAGGTGTGGAGTTCACTAGGAGCCTGGAAGCCATCGAGGAGATCCTTAGGAGGTGCGACCTTTGGAACTTCTCTATTCTCTCTGTTGAATTTGACTTGGTCAAGGTGTGCCTGCTTCTTCTCAGCCCTCATGCTGTTGTGAGGTGGAAGAACGTTATGGAGATTGTCTGTGGAGGCTTCCGAGAATTGAGCAGGTGTGCTCTCAGGTGTATACCAGAGCCACTGTGAGTGTGCTATTGCCTTTGTGCCATCCGGGAGGGTGACTAAATTTGATTTATTCGATAGCTTTGGGAGTGGTTGGCTGCTGTTGACCTTTTCTAATCTAAGCGAATGTTTCTTTACTATTTTGTGGTTGTTTTCCAAGTTCTTCAGAAGCTTCTGCTTGAGTTGACTGGGGTGGTGATTAGTGAGGGATATAAAAGCTATAGGAATACGCACGTCATGGAACCAACGTCTGCATTTAGTTGCTTGTATATTTGCTTCGTGTGTACGCCGTTGGCGCTCTTAACGATGTCGACTACCTTCTCAAACATCGCAGTTCTCTCTTAAGAATCGACAGCCATGTTGATTAAGGTTAAAGTAGGTTTATCAACGTATATTTCATTTATATTGATTATTTTAGACGCTCACAGGTAAAGAAGTGCGTAGATTACACATCCGTTGATTGCTTTAGTTGACGTAGCTCAGATGTGAGTAATCGTATAGACGATTAGTATCAAAGCTAAACAGCTACAATAGCGCACTGGACGTAGATACAGAGGACAAAGTCTATAGAATAAAGGAAAGCGTCGAGGAGAAGGAAGGTATCCCGCCAGCCCAACAGAGACTTATTTTCTCAGGCAAACAGATGTCAGTATAGCCTATAGTACTTTCCACACTCTCACACTCCGCAGGGCAGATGAAAAGACAGTCAAAGAAGTAAACATCGAGCCAGGCGCAACCATCCATTTAGTTTTGGCACTGCGCGGTGGTAAATAAATTCATTAATACGTCATTTATTCTCTCATTGACTCGTCACCCTTGAATGCCTGCTTATATTAGAAAGGACACACGCAAGAGCTAAAGAACACGTACATCATCTTCGTCATCCTCCTTATCAGTTAACTCTGCCTTCTTACGCGCGTCTGCTGAGCTGTAATCAACCTTTGAGCGCGTTCTTCTTGATCCAGTGTCGACGATTGCTGAAGGGTCGATTTCAGCCATATCTTCATCCTCAAAGTCGTCATCAACTTCATCGTCGTTGTATTCGTCATCGTCTTCTTCATCTTCTTCGTCTTCTTCTTCGTCTTCTACGTTTTCCTTACCCTTGCCCTTGTTCTCAACCTTTTCTGGGCTGGCTTGTACAGCTTGAGCTGGTTGTCTACAAATTACGCGTTAGATTTACGCGTAACCTATTTCTTTATATTTATATCCACTCACCCAACTTCGTTCTTCTTCTCTGCAAGGTCTGACATTTTGAAACTTGGTCGTCCTGAAGAGAGAACTAAACACGGGAAAATAACTCATCAAAAGCGCGTCTTTAGACTGGCATGTGAAAATTAATTACAATTTCTTTAATATTATAAGTTATTACTACGGCTGCTCTTTAATCACAAACGATGAGTTACTTCGATAAAGTTAAAGAGCAGGTCGGTGAACTATCTAGTTAGCTGACAATACAACTCTAACAATAACACCTCAGAAAGGACAGTTGTTTAACAACGTTACAATCACAGAAAAGGGTGTCAACACAACTGAGTTCCTCGACGCAGCAGCAGTTGTAGTCCAACTATTTGATATACTCGGCAACAAAGCATTCTCAGTCGTACAAAATGACCTTTTGGGTAACATTAAAGTATCTAGATGCTCTTATTTACATTGTATATCTTCTGACGTAGCACTCAGAAAGTGCGTGACAGACACGACGCAGAGCCATTGCGCAGCGGCACACTTGAAGAGCTAGTCGCCGCTGAGAATCTCGACAAGAAAACAACAGCCACTCAGGGTCTCGTATGGTTATTGAGAGGTCTCGAATTCACATACAAGGCACTCCTCCGTTCACTCAGGAACCCAACCGAGGAACTTTCGGAATCCTTCTCCAAAGCCTACGAAGATAGTCTCAAGAAATTCCACAGCTTCGTCGTCAAGCCAATCTTCAACGTGAGTCCACATACGTCATAATGTCTCATCAAAAACTCATAACCTTCAGCTTGCGATGAAAGCCTGTCCATATAGAAAGGATTTCTATGAAAAACTGGGTGGTGATCCAACAACAGTTGAGATCGAACTTGGTGATTGGTTGTCTGCGCTCGAAAAGCAGGTCTTGCAAGTGCAAGATTTCATGAAACAACATAATTACGACAAGGGATTATAAGTGTCTAGTTATACCATGCATTTCCTAAATACTTAGAGACTTACTTATATCGACGGTCATAACAGTGTCGAATTTGGACTATTGATTGATACCAACGCCTGAATGAGCTTGCAGTATATCTATGGTTTACTCGTACATTCGTTAACCTGGAGTGGCCTTCATAGGAATCACCTTGGATTTTTCATGACCATTGATGAACTTATAAATGATATAAGCTCGTAATAGCTCTGCTTAGCGCTAAACTTGTCAGATGTGGTTCTTCTTTTCGTCGGCTTTTACCATACCCAGTAGAGTGTCAATGGCGCCCTGAGAACATTGTTGAACTGCTGCTTGGTGGATTCGCCCTGTTAATTATCAATTAGACGCTTCGAATGTGCGTCTTCTACTATATAAGTTGAGAGGCAAAGAGAGCTTGGAAATTTTGTTGCTGACGACCAGATGCACCTCCAGTTGCTGAGAGTTGGGCACCGTCGCAAAGATAAAGGCAAGTATAATGCGGGTGTCCAAACCGCCGATAGTCTTTTATAGAACCCATTCTCATATATTCGACATATAGTGCATGTACCTCATTTAGAAGAGCCTATTGAAGGTAACACAGTACACTGATACTTTGGTAGTCTTTTCTGCAGAGCACTTTGGTTGATATGATATGTAAACGCTAACTTCATTGAGCAGGCATTGATAATCGAGCTTTGCTAAAATAAGTCAAATATGAACAAAATAATGAGCTCTTATAGCTATCGACAGACACCAGAAAGTAACTTTACTCCTTATTTGTACCGTTTGTTGACGTTTCAGATTGTCCGGCTTGGCAATAGAGTGAGTATAATCTCTCTTCTCGATAGATTCTTAGCTTATCATTAATTTGTTTCTCAGATGTTTGTTATCCTTATATAAATAATATAATTCATCAGCATTAGTGTAACAAAGTACTCGAAAGTGTTGTGATCATAAAAGAATGAAGATATGAGGTGCGGAAGATATTAAACCCATCGCGATACCATCAATTCCTTATTCTTGCACACTTTATAACAAATAATGTCTCTCTACCTGCCCGTCTTGATATCAATATCTTGGCATCGAATGAACCGCTGCTATTGAGATTCTGGCAGATATCCTGTGGATTATTCTGCCGTATGGCGACAAGATACATTACACCGTTATCGCTTAGGAGATTCTATAGATATTTCTTAGTAGATCTTCATAGAAGAAAAATCACTCACGTCCAAATTTTCGAGCACTTTATTCGTAAGATCCATACCAATGTTTCCACCCGCCCAAGCACCTGAAATGTCCTGATTTTGTTGGGCTAAGGTACTTTCCTCGTACTCTGTAGGAACATAGGGTGGATTGAACAGCAATAAGTCCACACTACGTGGAATACGGATATTGTCATATAGCGATGCCTGTATGACATCCAATGTATGCTTTTAATTATTATTAGCGAACTTTCGTCATCTAAGATAAGCCTACACCGTTTTGTACTCCTGTCCGCCGTGTGCAGCTTGCGGCATACGGGTTTATATCGCTGCTAAGATATAAGGTGCTAGATTTCAATATGCTAGCTATAAACGCAGATACGCATCCACTTCCTGGACTGATGGATGTTAGAGATAAATATACTATGTAATACATTACATACCCAATTTCATAGCATAAATTCGGTCTATTGCGTTTTATTTCTTCTACGTCCTCCTCTATTGCGTCTAATAGGATGAATGTATCTTCTACAACAATTTAGTGTCGAAATACAATAAGATAATACACACCAGCAGGCTCATAGACTTTATCATAATCTGATGCTTTCAAATGTGAGAGATCCGGTGTAGGGATCATCGACGCAGCTTGTAAGAAGACACTCACCATCTGAGATGAGCACCAGGACGTCATTCTTCGAGGCGAGAAAAGTAGCCCCTATATATGGTGAGTTGGCTGTGTCTGGTGTTTCTTATATTCACGCTCTTCCTATAGATTTACTAGAAGATGGTCACTATAGTATTGCATCCCGGCAATGCGAGACTTTACTACAAAACAAGCCAGACTGGGAATTAGTTAGGGCTTTATTAGCATTCTCCTACTGTAGATCTGCCAGGACAGATGATGCACGGAAGATTGCTTACAACTTGGCAGACATAAAGCCAAAAAACAGTGATACGATGGCTGCACTCAATTTAACACTCACTGATCTACGCGCATACGACAAGCTTGCAGAAATGTACAAACTTCTCTGGGAGCAGAATGGCTCTATCAATGATAACAATGGTAGACTCACTGCTATGGCTTACATTAAAGCACAAAACTGGAAGGGAATGCAGAGTGTTTCTATGCGTCTCTCGAAAGTTTCACAGAATGCAAACAGCGTCAAGTTTACTTGGTGGACGATAGCTGGATTATTCATGCAAGCTCAAACTGCTAAGAATGAGCAAGAAAAGTCGCTAGCATTCACATTAGCATTGCGGTTAGCTGATAGTGTCCAGTGTCAATCTGATGAAGAAGTTCACCTACTTGTCAGGTTGTTCTGGTCTAGCGGTAATCCTAGAAAGGCATCTGATTTGCTTGTGGAACATGATAAGGAGATATCGAACTCATTAGCACTTGAAGAACTTCAATGGGACGTCTGGAAGGAGCTTGATGAGGTTTCTCTCATAAAAAATAAAGCAAAGTCATTGTTGGAAGGTGGTTCAGGGAATTATGCTCACCATACTGCCTACCTGTCCACCGTGAAGGATAACAGAGAAGAAGCTGTAGCGTTATTCGAACATTTAGCTCAGCAGAATCCTAAAGAGCGTGGACATATTATCGCCTTGATGGAAATAGAGAGAAAATTCTCCAAAAACGACAACCTCGTTTCATTGCTCGAAAGATACTGGCATTTATTTAAGAACAAACCAGTTTGCTTTGATGATATAATCACATTTATGAAATACTTGCATCACGAGAAGTACAATATATCCTCTCTCAATGAGGTCTTCATCAAGGATTTCAATAATAAAGACGAGAGTCTAGATACACGTCTAAATGCAGCAAAATTGGTGAGATGTTTGTCACTCAATATCGCGCTCGAAAAAGAAATACAAAATGCAGATTTGTATGCACAATTACACAAGGAATACCTCGTTGCTGGAGAAGGAGTACCAAAGACAGACTTGCATCCTGCCGACGACTGGGCCGTCTTGAGCGGTATCTCCTATATCAGTGCTTACTCAAAATCACGCGACCTTTCTTATTTAACTAAGGCAAGTGAAAACATGGAATTCGCCTTATCAAAGAGTGAAAGAAGCTATAAACTCAAGCTTCTTCTGATAAGCATCTATAGAATCACAGGAAACCTCAACATGTTCGATCTTATTCGCAAGATGCGTATACAAAGTGTGCAACAAGATACCCTGACACATCACGGTTGTGGGGAATTGTCCACATTTGCGATGTCTAGCCTGGATGTCGTTGGTGTTCTTCCAAATACCAACAGTTCTTTCAGTGGCGTTTGGGGACAAGCAGAGAGGGAATGCAGTGAAATGTTGTCTCGTCTTTTCGATTATGGTACTTGGTCTCATCTTGAGGATTTCTCTGACTTTGCAGGAATGCTCAAATATAGTTTGCACAAGTGGATACTCTGGTTCGAAGATGTTAGAATAAAATTAGGTGAGAGTCCAAAGATCGAAGGTTCTCAGTTGGAAGACTGGTTAAGCAGTTTGGATAAATTAGATGCACTTTCCGATAATCTGGTGGATAACAGAGACTGGAGTCTTTTGCCATCTTGGGCGCCATTCGAGGAAAGCGAAACAAGAGAACAGCTGCATATCTTGACATATCAAGAAGGAAATTGGTTGAAGAAATATAGTGAGATTTATAGAAGAATCTTTAGTGTGGTATTAAACAAGCCTAACGAGTGTACAAACGATGGCTTAGAAGAGGTTCGTTTCATTCTTACATAAAAATATTCTAACACCTACCACAGCTTACCTCTGCTGAGAAGATCTTGGAGGAGATATCTCATCTCATCATTAAATATAACAAGCAAGGCTCAGATGCCGAAAAGGCACCAGTCGGCGCTGAAGTACTTGACAAATTCGGTGATTTCTCTAAATTACTTACTGAGGCTGCTTTACCATGTGATAAATTACATGCTGCCAAGGTTTCCATAGAGGTGGGTTTTACATTAATCACTTGGTTATATTTCTGATTACCACAGACCTGGTCACTTATCCGAATCGGAATTGCACCACCATCCAAGAAAAAGAAAACGAAGAGTCCTTCATATGGTTTATATCAGGGCATTGTTGGACAATTGCAAGAAATGGTAAAGGACTGGAAAACAGATGATATCGACAATTTGTGGTCCCGTTTGCATTCTCTCGTTGATACTAAGATTGACTATAAGAACGCTTAACATGATACATATCCATTGATACACTAACTTCTGAGTTGTCTGCTATATAGTTGGACATCTCGAGCCGATGTTTTGGTTTTTCGGATAACACACAAGAGCTCCTTATATGACTGTTGTATAGTGCACACTATACTAATATATCTTTAGTGATTTTGCTATTAAAATGCCCTACTAATTATCTCCCTATCTCAACTCACATTCTTCGTCCACAACTATGATGACTCAAGCCGAGAAGGACATCGAAGACGAGCTCGAAGCATATCTAGATAGCTCTCTGGCGAATACTGACTGTAAAAAATCATCATATTTGGTGGGCGTCTGCCTTATAGTGCACCATCTCACAATAAATCGATAGATGACGACATTTACAACCCAAAAATACATCCAACAAGATCTACAGTACCTATGACAGGTAAGATTATGCCCCAACCGCCCTACTTAAATGGGCATCTCCATTCATCTCCTGTCTGTCCACCTTCTCGTGCTCATCTTCCGCAAACACAACTGAAAAGGCACAAACCGGCAGTATCACATAATAAGCCTCCATTGGAGAATTTCACGAATGAACAAGTTAACTATTCTCATTTGGTTCCAGTTTCAGCTTTGGATGTAATCTATGCTCCAATTTTCACGTTTAGTCATTTCAACGCTGTTCAAACACGCTGCTATGACGAAATAATTAAAACAGATACTAATGTTGTAGTTGCAGCACCAACGGGATGCGGTAAAACTGTCATACTTGAATTAGCCATTATCAAGATGCTCGAAGGAAAGCGCAATCAGATGCCATCTACCACAGCTCGCAATATGAAAGCTATGTAGGTACTGTACAATAACAATCCATCATCTGGTGGCTTATAACTTACAAACTTAGCTACTTAGCACCTACTCGTGCACTCTGTTCTGAGAAAACTCGCGATTGGCAAGCCAAGTTCAACAGTATAAATCTCTCAGTGAAAGAAATCACGGGAGATTTACCCTTTGATGCACAGAGCAACATAATGGACTTCTTACATGCAGATATAGTTGTTACCACAGTGTGCATCTTTTCATAAATTTGATCCTACTCACTCGATATAACAGCCTGAGAAATGGGACTCTTTGACGCGTCGTTGGAACGACAGCCCTACTTTATTCAACCAAATTAAGCTAGTTCTTATCGATGAAGTGCATCTACTCAATGAATTGCGTGGAAGCACACTTGAGGTGCTCGTTTCACGCATGAGAGTACTCGGCGATAGGTAAGAGGAGCAACTTATGTAGCTTTTGCCCATTTTTGATAGTATTCGTTACATTGCTGTCAGCGCTACTGCTCCAAACGCCGGCGACATTGGAGAATGGCTCGACTCGACAAAGAAGGCGAAAGTTTTTGAATTCGACGAGTCCTATCGTCCAGTACAGGTTGAACGGCATGTGTATTCTTACAAGCGCAATGTTTCTAACGACTTCGCTTTTGATTCTATGCTCAACTTCAAGCTTTATGACATCTTAGCTAAGCACATGGAGGGTAAACCCGCCTTGATATTCTGTCCTACTCGCAAATCCGCCTTGAAGGCTGCTGAAACTATAACAAATAACTTGAAGGTTATCATAAATAGACGAGGAAACGTTCCCTGGCAGAGGCCAAATATCAATACATCTTTCAGAAATACTTCTCTAAGCAGGATTGTCGACTATGGCGTTGCCATACATCATGCAGGAATGGATCTAGATGATCGTAAATCTGTTGAAATGCTCTTTCTTCAAGGCGTGATCAGGGTGGTCGTTTCAACGACTGTCTGTTAACCGTCTCCTTATATGTCTAACTAACGTGATTGAAGACTCTCGCTCAAGGCGTTAACTTGCCTTGCCACACTATAGTCATCAAGGGAACTAGATTTTACAGTTGTGGTGGATGGAAAGAGCTTTCAGAGTTGGATGTCTTACAGATGATCGGCCGAGCCGGCAGACCTCAACATGACACTAGTGGAAAGGCTATTATCATGACTGAGAAATCCAATTATGACCACTATAAGAGCCTTGTCAGTGGTGAAACAGCGCTCGAATCATCTTTACATCTCAACTTATGCGAGCATCTGAACGCAGAGATTAATTTAGGGACTATCAAGAGCAACAATGGCGCAATTGAGTGGCTGAGGAAAACTTTCCTATATATTCGCATACAGAAGAATCCAGCACATTACGTATCTGCTTTGAATGAGAAGACTGCATCTGTAGATACAAGCTGGGAAAGAAGACTCGAGGAAATTGTCGAAACTGCTTTATTTGAATTAGGTGAACGTGGTCTTATTAAGCTCGAAGCAAACGGCCAGTTAAAAAGCACTGGTTCGTCTTAAGTTTTAGTCGTACTACCGCGTAAACTCTAATAGGTCTCGGTAACATCATGTCGAAAGCTTTCATCAGCTTTAAGACATTCGAAAAGCTTTTGGATATGCCAATGAGAGCCAATATTCAGACGCTGGTAAAATTACATCCATTAACATACGTGTTTCTGATTATATTTCAGTTGGAAATCCTTTGTTCGGCAGAAGAAATGAAAGATGTAACGCTAAGAGCAGGAGAGAAGAAGGTAAGTATCGAATATCTGCTAAGCCATCTGACATAAATTAGCCTCTGAATAAAGTCAGAGAATTACAAGAAATCAGGTACCCACCTCCAAAGATGATTCAAGCGGTAGACAAGATATCAGTGTTGTTGCAGGTATGTTTATCCTTTTATAATTTTCAAATTCACATCATTAGGCTGCACTTGCTGGTGTTGATCTAAAGTAAGTTTGGTAGATAGAGGTCATGCTCATAACCAAATGATAGCGAATTTCGCTCTGATGAATTTCAACCATTTAACGATAACGTTTTAATATACAAGCAATCATTCAGGGTCGCTAAGGGTGGGTAAGCCTTCGATTATATTGTACCTCTCATATCACAAAGCGATGATTGATATTGGAATTCAAAGAAGAGACAGTCTTATAATTCGAAACTCAGGTGTTTTGTTCAGATCTATAGCGTCAAAAGCATGGGAAGACAGATCAACGACCTTGCGACAGATAGATGAAGTCGGGCAGAAATCTATTAAGGTGAGAATACTTGACAAGGGAAAGAAACTTAACTGTTTTTAGATATTCACCTGCAAAGGTATCAATTCTATTGAGAAGTTGAGCCAACAAGATCCTGGATACATAGAGCTAGTGAGTTGGACATAGGCTATGTTTTGCACTCTAACAAACGGTAGCTCCTCAATCGCAATCCGCCGTTTGGAACTACAATAGTATCTAAAGCTAAAGCATTCCCCAAGTTCTTTATCAGTGTGGATGAGCAATATCTTCTTCTGCACCATGGTGCTAAGCCAGTCCAAGCCATACTCAAGCTTTCAGTTGGTGTCATGAACACTGGACGGAATATAAAGCTTGTCAGTATCCTCATTAATGATCATTTGATTAAAAAATATCCAGAAAACCAGAACAAACAACCTGCTACATGCCTCGATCGTCATATGGAATTCAGAAGATGAGCTAGTCGATTTTAGACGCATACAAGTTAAAGCGTTGATAGAAAAACCAAGGGAGTTCGAAATCAAGCCATCTTTCGGAAACAGCAAATCGAAGATCTCCATACAAGTATCTTGCGATGAATGCGCTGGTTTGCATGAAGTGTATGAATATCAGCCGAAGGTATCACAGGAGGAATTCCCTAGTGTGGCTCATATAGAAGCAAACGACGAATCCAGCGAAGAAGACTTGATTGACCTCACTGACGCTGATTTTATTGACGAAATGCTTCAAATGCAGGTGGTCAAAGTTTCTGCACTCAAAGAAATTAAGGAAGTCGAAGTTGCCAAAAATGTCGACCTTCCTAACCAGATTGGACCAGAATCGAAGAGACGCACTTATGCGAACAAGAGGACATATGAGCACGCTACAAATAATACCGTTGAAGAGAATACACAGAGGTATAAACGCAGAGCGATGTCTTCTAGCGATGAAGAAGACCAACTAGCATAGCAGAACGAGGGAGGCAAAAGCAAAATGGCAATTGTAACTAAAATGCAAACCTTATTCAAGCCCATATATTCAGTTGTACAAGTAAATTTCCCAGTGAAAACCATTACTTGAGCTTCTTCTTTGGGCGGAGTTGTGAGGAGTGACCACATCCACGCTTACGGCAGTTAGTAGCACGTGGTGGGAGACGAGCGTAGCACTGTTAGTGAGTTTAGTAATTTTAACTGTAAGTATAAAGTATACAAACCTTTCTGCAGATTTGCTTTTCGCAGTTGTACTTTGAAGCGAGAACCTTAAGGGATGGCTCAATGATACCACCACGGAGACGCAAGACTAAGTGAAGGGTAGATTCCTTTTGGATGTTGTAGTCTGAGAGAGTACGGCCATCCTCAAGTTGCTTTCCAGCGAAGATCAGACGTTGTTGGTCTGGTGGGATACCTTCCTTATCTTGGATCTTGGTCTTGACGTTGTCAATGGTGTCCTGGGACTCGACATCCAAAGTGATGGTCTTGCCGGTGAGAGTCTGTAGGCGTAAGTTAGTAAATTTTAGAGAAAGTAGTAATAAAATATGCCCACCTTGACGAAGATTTGCATGGCTAACACTTTTAAGCTTTTTTACGTTATTCAGTTTTTACCCACCTTGGGTTTATCTCACAACGTTTTCGACAAGGCTGAATTTTGAGCGAGTCTCGCAAAAAAAATGCGCGCGTGGTGACCTCAACTTGTTTGCAAACTGTTATTTAAAATAAATAATATGGTGACTAAAATAATAAATAAAAAAATAAATACTAACAAATAAAAGTACAGTGATAGCGACGACTCAATTCACAGCGCTGAAGATTTGTACAATGATGACGAATTCGAGAATGACGACGATGAGGTAGTCGAGCAACCACGCACTGCTTTTAGTAGATTCAATGACCTATTCGGCGGCTTTAATGAGATAAACAATCTCAGCGGATCAGATCCTAGTTTCCCAGCTCGATTCGCTGGTTTTGGAGGACACGCATTTGGCAGACCACCTGCATCTGCGTTTACACAACATTATAGGGGTTAGTCTTGTGTGTTATACCTATCGATAATATACTTACTCAGTCCTAGCCTACTCCGTCGCTATGATGGGCGGCAACGAGCGTCCAAACCTCCAATACGGTGGAAAGAGTGAGTATACTATTATTTAGTACCATCAATAAGCTCACACGTATTAGTCATCATGCCTCCATCTGCACTCGCACGACTGACCGACCTTGAAATTGAGTCACCTTGGACATTCGAGGTCAGCTCAGCGAGAAATCCAACAAAGAAGACGCACGCTGGTGTTTTAGAATTCATAGCTGATGAGGGCAATGTACATTTGCCAGCTTGGGTGGGTTTTATCCATATTTACATATTACATCACTCTGACTGCTTCAGATGATGAAACAGCTTGAACTGGAAGAAGGCAGTCCTCTTAAAATATCGGGCGCTGTCTTACCTAAGGGTAAATTTACCAAGTTACAAGCTCAAACGACTGACTTTTTGGAAATTTCGGATCACAAAACAGTACTTGAGCGTGCATTGAGGAATTTCTCGACGCTCACGAAGGGTGATTACATAGAAATATTACACAACTGCATCACATTCGAATTACTTGTTATGGAAATCGAACCAGAACCTGACAATCAGAGTATCTTTATCATTGATACTGATTTAGAGGTCGATTTCGCACCACCAAAGGGATATGTTGAGCCTGCACCTAAGCCAAGAGAGCCGCAACCAACTATGGCATCAAAAATGAAAATTGATACGCGCGCTCAGGAGGATTCACCGATGAGCAGCCGGCCAACCTCGACTGTACCAGAAGTCTTCAAAGGCAGTGGACAGACGCTTGGAGGACGGAAGACAAAGGGTAAAGGTTTGGCTAAGCCTATTGAAAGAGTCGATGAAACAAGCAAGATTACAAGAACAGAGTGAGTATTCCTAAGCTTATTTATATGGAACGTACTAATTATTACCAAGTAAGCAGAAACATGTTACAGCTGATACTTTAGAAGATGGAAAGAAAGTACCAGCACCACTTAATCTCCCATTCGGGAAGCTTTTCTTTGGGTTTGAATACACACCTCTCGGTGGGCATAAAAGCGACGAGCGTGAACCATCTGTTCCATTTGGAGGTACAACAGGTGTTACACTCTCGGGTAGAACCATCGATACTCCAGCACCTGCACCTCAAAATGAAGAGAGAAACGACCAAGAAACCAACAACGAAACGACTGAAGAAAACAGCGACCCATGGGCTAAACTCGGTTCCGGAAACTCATTGAAGCCAAAACGTGAAGTTATCGACATTGACTCTGACTGATTTTATCATTGTACACTAATTCTGCATGTATATCACCAACGCGTTACGATATTTTTATGAAATCTATAATACAAATTAAATTACAATAGTATGTAAAGGAAACTAAAGCAATTGGAAGAAGGTATCAATTAAAAGTAAGCAGATTTTCATCTTCCGAGAGGAACACCGTGATGGCTGCCCGGTCGACCTGCTCAGCTTGGGTGGGAAGGTTGTATCAATCTACGTGGTATACCGGCAACTATACATCTGTATGGTCCTGGGCACCTTTGGGGAAGTTCATTAAGAGAAGACGTTCACTATTATGCGTCCTCACACAGAAATCATTTATATGTACACTCTAGCTGGACTATACAAGGACGTGTAGAAATATATTTTAGCATATCGAGTATCTTATATCTCTTGACGGTATGACTAAGCTTTCGTGATCTCTTCATCATATTCACTCCTACAAAAAGACCGGAATTCTGTGAGTTTCTCAACTAGATTGCGAAAGACACATGTTGTACGACATAGCTTTGCGTTTAAATATGTTTGCAAATGGTTGATATGGGATGAGCATATCCCAACATGTGCGTAAGACCTGATAACAGACTTTCCTGTTAGTTTGTAACCTTACAAGGAGACTTCCTTTGGTAATCTCCACGCTGGTGCCAGACATATTGCCAAATTTGCTGATTCGCCCATAGATTGTTTCCCTAGCATAAAAAGAAGAACACGAGAATCTGCTTACAAGAATAGTTTATCACCGTCTCTACATAATTCAGGGACATAAAAATGGTTCTATTGTTAGCTACACTCCTCACAAAGGATTAACAAACTACTAATCCATTCCTTCATTTCTCGATCATGTTTGTCATTGTCTAGGTAGATAACACATATTGTTTTCTTGATAGCACAACAATAGACATACTGCGTATTATTCTGAGAAGATTATATTGATGCTTCACCTAGCGTATCTTTTCATGTCACATTGGCTTGAGTTGCTCCAAGCGACTATTTTGGTCTGATACAAATAAATCAGTACTCCTTTAACTCTCCTTTAGGAAATCTATATATATTTAGACTCCTATTAAAGCAACATATTATATACTCTGGTATTGTGTCTGTCTTTACGATAAAAACAGTAATGTTGTTCGTTTGACTATATTTGATATTAAAATCGATCTATCCAGCGTTACAGTAAAATTAATAATCGAATTCCTATGAAATTTGTTTTATTTACACTTTGTCTTAGTTTTTATTGTTAGTCATTTGTGGAAGATAACGATAATAAATATTGCAGAAATGCATTCATAACGAAAACAAAATTAAACGAAAATCCAGTAATCCCAAGAAATCTAAGTAAGTTTATCTAATAGTTTATCCTTTTCTCTATAAGTAGTTCTATATATTTAAGTGGAATGTAAGCTAATCCACTAACGACAAATCCTAATTCAGTTGCGAGATCTCCACCACCATCTATTGCACTTGCTAATGGGCCAGTCCACCAGATTTGGGCCATCGACACGACTACAATCCCGCAACCGATCAGACCAGCAATGAGAGCTGCTATACCCATTGGCAAACCCCTCGGATTGTCCCATTGAGAGATATCATATGACGCAAAGTTGCCTTTCCTGAATAACAAATGGTCGACAATCTGTTAATAATTTGTGAGCTTTGTAATATATGAATATCATAGAACATACCAAAATGCTTCCAAAAAGCGCTGTCCAGTAACCAAGCTAGACGCTCAATTAGAAAACTTAGATGTTAAAAACATTTCACCTACACATGAAAGGAAATTGTTAAGTGCTTCTTGGAATCTTGTCGCGATTACGATCGCAATAGGGAGATAAACTCCAGTAGCGAGGGTGGAGAGCAAGAAGCGAGGTACGTAGAGTAGAATAGGAAGGAAAGTCTGAAGAGTCAGACTGCAACTGTATATCGTAGGAGCATTGTTGCTAGAGATGCCCAAAGCGAGCACGACCTGGGCATTAATGTTAGTCTATTTAAGAGTCGAAACAATGAAACCTACGAGAACAAACTTCCTGAAGCCTTTCAAAGGGGTCATAATGGCATCCAATAATCCACCTAATCCATTCTGCTCATATCCATCAGTCCATTCTGGAATTGCCATCGCGCCAACTTGAACAATTGCACCAAAGCATTGGAGAGAAATAAGTGGTAAATTCAGACCGATGTAGTTGCATAAGAAAACCTTCCATGACTTAGTTTCCGGAGGAAGATAGGCAGACTAACTTTGATGAGTTTCTCATACAATATATACGATTCTACTCACGAAATCAGATGCTAGTGGTGCCCATGTCATACCATATCCCAAAACCACAGCTCCGAAGCTGAGAATAGCACCTGGGGTGGCAGGATCAAAAGGCACGCTATATATCGCGTCAAGATGTCTGCCAGCACATCCTGCAACGAAAATGAACACTACCAATATCAGATATTGTGTTAATAAGCAACGTAATACTCACTAACTGTGATGACCATCCAGGCGTATCTCTCGAAAGTGTGCAAGAACTTGAAACCAGCGAAAGAAACGATCAAAGCGATGACTGCAATAATAACGATACCGACATTCCAATTAAGTGAACCGTTCGAAACTGCTGAGAGTACCTGACCACCAGAAACAGCGTTCAGACTGCAGAAACCGATCATACCGATCAGATTGAGAAGACAGACTAGTATAACAGGGTAATAGCCAAATGAGTAGCGGGTAATGCACATCTGTCTCATGCCTAACTTTGGACCGAACGTGCCTAGATAAGAAGGCAGAAGATTTCCAAGTAAATTGAAGAAGAGGATAGTGAGGCAACTATCCCTAGCGCTTAAGTAAAAGCTGCTAGGACCCAAACCACCAGTAGAGAGCGTCAAAACAGTAGAATTTGCGCTTAGCCATATCGAAGCAATGTTGAGTAAAGCACCAATACTGCGGGGGGTTAGAGGGATGCAACAAAAAGCAATAAGCTAACCCATGTGTTCTCTCCTATTGTAGTTTAGTTAAATGGCTCTATAAAGTCACCCCCACATACCTCTAAGGTGACTGGCTGAATACCTCTAACTTCGAGGCCAAACTTGGAAGATTTATCAACGAAATGGTTGAAATGACGCTTGAATTTGTTACTGTCTTCGGTATAAATCGATGATTTCTCAGCGTCATACTCTTTCATCGTCGCTTCCAAGAAAAGATGAATCCAGCAATTTTAAATCTAGTAGTTAGTTTAGGACTTATGCAAGGTAATAAAGAGCTCTTTTTATTTCATATTCTAAACATTCCACAGTCGCTCGTAAGATTCCCTTCGAGGATGAGAACGTCTTGTTGGCAGTCAGAATTGGATATGTCGCTAGTATGGCTATCAGCTTTTTAGTATATCAATGGATAGCATCGAAGGTGAATATACACGCGATTACACCAGCAATTTCCTCATTCCCCCGTAGATTAGAGCAAAGAATGACACGACTGTACTCAAGTACACAGAACCAGCTTCACCAATGGTGAGTCTGCTATACACCCAATAGCCTCTCTAACAGCACCCTTAGTCACAAGAAGAACCACAATTGATCACGACAACAAACCGTGACTACGACTTACAAGAAACTTCCAAATTAGTCAGTTTAACTAGTTATTTGTGAGTATATATTCTGACTTACTCACAGATTAAGGGTTTGTTCACTTCATTGGCCATGATGGCATTCTTGCACGGCTACTTGAAGTACACCCAGCCATTGTTCATCCAAGGTATTCTCGGTGTCAAGAATGTCTTCGATTCGAAGCCAGCCAAGGTCTGGATCTTTGGAAATGCGAGTATTTAGCTCTTATTATGCACCTCTAACAGCACATTAGGAAGCAAAGGGTGACCTCAAGCGCCCATGGAAGGCTGCAAACCCATTCGGCATGGGTGACGACGTCAAATCAGACGCTGCATCTGTAAAACAAGCTGAGAAGAGCATTGGTTCATCAAACAAAGCAGAGTAGATAGCACCACCATAGACTATACACTAATAAAATTCTACAATTCGTCTCGCTTATCTTCCCCTTTGTTTTTGGCTTCTATTAACGAAAATGGATTGAACTTTCTATACTTGTCGTATTCGGAGACGACTGAAACACCAGCTACACCTTTGAATATCTCGACTATTACCCATCTATCTGGATTACTGAGATCTATCTTATGCGGTGAATTGATTGAATCGACGACTGTCTGAATAATATCGTCACGCTTGAGTGTATTATGCGAGCGTTTACCTAATTCTATGCGATACTGTTGATGTATTAGCAGAATGCGATAAAGTTACTATGAACGAACCTTTCTACCTTTACCCTCTTCGTCACCCTTAGATAGATGACTTTGACAGATCATACCACACAGTGCTTCAAATGCAGCTTCCGTAGCGTGTGAGAGGTGTGATATTGGTGTCAATCTTTGTATATATCTGCCATTGTTAGATAATACTAAGGGAGTACAGTAAAACCCACTTAGTTCTCATCTTCCCAGTCTCTATAACCTCATTGAGGTATGCTTTTACTATTGCTATCGGATCGAACGGTTTTCTCACTTCGAGGTATATCACTGTAATGTTATAGAGCCATAATGTGAAGTGATGTAAGAACTTACAACATTGCGTGTTTGTTTGATGATTTACAAACCGTTTGGCTGAGTTATCAACCTTCTTCTTATCGTTCATTTCACTCAATTCTTGAGCTAGTTGAGCTTTAATGTCATTCTCAGCTACTTCAGGTGTCTCCTCTTTATTGTCTGTTTCTTTTATCACTTCAGCTTTCTTTGATTGTACTTTCAAATCTGGGAAGTGCCTATCACAAATCTACATCGTATCAGCTATAGCATGTATAGTATATTATACACACTTCATTTAATATATCTAATATATCGTTCAACGCTTGCTTCTCTTTACCTCGAACGCAAGTGATAAATATACCTGGTCCTTCCGGTGGACTGAATGTCTTGAAATTTACAACAGAACCGTCCTAGGGAGATTAGATAGTAAAGGCACAGGCTATATGTACCTACCTTACGATACTTTCTCTGCTTTTTATTCACACTATCATCATTATCAACAGGTCTCTTCATCGTTTATGTTCAAGGAATATATGTGTATAAATTATTTTAAATCACTTTAGTTGTCTGAGAAGATCCATGGCCAAGCGATTGGTTGGTAGTTTGAGAGTTCTTTCTCATTGAACCAACTTCATTATTGTTAGTAATTGATATCATAAATAAAAATTTAACTCACAGTCCAATTTCCTTGGTGGCAGATTCGAATGAGTCAGATGCGTGGATGATGTTACGGCCAACTGAAACAGCGTAGGTACCACGGATTGAACCTGGGTCAGATTGGAGTGGGTTGGTAGCTAAAAGGTTGTCAAAATTTTCACGACTTTCTTTTGAAAGGGCTACTCACCACCGACCATACGACGACCTTGACGGATGACGTCCTTACCTTCCCAGACGAGGGCTCTGTTTTAGTTTTAGTTTTTGTCTTTACCTTTTACATAGCGACGCTCACACGACTGGGGTACCTGAGGTGATGTACTCAACGAGACCTGGGTAGAATGGACGAGCGGCCAAGTCAATGTCTGCAAAAACGCGTGAGTAATTAACGTAACTAGAATATAAAACCTTACAGTGCTCTTTGGCGAGTTCTTTTGAAGGAGTGACAGTCTTGACAGCGACCAACTTGTATCTAATACGCGTTAAGTTTACGTGCTTGTGATATTATTCAGACACTCACCCACGCTCTTCGAAGCGGGAGATGATCTTACCAACGATTTGGCGGGACACACCATCTATGGGGCGTTAAAAAAGCTCAAACACGTACCAAAACGACTCACCTGGCTTGATCATAACGAATGAACGCTCAGAGAAGGTACCTTCGGTACCAGCGATGGTGCTTTGTGGTGCATCAAGGTGAACTGGCTTGGTAGCTTTGAGAATGATTAGAAATGAACTCGAAAGACTTTGTAAGACCTACCGAGAGCAGTAGCACCGAGTGCAGCAGCAGCACCAACACCGAAGGCAACGTTACGGAGTGAGTTGTTTGATGCGCGAGCAGTTGAGAATGCTCTGGCTGTATTATCGTTAGCTTGGTATAAAGAGCTATAAGCGACTGCTTACTAGCTTGGCGACCGGTTTGGCGGATGAATGAGCGGGCGAACATCGTTGTCAGTTTCTAAGGCTCTCAACTCGTTCAGCTGTCTATACCGTCGGCAGATGCAGGGAAAATTTAAAAATTAATAATTTTCATACAACAATAAGCGAATAATTTAAAATCACGTGTCATTACTTTTTTTTTATTCTCTCATAAACTTTGTTCTTTGTTAGTTCTGAAATCTGGACATAAGTGGACAGCTTACATTCCTAGACTGACTGGAGGTTACTTCACTCGTTCCGTGTTCGTCTTCACCTGATGTAATTAAGCTAAGTTTCTCGCCCTCGTTTTCTCTCAAGAATGACCAGAATTGCGTGTCTTCTTTCACTTCGCGGATCAGTCTGGAGTATTTTAAGTATTTAATGTTCCTGTGCCTATAGAAACACCCACTCGTTGTAATCCTCTGCGATGTTGTTCTATATATTGTCAACTATAACACGGCAAATTAGCGGAGTCCCACCTTCGTTGCAAAATCTCTTAAATGTTGTAAGCCAACCTTTAATGGATGGTGATTATCTGTAGTGTGCTTCCCAAGCGTTTCTCTTATACTTGCACTCATTATCTATGTCATTGTTAAATCATAGGCGTCAATACGTCCAATCTCACCTCATACACCTCTTCTGGATCATCCTACGATATGGGTTAGCAAATTATTGCACATTGACGATCCACCTACTAAATTATTCAACGTTTGCCAAACCTGATCGGGAGTAAATGCACCATCCGTACCTTTCTTGGCATCCCCTTCGATAGTTTTATCAACTGGTCTGGGTGACGTAGTGGGTTTTCCACCAAGCAAATCATCAATATTGATTTCTTGAGCTTCCCGTACATCCTCTTTACTATGACGACGGTGATATTTAGCTTTCGGAGTGGGTTTTGTTAAATTAAATTCATTCTTGCAGTTTTCAAGCGCGTCAATAGATCTCTTCTGAGCGAATGAAGGTGGCTCGAGATATTTCTTGAGTTCGGGGTGTGCATCTTGTAGCTCGTCTTTAATGATCGAACCTGTAGAAGCACCATGGATGACAGCTTGATATATGCGATGATGAGCAGGTGTGTAAGATGTGTTAATATCAAACCAGGTGCGCTTATCGTCCGTATCATGAAGATCCATAGAATTTACGAAGTTATCCATTGCTAAGCACATCTTATCGGTTGGGAGATATTTATGATTTTGAAGCGGTTCACCCGATTTCGTGACTACGCGTTCAAGACTAGGGAATGAATAGTTGCGCATTTGATCTGCAAATGGTATTCTGAGGTATTGTAAGTACTCTGTCTGGCCATTGATAATGGGTAAGCAAAGACCGAGATATGGTTTTTCATCCTTCGTTCGAGCATACCTCACCAGCGCAATCAGTCCATTCTTATCTAAGGCGTTGATGAATGAACTAAGTGCAAGACCAGATGATCCATCACTTTGATCAGCATAGATGAAAGATGGTTCGCCAATCACCATGTCTCGTTTGAACTAACTCAGTTGTTAGAAAAAAAAAAAAAAAAAAAGATCGAGAAACCCACAGTAGAGGCCGGAAATGTTGACAGGAAGTCAATACCAGCTTCGGATGTGAATTCAACAAATCCACCTTCAGATTCATCAGGACGTGGCACCAATATAGAACCATAATGATAGGCTCTTATAAGATTGTGAGAATCAACTTTGCTGTCGCCTAATCTATGAACCTGCGAAGTGCTTACTTTGGAGTTGTTGTCTGCTCGTAAACTCTTCAAAGGTAATTTCGTGGCTTTACCAACCGCCTTCTGGTACTTAACTTTAATTGAAATTTCGTCCGAAATGTTGAATCTAGATGATTGAGCTGCAGATTTTGAGGAAGAAGGATGTGGTTTCTTCAGTTGATCAAGCTGATGGTCGAGTGTGTCGGTAGTTGTGTTCTCAATATAAGGAGATAAACGGTCAATGAAGAGATTTTCATGATCGCTCATTTTTATAAAATTTAAACCAATATGTAATTGGTTTATAAGGTTCGATAGATTATTGATTTCATAATTGTCTGTTGTAAGATCATCGCCAATTATGAAATTTATATTCTTTGTCCAGGACTTTTTACTAGCGTATAGGTTCTCGATATGCTTATATGCTATGACTAAGCTATCAATTGGGTCGACTTTGGCATTACAGCTGTTTAAATCCAAGTTATCCAAGACATCTAAGAAAATTTTACTCGACTGTTGCAATCGTATCTTGATATCGATGTATTTAAACTGAGTATGGTTCATCTCATTGAATGGGTTGTTTGTTGTATCGCCAACGACGATCAAACCAAATACGTCGGTTTTCAGGTTAGAGATTAGCTGAATTGATTGATAAATAAAGCTAGATTTATATAAGCAAACGAACCTTGTTTATAATTATAGATTTTAAGTAATATTTTACATTATCGACTGGAATAGATGAAGAGAGATGGACGACGTAGAGATTGACGCTGTACTGTAGAGATGTAAGGGTTAATAAATTAAAATTAGACAGCACCGACACCAGATCTGAATAAGGACATTATTTAAACATCAACGGTGATGTTCAAGTTGGTAGATAATTATGATAAAGGGAGATCGTTGATTTTAGAAAATATTCTATTCAAATTGCAGAATAATAATTTATTAATCGATTTATTGGACTACAATCTCAGCGGCTCTTTACTAGGAAACGTACACGGTCTACTAGGATTAATAGAGATACAAGGCTCTACTTACTTAATTACGATAAATCAATCTGTAAAAATAACCGAAGGTATCTACAAAATCGTAAAGGTTCACTTTTACTGCTTAAATTCACCAAATTATGACCTCATCGACTCACCTGAATTGGACTTCGATTATCATCCTTGTCTCGATATAAAGAAACTGGTCGAATTCGGCAACTTCTATTACTCGAACAGCTTAGATATCACAAACAACGCCTTGAACTCAACTTCACCACCTAAGAACGAGTTCGTCTGGAACAAATTCCTAATAGAGAACTTAATTAATTGGAAGTCAAACTTGGAAACCCATCAGAGGACTATCATAGATCAGCATAACCCTTTTATCACCGTTATACAAGGCGCGATATCTGTCTATCCCCTCCCAAACCACGCTTCTTTGCAAGTTATCAGTAGACTCTCATCTAAAAGGGCTGGTACTCGATTCTTTTCTCGAGGCATCGATGACGATGGACAGGTCGCAAACTTTGTCGAAACTGAGACTATCTTTAAAGACAAAAATGTCACTTTCACCTACAATCAAATTAGAGGTTCAGTTCCTCTATTCTGGGAACAACAAGGACTACAAGCATTCGGTCAACGCACACAAATAACAAGGCCATTCCAAGCCTCTAAACCAGCTTTTGAGAAACACTTTTATAATCTGTTACAATCTTACGATGCGATTCACGTGTTGAACCTTTTGGGTCAGAAAGATCATGAAGTTACTCTATCTGACGCTTATAACGCACACTTGGAATCCCTTGAAACCGATAATTTACCAATCACTTATAGCAATCTCGATTTTCACTCCATTTTGAGGATGTCTGGTCACCAATCTGTTATAAAGCAGCTAGACAATCATCTTTACAATGGTCAAGGACATGGTCCAACTTGGTCATTGATCGATAACAACACGAATCAAGTTATAATTCGTCAGCATGTCGTATTTAGGATAAATTGTCTAGATTGCTTGGATAGGACAAACTTCGTTCAGGATATTTTCTCCAAGTCCCGTCTTAAAGATTTCCTTCAGTCGACCAACTCTCCTTATGCTCAATCTGAGAGCTTTTGGCAAGCACATAGGCATTTATGGGCAGAAAACGGTGACGCTTTGTCTAAACTCTACGCTGGAACGGGAGCTCTTAACTCGAGTTTCACTAGGACTGGCAAGCGCACACTAGCAGGTCTGTTCTCCGACGCTACAAAATCCGTGACCAGAGCCTATGTCAGTAATGTGACTGACAAATCGAAGCAAAGTTCAATAGATATGTTTCTTGGTAACCTACCTTCACAGAAACCTGTTGAGATATATGATCCAGTTCTAGATATCGTGAGATCTGATCTTAACGACAGGGTGACTGAATACTCATCTTCACGTAAAATATCAATCCATGCGGGTACATACAACGTTGCTGGTCAGATACCAACTGAAGATATCTTACCGTGGCTGTTCCCCGAAGGGTCTGAAGAGCCTGATATTATCGTCGTGGGATTCCAGGAGCTTGTCCAATTGACACCCCAACAAATCATGTCTACTGATACATTCCCAAGACAGATTTGGGAGAGATTCATTCTCGAGACACTCAAAAGTCGACAGGATAAGACGGATGAATATATTATTCTCAGATCTGAGCAGGTCGTTGGATTGGCTTTGATTGTATTAATCAAGCAAGGTCTCTCTAAGTCGATTAGATCGGTGGAGGGTGCACAAAAGAAAACTGGGTTGAAGGGTATGTCTGGCAATAAGGGAGCTGCTGCTATTAGATTACAGTATGAGGATTCTACTTTTTGCTTCATTGCTTCGCATATGGCAGCTGGACATAGCAATATCGAGGAGCGCAATAATGATTACTTTACTATATCCAATGGATTGCAATTCTTAAAGGGTAAAGTACCCGAGGATCACGAGTGAGTTTCTTCACCTTAAGACTATAAATCTAAAACCGCTTCTAGTAACATTGTATGGGTTGGTGATTTCAATTATAGAATTGATTTGCCATATGAGACAGCCACAAGCTTGGCCTATAATGACAACTATGAGGAGCTACTATCGAATGATCAGCTCCCACGCGCTATGTCGAGAGGGATATTTAAAGGATATGAGGAAGCTCCGATACTTTTCAGGCCGACGTATAGATACAATTTCAACTCAGATGTGTATGATACTAGCGAAAAGAGACGGATTCCGGCGTACACTGATCGAATTCTCTACAAAAGCAAGTCGAATCTGTATGCAACTCGCTACGCAACGGTTGATTTGAGAGGATCTGACCATAGACCTGTGTATGCAACATTCAGGACTGATATTCGGAAAATAGATCATATGAAGCGTGATCAGTTAGCTAAAGAGATACAGGCGAATATCCTAAAAACAGGTCCTAATGAAACAATAGAAGAGAAACTGATGAAGCTGGGAATAACTAGGAGACAACGTGAGTATTTTGAGCTTCCCTAAAACACGCTAACAACACTCAAGAAGCAGAAGATAATCTGCCATCACCTAGTAATGAGAAGTCCAATTGGTGGACGGACGAGGGTGAGTGCAATTATGATAAGTAAGATAACTCTCACAATTCACCAGAAGGCAATGACTTTGACTTCATCTCAGATGTATTTCCAAAAGCGAATGAAATAGAGGTAAGTACGTCGTTCCGCTATTAATCATGTACTCATGTAGTCTCAGATACCCAAAGTAAGGCGACCACCACCACCGCCACCTATCAAACAAAAAGAAATGCAAAATGAAGTAGAACACGAGGACGAAGATCTCATAAACTTATCGCAAGAGCCTCTCGGAAGTGCTGAGACACATCCAGAGCTCGAGGATGCAAAGTCAGACGTAGAGAGTAAATCCAATGAGCAGGAAAAACACATCGAACCGACAGACAAGCCAAAGAAACCACGCCCACCAGTGCCTAAGGCAACTAAACCACTATCGCTGAAGGGACAACCTGTGTATCCAGACAGCAATGACCTTGAGTAATTGATTATAGACCAATGCAGTTGTAATTTTAATTTATTTGTCAAGTTAAAATATACATTACTAATCTCAATGAGTTCATCAGTCAGATGACGTAAATTCTCTTCTAATAGAGATGTGCGATATTTTCTATGCAACCACGATCATTGCTGAGAAATATGTCGACATCAATATCAAACTGGGCCTCAAAGGACGGTGAATTCAGGTGAATATAATTCATTACACTAATCATCCATCTAAATACATCAATAGACGTCAAGTTTCCTCATTTAGAGACGAAATCAAAGCTGGTGGAAAGTTTGAGCCAGAGAACAACCGCTATCATCTGGTTGTCTCATACGCTTGCCCATGGGCTCATAGAGCACTTATCGTTCGCTCACTCAGTGGACTTGAAGATTTCCTGCCATATTCAGTAGTCCATCCATACTTGGGTGAGAAGGGATGGTCATTTGATAAGGATTTTGAAGGCGCAACCGGTTGTACGATTGAAGGCGTTGACGCAACACATTTACGCGATTTGTATTTCACAGCAGAGAAAGACTACAATGCGAGATTCACAGTTCCTATCATTTGGGACAAGAAGCTTAAAACTATCGTATCAAATGAGTCTAGCGAAATCATCCGCTTCCTTAATGATTTAAAGCCAGACGTTGGCGGTGATATCTACCCTGAGCACCTCAGAAAGGAAATTGATGAACTCAATGGTTGGGTATATGACACTGTCAATAATGGAGTCTACAAGAGTGGATTTGCTACCACTCAAGAAGCATACGAGGGAAATGTCAAACCATTGTTCGAATCCTTGGACAGATTAGAGAAGATCCTCTCCGATGGAAGGGATTTCCTTATCGGAGGTCAACTTACAGAGGCTGATATAAGGCTTTACACTACTATCGTGGGTGAATTTGTATGTAAATGTGACAATTGACCCTCCACAGGTTCGTTTTGATCCAGTTTATGTCGGCCATTTCAAATGCAACTTGGGTACAATTAGGCACAACTACCCGCACATTGTCAGTTAAGTTATTACGAAATATGATACATCTAATCACCCCTGTAGAACACTTGGTTGAAGAAACTCTATTGGAAGAACGATGCTTTTAAGTCAACTACTAACTTCAAACGTGAGTGCTGATCTTTAGAGATTTTTTCTGCTGACACAACATATAGAAATTAAGTTCCATTATTACAACTCACACCGTCACATTAATGGTACCGGCGTTGTTCCACTTGGACCAAATCCAGACATTGAGCCTCTCTAGGTAACTTTCGAAATACTTTCTGATGATAACTTTATTTAATGTTATTACATACATGAGCTTACAAAGACATATCGCTAGTGTCAATATTTCTAGCTCTCCAGACCGAAGCAGCGTCTAGATCTTCAGGAACATTATCATTAATAATGATTTCGTTTCCCATTTGAACAACTGTACGACTTAGACCGATACTTACTTTGATGGCTGGCTCTCCCGGGTCATATTGAGTCGGTTGGGATTCAGCATCACCTCTGACCTGTTTTATGATGTTTTCTGCTGCAGTTTGAGCTTGGAACCAGGCATATCTACCAGATTTGATAGCTCCAAAGGCGTCTGCCGAATCGCCTATAACGTAGATATTTGGATGAGCTGAGGTGTGTAATCCTGGATCTTGACCGAGTGAAATTGATTTCTCTGAAGCTTGGCGTGCCGCATCTAGTGTAGGTTTTGTGTTTTCACTTGGTTGTTGTGAAGCCAACTGCATTGATCGTGTCACTTTAATCAATTTCGTGTTCTTATCTACAGAATCAGGTGCTAACTTCTCCATGAATTCACTATTTGGTCTTTGTCCTGTGCATAATAATAGTAAATCACAATCGAACTCTTTTCCACTTTGTGTGAAAACTCTCTTCTCTGAGACATTACCATCAAAATCTACTGTAGTATTCTCAAGTGAGATACGTTCATTGAGATGAATATCAATATTTAAAGATTTCATTGAATTATAGATGATATTGTGCATTTGTGGATCAAAGCGAGGTAAAAGTTGATCACGTGAATGTATGATGGTTACTTTTTTCGTTGGATATCTTTCAGCGATATCAGTTGCAAATTGAACACCTAATGCACCACCACCTGCAATAACGAGTCTTTGAGCAGTTTTAATAACACCTTGACGATGTCTCAACCATTCTACGTAACTCTGTTTCGTACCTGCCATAGTCTTCGCATCCATCTGTAAACTCTTTGGCATTGTAGATCCAAGTGCATAAACTAGATAATCGTAGTGAATTTCATCACTTAAATTAAATTGTTCAAATGTTCTATCTAGTTTAACAGTGTTGTCTTTTATTTCTATTACACTACCGTGAAGTGTAAGATGAGCACCTTTGAGATCAGAGTATGGAATAAATGCTTTGTGTTCATGACTGTTTGTCACAGCATAGCGTGGAAAGACGTAGATATCTAAAGTGATTTGTGAGCATGTTGACGTTGAAATTCTAAAGTTTCAACTGACGGTTGTGATGTCTGAAACTACCTTCAATGGGATAATCTATTGGAAAGTAAAACACTCACGACTTTTTATCAACCACAATTATACGTGCAACATCACCAATACCTTCTACTAAAGCTTTTGCTGCTCTATCACCGCCATAGCTTGCCCCAAGAATAACAATAGTTGGTTTTGTTATCTCAGTCATAATTATTGCTTGAAATAAAGATACTTGTTAATTAAAAGTCAAGATCCTTAGCGAAGGACGTGATCGTTATCAGATGGTGCCTTGCAAATCTAATTTGACATCTATCGGACGAAACTCCATGAAAATCTCATGCGATTTGGTAATGTTTCACAATGTCTTATAATTCTACCATAATACCGCAAAATCTTGTAATACTCTTTACTGTTGTTTTATAATATTTTTTAAAATCACATGTCATGTTTAAGCTTGTATTCTAGAAACTAATAAATTAATAAATTATAAGTACACTACTCGTCACTAGATATGTCAACCACTTCGTCTTCTTCCTCGTCATCATCATCTTCAATCTCATCGGTAATACCCAATGCACTTTTAACTGCCTCTTCATTCTCCTTCCGAGCTGCATCTCTGGCACTATTCGAGATACGAGAGCGTGTAACTCGTTTGGTACCAGGCGTAGCAACATCTGAAGAAGGTTCTCTGGCTCGTTTTGAGTGCCTCGTCGGGTATCCCTCCCCATTGGCAACACGAATGTTACTACTACTTTGCTTGGCTTGTTCTTGCTGCTCGATCAGTACATCAAGTGATACTGGCTGGCCAATCTTCGCTGGTACGTTTATGTCCATTTTGTTCTCGTCTGTGTCATCTATCGGTACCTCCTCTAAGTTTGCGTCAATGATGCCTTCATTGGTGGTTGATCCATTAGGCGTAGGCAGCTCATCTTGAGCTTCGTTGAGTCTACTATATGGTAATGCCTTCTTGGCTTTGGTAATGGTATCCAAAGATTGCTCATAGATGCCCGGTTGGTAATGTGAGCTATCCCCTTGCAGCTGATTCTCAGAGTCCTCTTCAATCCTTTCATGTGGTTGTTGATCAGCACCTCGATACTCCTTGAGACGCTCTCGAATGCGCAAGCCTTGCACAAGCTTCTGCCACTGTTTGTACACCTCTTTAAGCTGTTTATCATGCTCCTTTTCTGCTTGCTCCGATTGCCATTCGTCGAAGGCATCCAAAATGGTATCTTTATGGGATGCATCTACAACAATACCGCTGATGACAGGATTGGCTCGCCTCTGCCTAAACTCAAACCCTGTCACTGCTTCACCATAATCAACACCCAGCTTTTTGGCTATCTTGGCTATTCCTTTATGAGGTAAATGTGCGGCACCTTCAGGTAACATACTTGGCACGTATAAATCTACATTGCCGAATTTATTTTTGGGCACCATTCCATTAACCACCGGTGGTGCCTTATACAACTCAGTTTGGTTGCGAGCATATAAAGCCTGCATTATCTCTTCTTCACCAGCCAAAGCGGCTGCTTCTTGCACTCTACGTTTATTGATAGTAACAGCACGTTGTTTCACCCTTTTTAGAGGCTGAGCACCTTCCACTACCACTCTACCCTGTCTCAACCAATTCTCAGATGTTTTGAGAAGTTGAACATTAGCCCTAGGGTATACTATTTCACCTTTAAATCTGCCTATTTCTCTTGGAGGATTCACGACTTCCTCACGTTTGAGATGTCTCTCAAGTACATATCTATTGTGATGTTAGACTGTCGTATAAGTAACTTGATACCTACACTGGATGGTCTTTGAACCCTTGCATCGATTGTGGCATCGGTTCGCTGAATTGTGCTTGATGCAACTCTGCATCTTCAGTATCATCCCTTGCGAGTCGGTATGGTCGTTCAATTTTACGAACAATTGTATCCCACCAGTCAAAGTTTTTAGAGGGTGGACGCTGCTTGACGGTACGTGTAGCAAATTGTTTCGCATATCTCGGTGTAACGTCTTTGCCATATCCATCTTCCTCAAAGGCAACGACATAAGTCATTTTGTTGTACTTGTATAATGATTGAGGGTCCATCATATTGCGTGCTTTAGTACGTATCATGTTGCGTATAGGATCGACAACTATCCAACGGCAATCTGGTCTTGAGAAGACTTCAGTCCAGAAAACAGGCGGTGAAGAAGTGCTAAAATCACTACTATTGTTTGTTCGTCTTTTATTCGACTTTCTGTAATGACTTGTAAGTTTTATTTGAGGAGGTGCTTTGTTTGCGACTACAGCTTCCCCTCTTATAAACGCATCATCATCGCCTTTGAAACCACTCTTCTGACGTTGCTGCCAGGTCATAAACTTTTCCTTTTTGGATAGACCATTATCGGGGTCATCAGAGGAATCATCTATAGATATGACAGGTTTGGATGCTGTCTGCGATTGTACTCTATATGGCACCGCTTGTACTGAAGTAACCAATCTTGCCGGTACGTTGAGGGCTCTGCAAAGTGCAGTGAAAAGCTGAGCTGACATGTCTCTACTTCCTCTCATTTGTAAAGCACGCTTTTGGAGACTTTTTTCTGATCTTATTACTTCGTAATTGTTGCTGGTCTCCATTTCCCCTTTATCACGTTCTTTTCCTTTCCCTTTGTATCTCTTCTTTTTGAGATCTTCTTGCACATCCGCAAATGGCGTAGTAAGGAGCGTCTTTAAGTTGTAGTCAACTTCGAAACTAATTCTCCACCAATCTATTAATCTTTTGAGCGCATTATCGAACTTTCTACTTCTCTCGATTGGATCTGGTATGTTTGATGGGGTGAGAGAAGAGAATGCGAGTTGATAGTGCAGCGGTAATAGCGATAACATACGTGCCTGTATATAGTGGTTAGATTGGGTAACATATTGGCAAGCCGATATCCTCACGTGTAATAATTCGTCATTTAAAAGCTTATTTCTATGTTTCGCATTGGCGATTAAGGCAACGGCGTGTATTTTGTGAGATGCTAATCTAGCTGCACGCTCTTCAGGTGATGGACCGGCTCTTCTAGATCTAATTCGATGAGAAACAAACGTATAGACGGGTTATATCACCTACTTTGTTTCGCTATCCTTTTCTCTACCTTTCTCAGCAGATTTATCAGTTATAGTAATCTGTATACCCGTTTCTGGTGCCTGAGTAGACGTCGTAGGCTGTCCCGGGAGATCTACTTCCTCCCACTGTTCATCGTCATCATCATCGGTGGCATTATTGGCAGACGAGGTTACGGTATTATTTGTAGGTATTCTATCAACTAATACGTCATTTCCAGATGCTTTAGGAACCTCTACCTCCTCCATTTCGAAATCATCATCTTCTGAACTCATGGTGATTGCTAAGGAAGCTGTGATTTGCTAGCTTATTGATGCTTATGCATAATCATTGTAGATATATTCCACGTTCTTCTATTGACTCTGATTGCCCACGTTCAATAGGCTTATAAAACTAATGACGCAACCTTTCCTTCTCCACAAACCATCATCAAAATGCCAGTATACGAGCAAATTGGAACATTTATTAGCATTGTTTTATTTCAATTTCACCATTAGTTTCAGTCTAATTAAGGCTATCACGCTCAAGTCGATGGTAGTACGCATTTAGACTACAATCATACTACTGCCGTACTACTATCTACGTGAGTTCGCATTCGTTAATAGACCTTAGCTGATCTTAAATATAGAATCTATCAATGAAACTAATGATCAATTCACTCTCCCGCTTTATCAATGAGTTACTACAACACAAACTATGAAGTAACAACGTTGTATTAATGTATTATAACTAATTGTAATGTATACTAGCTATTCTTAAACATATATTAAACACTGATTTACAAAGCACCTCCTATACCCTGGTATCGCTTCCAAAACAAAGTAGAGTGTATTATCAACTATTTCAATTGTTCTAGCTTATTAGTGACTAAGATAGCCACAATCATATCCAAAGAGCTCTTCATTCATTTGAAGGGCTTTTTACTGGCCTAGGCGATGGTATTCTAGGCGACATAGGGCCTGCAGATGATACCAACTCCTGTATACTTGCTTCTAAGCTATCAACTCTATCAGACATCTCATTCACTGTCTGCTGTCAGTGTAGCTTGATCATTTCAAATATCCTTACTTCTCTCTAAGACCGTATTCGACATCACATCGAATTTCGTATCGAGCTTGTTGAGAACGTCTTCAACCTTCTATCGTCAGTAATATCATACAGTACCGATATAACGCACAAACGCAGTCAACTCATGTGGACTACTGATATCCATTTCATTTTCCTTCTTAGTGTTGGTTGAACTATTTGTTTTTGTAGATAAAGGAGCTGCTGGCTTTAGTGACATCGATCTTGGTGGTTTACCTTCAAGCAACCTACTATCGATCAGGAATAAAGGAAGGAAAAGAAAATATAAGTCATATTTCATTTTATTTAAGTGTCTATGCTCTTAATTTATTCACCTTCAGTATTCGAGCGTGTTTTCTTTGTGTCACTACGATATTTCTGATTACCGTGATTATCTCAGAAGTCAGAGTGTGTGATAGTGAATATTGTTGGAGAAAACCAACAATACAATTTATTCATTGAAGGGTGTTTTCGTATGTTTCTGGGAGTTGAGTGCGCCTTGTTTGTTAAACGCAATATGGCGAAGTGGACCTGGAATTTAGTAAGGAAGAGCAGAAAAGATGCGAATATATACAATTTGATATATTATAGTATCTGTGTTATCCACAACGTTCTTGGACGCAATACATGCCAACTCAAATGCTCTATATATGGGACATTTAGATGATACACAGACTTTCATTGTATTACCCATCATCCAATAACCAGAATGTTAATATGCCAATGAATTAAATCTATACATGTATTATTATTTTTCTTGTCAAAAAGTAATGAGACTTGATGCACATGAAGGATCCTTAGGATGATCGACCCCGTAAATAGGATTGGAACCGATATTGACACAAGGATATATATTTATATTTATTCTTGATTTTTTAGTTTTAGTATTGTATCCTCTATTCTAAATGATCGTCTTCAAGATTTACACGCGAAAAGCAATCCAAATTGACCATCTTTAAACCCATCCGCAATTGACATTATTGACGTTGCCATACCCAACGGTGTTATCACAGCTCCAAGAGCGACACTTATCATTGCTACTAGAAACATCGTCATCTTCCATCTGTTTACAAACATTCTTCCTTGGTTATCGTAGAACCGGAGGATAGACGATGCATAGTAGGAAAGGCAAACAGCCTCAATGCTTGATGTTAGACTAAGTAAATCATTGAAAAATGGCACGAGTTCTGATATTATAAATGAGATAGACCAGATTCCAAATACAACTGCGTACCATATCCAACTAGCTTTCCAGGTTTTGCTATCGAGATATGTGGTATGAGTAGCGCGGGCGACAAACCGTTTTGATCGCCTACAATTATATAAACACCAGCGCCTATAACTACATAAAAAGTTATAGAGATAATCTGAACTATAGTCAACGACTTCTTGAAATCTCTAGATCGACCTTTCATTTCTGAAATAAAGGTAAAGAAGCTTCCATGGGCAGAATATCCATATATTATATCAGTAATTGCTCCTACTGTGTCATTAAGACCGGGATTATTAAAAGCCTTCCATGTTACTTCGCCATATTGTGGTCGCTCAATAGCTACACCGATAAGAGTAAGGAAGCAACTTATGGCAATACAAATGAAACCAATCAGCGAAACAAATGACGTGTGTTTAAACTTTCGTGGAATCGACAGAAGAAACCCAATGATGACGACGACGATACCAACGATTGTCGAGCAAACAGTATTGTTTGAGAAGAAAGTAAAAGCGCTAATTCCTGCGGAGATATGGCTAGCTGTTCTGAAGAAACCTTTCAGCATCAAAAGTGCTGTAAAGACTCGATACAACAGAGTACTCATAACAGCACCAGCATCAGCGAAATTCCGAACTTGAGGATGATGTTTACTGAACGAGCCAATAACTATTCCCGTTCTTCAAGCTAACACACCAAGGAATACAGTAGTTATTACGGTAGTAACCTTCAGGTGTGAGTCCATGGTTTTAACCCCTATACTCACTCACGACACCCATGCGACGACAAGCTGAAGGCATACTGAGTACTCCTATAGCAATCGTCTCTGATAATAAGACAAATGTGGCTTTCTGCCAACTCATGTCACCACTTTGACTAATTGTGCTATCATAACTTTTCTCTTCGTCTGATGAAGCAGACTTTCTATCGAGGTATATTGGATAATATAGTTGATGAAGAAAGCTGGAATATTGCTATATTAGGAAAATGACATTTCTGCTATTTTTGCACTCGATAACTTCCGGTTCATTCGTTGAATATGCTTCATTGAATATCTTCACTCTTTTCGCAGAAACTAAGCTGAATTAAAACCCTAAGAGTAATTGAGCCTTCTTTTCTTAACTGTAGGATTTAGTTATTGCATAACATACATCATAGGTCATGGTTTCAATCAAGGAATGTATACACAAGATTTGTACAAGATTTTATACATACAGAAATTAGACCAGCTAATTCCTTCAAATAATGTTAGTTTGTGTCTCTTTACTTAAGCACTACCTGAGAGCGCTTGTTCAACTGTATCTTCAACTTTAGTGATAGTGCTATCGATAATATTACCAGCGTCTCTCTTTGATTCGCCTTTAGTAATGAAAGAAATGGCTTGTTTGGCGAGGTCTTCGACGCTGATATCGGCGCGCTTGCTAAGTGAGGTGGTAAACTGTGAGAGTGCACCATTTACTGCGTTCTTTTGGTCTTCTGAGAGATTGAAAGCGTTTTCAATTTGACCAGCGAGTTGTTGTACGGTTGATGCATCAATTTCACGCTTTGAGCCACCACCGAGTAATGGACCGAGTAGTTGTTCAACTGGTGCGAGTAAATCTGATTCAGAACGCTTTCTTGAGGAGCTTCCACCTGTTACTTGATCAATAACATTACCAATCAAGCTGCTGATTTCATCTTGACGCTTAGTTGGGAGTGCACCCATTGTGTCATTCAAGACTTTACCGACTAAGTCTAGACCTGGGAGTTCATCGCGCTTAGCAGTTTGATTGAGAACCTTGCTAACGATTTCACTGAATGGATCTGAACGCTTTAATGGGAAATTTTGGCTATCGATAGGCAAGCTGTTTGTGATATCGGAAACTATTGAGAGCGGATTGCCGCTATCAGCGCGTTTGGCTGATGATGATGGAGAAAGAAGATCTCCAGCAATTGGTAAGTCACCAAAGAGATTTGATAAGATGTCGCCATCACGTTCAACGCGAGTTGGCAAAGCAAAAGCAACTGTTGCAACAGCAGCAAATATTGAGAGACGCATTTCTTATCATTCGTTAGCAAATCTTATAGTCGTACATCCAATAGACTTACTGTTGAAGTTTAAAGTTGAATTTAAAAGAGAAGGAAAGTTATAGTATTTGTTGGTGGTTTATTGTCAAAGACGTCTGCGTATTTATACAATCTGAAATTGTCTCACCATCTGATCGGTCATCGAACAAGTACGCAGTGTGAAAATTTAGATAAATGATCAAAAATTGCATCAAAATGGACTAGTAAAAAGTGAATAGTAGCTTCATTTGCCCCAAAATTATGAAGGCTTCTTAAATATCCCATTTATTCTCCAAAAACTAGTAATATTGCTGTAAAATTTGAGAATTGTCTCAGTTTGTCTCATCCCCGGATAAGTTAAGCGAATAATTTGATGAAAACCGAAACACACCAATAACGTTGATCTCTTATCTGAAACATATGACCAATGCTGATGCAATTGTGTGGCACCATCCATAGAAGCGTTTCGGTGGAACTTTCTGATAATAACCACAACGAATTTTGAGTAATCTAAACCAACTTTCAACCTATTTCGCCCTCGATAATTCCAAATTCGCTCATTTAAATTGTTGTCATCATATACAAGAAAGTTTATGCGGAACTATCACCCATAATTTCCGTGGGAGTCCGAAGTAAGCTTAGACACTTAATATACTCCATGTGAGTGAGCACAAGTGCATGGACCGCAGTAACTGACACAATTGTTAATAAATGCCATCATACAATTAAGAAACTAAGCAATAAAGCAACGTGATGAGCTGCAGCAGTTATTATAACCTTATAGTAGTCACGCAATTAAAATAACAATAAGATGCATAAGAAATTAGAATTCTCTCAATTATTGCGAGTCCCACGTGCGTCGCTCGTCTTCTCTCTACGTGATGGCAACGATACAATCATGCAAAGCAACGAGCTGTTGTAGTACGAATACACCCAAAGCATGCAATCAAGAAGATGAGAAAGCTGGTTTAAGTGATTGTCCACTCTTCGAGGATGATTGTTTAGATTGTGACTTCTGCGACGGTTTGAATAACTTTGACGAGAAAGCAAATAATACATGTGCTACAGGTGGGTTTATATGTACTTCTTATCAAACAATCCATAACTTCTGCCCTTCAGATCCTTTCAAATCGTTATCAATCTTCGATAAGCTTCTCGGACCATTAGTTCTAATAGCTATGATATTAGGTGTGGTTATTGGTGTATACGCTAAGGATGGCGTGAAAACACATCTCATAGAATCAGCTCAATGGGAAGGCGTTTCGGTACCAATATTGGTCGGTTTGTTACTCATGATCTGGCCTGCACTGAGCAAGGTGAACTGGGAAAAACTGGTTGACCTATCCAGAGAATTAAAACTTTGGATTCATGTTGGGATGTCTATTATTATCAATTGGATTATCTCACCGCTAATGATGCTCGGAATAGCGTGGGCAACATTACCTGACGCAGAGATGGAGAGATATCGTAAAGGTGTTCTATTGGTTGGTGTTAGTAGATGCATTGCGATGGTCATTATTTGGACAACAATCGCAGATGGAGATGTCAACTATTGTGGTTATCTCATGGTTATCAACTCACTCTTGCAAATAGTACTATTTTCGCCATACTCACTTCTCTTTGTTAACATCTTAGGTGGTAATAGTGGTGGGCCACAATTGCACCTCGATTACGAAAGCACTGCACGTTCAGTTGGCATATACTTGGGTATTCCGTTAGCCGCAGGTATCATCACACGTTTCGCCTTGCTTAAGTACTCGTCAGTCAAGTTCCGAGGCTGGTTTTATGAAGTAGCCGGTAAAATTGGGTTGATAGGATTGCTTTACACAATTATCGTACTCTTTGCAAGTCAGGGAAGCAACATTACAAAAAACATTGGTAAGGTATTCCGCACAATAGTACCCCTTCTGTTATACTTCATAATTGTTTGGTTTGGTAAGTCTTTTTATATGTTTCTATTCCTCTAACCGGACAAAGCAACCTTTTTGGGATTCTGGAAACTTGATAGATCACATCGCTACCGAGATCTCGCTGGCGGTGGTTATGAACGAGCTGTAACGCAAGCATTCACAGCAGGATCTAACAATTTCGAGCTTGCTATAGCAGTCGCAACAGCAGCCTTTGGTCCTGATTCGCCCGAGACTATTGCTGCCACCTTAGGTCCTCTTATTGAGGTACCCGTATTGCTCCTACTTAGCTATGTCGCATTATTCTTGCGTGCTAAGCTTTTCAAGGGTAGTTCGTCTATAAAGCTGGAAGCTGCCTAGACATATATATCGTTGCTTTAATTGTAAAATTAACATAGACGGTTTAGACATTTAGAGGATGAAAATGTTCACTACGTGTAGTTTGTGGCATGTAAGATGTTGCATTATGTAGATTAAACTACAGTTAAACATATAACGAGCTCTAAAAGTTGTGCAGTGTCACTTCATAGGAGTCGTATAAATATCAACCATTGAGGAAAAAACTCCGGTTGCGGGGAAGTCTTAAAAGAGCAAAGTATTGTATTTGTTTTTCAATTATTATTTTGTATGCACGTTTTAATGACTAATTTCCCGGGACCGAATAATGAAGTTGATCCTTACGCCCTTATCGCCATGACCACGTCGTTTTTATCGTCTATGAGCTCGTCGAGCACAGGCAGTGGTACTTCGTCTGTAAACCCTTCGGGTGCATTCGTTTTCCAGAGGTCAGGGGAAGACAATTTCAAGATTTATAACGGAACGAGTCTGAGCAAAATAAAGAAACATGATGAACCGGTAATGAATGTGATATTCCAGGGTAATAAGGTCGATTTGTATAATGACGAGAAGAAGTGTATCGCTACTGCGAGGCATGCAGAAAAGAAGAAAGCATATTATACCACACTAATCATAAAAGACTGCCCGGTGATCATCGTCGATAGAAAGTCATCGTTCACCCTAGTAGATGGCACACCATGTAGGCCAGTAATTGACAATAAAACTATCACAATCATAGATGACAGGAGCAAACTTGCCTTGGCTTCTTTCGAACTAAACACTCGTTCATTTACAAAACATGGCGTTCTCAGATTGTTTGCACCACATTTGAGCAACGAGAGCCTTTCATTTATGTTCATTTCTATCATAGTTTTGCTGAAGTTACAACGTGATAGAGAATCGTACACTAACATCTCGGGTATCATATAAAAAAGGCTCAAACGAGTCTTGTATACTTCTATACCTCCAATTTACTCTTCGCGATATAAAAATATTTAACTCTAATTACCTTTTTGTATTATTGAATGTAAATCCTGTATACACGCTACCTTATCTCTATTAAACATCTATTCAAATGAGTCGACATGTTTGCTAGGAGCCCGTATACCCTGTGCCGCCATCCTAAGTGTCCTGAATTCATTGCTTGAGTAGACCTTCTGCGTTGAGGCAAACTTGGCTGATTGCTCTTTAAACCAGTCAGGAGCATCGATGACTGGTAACTCAGACGACTTCGCGGGTAGAGTCGCTTTTTCAGCTTCCAACGTTGTACCTGTGTGCTCAACAAAGAACTGATTGAGGATGCTAGCCTTAATGAGGTGATTTAGCCTTTCAGCACCGACTGTCTTTGCTGTACTTTGGATTTGCATTTTCGCCTCAGCTGCCCAATCATTCACTATGTGCAAATGATCAATGTCGATTAGGAATGCTGTCAAATCTTGTCCAATTATTGAATGATTTGCTAAAGCGAGGAGGTTGACAATTGTGGGTGTGTGCTGCGAAATAGAAATAACAAAGCTGTGGTATTGGTCCTGCTTTAGTTCCTTAGCATAATCCAGGAGCACCTTAGATACTTCGATGGGTCTGAGGAGAGCCATATCATGTCCTACCATTCCTTCTACTATGGCATGAGTTTTCTGAAGGTCGAGTGATTGTAATGCTAATGCGTTGACTGTTTGCCTGCTACTATCGCTGCCACCTAGTAGATAAGCCGTCGTTGTGAGTGATGACGCCGTTGAGAAGAAAGATAGCGGATCAACGTTGAGCTTGCATGTCGCTCTCATGGATATAGATGCTGCTCTACATAGTAAATTTATCATTCTAATCTGCGCATCGCTATCCAAATCTAGAAGGTCGTCGTCATACGCAGCAGAAAGTTTCTTAAACGCAAAAAGTAGATCCTCTATGGCACTTAATGTGATCTCCTGTGAGCTGATAACATCTGGCTGACCATCCAACTTCTCTATTTTCTCCTCAATCTTTATCGTGTTACAGATATCAATCAGGGATTGCTCTGAATGAAGTGCGCTGTATATATCAGCTAATTGTTTTATGGATAGAATATCGCATACTCTATATCTCTGCATATCTCGCGTATGCATTCTATTGCGAATGTCATCGTTAGGGATAAAGAGATTACAGCTGCGAGATTGAAGATTTGGAGAGTGATTGCATAAGATAAGTATACATTAGCAAAATTGATGTAATCACATTGTACGTGTTGTATCGTATTGTGTTAACAATCAACCAACAAGTCGGAATCATCTTAAAAGAGGAGATCCCAATCTGAGAATGATAGTTTGAATAAAATTACTAACACTTTATACGAGAAACTAGATTACTTTCTTCATTCGAGATATTGAACATACAGGATTTGATAGAGTAGAGATGCTGGGATTAGATGTATATATATATAGAACTGATATATCCAACGTACACTCTAATAAATATTTTCTAATACTATTTATACTTCACAAAAATTCTCATCCTTATCAAACCTTCTCTTAGATAAACCACGAGGAGATGTCAAAAAAGGATCTTACGGAAGCTGAATTAGCAGCTAAAAAAGAACGCAAAGCCGCTAAGAAGGCTGCTAAAGCTGTTGTAGAGGAGAAGCCAGAGAAATCATCTGAAGTGAGCGACGAAGCTGCAGAGAAGGCAGCAAAGAAGGCAGAAAAGAAGGAAAAGAAGAGAAAGTCTGAAGCTGTAGATGGAGATAAAGCAGTTGAGGAGAAAGGCGTGCGTTCTCTTCACGTTATGATCTAAATACCGTCTAACAGCATATAGTCTAAGAAATCTAAAAAAGTTAGCGGTGCCAGTGATGAGGAATCCGCTAAGTTTTTCAAGGATAATAACATGACTGTATCAGATTCGTCAATCAAGCCTTTGCTCAAGTTTGACGATTTGCAAGTCGAAGAATCACTTGTTAAGCCATTGAAGAACTTCGAAAAGCCAACACCAATTCAATCTATCACCTGGCCATGTTTATTGCAAGGCAAAGATACTATCGGTATTGCTGAAACGGGTTCAGGAAAAACACTCGCATTTGCTATCCCTGGTTTATCCAGACACGTTCTCAGCGACGCATCAAACAAGACAGCATCTATCTTGGTTATTGCACCAACACGTGAATTGGCTGTACAAACATATGACAACATCGACAAATTGAACATCACCCAGTCAATTTGTTTATACGGTGGTGTCAGTAAGGATGAGCAAAAGAGAACGATAAAGAAAAACAAACCTAGAGTTATAGTTGGTACACCAGGTAGATTGCTTGATTTGGCAAATGATGGAGGTGTTGATTTCTCAAACGTCAAATATCTCGTTCTTGATGAGGCTGATAGAATGCTTGACCAAGGTTTCGAGAAGGATATTACAGCAATCATCAGCAAAACACCAAAGGAAAGACAAACTGCTATGTTTAGTGCAACTTGGCCTCAAAGTGTTCGCGCCCTGGCTGCTACATTCATGAAGGACCCTGTTAGAGTAACCGTCGGTTCAGAGGAGCTCACAGCTAACAAGCGTGTTGACCAAGTAATCGAGACTCTTGACAATGGAAGGATGAAGGAACAACGCTTAAATGCACACCTCAAGAGTATAAGAAAAGATATGGGTAATGCTAGGGTATTGGTATTCGCGTTGTACAAAAAAGAAGCAAGCAGAATTGAGAACACTTTGAGAAGAGGTGGTCATGCCGTCGGCTCAATCCACGGTGACCTCTCACAACAACAGCGTATGAAAGCACTTGCTGATTTCAAGGATGGTAGCGTACCTCTTCTTGTAGCTACTGATGTCGCTGCTAGAGGTCTTGATATTCCAAACGTCGAAGTAGTTATCAATGTTACCTTCCCACTTACGATTGAGGATTACGTTCACAGAATAGGTAGAACTGGTAGAGGAGGTGCTTACGGAAAGTCAATCACATTCTTCACGGATGACGACAAGTCACATGCCGGAGAGTTGATGAAGGTTTTGAGAGAGGGTGGATATGAAATTCCAGAGGGTCTTAAGAAGTATCCTGCTGTTATCAAAAAGAAGGAGCACGGTGCTTATGGTGCATTCTACAAGGATATTGGCGAGGCACCTAAGCCAAAGAAGATAACCTTTGACTAATTGTATGCTTGTAGTTAAAATATTATTATTGGGAATGTGATTTTATAGAAATAAAAGCTAAGAAAAGCGAAAATTTGAGAATGCTCAAAACCGCAGACATTTTGTGTGCTTTAATGTATAGTATAAATGATGCTAGTGTAAACACTGAGTAATTTGTCATATTGATTTAGATGAAGATGTGACTTGCCTTCTGTGTTGATATTTGACACGTAAAACTGAATACATGGGCATGTAAATATAATGCAAAAGTAATTTCTCTATCACCTTTAGGTATAAAGAACGAGTTAAAAACGGAGAAAAAGGGAAGTTCCTTTGTGATACCCTGAATCTACGGTTAACGGTAAAGTGAGTATTTTACAGTAATAAAAACTCCTAAAGAATAGCCTAAGAATGTAAATTCCCCAAGAGTTGAAAGAAATTCCAGCGGATTAACGTTTATGCATGATGCACTGACGGCTGTTCCTCCTTCACCTACACTTCCAAGACGATGGACGCCGGGGACAAGGATCAACCGCGCGTTAAGTTTGATTCTAAGAAGATGAGCCAGTCGAGCCAAGTGATGAAGACGAGCAGACGGGGAAGACCCTTTGTACGGGATTTGCATGATCTTTTCAGTACGATGGTAGTATCTTTAGATCTCAAAACACATAGAAACATATTCAAGAGTTATTCAAACTCATTCACAACCGGTGAGTTCGCCACTTTGCTATACTATAATGTTCTTATGCAATCTAGACGAAGCATGTAGCAACTTACACAACCTCAAATTCAGTCAGAGCGTTAGACTCCCAGATCCTAACAACCCTTCTAAAATTATTACTACAACGTCGACGACGACATTCTCGATGGAGAGACAGATGGCCAAGGGCGTATGTCAGATCTTCATGGACGCTCATCTGATCATCAACGCAAGCGATACATCCTCTAGAGCCTTCAAGGATAGGGGTATATACTTAATAACACCGAAAGGCTTGCACGTCTTAGAACGCTTCATCAGCAAAAATGGTATTAGTGCAGAGCACCTTATTAACGTCTTTTCTACACAAACGATCTGCTTAAAGCTGCTTCATTTAGAAAGGCGTCCTATTGATGATGAGATTCTCGTCAACAAGCAAATAATCAACATTGTCTTCAGAAGGTTCGTTGGCAGACAACCAAATTATTCTCCAGAGTCTCAACCATCGAAACAGTCCATGGATAAGGATAGCGATAAGGGTAATGGTGTACCCGTAAACGATATATACATGACGAAGGCAGCTGTTTCCTCAGAAGTTGCAGACATACACCACACTTTCGCTTCTAATGCTGCACTCGATTGGTTGCTCGACTACACCACAATAGCCGGTCGTGATGAAGCGGCTGAAATTGCTGCTCACTTCGTTAGATATGGCCTTATTCGTCTGGTCAGTGAGAAAGGCAAACGGGGTGACGATCTCATAGTTACTGTCAACTACGCCCAACACCCTGATGACACTGTTTTAGTGAGTTAATAGCGTTTTTAAAATCTTATCACTAATTAATATTCAGGAATGCCAGTTCAGAGCCGGTAGCAAGTGTGAATACGGTATCACCCCTGCAGGCAGACGCGCAGCTCTCTGGGAAACAGGCTCAACAAATGAATCTTCTGACTCGCTTGACAGGTCTTCAAGCTCAAAACACAGAGATTCTCACAATCTCGCGCGCCAACAATCCAAAGCTGGCGGTCAACTGCAGGCGCAGTATGCACACGAGCGTACCCGCGATGCTGCCGTAGCAGTCGCATCAGCTCATCATAAAGAAAGCAACACTGGTCGTCTCAAACAAATACTTGATGACCCAGCTCTTAGAAGCTTATTTAGAGAATTCTTACGATCAAACTTCTGTGAAGAAAATCTTTCCTTCTGGTTAGATGTACAAGATTTCAAGAGAAAGTTCTCAACAACGTCCTCAGCTGTTGCAAAACCACAGCACTTTGGCTTGTTTTCAAAATCAAGTGACAAGAAAGGAGGCCCATCAGCGATGCAGCAGCATCAACAGGATATCAATGCGATGGCTTGTGTCATTTATAATACCTACCTCGCTCCATCATCATCCTCGGAACTTAACATAGATCATGGATTGAGAGCTGAGTTAGTCAATTATGTGGCAACTATTAAAAGAGAAGCTCGTGAGAAGTACGGTACAGAAATTAAACCAGATACTAATGAAGATAATGGCCTCGGTCAGATACCATTACAAGCGTCACAAATATCACGTCTCATTGTTCTTTATGAACGTATACAAGCGTACATATTTAGGTTAATGGCAACTGATAGTGTACCAAAATTCGTGAAGACCGAAAGATTCCTCAATTTGATGAAGACATTTGAAGAATACCAAGAAACGCTCATCCACGACAAATCCACACCACCAGTACCACCACTACCGAAGGAAAATGAGGGATCTAATAGCTCACTGAGATCGCATTCCGTTCACTCACTACGCTCATCAAAGAAGAGTCATAATTCAACTGAAGCACTTGCCAACACCACTTCCAATACCTCATTAGGTTCAAAGCAGAGCTCCCGAGAGGATAGCTAAGTGGAGCAATTTGCTAATCAATGCGATAATAATCAAACCTAATTACGTTACGGATTACGATTAATATTATAATAAAAAATTTACACTACTTGATGAACATGCAGGCATTGGTTCATCAATAATCATTTTAATACGTGGATTGTTATTCCCTTAAACAATATCGTAGCGGTATCTTACAGTAATATTTTATATACTTTTTAATATACATAATAGCCATTTAAAATTTGACAGCTAGATTGACAAGTCAGTGACATTATGCAGTGTGATTTATTTTTTTGACAGCTTTTTTGGCATTTAAAGCGCCGACAGACGTATAAAATGTTTTTGTTTTAAAATTCGACATCATCAATGACGCAGTTTGGATACAGAAAATCAAAACGAAATTCGAAACACCCAGGATGGTCATACAAACTGTCTATAATAATTTACTAGGTTTAGGATTTATATTCACTGTGACTGCACCTACGATCCCGTTGCAAGTCTATCACGGATATAAGATCGCAGCATCAGGGGACGATAAAGAAGCACAGGAGTACTATAAGCAGCGATCTGAAAGCATAGACCGCTTCACTCGAAAGATCTACGACAAACTCGAGTGGAAGGAGGACGAGCATTTTGATCCGGAGACGGAGGACCCCAAATAATTTACCCTAAATGTTTCTCTCTTGTTAATATACCACTTAAACGAATATATCATCGGCTACAAAGAGATGTATGATGTCTTTCTTTTGTCTTTCTTTTATGAGAGTCTCTGCAGCTCGAAATAATGATTAGAGACGCGCTCGAACCCCTTCTCTCGCGTAGGACAACTCTCTAGCGCACTTCAGTTACCGTACCTAGATGCGCTTTTCTTCAACCTTAGATGCACCCTTTATGGTGTTTTTCCATAGTGTTTGTAGTACGAAATCATTTTTTTATTTCATTCATCTCGGCATCTACTTTTCACGAGGTTGTACCTCCCGTGATTTCTTCTGCAAAAACGTCGATCCTCCAGGATCATAAGCATAAAACGCGAGAATTAGAAATGTCCCTGGCGAGCTGGTTGGACGACGTAAACAAGAGACACGCTAATACGGTATACGCGTCCAAAGAGATCGACAAGGTGAGCCACCTTTGATTTTATTAGAAGATCCCTAACGGCTTTATAGGAATTTCAGAAAATTAGAAGGCGTCGCTCAAAATCTCTGGGTAGCACTACCGATATTCCGCCAGCGCGTTCACCTAAGAAAACGGATTTGTGTTTAGACATACCCCAATCAAATTTCAATAGGAGGTCTAACACAGCGAGGAAATGGGAGAGTAGTTCCGGGATGGCTACACCTACCACGCCTAGGAAGGCGCTCGCACAGACACAGCCATCGACGCCCACATCGTCTTGGACGTCTAACAGAGTCGTTGGCGCGACGTTAAAAGGAGTCAACAGAGCTATACCGTCACCAAAAGAACGCGGTATACCGCTGTCACCCAATAGCTCTTCCAGACGCGTCGAATACCCAGGTTTTGGAGAATCTGTGAAGAAGCTTGACTTTGGGGGCCAGAGGAGGCGTAACTCACCCATTGTTAATCACTACGAGAAGGATGTCTTCGGTGCGTTATTGCCGGGTGGAAATAAAGAGAATATACCACCTGGTAGCGAGTACCCACAGTTGAGCCCATCATTGGGCGCCTCTTTAGGTATCTCTGTGGAAAACAACCCCGAGGTATCCGAAAAAGGACCTAAAATGAGACCAAAAGAACCAAATGTCTTGAAGAGATGGCAGCCAATAAACGCATCAGCGAACACCCCACGGGAGCGCAAGATATCGCCATCTTTGCGTCAACTCAAGACACGCTCAATGCCTACGTTTCCACCATCCGTGTCATCACTCAGGAATACCCAGTCAACAAATTCATCACGGTCTTCACTCACATTATCAACTAACGATAACATTGGTCGTTCACCTAATGGGAAATTAGGCGATAACTCTACAACTAATACTTTCACGTCATTTACTTCAATTCTTAACGACATTGATCATGCTCACGATAATAATAAGGACATTAATACATCTAATAAGGACACTAATAAGCATAAACATCATAGATCACTCTCAACACCCTCAATCGTGGTGGATAATGAAGCTGAAGGTGAAAGCGAAGCGGGTGATATCTCTCAATCCAGTTTAATAGAGCTTGATGTTGACCATGAGACAGTAGCACCACAATTTGATCTCGCAGCAACCCCGAGGAGTGATATCTTCAGCAATAACATACAGTTATTCCCTGAGGTTGTTGCGCCCAAACCGATTCACGTACACATTGGTAATCCTTTGGGCAGAATTGAAGAAGAGGCGAATGTGGCACACCGTCCACTCCCAACTCAGCCTATCAACAGATCACCAAATAGACACAGACCGCTACCCTCACCAATGCTTTCTCCTAGCATGCAGCCCAAATCTCCCTTGATGACGCCGCCTTTGTCAACACCCAGACATGCTGCTTTGCCGGCTCCTCCAAGCGGAGTTGACGTCTTTGCGGAAGCTGCGAACAATAATGCCAATGCTTTGAAACCAAAGCGCATTTACAAACCAGCTCTTAACAAGAATGTGAGTTTGTTTTGCTTTAAACGTGACACTACTTATATAACTACAGCATAGTGCACCTAGCTTCATCAGCCAAAGGAAGCTTAACGCACCTAACGTATCTTATGCAGCTACACCCCCACCAGCGAAGAAGTAAGGAGCTCTAATGATAGTATAATATGAATATCTCTACTATTTTTACAATCTGATGTGCATGTGTAAATGCCTGATGTATACAAGATAGTGTACATAATGACTAATGCGGTGGTATTATATTGGACTTTCTTTATTGAACCTTTTGATTGCATCCACGCTAAAATCGGCAGGACCGTGCTTGATCCAGTCGATGGAGTACATACCAAGGTTGTTTGGAAATGGATATGGGATTGACTTATGGTTGAGGCTTTTCTCCCAATCTGTCATCGTATCCCTATCATCCATGAAGCTATGTATCGAGCTATCTTCCTGATATCATGTGAGATCGCAAAATATATGTGCAAGAACTTATACACACAAGCGTAATATCGAGGCTTTTTAAGTATTCCTCCTTCTTCTTCCTTATTTCCTTCTCTTCAGCTTTAGCTTTCTCGTCTTTTTCTTTCCTAGCCGCAAGGGTACCTTTGACATCCGTAGCTTTCTCAGTCATGTTAAACAAGGCACCGATATCCATTGGACCCTTTGGCTGTGGCTTTCTGGGTGTGGTTGCACCGGATGTGGAGGGTGACGGTTTCATCTTCTTGAAACTTGGCATGTCCTTCTTAGTATTTAAGGACGCCGGTGGTACAGCTGGTGACGACTTTTGCTGACCATCTGCATTTGATGAGTCTGTTTTCATCATGGGAGCATCTGATTTCTGCTTAGAAGTTGGTGTACCTGCCTCGCTAACGCTGTGTTCTTGGGTATCTTGGGAAGTCTTCCCGGTGCTACCCTTAGAGATTTCATTACGCTCTGCGCGATCAGCCTTCGCGCGTGCAGATGAATCAGCTTTCTCTTTCTCCTTCCTTTGCTGTCGTTCCTTCTCTTTCTGTTGTCTGTCGACTTGTGCCTGTCTTTCTTTCCGCTCTTGTACTATATCTGGCAGCTTCTTCGCCTGATCTACCTCTTTCTTAGGCTGTTCTTCCGCCCTTTGAGGCTCCTTCGACGCAAATTTCGTAGATGTCGATACTTTGACTTTACTGTTTTTAGCTTGCGAAGTCTCCGTCGTCCTTACTTTCGGTTGAAGTGGGATGTTGGTATTTCCAGTAGATTTTGAAGTACCTCTCTCATCTTCTTCTTCTTCGTTATCACTCGATCCTACGACTCGAGGTCTCTTCTTAGTAGTTTTTGCTGTATCTACGTCCATTTCATCCTCTGATGCGCTCAACAAACTCGAGGCTTCAGATTCTTGGCCTGGTGTAGACGATCTTACTGGTGGTTCAGATAGCGGTGATGATCCAGTCGACATTTCAGTCCCCAGATGATTGTTTATGTGAGAGAAGCTTTTTAGCGTACGACCATGATGATACTGAGATCACAGATTGCTAGAATATCAAAATCGAGTAAATTATCTGTAAATCTATCCCTCCGCTATCAATCTACCCTCATAAACGGCCAATCTTACAGTCGGGATGAGTTCACAAACGCACCGTCGTCTATTCTCGCTCTCACAGAGCGACAATTGCATCAGCAACCTAGTCATCCGATTGGTATTTTAAGATCTTTGATAGAGAACTCACTCAATAATTACCAACATTTGACCGCACCTTCGCCGATTGTTTCTACTTACAAGAATTTCGACGAGTTGGAATTCCCAGAAGACCACCCAGGGAGAAGTTTATCAGATTCCTACTATCTCAACAAAACTACTATGTTGCGTACTCACACTTCTGCACACGAGTGCGATGTCTTCAAAAAAGGTACAGACAAATGGATCCTCACGGCAGATGTATACAGGAGAGACGAGATTGACAGCTCTCACTATCCTGTTTTTCATCAAATGGAGGGTGCTTGTGTTTGGGATGATACTACTAAGAACGTCGAAAAGGCAATCGAAGAGGAATTGCATCTTTTAGAGAAAGCACTGGCACATACCAACGTCATAACAGAGGATGTTACCGTCAATAACAATCCAAACAACCCATATCAACTATCACAGAGACCAGAAGTTTCTGGTTTGATCGTAAAGCACTTAAAAATGACACTCAACTTACTCGTATACAATTTATTCAAGCATGCTCAGAATGTCGACGCCGAACCACTCAAAGTGAGATGGATCGAAGCCTACTTCCCTTGGACTGGTCCTTCTTATGAACTTGAAGTACTCTGGGAAGGCAAGTGGTTGGAGCTTCTCGGATGTGGTGTCATGCAACAGCGCACACTCGAACGTGCTGGCATGGGACATAAAAGCGGCTGGGCTTTCGGACTTGGTTTAGAGAGAATAGCAATGGTCCTCTTCGGTATACCGGATATCAGACTGTTTTGGTCAACAGACGCACGCTTTCTCTCACAATTTGAGTCAGGGAAGATCAGCAAGTTCGTTCCATACTCAAAATACCCGCCATGTATCAAGGATGTCAGCTTCTGGGTGAACAAACCCTTCCATGAGAATGACCTCTATGAAATTATCCGCGAATGCTCCCAAGATCTCGTTGAAAGTGTTGAATGTGTAAGTTTTAAATGTGTCTTCTGAAATCGCTAAAGATACACTCAGATTGACAACTTCGTTCATCCGAAATCACAACGTCATAGTCTTTGTTATCGCATCAATTACCGTTCGATGGATAAGAATCTGACAAATGAAGAGGCGAATGATTTGCACGCGAGCGTGATTGAAAACATCAAAAAGGCCTTCAATATAGAGATTAGATAGATTTTGTAAAACAATATACATTTACCCTGTAGATTGCTCATCCCGCTCACAGCATCTTAAGGAAATGATACTCTGAGTCATAATGTTCTTAGCTGCTCTATTTTGGTTTCATAATACTAGCAGTAGAACTCACGAAATAGAAAGCTTTGCGAAGCTTATGTAAAGGGGCTTTAAACATATAATACCTTACCGTCGTGTTCTATGCCATCTCCTCTAATCAACGGCATAAGTTTGATCCGTTTAGTTTTCTCCGGGTGATTCAACGGAGTAAATATAGTTTTTACGTTTACACAGATTATCCATTGGTATGCTGTTCCTTTCTACTAAATCTCAGGCAATCTCGACTATCAATCAAGCTCAAACTATGCGTTCCTAGAAGAAGGTGTCTGTATCACCGTGCTGTGCTGTATTCCTCTGCTCATAGGATGCACCGGGATTGAGAGCCATCCTTCAGAGCATCTTATAGGATAGATAGCGGTAATATTTATTCGAAAGTCACGCTTTGTATTTTTTGCCCGTGTCCCAAATTGCACAAAGACAATCATTGTACAATATAAGCAGGTACAGCAGTTCATACATAGAATAATACAACAAATGTGCTCTACATATACGTTTCGCTTCAATTCAAGGAAACCTTCAGACATCCTCATTGGAGATATTAAAGAGGATATTCCGAACAGGCACCAATAAAACTACCAATCAGCAAACAAATATAAATATGCACGCATTCCCATATTCGCTTAATACTAACGCGTAGTATCTTTCGGCGGGCGGCTGTAACTGAGAAATTCTCAGTAAGGACGACAAGGAAATGTATTTTATTGAATATCGAATAAATGAATAGAACATTTGCACGGTATAAAAATTACCTTAATAGTCTTGGTTCTACGGTGGGCGGACATACTGATAGATTGCCCCCGCTGAGTGGGCGCCGGAAGATCAGATCATACTGGAAATATCCTTAGCATCTTTAAATCACACAACCAAGTCAGATCAAAAACTTTTCGTTTAGATCTTCCAACAAACGCAAGAAAACACACAAAGACTTGAAGAAGACATGTCGAGCTTAACAGCCGAGACTGCAGCTCCCGCAATTGAAAAGGCAGCTGCCACAGAAGTAGAATCAGACTCCTCCTCTATTAAAGAGAAGAGTTCTGTTCTTAACGAAAAGAAAGGAAAGAAAGATAAGAAGGACAAGAAGAGCAAAAAGAGCAAAAAAGGAAAGCGTAAGGATGACGACGATGAGGGTGACGGTGATGTCGAGATTGATGCTCCTGTTGCTCCTAAACCTGCGTCGCTTCTACAACTCTGGAAATACGCCACCAAAGGCGAGATCATACTCAACTTGATTGCTCTATTCTTTGCATGTGGTGCAGGTGCAACACAACCATTATTATCTCTAATCTTCGGTCGTATGGTCTCAACAATGACTACATTCACCCAAAAATCACTAGAATATAGGGCCAATCCTAGTGACCCAGGACTTACACAAGAATTCAATGCCGCTGCAGATGATCTCAATGATGATGTATCAATGAACTGTATCTATTTGGTCGTTATTGGTGTCGCTATGTTCATCGGTACTTATACTTACACCGTCATTTTCACATACACCTCAGAAAATATCTCACGCCGAGTCAGAGAAATGTACCTTCGCGCTGTTCTGCGTCAAGATGTCGCCTTCTTCGATAAAATTGGTGCTGGTGAAGTTGCAACCCGTATTGAAACAGACACTCACTTGATTCAAACGGGTGTGTCAGAAAAGGTCGGAACTGCTGCTATGTATATAGCCACATTTATCACAGGGTGAGTATGGTAATTAGATTTCTCGACATTCTATTTATATCTATCGCAGTTTTATTATCGCCTTCGCTCGTCAAGCCAGATTAGCAGGTGTCATGTTTATCATTGTACCTTGCATTGCCGTGCTTGGTGGATTGTTGACTACTTTCACGTCAAAGTATCAAACCCGTTCACTTGATAACATTGCAGCATCTGGTAATCTCGCTGAGGAAGTCATCTCAACAATCAGAACAGCTAAGGCATTCGGATCTCAACTCCTACTTGGTAACCTCTACGATGAGGAACTCCATAAAGCTCGCAAAACAGGATACAGAGCAGCATCAGTTAATGCACTTGGTTTGACGGTCGTATTCTTCATTATATACTGTTCATACGCGTTGGCATTCGCGTGGGGTGTCACATTGATATTAAAAGGTCAGTATTTCATTTTTTTAATTGAACTAATGACTAAAAGTGAAATAGGCGAAGCAGACTCTGGTCAAATTGTCTCAGTATTGATGTCAATCTTAATTGGTGCTTTCTCACTTGCTATGATGAACCCTGAACTTCAAGCCATCGGTAAAGGTCGTGGTGCGGCTGCAAAAATTTACGAAACAATCGAAAGAGTACCATTCATCGATAGTGCAAGCGATGAAGGCCTTAAGCCTGCAACAGTTGATGGTAATATTTCATTTACTGATGCAAACTTCGCATACCCAGCCAGACCTGAGGTTCAAGTTATGAAGAATTTCACAGCCACCTTCCCTAAAGGACAGCTCACGGCCTTGGTTGGAGCATCTGGTAGTGGTAAGAGTACATCGATTAGCTTGATTGAACGTTTCTATGATCCTCTCTCCGGTTCCGTCAAGTTGGATGGTAACGATCTAAAGGATATCAACGTCAAATGGCTTCGTAGCAAGATCGGTCTTGTTGGTCAAGAGCCTATCCTATTCAATGACACTGTCCGTGCCAATGTTGAACACGGTTTGATCGGAACTGAAATGGAACACTGGCCAGACGAACAAAGGTTGGAATTAGTTATCAACGCTTGCAAGGTTGCTAACGCTGACGGTTTTATCAACACACTGCCTGAGAAATACGACAATTCAGTTGGTGAACGCGGTATGCTCTTATCTGGAGGTCAAAAGCAACGTGTTGCTATCGCCAGAGCAATTGTATCTGACCCTCCAATCTTACTCTTGGATGAAGCAACGGCAGCCCTCGACAGTGCATCAGAGTCTATCGTACAAAAAGCTCTCGATAAAGCAGCAAAGAACCGTACGACTATTGCTATTGCTCACCGTTTGTCTACTATCAAGAATGCTAATCAGATTATTGTCATGGGTGGTGGTGAAATCCTCGAAGTTGGCGATCACAACTCGCTCACTGCCAATCCTAACGGCGCATACTCAACTTTGGTAGCTGCACAATCATTGGCTCAAGCCAAGAGTGATGAAGCTGCTCAAACCAAATCTGGTACTGTTGAAAAGGAAGAAGCAGAGGAAGAGATCGACCAAGAGGATGTTATTCCAATTGATCGTGTCAAGAGTGGTCGCTCAATCACTTCACAGGTATTAGAAAAGCGTAGAGAAGAAAAAGGTGAATACAAAGAGAAGAACTACTCGTTCTTCCAAGTCATTATCGAATTAGTCAAGCTCAACAAGGATGGAAGATGGATGTATGCCATTGGTGCTGCCGCTGCATTCGTCACGGGTAGTAAGTATATTTCATCATGCTTATTTCGTAATTGACTGACCAACAGGTGTTTATCCTATCTTCTCTATTCTGTTCGGTAAAACATTGCAAGATATTTCACTTAGTCCAGAAGACCCAAATTACCACTCACAAATGAGACATAACGGTGACAGAGATGCCCTTTGGTTCTTTGTCATAGCCATTGGATCAGCTATCGCTATTTACATTCAATCACTCATGATGCACTCTGCAGGTGAAAAATTAACTTACGTCCTTCGTCACAAATCATTCAAGAAACTTCTCCGTTCGGATATAGAGTACTTTGATCAAAAGGAGAACAGCACTGGTGTTCTCACATCTCAACTAGCTGATAACTCACAGAAGGTACAAGGTTTAGCTGGTGTAACTGCAGGTACAATTATCCAATCTTGTTCGACATTGATCGTTGGTATTGCTATCGGTATTGGTTATAATTGGAAACTCGGTCTCATTGGTACTGCTTGTATTCCATTCACATTGAGTGCTGGTATAACAAGACTCCGCATTGTTGTTTTGAAAGACAAACGCAATAAAAAGGCATACGAAGATAGTGCTCAATTAGCTTGTGAGGCAGCTGGATCTATCAGAACTGTCGCATCTCTCACCAGAGAAGATCAACTCTCCCAGTATTATCACGATGCTTTGGAAATTCCGTACAACCACAGTGTTAAGAGTGCTATTTACTCTAGCGCTCTTTACGCTCTAGGACAATGTCTCACATTCTGGGTAAGTAAAATTGCAGCTGTCTAATCATTTATTGATTGTCTTGGCAGGTTCTCGGTCTTATCTTCTGGTACGGTACTCAACAACTCACGAAATTGGAAGTAGACATCCAAGGTTTCTACGTTACACTTATGGCAGTTATCTTCAGTAGTATTCAAGCAGGAAATGTAAGTGTTACGAGTCACCTGTATAAACTTACTGATAGCTCTGATAGGTATTCGCCTTCGTCCCAGACATTTCTAGCGCTAGAGGTGGCGCTGCTCGAGTTCTTAATTTACTCAGGATGAAGCCTGAGATTGAGGTCGAGTACGACAATCAAGACGGCAAACACCTCGATACTGTTGAAGGTCATATCACATTTGAAGATGTCCACTTTAGATATCCAACTCGTTCAGATGTGCCGGTATTGCGCTCTCTCGATTTGGAAATTAAGCCAGGTAGCTACGTCGCATTGGTAGGACCATCTGGTTGTGGTAAAAGCACCACCATTCAGCTCATAGAACGATTCTATGACCCGGCGTACGGTTCAGTCAAGCTCGATGGTCATGAAGTGAGGGACCTCAACTTGAACAATCTCAGATCGCACATGGCATTGGTTTCTCAGGAGCCAACACTCTACGCTGGTACAGTCAAATACAATATTCTCATGGGTGCTGTCAAGCCACACGAAGAGGTATCTCAACAAGAGTTGGAGGATGCGTGCGCAGACGCCAACATTCTTGACTTCATTAGAGATCTTCCAGATGGCTTTGAGACACAAGTCGGTGGTAAGGGTACACAATTGTCGGGAGGACAAAAGCAACGTATTGCCATCGCTAGAGCACTCATTCGTAAACCAAAAATTCTCCTCCTCGATGAGGCTACCAGTGCTCTCGACCAAACGAGTGAGGCTGTCGTTCAAGCTGCATTAGATAAGGTTGCTTCAGGAAGAACAACTATCGCTATTGCACATAGACTATCAACAATCCAGAAGGCAGATAGGATATATGTCTTCAAGGATGGTAAAGTCAGCCAAGCGGGTACACATAAAGAGCTCATTGAACAAAAAGATGGACTCTATGCCGAATTGGTTGCATTACAAACACTTTCTAAGAAGGATGCTTAGATTGTTTTCTTTCATTCTCGCATTATTTCATCTTCGGACATTTAATTTTATATATTAGGCATTAATGGTACCGCTCATGCATAATTATTAATAAATATTCTATTGTTCCATAGAGAATGTTGTGATTTTGAGTGTAACTATCCATTATTTTCCACTCAATAATATTCCAACCCTCGAAAAGCAATTATCCAGCTAATTAACTGTCTAACAGTAGGAAACATGATGTAATTTGAGTCTATGATTAAGACGAGCACCATCAGACAAGTGAAGCATATTAGACTATCTCAATATATTGTAAGTACACAAAAATCCTTGCGTAAATATTGCAAGACAATTCTTCAAAGTACTAAAGGTTGCTTTTGCGTTTCATCATGACAACTCTAACCTGAGTTATTAAGATAATCCGCTTGGTTTTTTCCGGATGATCTACGGAGTAAAAGCTTTAGCAATACTATAAATTATCTATTGTTATGTTACTATTTTCGATAAATCTCGACTCTTAACCATCAATCGAGCTCAAAGTATATTTTCGTAAAAGTGTATGAATCACTATCATATTGCCTGCAAGGTATAGTGGGAATTAATACCATGCTTTAGAGTACGACATGAAGTAAAGAGAAATAGTATCAAGTCGAAAATTGCGTTTGTATTCTGCCCGCGCTTCAAATTGCACAAAAGCAACATGGTACAAATATAACCAGGTACAACAGTTCATTACAAGAAACAATAAGAATTGCTATACGTATATAATCCATGTCAATTAAAGGAAACATTCAGATGTATTCATCGCGGAAATGATCGGAATAGATTTCCCGAGCAGGCTCCTGTAACTGAGAGTTTCTACAGTAAGGGCGGAAACGAAAATAAAAAGCAGTAGATCTTCAAAGAGTGAATAGCAAATGTGTTTTGGATACAGTTTATCTTGCTAATAATAGATCGACAGTTCTATACCTCTCGGTCATCAAGATGCCCGGACTAGTTGGGCGCCGAGCGAGATCATATATTACTGGAAATATACGTACCTCTTTAATTTAATAACGCAAGCTGGACTAGATCAAAAACATTTCGTTTAGATATTAAGAAAACAAACAAAATCTTGAACAAGATATGTCGAACTTAACGGTCGGTTCTGCAGCTCCTACAATTGAGAAGGCAGCTGCTTCAGAAATAGAATTGGATGCTCTTTCTATTAAAGAGAATATCGCAGTAGTTAACGAGGAGGAAGCTAAGACAAAGAAGAGAGACAAGAAAAATGAGAAGCGCAAAAAAGGAAAGCGTAACAACGATGATGAAGAAAGCCACAGTGATGTCGAAATTGATGCTCCGCTTCCTCCGAAACCGGCATCATTTTTTCAACTCTGGAAGTACGCCACTAAAGGCGAAATCATGCTTAACTTGGTTGGTCTGTTCTTTGCCTGTGGTGCAGGTACAACACAACCATTACTATCTCTAATCTTCGGTCGTATGGTCTCAACAATGATCACATTTTTCCAAGTTTCAAAACTATATAAGGCCAACCCTAGTGATCCAGAACTTACACAAGTATTCAATAGCGCTAAAGACGATCTCAATGATGATGTGTCAATGAATTGTATCTATCTGGTCGTTATTGGTGTCGCTATGTTCATCGGTACCTATGTCTACACTCTTATTTTCACATATACATCAGAAAGGGTCTCACGTAGAGTCAGAGAAATGTATCTTCGCTCTATTCTTCGTCAAGATGTCGCCTTCTTTGATAACATTGGTGCTGGTGAAGTCGCTACTCGTATTGAAACAGACACCCATTTGATACAAATGGGTGTGTCAGAGAAGGTCGGAACTGCTGCTATGTATATAGCTGCATTTATTACAGGGTAAACAGAATATTTAGATCTCTGAACGTTTTACTTACATCTAATGTAGTTTTATTATCGCCTTCGCACGTCAAGCCAGACTAGCAGGTGTCATGTTTATCATTGTACCTTGCATTGCCGCACTTGGTGGATTGTTGACTACTTTCACATCAAAATATGAAGCTCGCTCGCTCGATAATATCGCAGCATCTGGTAATCTCGCTGAGGAAGTCATCTCAACAATCAGAACAGCTAAAGCATTCGGTTCCCAACTGCTACTTGGTACTCTCTATGATGCTGAACTCCATAAGGCTCGTAAGACAGGATACAAAGTAGCATCAGTTAATGCATTAGTCTGGACTTCTGTCTTCTTTATCATATACTGTTCATATGCACTGGCATTCGCTTGGGGTGTCACTTTGGTACTGAAAGGTGAGTGTTTCATTTTTGCCTGAATTAACTAAAAGTGAGATAGGCGAAGCAGATCCAGGTCAAATTGTAGCGGTATTGATGTCCATCTTAATTGGTGCCTTCTCGCTTGGTATGATAAATCTTGAACTTCAAGCCATCGGTAAAGGTCGTGGTGCGGCTGCAAAAATTTACGAAACAATCGAAAGAGTACCATTCATCGATAGTGCAAGCGATGAAGGCCTTAAGCCTGCAACAGTTGATGGTAATATTTCATTTACTGATGCAAACTTTGCATACCCAGCCAGACCTGAGGTCCAAGTTATGAAGAATTTCACAGCCACCTTCCCTAAAGGACAGCTCACGGCCTTGGTTGGTGCATCTGGTAGTGGTAAGAGTACATCGATTAGCTTGATTGAACGTTTCTATGATCCTCTCTCCGGTTCCGTCAAGTTGGATGGTAACGATCTAAAGGATATCAACGTCAAATGGCTTCGTAGCAAGATCGGTCTTGTTGGTCAAGAGCCTATCCTGTTTAATGACACTGTCCGTGCCAATGTTGAACACGGCTTGATCGGAACTGAAATGGAACATTGGCCAGACGAACAAAGGTTGGAATTGGTTATCAACGCTTGCAAGGTTGCTAATGCTGACGGTTTTATCAACACACTGCCTGAGAAATACGACAATTCAGTTGGTGAACGCGGTATGCTCTTATCTGGGGGTCAAAAGCAACGTGTTGCTATCGCCAGAGCAATTGTATCTGACCCTCCAATCTTACTGTTAGATGAAGCAACGGCAGCCCTCGACAGTGCATCAGAGTCTATCGTACAAAAAGCTCTCGATAAAGCAGCAAAGAATCGTACGACTATTGCTATTGCTCACCGTTTGTCTACTATCAAGAATGCTAATCAGATTATTGTCATGGGTGGTGGTGAAATCCTCGAAGTTGGCGATCACAACTCGCTCACTGCTAATCCTAACGGCGCATACTCAACTTTGGTAGCTGCACAATCATTGGCTCAAGCCAAGAGTGATGAAGCTGCTCAAACCAAATCTGGTACTGTTGAAAAGGAAGAAGCAGAGGAAGAGATCGACCAAGAGGATGTTATTCCACTTGATCGTGTCAAGAGTGGTCGCTCAATCACTTCACAGGTATTAGAAAAGCGTAGAGAAGAAAAAGGTGAATACAAAGAGAAGAACTACTCGTTCTTCCGAGTCATTATCGAATTAGTCAAGCTCAACAAGAATGGAAGATGGATGTACGCTCTTGGTGCAGCCGGTGCATTTGTTTCGGGTAGTAAGTTTATTTCATCATTTTTACTCCTTAGCTGACGCTTAATAGGTGCTTATCCTATTTTCTCTATTATGTTCGGTAAAACATTGCAGGATATTTCACTTAGTCCAGACGACCCAAATTACCACTCACAAATGAGACATAACGGTGACAGAGACTCACTTTGGTTCTTCGTCATAGCCATTGGATCAGCTATTTCTACTTTCATTCAGGCACTGATGATGCACTCTGCAGGTGAAAAACTGACATACGTCCTTCGTCACAAATCATTCAAGAAACTTTTACGTTCAGATCTCGAATACTTCGACCAAGAGGAGAATAGCACTGGTGTTCTCACATCTCAACTAGCTGATAACGCTCAAAAGATACAAGGTTTAGCTGGCACAAGTGCAGGTACAATTATCCAATCTTGTTCAACATTGATCGTTGGTATTGCTATCGGTATTGGTTATAATTGGAAACTAGGTCTCATTGGTACTGCTTGTATTCCATTCACATTGAGTGCTGGTATTACAAGACTCCGTATTGTTCTTTTGAAAGACAAACGCAATAAAAAAGCATACGAAGACAGTGCTCAATTAGCTTGTGAGGCAGCTGGATCTATCAGAACTGTCGCATCTCTCACCAGAGAGGATCAGCTCTCCCAATATTATCATGATGCTTTGGAGATGCCGTACAACCACAGTGTTAAGAGTGCTATTTACTCTAGCGCTCTTTACGCTCTGGGACAATGTCTCACATTCTGGGTAAGTAAAATTGCAGCTGTCTATATCATTTATTGATTGTCTTGACAGGTTCTCGGTCTTATCTTCTGGTACGGTAGTCAACAGCTCACAAAGTTGGAGATAGACATCCAAGGTTTCTACGTTACACTTATGGCAGTTATCTTCAGTAGTATTCAAGCGGGAAATGTGGGTACCCAATTTATCTGGAGATACTTGACTGACGATTCTTTAGGCATTCACATTCGTTCCAGACATTTCTAGCGCTAGAGGTGGTGCTGCTCGAATTCTTAATTTACTCAGGATGAAGCCTGAGATTGAAGTCGAGTACGACAATCAAGACGGCAAACACCTCGATACTGTTGAAGGTCATATCACATTTGAAGATGTTCACTTTAGATATCCAACTCGTTCAGATGTGCCGGTATTGCGCTCTCTCGATTTGGAAATTAAGCCAGGTAGCTACGTCGCATTGGTAGGACCATCTGGTTGTGGTAAAAGCACCACCATTCAGCTCATTGAACGATTCTATGACCCGGCGTATGGTTCAGTCAAGCTCGATGGTCATGAAGTGAGGGACCTCAACTTGAACAATCTCAGATCGCATATGGCATTGGTTTCTCAGGAGCCAACACTCTACGCTGGTACAGTCAAATACAATATTCTCATGGGTGCTGTCAAGCCACACGAAGAGGTATCTCAACAAGAGTTGGAGGATGCGTGCGCAGACGCTAACATACTTGACTTCATTAGAGATCTTCCAGATGGCTTTGAGACACAAGTCGGTGGTAAGGGTACACAATTGTCGGGAGGACAAAAGCAACGTATTGCCATCGCTAGAGCACTCATTCGTAAACCAAAAATTCTCCTCCTCGATGAGGCTACCAGTGCTCTCGACCAAACGAGTGAGGCTGTCGTTCAAGCTGCATTAGATAAGGTTGCTTCGGGAAGAACAACTATCGCTATTGCACATAGACTATCAACAATCCAAAAGGCAGATAGGATATATGTCTTCAAGGATGGTAAAGTCAGCCAAGCGGGTACACACAAAGAGCTCATTGAACAAAAAGATGGACTCTATGCCGAACTGGTTGCATTACAAACGCTTTCTAAGAAGGATGCTTAGATTGCTTTCTTTCATTCCGCGTCATTTTCATTTTTGGTCATTTAGACATCTATTAGGCATTAATGATACCGCTTGTGCATAATTGTTAATACATATTCTGTTTCTTTGTCGAGAACGTTATGATTTTGGGCGTAATCATCTATTTTGGTCTACCCAATAACAAACCAACCGTGTAAAAACAATTATTCAGCTTTTTATCTATCTGGCAGTAATTTCTTGAAGCATGACGTAATTTAGGTCTCTGATTAAGGCGGCCACCGTCAGACAAGCAAAGCATCATTTGGTAAAAACAATCAATATCAATGACAGAAAACCACAAATCAGACAGTTTTTTGGAGAATAACAATGTAGAAAAGTCCCCCCTGACGCTTTCAGATAATACTTCTACAGTACGAATACTAGTGGCAAGAAATGCAGTGCTAACGTTTTACAGAAAGCTAAAATATTTTTTAAACGTAAGAGGAAGAAAAGAGACAATGTTGCTGTAGATACCAAGGAAACAGTAGCGAAAGTGTCATTCTTAGAGATGTTTAGGTATGCGATGTGGTGGGAAAAAGTGATTAACGTTGCTGGATTGGTATGCGCTGCTGGTTCTGGCGTAAGTCTCTTATACTTTCTATGCTTTGGTGCTGACAAATCATGTTAGGTGGGTTTTAAGCTACAACATCAGTCAATCTAACGTTAGCATAAAGGCCATACAACCTTGTCTGGCATTACTATTTGGGAGGTATGTCAGTTTAACTCAGTTGCGCGATCTAAAATGCGATTTCAGACTTATCACCGTCATGAACACTTTTTTCCAGGTTGCAACCGTTTACAAGTCAGATCGGAACAACCCAGAGCTTATCGAGAGGTTTAACATTGCAAGGGATGATTTTAGAGATGGAGGCAAGCGTGATTGCGTTTCTGTTTGCATCTAATAGCTTCCAGTCAATACGGTCTGTATAGACATGCTTGTTATTGGAATCGCCATGTTTGTTGGAGTTTACACCTTCCAACATGCTTGGGTGTTCACCTCAGAAAGGATTTCCAGTCGTATTCGGAGTATGTACCTTCGGAGCATTCTACGTCAAGATATTGCATTCTTCGATAATATTGGCGCTGGAGAGGTCGCAACTAGGATTGAGACAGACACACATCTAGTACAGAGCGGGATATCTGAAAAGGTAGCTAATGCTGCTATGTTCATAGGTAACTTCCCACTAGGCCAAGTATCACGTGTTGACACAATCACTAGGTACCTTCATTGCTGGTTTCATAATCGCATTTGCTCAACAAGCTAAGATTGCCGGTGTACTTTTTTTGATAGTGCCGCTGATTGCAACCGCTGGCGCTGGAATGAATGTCTTTACCTCAAAGTACTCTCAAAACGCACTGACGTATATTGCAGAATCTGGAAGTTTGGTAGAAGAGGTATTATCTACTATTCGTACAGCTAAAGCATTTGGATCACAAGTTATTCTCTTGAAACTTTACGATACCTACCTCTCGAAGGCACGCTCACAAGGTTTTAAGACAGCTATATCCTCCGCTGTAGGATTGTGCATCTTTTTCTTTATTATTTACGCGTCATACGCTCTGGCGTTTGTTTGGGGTGTAACGCTACTCTTACGGAGTGAGTTATCAATTTTCTACTGAAACTGCAAAATAACGACTATCAGATGAAACGGAGGTTGGTGAGATTGTCGGTGTTCTAATCTCAACAATGATTGGTTCTTTTTCACTTGCGATCGCTGCACCGGAATTACAAGCGATTGCTAAAGGCCAGGCAGCAGCTGCAAAAATCTTTGACACTATTGAAAGGATTCCACCTATTGATAGTGCAAGTGAAGAAGGTCTCAAGCCATCGTTCATAGCTGGTAACATTACATTTGAGGATGTCGATTTTAGTTATCCAGCAAGACTGAATGTTCAAGTTATGAAAAAGTTCACCGCTACATTCCATAAAGGTCATTTGACAGCTCTGGTCGGTGCATCAGGTAGTGGTAAGAGCACGGCAATCGGTCTTATTGAGAGATTTTATGACCCTCTCAATGGTGTTATTAAATTAGATGGGAATGATCTTAGAGATATCAACGTCAAATGGCTTCGCAGTAAGATCGGTATGGTTGGTCAAGAACCTGTTTTATTCAATGAGACATTACGTGCCAATGTTGAACACGGTTTGATCGGAACTGAAATGGAACACTGGCCAGACGAACAAAGGTTGGAATTGGTTATCAACGCTTGCAAGGTTGCTAACGCTGACGGTTTTATCAACACACTGCCTGAGAAATACGACAATTCAGTTGGTGAACGCGGTATGCTCTTATCTGGGGGTCAAAAGCAACGTGTTGCTATTGCCAGAGCAATTGTATCTGACCCTCCAATCTTACTGTTAGATGAAGCAACGGCAGCCCTCGACAGTGCATCAGAGTCTATCGTACAAAAAGCTCTCGATAAAGCAGCAAAGAATCGTACGACTATTGCTATTGCTCACCGTTTGTCTACTATCAAGAATGCTAATCAGATTATTGTCATGGGTGGTGGTGAAATCCTCGAAGTTGGTGATCATAATTCCCTGACCGCTAATCCCGACGGTGCATACTCAACCTTCGTCGCTGCACAATCATTGGCTCAAGCCAAGGATGAAGAAGCAGCCCAGGTCAACTCTGATGTTGTTGAGAAAAATGACGACCTTCATGAGGATGTTATACCACTCAATCGCGTCAAAAGTGGACGCTCGGTCACCTCGCAGATACTGGAAAAGAGTAATGAAGAGAAAGTTGAAAAAGAACATCATTACTCGATGTTTGAAGTAATAAGACGACTTGTCAAGATGAATAGACCAGGTTGGTCTGCCTACACGTCTGGTTCTATTGCAGCGCTTGTGACTGGATCGGCTTATCCCATCATGGGCATTCTCTTGGGTAGGATCCTGCAACACATCGCCGCCAGATCCCCTACCGATCCTGATTATCATTCATATATAAGACATCAGATTGATAGAGACAGTTTATGGTTTTTCATCATGGCTATTGGAGCAGCCTTGGGTATCCTTATTCAAAGCTGGGCGATGCATTATGCTGGTGAACTTCTTACTTATGCTTTGCGTCATGAGTCATTTAAGAAACTACTAAGGTCAGACGTCGAGTACTTCGACAAAAAGGAAAATAGCACGGGTGTTCTAACGTCAAATTTAGCTGATAATGCTCAAAAAGTTCAAGGCTTAGCTGGAATCTCAGCTTCAACTATCATACAATCGTGTTCAACTCTCATCGTTGGAGTTGCCATTGGAATTGGGTACAATTGGAAATTAGGTTTGGTTGGGACAGCCTGTATTCCTCTTACCCTTTCTGCTGGTATCACACGTTTAAAGATTGTTGTTACGAAAGACCAGCAGAACAAAAAGTCATATGAGGACAGTGCAGAGATGGCATGCGAGGCTGCAGGTGCTATTAGAACTGTCGCTTCTCTCACCCGTGAAGGTCAAGCATTAGAAGAATATCAGACTTTACTTCGGACACCACTTAGAAACTCGATTAGAACGTCCCTATGGAGTTCAGCTATTTATGGTCTCTCTCAAGGTATGGCATTTTTAGTTATAGCTCTTATTTTTTGGTATGGATCACAGCTCATTATGAATTTGGAAATTGAGTTAGAAGATTTCTATGTCTGTTTGATGGCTGTTGTATTTTCCAGTATTCAAGCTGGTAATGTGGGTATCATGGTTTATTTTATTATACCTGCTAACGAATTCTCCAGGTATTCACATTCGTACCAGATGTGTCCAATGCCAGAGGTGGTGCTGCTCGGATACTTAAGTTGCTCGATACTAAAACAGAGATTGAGATTGAAACTACAAGTCAAGACGGCATACATCTTGATACTGTTGAGGGTCATATCACATTTGAAGATGTCCACTTTAGATATCCAACTCGTTCAGATGTGCCGGTATTGCGCTCTCTCGATTTGGAAATTAAGCCAGGTAGCTACGTCGCATTGGTAGGACCATCTGGTTGTGGTAAAAGCACCACCATTCAGCTCATAGAACGATTCTATGACCCAGCGTACGGTTCAGTCAAGCTCGATGGTCATGAAGTGAGGGACCTCAACTTGAACAATCTCAGATCGCACATGGCATTGGTTTCTCAGGAGCCAACACTCTACGCTGGTACAGTCAAATACAATATTCTCATGGGTGCTGTCAAGCCACACGAAGAGGTATCTCAACAAGAGTTGGAGGATGCATGTGCCGACGCTAACATACTTGACTTTATCAAGGGTCTTCCAGATGGCTTCGAGACCCAAGTTGGCGGTAAAGGTACACAATTATCGGGAGGACAAAAGCAACGTATTGCCATCGCTAGAGCACTCATTCGTAAACCAAAGATCCTCCTCCTCGATGAGGCTACCAGTGCTCTCGACCAAACGAGTGAGGCTGTCGTTCAAGCTGCATTAGATAAGGTTGCTTCGGGAAGAACAACTATCGCTATTGCACATAGACTATCAACAATCCAGAAGGCAGATAGGATATATGTCATCAAGGATGGTAAAGTTAGTCAAGCGGGCGCTCACAAGGATCTTATAGAACAGAAAGATGGACTCTATGCTGAACTGGTTGCATTACAAAATCTATCTAGTCAAGACGCTTAGGGTTCTCGGTAGGATAGTTTCAGACTAATGAACATTGATTATACATAATGATTTACGTTCACATTGTTTTTGCATCGTTTTATACCGTACGTCGGTTAAATAACCACGCGTAATGAAGTTGAGCCGCCGTCATGCTTATCACTGTACCTTGCATTGCCGTACTTTTTGACAGCTTTCACGTGAAATGATCAGATTCCGGCTAGAGAAAAGTGTGCTAGCTAGAAATACCTGAAGAGCTACTTCTATAAACATAACAACTGATGTTTAGCTCTTAACTCTTTGGTAATACATATGATGATGAATTCCATAGGACTGGTAAGTCGGAACATATAGGAGCATCAATTAATGCACTCGGTGGACCATTAGATTTTATTTGATATGGTCCGTACGCGTTGACATATGCTTGAGGTGTCACAGATACCAAAAGATCAGTGTTTCATCTTTAAGGCTTGTATAATGACAAAAAATCAAACAGCTGTAGCAAGCCCAATCCACGTAGTCAGGGTGGTAATTACTTTTGTTGCTTATACGTGACGGATAGTTACATTTACATTCTCGGAGGAAGGTGTAGTACTAGCATGCAGATGTCTAATTGTAGACACAATTTTACAGAAATAAACAACAAAATTAGTTGGATTCATATACAATTAATATATTCTTAAGATAATAAACTAAGGTTAGTTTGATGCTTCAATAGTTCGATCATCTGCGTTCCAAGTTGGCCGTACTCTAAAATCACAAATTCTTGCATACGGCCAGATCAAGCGTGCCGAAATGCATGATGATGGTATATGACGACTAAGAGTTATAATTTCAATAAAATTTAATTTAATTTTTTTAAGAAACTAACCTCAGGGACCCCAAACAGTCGCTAAAAGCCTACCCTGATCGGTCTTTGGCAAGTGACGTCATTAAATTATTATGCTTGTTTGAATTTTTAATAATTTGGGCCGAGAGGGGGATAAGACAATTTGGAAAGCATCTTGAAGTAAATTGGAATTTTCAGATGCATAAATGAAAAGTAACAGTAAAAAAGTAGAAAAAAATTGAATAATGACAGGTATCATTTAATATGAGTTTGTAAGCTAGACAGATCATATATATGGTTAAAGTCTTATCCTTAATTATATCACACATATGCAAGAGGAGAGGCATCAAAATGCAAGACAAGCCAGTTACTCAAGCGGAGCCCTGAAATAATAGGAAAACATCCGTACGTAAAGGAATGCGGATGTACCTTTCAAAAAGTTGCTTACATGAGGTTAGGATATGAGAAATATAGTGACGAATGTAAGAAAGATGACGATGCGGACGTCCTAGTAGTAAAATATGCGGCGTGCCTTAGATTGTTTGAGGGGCAAAATAAGCAGGAAAGATTTTCGAAGTAGAGGAATGGAATTAATGGTGTATATGTGATATATTATGGTATTACAGATAACAAAAGGTCGAATACGGTCATTTCGTAAATAGAAATCACCGGCGGGCATCACCTAAACCGAATAGAGAGCGCAAGCAAGGTGTAATAGCGAGGCGGCTAACGACAAAAAGACAGCGGGAATTGTATTGTAAGATTCTTTGTTAAACTTCTACTCGGCTGTGTTGCATAATTCGCTACCAAACGCTTGGATAGCGTGCACAGACTGTAGTTGAATCAAAATCTAATCTGGTGTATTTGAGTAAATAAGGAAATAAGGGGTATATCCATAAAATAACAATAAATTTATAATCATTTATTTCGTTTATTAAACAATAAACTTTTTTCACTTTCCGTGTTCTGCTTGGATTACTTGAGCTGTTCCTTGAGCTCTCGTTGGCATCTCACCAGAAGAAAATGCAGAGAAGTTGGCCAGCGAATTACGTAGTACAAACGCCAATATTAAGAAAGCTAGCGCTGGCTAATGAGGATGCATGGCTCACAGCAGGTGCGCTAATGCTTCGCTGTCATAACCCAGCTCACGTCACAATAGCCGCTACAGCAGAGAGTATGAACGACGCAGAGAGGGCCTTAGTTAGTTATCAAAATGCACTCGTACACTCTCCATACTCTGTGCCCGCTCTGAGCGCAGTCGGTGCTATTTACCGCCAAAGAGAGAACTTCCCAAAGGTGAATATCGCAATTTTATTAGGAGTTTCTAACAATCTAGGCTATTGAATTTTATCAGCGCGCACTCAACGTACAACAAGATAATGGCGATATTTGGAGTGCACTCGGTAAGTTTAATATCCTTATTCTATCAGGCACTCATAATTATTAGGGCACGCTTATTTGATGATCGACGACTTACAGAAAGCATACACAGCCTACCAACAGGCGCTGTACCATCTTCCCGCACCTAAGGTCTGTGTCGTCATGCCGAAACTCACTCACTAACAGCCTCTTAGTTACAGGACCCTAAGCTTTGGTATGGTATTGGTATTCTTTATGACAGATATGGTAGTCTAGAACACGCGGAGGAAGCTTTCGCTGGTGTTATCAAAATAGCACCTGATTTCGAAAAGGCAAACGAGATTTACTTCAGATTGGGCATTATATACAAGCAACAACAGAAGTTCTCTACAAGTTTAGATTGCTTTAGGTACATCCTCACTAGTCCACCAAAACCCCTTTCAGAAATCGACATTTGGTTCCAAATCGGACACGTTTACGAGCAGCAGAAGGAGTACACCCTCGCTAGAGAAGCATACGAGCGTGTGCTCATAGAGAACCCAGAACATGCAAAGGTCCTCCAGCAACTCGGCTGGTTGTACCACCAGACCTCAGCTACCAACAACAACGATCAGGAGTTGGCGATTCAATACCTTACGAAATCCCTCGGTGTAGACCCTACAGATCCACAGTCATGGTATCTACTCGGCAGGTCTTATATGGCTGGTCAAAAGTTCAACAAAGCCTATGAAGCTTATCAGCAGGCTGTTTATAGAGATGGCAGAAATCCAACATTCTGGTGTTCGATAGGTGTTCTTTACTACCAAATTAATCAATATAGGGATGCTCTTGATGCCTACTCCCGTGCAATACGCTTAAATCCTTATATTTCTGAAGTCTGGTTCGACCTGGGATCGCTTTATGAAAGCTGCCATAATCAGATTTCAGATGCGATTGATGCCTATGCTAGAGCTGCAGATTTGGATCCAACAAATCCACATATAAAGCAACGTCTGCAATTGCTTAAGAATGTGCAAGCCAATGGTGGTTCAGTACCAGCGGCACCTGTTCCTCAAGATGTACATCCTACAGCATATGCTCAACCACAGGCAGTCTCTAGTAGCACTGCTAATAGTGAAGGTCAGACGCCATATGCTACCATAGAATCTGCTGATAGTGTCCAACAACAACAGCAGCGCATGACACAAGCACATGGCCAACCACAATCACAGGTACCATCAGTGTCATCAGTTTCCGACGTAGAGCCGACAGCTCCAAATGGCGCAGCTGGTCAACCTGTACCTTTCTCAGCAGGTTTACCTGGAAGACAATTGAATTTACCGCGTGATGCTCCAATGCCTGTTCAAAGATCTGAACAGCAATTCGTCAGTTACACTCCTGCTCATTACGAAGATGGCAGACCTGTAGTTGATTGGGAGGGTAGACCGGTATCCGTCCAGAGGTTCCACTCTCCAGTACCAAAAGAAGCGATTAAAAGAAATTCATCAATATTATCACCACCGCCTGTAAATTCACACCCACCTCACCTTTCTCAATCATTTGAGAGGACTGGAAATGGAACGACCTCGAGGAATTCACGCTATGATCCTAGAATGGATGGCGCTCCATCTCAACCAGTCGTTTCAAACCCTCATCAAGAGTCACCACCAAGATTGACACCTAAGTCAGTCAAAGGTCGTAAATCTTTGGCATTCCATGCGCAGAGAATGGAAGATAGTGCATATACGCCTCCTCCACTGGGTCAAGAAGCAAGCAGCTATACACTTCACCATAAGAAACCGACCAGACCAAGGCCTTCAATCGAAAGCCCTGCTAGTAGTCGTAGAGCCAGTGCTACTACAAGATTGGCACCTGTCGCTCAACCAAGCACTTCATCTATTCATAATAATGGAAGATATAGTCAATCTCCACAATCTGAGGATGATACTAATGCAGCTGCTGTTCCACCTGTCACAAGAGTCGTTGATGAAGATTATGACGAAGGTGCAGCAGACGCTTTGATGGGATTGGCAGGTGCAGCTGCCGCATCTGACAGACAACCAATACCGCCAAATATAAGAGAACCACTTGAGAAGGAAAATGGTCCTAATCACATGATAGGTGTTAAGCGAAATACACAAGATGGGCAAAATGATCCGAATAAGAGGCAAAGAGAAGATAAGAATGGTAGCTTATCCCCAGAGAATGATCCAGCTGCATTTCCGCGAAAACACAGTATGAATACAATGAATACACCACCAGCTGATGACACAAATGAAGATGATGAATTGGAAGGAGCAGAAGATAGCAAAGACGCGGTAAAGGAAGCTGTTGATGCGCATAATGGTGAACAACAACAACAGCCGCAACAGCAACAGCTTCAAGAGCCACAAGCGAGGCCAGTTGACCAAGAAATGAGAGATGCTTGATAATTTTGTCTAATGGTCTATGGTGTATAATTGTGAGTCTTTCAACTTGCTTTCAAGTCGCTTTACTAATGACACTTAGACCTCTTTCTACATTTATTTATGCAGCTCTTCTATTTTTCCTTCTGTATTACAGGTAATTACTGCAAAGTTGTACATACAATCATAAAACAAGAATGAATGTGATGTTTTTATATTGCAATATTATTAACTCTGTTTATGACAATTACAAGAAATCGTTAGCTTGTGAACATAAGAGCCCATTAATGCTCAGAAATGTGATCAACTTTGTCAAGGTCATTGAGTGCTTTCTCAATTATAGAAACACCGCGTAAGAGATCATCTTCTGAGATGACCAATGGTGGTGCGAATCTGATGATATTCTGATGTGTTGGTTTAGCGAGCAAACCGTATTTCTTTAATAGGATACAAATATCCCATGCTCCTCTACCTCTAGTAGATTTAGATTCGTCAATGACAACAGCATTGAGAAGTCCTTTGCCTCTCACTTGATCAATAAGTGGTGACTGGATTTTACCAACTGCATCTCTGAATATATGACCAAGTTTTTCGGCTCTCTCGACGAGGTTTTCGTCAATTATGACATCGAGTGCTGCCATAGCGACAGCTGATCCGAGTGGGTTGCCACCATATGTTGAGCCATGACTACCAGTAGTGATTGTGAGCATTATATCAGCATCTGCTAGAACTGCTGAAACAGGATATACGCCACCACTGAGTGCTTTTCCTAGTGTAACAACGTCTGGGCGGACGCCTGAGTGTTCGCAACAAAGCATTTTACCAGTGCGACCGAGACCCTAGCACGTGTAAGTGGAATGTACAGATAAGATTAAATACCTACAGTTTGTATTTCATCGCATATCAAAAGCACGTTGTACTTCTCGCATAATTGCTTCGCTTGTCTGAGGTAATCGTGATCAGGAACAATTATACCAGCCTCCCCTTGTATTGGTTCGACAAGGAATGCAGCTGTTTGGTGGCCATACTTTTCTAGGACCCTATGGAGATCGTCTATGTTGTTGTACCTGATTCGTGTATCATCGAATGAGGTACCAACGCCCTGGAGGAATGGACCATATTGGTGTGTGGCCTCACTGTCAGTTGACATGGAAATCACGGCAAGTGTACGTCCATGGAAATTACCCTCAACTGCGAGGATCTTTGCGTCATTCTCCGATACACCTTTTTTGGCATATGCCCAACGACGTGCTAATTTCAAGGCTGTTTCGACAGCTTCTGCTCCTGTGTTCATAGGGAGTACCATATCATAGCCTAGTAAGTCAGTGAGTTTCTTAGCGAATTCACCAAAAACACTGTTATGAAATGCGCGACTACTGAGCGTCAACTTGGAGGCTTGCCTCGTGAGTGCTTCTATAATCTTTGGATGACAGTGCCCCTGATTTACGGCGCTGTAAGCACTAAGAAAATCCAAGTATTCTACACCCTCGACATCCCAGACTTTAGCTCCGGATGCGCTATCGAATACGACAGGCAATGGGTGGTAGTTGTGCGCTGAGTGTTTAGTTTCAAGATCAATTGCGTGTGCTGACATCGTCGTTTGTTATAAAGAATGCTTATCAGCTGATAAGTTGATTTCATACGGTCACCCTCGCTTAAGCGACAATGGATAACTTTAAACTGAACAGGAACCAATCTGTATTGACAATATGCTTTAATTCGTGAGTTTACTTTTTATTTTATAGCTTTACTCAAGTAGCTTTGATAGACCTGTCAAGTGAGCTCGGTTATCTAACGGTGTACTCCTGTCTGACAGCAGAGGCTTAATGCATTCAATCAGCCAATGTGGGAGGCACTCCGCGATAGTATGTGCCATTTGTCAGCTTATTCAACAAGCTAACGATTTAGTCTTCAAATCCGTCAACAACGATACGCAGATTAGAGCGGTCATACTCATTGGCAATGGCAAGGCCTTTAGCTCCGGTTTAGATATGAACGACGCTGGAGCCCTTCTGAATACCACCGGAGAAGTGGTCCAAACGACGGCAAGACTGAGACAACATATCGTAGTAAGTGTTTTACGTGTTATATTTAGAAAAACAGGTGATTTATAAAATTATAGGATTTCCAGGATGCTATTACAGCTATAGAAACCTGCGCTGTACCTGTTATAGCCGCACTTCATGGCCTGGTCCTTGGTTTAGGCATTGATATTGCATCCGCTTGTGATATACGTTATGCTGCATGTTCCACACGCTTTTCTATCAAAGAAATTGACCTCGGTTTAGCGGGTGAGTTAAAACTTTCACAATTAAACAGTAAATTTTTACATAGAAACAGCTGATATCGGGACATTGCAACGCTTTCCACGTGCTATCGGGAATGATGCCTTGGCTAGAGAGCTCGCCTATACTGGACGTCAGTTCAATGCTAATGAGGTACGTCTGAGTTCATGAATGATCGATCTCCTCTTATCAACTGCAGGCACTTCAAATGGGCTTCCTTGCAGGCATTTCCTGTACATCGTCCAGAGAAACAGTGTTAAATATGTCTATGGGTACTGCGCTCGCTATTGCGTCGAAATCACCAGTCGCAGTACAATCTACTAAGAAAATTCTTCTCAATGCTAGGGATAATAGGTGAGTGCGCTTACTTTTTAGAAGGCTTATTAAACGTTTCCAGCGTTGCAGACAGCCTCGCATTCACAGCTACGCACAACTCTGTCGCCCTGCAATCTGGAGATGTCAAGGAAGCGCTTTCTGCTCATTTGGAAAAGCGAAAGCCTGTATTCAGGGATAGTAGAATGTAATATCAGTGAGTAGTGTAATGTAAAGTGTATACCAGAACAGCGTGTATTTCGAATAATTAAGGGTATTATAATACAAGTTAGTGATTAAGTGAAGTAGTGTAAGGAGTGTGTTTCAGTGAACTTAGCATGTGTTTAAATAGGTCAATAGTACTGTACTTAATAGTACTCAATTTCGAGATAGAGGAATCCAATGATTGATGGGTTGAGTATATTCAATCCCGCAGGATTGAATAAATTGTAATTCAAATAATTAAGCGTGCCCTCTAATTCTGATATTCGCTTCTCAAAGTAAGTGCGTTTGAATAAACTGAGAGTGTAGAAACTCGCTATATCGCATAAATGATCTAAAACCGCATACCAGGGATTGAATGCTCGCGATAACTGGTAATTTATCTCGTGTATCGCGAAATGATATTGCTCTGGGTTTAGCTACATATTTAAGTGAGCATACTTCGCATGACTAGAAAGATAAACGTACACGCCCTTCTAGCTCCATAGGAAAACTCCTAGCGAATTGCCAGATTTCTCCGAATTGATAGTCCCTATCAACTCTGACGACCTCCCGAGGGAGATCTATGCATACTCTCCGTTCAGGCGCGGTACCAAAGTTTTTGAGTCGTACGTTAAAATTGGATGAATCACCACTTATCAATGAGGCTGGACTCCTCGAGCGCATTACTTGTTGCTCAGGATCACCCATTTAGCATCCTCGTCGTATAAGAACAAAAGTAAACTAATGAGCATGTATTAAAAAACATCATAGGATATAGAGATAATTAATATTATCCTTATATTAGTTTCTCCGGTCGTCATCGCAGCTGTTTCTGCCTTGCTGCTGTCGGTATTCGCAGATTTGGCGAATAGCGAGAGATGCGTGAGTGAAACTTACAATTTAGCTTCTTGTAGACTGAAAATATATCTTGTTACTGCTTAGATATCTTGAAAATAGTTTTCATCGAGAAGACGCCTCTTGATAGTCTACTACCAAATGGTTGCATACGATTTGACAACGGTGAGGACTGTCTATATATCAAAGATGTAACTAAACTCTCCACAGCGCCTCATTCCATTCTTGGATCGCCATCTCGCTCTCCCATTGCTCAACTACCTCACAGATTTAGATATCTACAACCAAAACCAGTTGCAATCAGCCCAGTATGAATTAGTCAAGGGTACAAATATGGTAGACTACGCTAGTCAAATCAACCCGCATGAATCCCAAGATGACAAGAAGAAGCACATCGTCGACACACAGCAGCAATACCAGCAAAAGGCTAAGGAAGTACTCGAAGTGCTCACAAACCCAGATGTAAGCAACCACTTAACTCAGGATAAACACAAGAACCGCGAAATCCTCCAAGAAAAATTCAACCTCCAGCCAAATTCTATAGAAGTTCTTTATGACTACGGACACTTTCAATTCAGCTCAGGTAACTACGTAGAAGCCGCTGAATATCTTTACCACTTTAGAATTCTCTCTACTGAACCAGCTAAGGTGCTGTCTAGCCAATGGGGTATTCTCGCTTCAAACATTCTCAAGGGTAGCTTCGACCAGGCATTGGAGGATTTCAATGGCTTGAGAGAGACGATCGACAGACAACACTCACAGGATAAGGGCACTGTCATCCAACTCCAACAACGTACTTGGTTGCTTCACTGGGGCTTGTTTATCTTCTTCAACCACGAACAAGGTAGAGACGTCCTTGTTGACTTGCTCTCACATACTGCTTACCTCAACACTCTCCAAACTGCCTGCCCATGGTTATTGAGATACTACACAATCGCTGTTATTGCCACCTCTAGGCAATCACAACGCCAGAAATCACTCATTAGAGACTTAATTAGAGTCGTCAACATCGAGACCTACCAATATCAAGACCCGCTTACAAAGTTTGTTGAGGCTCTCTACACTGACTTTGATTTCAATGTTGTTGAAGCTCAACTCAAGGAAATTGACACTGTATTCACACAAGATTTCTTCCTCTCAAATGAGCAACTTAAGGACGACTTCTTCTCAAGTGCTAGATTCTATGTTGTCGAAGCCTATTGCCGTATACATTCACATGTCACAATTAGCGAAATTGCCCAAAAGGTTGGATTATCTGAAGATGCGTTTAAGAGCTGGATAAGCAAGGAGGAGAAGTTTGTCGTTGATTCTAACGCTGTTTACATTCCAACTGAGACTCCAAATGTTCTCTCAACTATACTTGATAAGAGCTCCGCATTGGCTCTTCGCTCACAATCAATTAAACAGGCTATTACCAGTATACATGAAGACATCCCACAAACTCCATCTGAAGCCGCAGCTTAAAATATTTTTTTCGTCACTATGCATTTTCACATTCTTGTCTCATTCTTTCTTATCAACGAACTGTCAATGACTGAACTGCTTGACAATACGAGGGCTAATTTGCCACATGAGTTGACATCGGCTAATGAATTATTAGCATATCATATATATGCTCTACTTAGACGTCAGAAAGCCTACGCTGGTATTCATTTCGAAAACGTCGACGAGGATGATGGCGAAGGTGGCGAAGACGAAGTTTGCTATTGTCTCAGCGTGGATAACCCTCCTAAGGAAATACGTGTTGTTAGTCTTGGTGGTATATCGAGATCTGTCGTTTGTGTAGATAACAGTGGAGTCGATAATGTGCGTTACTTTATGTAGTTAATATATAGTTAACAATAGCAGGACATTAGAACTGTCGTCGTGCATCTCGACAAATACTTTAATGTTGGTGCATTCCCCGTCAAACGTCAGACACTTTATAGGGCATTTAGAAGCACAGACAGTGGTGAACAAGAAAATAGACTTTCAGCATTAGCACATGACCTTGAAGTTGCATTGTTTAGAGACAACGATTTGTCTTACATTACAGAACCAGCTGATAAGTACGATATTGGAACTACAACCCATGTACCTGACAACGGTCGGGAAAAAGACAAGAACGAAAGTGTATCATCCCTGCTCCAATCTCAACGTTCTTCCCACGCCATAGCTACTCCTCAACCTAGGAAATCAAGTCAGGAGAAGAAAGACCGTAATTTTGAGCAAGTTAGCAGAGATGCACAAGCTAATATACCTTCACCACCTGCATCCCAGGATTTGGCACCTAATATTGGTGGATCAGATCTAGATCCTTTCCAGTCGTTCAATAATCCACCTTCAGGTATAGGACTTGGTAATTTGCGTCAGCCAGGGACACTAGGTGGGCCTAGTCGACCATCAGGTGGAGGTATGCATCCTACACCGGAAGAGCTCTTCGCACACCCTCCAGAGGCACGTTATGATCCCATAGGACCAGTTTTCGGGCCAGGTGGCAGTATGGGTGTACAGCCACCTTTCAATGATCCTACTAAGCGCTCAAGAGGTCCATCGGGTGGATTTGGTGGGGTTTCTTTCGGTGGTGATCCAGATTTTGATGAACCTATGCCTCCAGGTAGCGTAAGTTAAAATCTAAAACAGTCTGTGTAGCTAACACACAATAAGTCTAATATGTTCATTTGATTAGTTAACGAATTTACGACTTTTTGATATCATTTACTTTTGCTCGCATATCAGATATTCATAAATGCATAAATGTTTTACTTAATGAAAATGAAGAAACTATATTGAGAACGGTATGTCTATTAAAATAGTAATAGAGGATTAGTTTTGAATGTAAACGGTATAAAAAAAGGATATGCACTTCTTTGTTTAAATCTAGAACTCCAAACCATCTAATGATAAAACACCAACCGTCCTTTCCACTTTAAGTGCAGATTCAAGACTTCCTTTTACTTTACCCAGACGATTACGAGATTTGTAACACATCGCGAGCATGTAGTGAGCACCTGGATAGTTGCGATGTATGAAATGGCTTGAACGCAGTAGTGTCTCAAGGAGACCTTCGACAGCATCTAATCGTCTATTGCTGTCGAGATTTGGATGCACTTCATTGACTTCATCCGATAAGTTGAATAACGAAGATGCGTATTCATATTCAGCTATCTGATATGATCTTTCACTCTCACTTGCTGAGGAAGCAGCTAAAAATTGCGCCTTTATGAGGGCCTCATTGGCTGACTTTAAGTCTTTCTGTTCGACACATTGCTTGGCCAGCTATAAGTGTTGTCAATAGACGTCTCTCAAAAGGGAACCCTCACTCACCTCAACGTAAACCCCACAATACGTAGGACCACATTCTTCAGCCATATTCAATGCATTAGCAGCTTGCTCAAGATCTCCACTACGTCTGTATGATGCGGCACTCATCAACCACAGTTCAGTCAAGAGGTTGAGCTCTCTGTGTTCGTAGTCTTGTACATCAACACCCACATTGGATGCACTGCTGCTTATGGTCAATTTATTTTGATCAACAGTCCCATTTGTTGCATTCTGCTTCGCTTTTTCGTTTGGTACGCTAGAAACTCGTATGCGCGGAAGATTCTTGTTGAGGTCCAGATCTGAATTTGGAGCAGTCTGGATAGATGGCGCAGTACCATTAACAGATCTTGGGTGTTTCTTTGAACGGAATTTACCTAATGCACTACCAACACTGATATGTGGTACGGGGACGTGCAAGCGTGATCTCCTGCTTGATTGCTTCGACGAGTTCGTAGATTGCTGACTAACCATACTTGAAGAGCTCTCTAGGCCATGTCTGCGTTTGGCAAGTGCTCCCTCGCTTGAGCTTAATTTGAGGGGGTAGTTGAAGGCGCTGTCGTCATCACTCGTTCTCTTACCGACGCGACGCTCAGAAGGGTGATAGAAGCTGAACTCTTCCATCAATTTCGTCATTTTCGTTGATTTTGGTATATTGTTAGAGTAGTATCCAAACAATTTTGTTTGATTACTTAATGCCTCGTCCACCCCGATTGTTTCTTCGACGAGAAGGTTTTCAAGTATAAGTAGCTTCATAATTAAGTGTGCTCTCTCGATTGATGAAACCGTCTCTGGAGCGAGTGGATCATTGCGAGATGATGTGCCTTCAGACAAATCGAGCGCCGATTGCACCACATCCAGAGCGCCCTTGGTGTCTTTTGCGGAGAGCAAGTTTGCCAATCTCAGCCATGCTTCCCAATCACTAGAATCAATTGTGAGTGCTTCCCTTAAGGCGCTAATAGCTGTGTCTGTATTGTACACTTGATCGGAAACCCACGAGTACAGCTTCAATGTCGTTGTATTCTTTGGGTCCAAAGAAAGTGACTTGTGAATGCGTTCCAAGGATTCTCCGAATAGACTCTCGCGGTTATTGGATTCCCATTCTTGGCGTTGTTGTTAGTAGATCGTAAACAGAAAGTTGCTAGACTCACGATTCTCGGCTTCATAAGCGAGAAGCAGACCCTCCAAGTAACACTTCTTGGCGTAAAACAAATCCCCCTCCTTGCTGTCAACCAGCTTGACTACCTCTTTCGCCAAATCAAACTTAAATTGCTTGAGGATAACAGGGATAGCATCATAAATAGTCTGATAGAATACACCGTCTGTATCCAAATCCATTATACTAGATGGGTCGATAGTTTCATCACCATGTAGACTTCTCAACTGGATGTTCACATTTTTTGCATCAGTTTCTCTTGATTTATGAACGAGGTGGTAATATATGTCGAATGAACGGATTGCTAAATCCTGAGTGAATGGTATGTCTTTATTGAGGTAGAACAACGATCTGAAGTTGGATTGGGATAGGAACGTATACTGTTGGCAACTTATCAATAAATCAGTTATGACAGGTATAAGTGATGTTGGTTTGTTGTAGTAATTCCAGATGTTCAACATGGAATCTTGAAATTTCACGACTTTTACATTATAATGACCAGACTTAGGTGTTTGATGTGTTTTTGTGATGATAGTGTATGTTTTGTAGAGTACCTCACTGACTGAAATCGGTGGATGCTTTAGTAGAAGATCTAAGAAATCCAAATGGACGTCTAGATTGTTAGAGTGTTTGACTGCATGTTCGCCCAGTCTAAACTTGTATTCGTGATTGCTTGTTTTTGTGAGCTGGTCGATAACAATCGCATCTGTTACCTCGTTGTATATACCCAATTCAAAGATATCCTCAACTGAGTCACCTTGTTTGGTTTTTATGCTAAGAAATCTGATGTAGAGCTTATCATTGTATTCCTTTAATAATACACTGATCTCCTTATCATTGAGTGGATTAAGGTGGCTCTTACGTAGTTCCCTTTTGAGTTCGCCAGCAAGCTTCTCATCGCGCTGCGACTTAAGCAGGGTGTAGTAATTGCTAATAAGATCATCGTCGATATTTGACAATTCCTTGAGCTCCTCCACGCCGTCATCGACTCTAATCAGATGCTGGAAATGCTGGAGATGGCTATGGCTCGTCGAGTGCTTATATAGCTTTCTAAATAATTCATTTTTGTTTAAATTATCATTTTTTATCAAATCTTTAAAATAATTGTTATATTTCTCATTCAACATCTATCTAAAATTGATTTCCACTGGTGACGATGGTGAGTGTGTGGGTTCAAGATATACAAAAAGGCATACTCACGCTTCTTAGTATAAAGTCTGAATAGTTATACATCCTAGATAGTGTCTCTTGTTTGCCCAGCTCCTCATCGAGTACAGGCTCAAAATGTTTGTCTTGTAATTGAAACAGCTCCGACGTCGTGTAAGCCTTGAATATACCTATGCGCGTAGTATAGAATGACTATACAGTCGTTAGACAGCTCCGCTGTATTATTCCGACTCACTTCCACAGGCTGTTTGCTGAGATAGGCAATTTCATCGGCTATACTCCATCCTGTCTTGATAAAGTCCTTATCGTATACGTATGCCTGATATATGAGCTGATACCATAGCCTATTACGCACAACTTACACTCATCACCAGATCTCTGCCCTGTATCTCGTTCCAATCTAATCTCCGCTGTATGAGATCCTTTATGGATTTATTAGAGGTTTCGCGTAGATGCTGTAAGCCTTCTTCTCTCCACTCGTCTATCAACTGTTTTACAGGATCTTCGTAGAGCGTTTCTATTGCCATAGCATTTATATTTGGGTGAGCAGCAACTAGAACTTGCTTATTAAATCCTATATCCTTTATCAATTTCCTAGCTGTATTATTTAATAGCCTGGACGTCGTCAGTGATATGCATGTCTTCATTATCTCTTTACCTACTTCATTGTATGACTTGAACCGTCATCTGCAACCGATACAGAAGAATAGAGTGATATTTTATTCATGGCTTACCATGTATTACACTTACAGATTGACATCTATTATCTCTATACTATTAAAGTGACATTAGATTTTGATACGCTAACAAGGATACTCTTAAGAGCTCTAGAGCAAATACAATTTCTGTTTAATTATTAATGCTTCAAAATATCTTCATGCTCTCCTCCGGCTACTTTACTCCTTTACTTCATCCTCGTCTGATAATTCCTTCGTTTAGAAGACGTGAGCTTGACCTTTAGGGGGTTTCCATCTAAATATGGTGACACTACTACCATCATTAATGCTTGTTTACATATACAGTGTCATCAAGCGATAGTGATTTTTTTGGGTGTTGAATTGGTGAGAAAAGCCTCGAACTCAATGAGCGTCTGTAGAAAGTCGTATGTATCAGTCAATTCATTGACAGTAACACCAACCCAGCCTCAGTACTATCAATTACATTGGTGCATCCTGAAATAAAGACATAGATACCTTTTAAGTCGGTTCAGCCATAAGTTGTCTAAAGGCCTTATTGAATGTAGGAAAATTAAAATGGTTATAATTTGAAAATAGGTAATTCATAAAAATAACAATCACGATATTAAAACCTAATTGAAATCGATATGCGTTCCGATATCGTTACGCTTAGCTTTATCAAGGATAAGCCTAGCAATGCTTGAGTCTTGGATACCTATTCCAACACCTTTGTATATTGATACCCTACCGTTTCTCTTGAGATAACTACTTCCATCTTGAAGTAAATCACCTAAAGTATGTACCTTACTAAGATCCGTTCCTGCCCTGATAAATTCACCAGCCTCCTCAGCACAATCACTACGTGAGTCTACAATAATCGAATCACCTGCGTCATGTATCAACCGTGTGTCAATCTCTTGCATTTCTGGTTTATATGAACCTATAAGGGTGATATGTGCACCTTCTTTAACTTTGTCCGAGCGGAAGAGGGGGACCAGTGATGGCGTACAACAAATGACAATATCAGCAGTAGACAATTTCTCATCTACTCTCTTTCCTTCACTCGACGCTATCACCGACTGGATAATTTCGGTATCGACAAAATCAAACATACTTGAATTCAGGATATCCAAACTTGTTGAACTATGATTCCAGTATGTAATCTCATCGATTGATTCTTTGTAAAATCTGTAAAATAAAGCAGCGTGATTGTAAGCTTGTTTCCCAGTAGAGAATATGACCATCTTTCTTGGATTCGCGGATTTGGGAACAAATAGCGATGTTCCGAGTAATGAGCTCTGATTTAGTAATAAGAATCAATTAGGCTGATCCTATAATCTCACTCACAGAAGCTGTACGTAAAGCAGTCAATTCGGTAGCATTCACAAGTCCTTCAACTAATCCGGTCGATTCATCATGTACAATCGTCGCTCCAGGTAGACCATCCGATTTAACCTTCACTGATGCAGTTGGTAGTGGTACAGCGACAACTTTCATTCCGATAGCTTGATGATCAACACTAGAGGGCATGTAAAGCAAATTATGATTCCCTGACTTGATTGTTGAACGCAGTGGATTCTGTACTTTTCCCTTTGAGAAGCTTATCAATGCGTTTCTCTGATTATCAATTAAATCATCAGTATTGAGAAATTCATCTATTACTTTTGAAACATCACTCTTTGTTAAAACTAACATATTTCTGAAATGAAGTTTGCTTGTCAAAGTAACTTATCTGAGAGATATTCGCTTAAATAATCTTATGAGCGGAAAATAATCGCCCCTATTTCGTCATTGGCGAGATTTGCTGGCAGTCAGAAGTCAGCATTATTTCAAGATAAAGAAAGACATGTGAATCACGCTTTCTCTGAAGACCACTTAATTAGTCGTATGATATTTTTCCATGTCTCAGTCGTGAGTACCAACAACTAAAAGTATCTGTTCGAGATAATGTTACATAATCTCATGGTTTTGAATAAAAGGTGCTGTATTCAAAACAGACGAAATCTAGTTGAGGACGATTGGTTGGATTCAGGCAGTGAGTCTGATATTTAGAACAGAAATCGGCGTGATAGTCTGTTCTTACCGGGGCTATTAGATATACTAGGTATATTCAAGTGTCATAGCTATCATATTCTTTAGTTTTGGTATCACATATGCAATGTCTCAATATTCACAAGCAAATACAATATCCAGTCGAACTAAGATACGGTATGACTAAAGTTTGGTCCATTTTGCAAAGATCTAATAAGTGTGGCTAGAATGATATGTCTTATCTTCATCAGCGCAAGTAATTCTTTACATCCAGTATTGCATTTAGTGAGCTTGCAGAGCACAAAATCTGGTGTGGTTAGCAATTTATAAACTGAACAAATTCTTGCTACTTATGATATCATATATTTTCTCAAGAGTTAAGTAATTCTGATGGTACGGTAACCAAAGAAAATGTAACCGCTTTTGTAGATGGTTAAATTGATAGTTGTCCTTGTGGTCCAACTACCCATGCTCGCTTGACACATCTCTTCTTTGAAAATAAGGGTTAACAAGACGGAAGAGACTCTTAGTCATCATTCTGTAGCCGGTAGAGCATTTGAAATTGCTATATTAGAAGAAAGCATTGATAATGGTAGGGGCGTTTGTATATCATACGAACGCTACCACCGCAAGTCTAACTGAAGAACTTAAATTCTTTATCGATGAAAAGGATTCTATGGAATTTCTTTTCCCTTCAGATGTTATATATAAACTTACCAAACCTACTGTCTAATCTGCATGCTAATCTGTGCTAAATTAATTATTTCACCCATATAAGGAATTTTTATTGCGTAAAAGAAAGTATTTCATTAAGTTCTTATCCATATAAAAACCTCAGACACTTCTGAAGAACGCTGAAATTTTCACAAATTTTCATTTACAATAGAAACAAATGCAAAGTAAGTGAATATCATGAACCACTAGTCTACAAAGGCAAACACCATGATAAGGTTTGGGATGTATGACAAAATAGGTCTACTGCATAATTTGACTTCCAAGTTTATTCGAAGCCCTGTAGCTGGGGACGTTTCTAACTGAGGTGAAGTTGATATTTTTGATGCGGTAGGAAATTTAAGTAAGTTAGCTATAAAATTTTGACAATCTAAGCTACATCATATACTAGGTAATGTCATAACTGTTCTACTGGAAGGGTACGCAAAAAAGCAGCTTCACTAACCATCAAGATATAAATTATATTCAACGGTTTGCAAAACTATTCTAGAAGAATTATTATAAATACAATGACGTAAAACCTCCACCTTCTATTTTAAATTCCTGGGAGTCAAAGCTTCTACTTTTTTTTTGGAAACACATCAGAAGTTAACAAAATGACAGAATTCAAAGCATTTAGAGGACAACAAGACGGCAAGATTGTCCAATCAACTGGAAAAGTACCTGAACTTGGCCAACATGATGTTTTGATCAAGCTCACTCACGCTGGTCTCTGCTTCACGGATGTTCGTACGTGTGAAATCTTATTAAATGGTACATCTGACACTATAAATAGACTACGTTCAAGCTGGTATTGCTCTCGGCCACGAACCAGTAGGAAAGGTCACCAAGGTTGGTACTGACGTCAGACATTTGAAGGAAGGTGACGTCGTCGGATATGGTAAGGATGCAATTCAATTGTTGAATGTTTCTAATGTCATCTAGGATACAACCACGGAAGTTGTGACACCTGTGACGAATGTCGCATTGGTAATGACACCCTTTGTGGTTCAAGAAGACTTTATGGTGAAGCTGACACTGACTTTGGTGCGTTCGGTGAATACGCCCAAGTCGAAGAACGTTTCGTCCACAAGATCCCAGACAACTTGGCTCCAGAATACGCCGCACCATTACAATGTGCAGGTGCAACCGTCTTCGCACCATTCTTGAAGTACGACATCAAGCCAATCCACAGAGTTGGTGTCATTGGTATCGGTGGTCTCGGTCACCTTGCCCTTCAATTCGCTAACAAGTGGGGTTGCTCAGTTGGTGCATTCACCACTTCTGAGAGCAAGGCAGATGAAGCTAAGTCATTTGGTGCTCACGACGTTATCGTCACTAAGCGTCCAGATGGTGAGAGCTTTGTTCCAAAGTCTGACGCTGAGAAGTTTGATTTCATTATCTGCACTGTCTCATCACAAGTTCCTTGGGACAACTACTTTGACTGCTTAAAGCCACGCGGTCAAATCATCCCACTTGGTGTTGACTTCGGCAAGTTTGAGACTAACCGTTACTTCTCCTTGCTCGCTCGCGAGAACAAGATCGGTGGTAACATTGTCTCAAATAGATATCAACACCAAAAGATGTTGGAATTCTGTGCTAGACACGGTATCAAGCCAGCAATCGAGTTACTTGACTTGACTGAGGAAAACATCAACAAGGCACTCGGAAGGCTTCAAAAGAATGACGTTCGTTACCGTTTCGTCTTCAAGCACTTGGAATAAATGTCTCAGAATGCGAAGTTGTAAATCAAGATGCCTTGTGTAAAGTATTATGATAGTTTAATATTTAATGTTTTAGTTATTCATATTAATCTTTGATTATTATGTACGATGGTTTTGTGTTTTGGTGAAAAAGCGGTGGTATCGAATCAATAAACAAAAATACTTGGACGAAGTATTGAAGTTTTGTTGCTCATACATTCTCATACGATATCTGTCGGTTAATAGTTATACAGATGATATGCAAAGTAGGAAAGGCCAGTTATTCGGGGAAGATCTGTTCACTATTGATGTATATATGTTTGGCTCAACATAGATACCGTTATGGTAGAAGATAGCCTGTCAGATCGACTATAATAGCAATTATCAAGATTATACTCTACTGATATACCTGGACAAAACAGCATAACAAAATGGCTGCTTTGCATATATCATAACTCGGGAGTTAACACTGTCAGTTCAAACTGTCTTCCGAGAATTACTTTGCATTATTACAGAACTTTTTACTTGACTGTCTAAGTGTAGCATGCCTATCCAAGATGTTCAGGATGATCTCACATTTTGTTTAGTCGATGAATGATAAGATGTTTTGTAAAACATTCAGTAATCAAAGACGCATTCTGCTTGTAATACGATCCGGTGAGATCAGTGAAACGCTTTGAAGTGCGCAATTTCAAAATCTTCATTTTACACACTTATCCTTTCAAACCATATGAATGTTTTCGGAATTATAATAAACTGAAATCTAATAGATACGTGTCGAATGATACATTGCCACCAGGAACCAATGTGATTATGAAATGGTTACAAATTTTTGAAAATATATTTGCAGAGCCTGTCATGATAGAACGAAGATATCCGGTATTCCTGACAGTGTTATTTGGATTCTTTCTCCTTGATATCAGAATGCTTATCAGTTTAGCAGCCCCACTGACTAAAAGCGGTGCTAAGCGAGTGTCAAAAATTACATAATTTGCACTAATATGTCAAAAGTTCTCGGTTTACGTCGACATCTTTCAAATTGACACTCCTAAGTGGTCATTACCTGAGTCAACTTTAATCACTCTCGAAAATTTTACAGAGAAAACTTGAGTTCGTACGTATGATGCAACATCGTAAGCCGAGAATTAGGGCCATATGAATGGAAATTTATTTATAATGTTTCAGATTGATTTGTCAGGGTTTCGCTGAGTTATATTGCTCAACCTCCACATCCTCTAAAACTTTGCAGATACGGTTCTTCTCGCTTATCAACACAATTTATCGACAAAAACAAGAAAAACAATGACTGAGTTCAAGGCATACAGAGGTACTGAGAGTGGTAAGATCGTTGAATCTACCGGTAAAGTAGGCGATATCGGCAGTAGCGACGTCTTGATCAAACTCACTCACGCTGGTCTTTGTTTCACTGATGTTCGTAAGTAACGGTATTACGAATAGTATATACACTAACGCATTCAAGACTTTATTGAAGCTGGTATCGTTCTCGGACACGAACCAGTTGGTAAAGTTGAGAAGACCGGCTCTGACGTCAAACACTTAAGCGAAGGTGATGTTGTTGGTTATGGTTAGTTAGAGCTTAGAAATGTAGACTCGCTAACAAAGATAAAGGTTACGTCCACGGTTCATGCGATACCTGTGACGAATGTCGTTCAGGTAACGACACCCTTTGTCCTTCAAGACAACTTTACGGAGAAACTGATACAGATTTCGGTGGATTCGGAAAGTACGCTAAGGTGAACGAGCGTTTCGTACACAAGATTCCTGCAGGTATGGCACCTGAACATGCCGCACCATTGCAATGTGCTGGTGCAACTGTTTTCTGTGAGTTACTTAGAGAAATGTAGGGTGCATTCTAATAATAATTATAGCAGTGAGTTGTTCGACGTGATTGCACGCTTATCTAACTGTCGACAGCCATTCTTGAAGTACGACATCAAGCCAATCCACAGAGTTGGCGTCATTGGTATCGGTGGTCTTGGCCACCTTGCCCTTCAAGTTGCCAACAAATGGGGTTGCTCAGTTGGTGCATTTACCACCTCTGAGAGCAAGGCAGATGAGGCTAAGTCATTTGGTGCTCACGACGTTATCGTCACTAAGCGCGCAGATGGCGAAAGCTTTGTTCCAAAGTCTGACGCTGAAAAGTTTGATTTCATTCTCTGCACTGTTTCTGGTCAAGTCCCATGGGACCAATACATTGATTGCTTAAAGCCACGCGGTGTTGTCATTCCACTCGGTGTTGACTTCGGCAAGTTCGAAACCAACCGCTACTTCTCTCTCCTCGCTAGAGAGAACAAAGTCGGTGGTAGCTTTGTCGCTACTAGGTGAGTTCCTATCTCTGGAGAGAGCCTTTACCTTACTGTTCATAGATTCGAACACTACAAGATGTTGGAATTCTGCGCTAGACACTCCATCAAGCCAGCTATTGAGATGCTCGACTTGAATGAGGAGAACATTAACACTGCTTTCGATAGACTCCAAAAGAACGACGTTCGCTACCGATTCGTATTGAAGCACTCAGAGTAGAGGATTAGACTTTTGTTATCAGTATACTAGATCTATTAATTAATTTATTATCGCTTATAATTACATATGTGTCTTGATAAAATTGCTCACTGTCCTGCTCCAGGTGGTACTAGTGTACGCGTTTTCGTGTAGCGCACCCTGTATTACTTCTAACTGCGAGTTAGAGATCAGTGAGTGAAGTGCCTCACCATGGGCTCGCGGAACGAGCTCATCATTTTCGCTAATGAGTATGAGCGTTTTGGCTTTGACCTTATGTGCCACGCTCTTTGCATCCCATTTATCGAACGCTAACCTATGTAGATGCCAATAGGGTATGCGGGGGCTTATGAAATAAGCCTTTATCATATCTGGTATACTCCCAAACGCGTTCTCCAGTATCAATCCGTTGATATTCTCGTCGTGGAGGTGCTCAGCTAGGAGAATCGTCGATATTGCACCACCTAGACTGTGTCCGTATATGAAAATCGGTGATTCAGGATATCGTTCGCATGTCTTCTGCAAAGCACACCTGTAATCCTCAAGCAATTTCGTTTGAGTGGGTCGACGCCGACTGCTTGTCCAATAGGAGGATGGTGCGAATGCGATTATTTTCAAGTCATCAACGCAGGCTTTATCGTGAAGTAACTTATGGAATACAGGTAATCTCGATAGTGGATTGCCGGCATTTCCTTGTAAGTAGAACAGAATTGACGGTTTATTATTATCTCCTGCACTTTTTCGACAAACTTCCAAGCCGTCTAAGCGTACTTTGGGTGAGACATCCGCTGAAATCTTTCGCACGTCGAATGGACCGAGAGTGTCGATATCCCTAAGTAATTCTTGACGAGCGCCTATTGGAGAGTACCCCATGTATATGATTCTGCGCTGGAATGCTACTAACATCATGCACTGGTTGCGTTAGTTTTCATGTATATTTAGCAAGAAGACAAACTTTAAATGTCCATAAGGATAGAGGTAAACCGACTATAGTACTAACTAAAGTTGGAATTGTGGGCATTTTAGAGAATATTTAGCTGGACATTTGACAGCAGCTTCTCAAGAATGAACGACGATCATCAAATGGTTAAAATGGCGAATTCATCCCAGTAATAGCTATAAATTTATCATTTATAGTCTCCTCAGTGTAGATGTACTGTGTTATAGCTCATACACTGTTCATCCCGCTGTTGGAAAGCTTAAAAGTCTTCTCTTGCGAGAAAACTTGTGTAGAAACACTTACTGCGTTGAATATTGGCTATTTGAGATAAAAAAGACTCATCTGGTCTAAGTTTGCAACGCTAAAGCAAAACTTCTGGTGTGATTATAACGAGCTGTTTAGTGTGAGCAGTTTACGATATACATCAATAGTGACATTATGTTTGTAAATATACCTATAATAGATTATTACCTTCTTTTATTATTACAATCATGTCTGGATTAGCAAATTATCAGAAAGAGTTCATCACGACTTGTTTGTCTAACAAGATCTTAAAATTCGGCACTTTCACACTCAAGAGTGGCAGAACATCACCTTACTTCTTCAACGCAGGCGATTTATCGACTGGTGAACTCGTCCTTATGACGGCGAGAGCCTACGCAGAGGCAATCCTCGCCAGCGGCGTTAAGTTTGACATGTTATTCGGTCCTGCATACAAGGGAATACCATTAGTTGCAGCCACTGCGCTTATCTTGCAATCTGAACATAAGATTAACGTACCATTTGCATTTGACAGAAAAGAGGCTAAAACACACGGTGAAGGTGGTAACATAATTGGTGCACCATTCAAAGGAAAAGTTTTAGTTTTAGACGATGTTATCACAGGTGGTACATCGATCAGACACTCGATAAACCTTATCAAGAATGCAGGCGAACAGGCAGAATTCGCTGGTGTTGTCGTCAGTGTCGATAGACAAGAGAAGGGTCAAGGTGAAAAGTCAGCCATTCAGGAAGTTGAGTCGGAATACGGTGTTAATGTCTTTAGCGTCATCGGTATGACAGATATTATCAAATATCTCGAGACTACTCAAGCGGATCAAGCATTAATTGATCAAATGCTTAAATACAGGGAAACTTATGGTTGTTAAGTAGATTTTTTATTAATAATTTCTTTATTTGGAAGGTATACTTTAGTTTGAAATTTGAGATTCCAGCTGTCATTTAGCGTCATGAGAGGATTATTATACAAAGCAGCTGTTATAGCTTTCAGCACCACAGCCACAGCCATCACCAAGGAGCAATTAGAAGATATTGCGCCAAAGACTTCGAGCTGCACTGATGCCAAATATGCAGACGAGTGTGCAACAAGCGAAGTAGCAGCTGAGCAACTAACTAAGGCCATTGAAGAGCACAAATTGAGTGCAAGTGAGAGTGCAGCAGTTATCGCCTGGCAGTTGAATGAGTCACTTGAGTACCGCTACAATATGTGAGATAAGCTGGCGAAGCAAATATACAACTGACTCGCTATCTAGCAACCATTTCAGTAATGGACAAGAAAAGCACAATCCAGGCCAGGGTTCTCGCTGTATGGCCAACTCGTGAGTGTTTTCTTTTCTTTGTTAAGAAATCAACTCACGGATTTTTTCTAGTCAATTCGTGGCGGCATACGTCGCTGCACACGATGATTTACGTAGTCAATCGCCTGTTGAGCTTGAAGCCAACGCTACGCCTGCCAGTATCACCGGAATGAACATCAGCGACGAAGACAAGGACAAGATTTTAGATCTCGTATTAGATGATGCACACAGCTGGGACGTCGCATTCTGGTTCTACGACAGCCAATGTACAGACAGCGTAAAAGAGCAACTCAAGGACGGTGGCCTCGACGCATTCATGCAACAATGCGTGGGTGGACCAACACCGGAGAAAATATACAACTATTATGAGAAACTATCAGATGTACTCTAAAATCTTTCTTTATTATCTACGACCATTATGCACTATCTATCAACTCGCGGCGGTGACGAGAAATTGAGCTTTGAGGATGTAAGAAGGCTATCGATGTAATATTACAGCGTTTTCTAATCTATCTATAGGCTATCTTACAAGGTCTTGCACCAAATGGCGGATTGTACATTCCATCCGAGATTCCTTCTCTACCAGCGAATTGGGAAGAGAAATGGATAAACCTTCCATTTGAAGAATTGGCTTATGAATTGACAAAGCTGTTTGTCCCAGAGGATTCCATCCCAGCCGACGATCTCAAGGATTTAATAAGAAGATCATACGCTACATTTAGACACAGCGAGCGCACCCCTATCACCCAAGTTGGCAGCAACAGATTCGTCCTTGAATTGTTCCATGGTCCTACCTTCGCTTTCAAGGACGTCGCACTTCAATTCTTAGGCAATCTCTTTGAATACTTCCTCAAGCGTCGCAACGCAAACAAGCAGCCAGGCGACGTCAGAGAGAAGCTAACTATTGTCGGTGCAACTTCAGGTGATACTGGAAGTGCAGCCATCTACGGTGTTAGAGGTAAGGACGATATCAGCATCTTCATCCTCCATCCAAAAGGCAGAGTCTCACCTATCCAGGAAGCCCAGATGACTACCGTACTCGACAGCAATGTACACAACTGCGCTGTTGAGGGTACATTCGACGATTGCCAAGATATCGTCAAGTCATTGTTCTCCGATAAGCCATTTAACGACACACACAAACTCGGTGCAGTAAACTCAATCAATTGGGCTAGAATTCTCTCACAGATTACCTACTACTTCTACTCCTACTTCCTCGCTAAAAAGCAAACACCTGCCGGATCAGAAGTTCAATTCGTCGTCCCAACTGGTAACTTTGGTGATATCTTAGCTGGTTTCTATGCTAAGAAGCTTGGCTTGCCTAGCCAGCCTATGGTTATTGCAACAAATGCAAATGACATTCTCACCAGATTCTGGAGAACTGGTGTATACGAAAAGTATGACTCAAACCAACACGTACAAGCGGTCGAAGGTGCCGTCGAAGCTGCACAAGGCAGTAGTGACGGTAAGCAAGCCTTGGCGGTTGTTGGTGGTGTAAAAGCAACACTCTCACCAGCTATGGATATTCTCGTCTCTTCAAATTTCGAAAGATTACTCTGGTACATTGTTTTAGAATCCATGACAAAGGGTGACAAAATAGCTGCCTCTAAGCAAGTAAACAACTGGATGAATGAGCTTAAAACCAACGGAAGATTCAGCGTTCCAGAGGAAGCCCTTGCTGTTGCAAGACGCGATTTTACAGCGTCATCAGTCAATGATGAACAAACTACCCAAACAATTAAACAATATTTCTCTCAACCAGAGCCAGGCTTCAAGAGCTACACAGTCGATCCACACACAGCTGTTGGTTTGAAAGCATCAAGTGATGTCAAGAACGAGAGCAACGTCTACCAAATTTGCCTTGCAACAGCTCATGCGGCAAAGTTCTCAGAAGCCGTCGAGAATGCACTCAAAGATGAGGCTTCCTTCAACTTCGAAAGAGATGTCTTGCCTACAGAATTCCACGGTTTGATGGACAAGCAAAGAAGAGTCATTGATATCGAAGGTATCGATCCAGAACTCACGAAGAGGGTAGTTGAATCAAAAGCTGTGAAAGAGGCTACTCATGGTAATGTAGGTATTTAGAAATGTCATTTTACTGGGTTTTTTGTAAAAAAAGAATAAAATAGAATTGTTGTTAGGCATATTAATGTAGCGAGCGGAATGGGTATTTATTCATTAAAACGAACAAAAAGAAGAAGTTATTATATTAGTTGGATTTATTATTTTTGAAGGATGAGTGGAAAGATGGGAAGAGAAGTGTTCGGTAGCTCAATGAGATATTTATTGCTCTTCAATGTACTCTTCAGCACCTTCTTCAATGTATTCTTCTTCAATATCTTCGTCAATACCAGCTGCCTCATATTGTTGATATTCTGAAATAAGATCTTGCATATTGGATTCTGCTTCAGTGAATTCCATTTCATCCATACCTGAGTGTTTGTTAGTAATAAATTAAATACGCTTTAAAAATATCAACCAACCTTCACCGGTGTACCAGTGCAAGAAAGCCTTTCTACGGAACATAGCACTGAATTGATCGTGTACACGCTTGAATAAGTCTTGAATAGCGGTTGTGTTTGCAATGAAAGTTGCTGACATCTTTGATCCCTTTGGTGCAATGTTACAGAGTGCAGTTTGTACGTTGTTTGGAATCCATTCAACGAAGTAATCTGAGTTCTTGTTTTGGATGTTGTGCATTTGATCTTCAACTTCCTTCATTGAGACCTTACCACGGAAGTATGCGGCGACGGTCAAGTATCTACCTGATCTTGGGTCAGATGCAGCCATCATGTTTCTTGCGTCGAACATTTGTTGAGTAAGTTCTGGAACGCTGACAGCTCTGTATTGTTGTGATCCTCTAGCTGTCAATGGAGCGTAACCCAACATGAAGAAGTGAAGACGTGGGAATGGAACTAAGTTTACTGCTAATTTTCTCAAATCTGAGTTCAATTGACCTGGGAAACGAAGACAGGTGGTGATACCTGACATAACAATAGAAACCAAGTGGTTGAGGTCACCGTAAGTTGGTGTAGAAAGCTTAAGAGTTCTGAAACAAATGTCGTAGAGTGCTTCGTTATCAATACAGAATGTTTCATCTGAGTTTTCAACCAATTGGTTAACAGACAAGACAGCGTTGTATGGTTCAACAACTGTGTCTGAGACCTTTGGTGATGGAACGACTGAGAAGGTGGCCATCATACGGTCTGGGAATTCTTCTCTGATCTTTGAAACTAAGAGAGTACCCATACCAGAACCGGTACCACCACCAAGAGAGTGGGTGATTTGGAAACCTTGAAGACAGTCACATCCTTCAGCTTCCTTACGGACGACATCAAGGACTGAGTCAACAAGTTCTGCACCTTCAGTGTAGTGACCCTTAGCCCAGTTGTTACCGGCACCTGATTGACCGTGGACCATGTTGTCTGGTCTGAAAAGATCACCGAGTGGTGATGATTTGATTGCGTCCATGGTACCAGGTTCAAGATCACTGAAACGTGGGTGAGACTTTTGGTAAAACACGTAAAAAGGTCACTTACACGAGGACAGCACGTGGTACGTATCTTCCAGCTACAGAATACACGTTAGAATGTCCATTTCAGCTTTCTCGCGTTGCTCACTTTGGGCTTCATTGTAGTAGACGTTGATACGCTCGAGTTGTCTGAATCGATAATGAGCGGACAAAAATAAAACAAAGTAATACTAACTCTGAGACGTTGCCGTGGTAGTTACCAGCGCCGTCAAGACCGTGTTCTTCACCGATAACTTCCTATTTGGCGTAAGAAGGATTTGTGGGAGTAAGCGCACAACCCACCCAGAATTTGGCACCTTGAAACACATTAAACGTTGTAAATGCAACTAAAGTATACCTTACCAATTTGGTTACCACACTACAGCATTCCCTGTCAGCAAAAAACGTCGTACACGTCACCTAAACTACTAACCTGACCAGTTTGAAGGTGTACAATTCTATGAAAGCATTATTAGCTACACATTCATGCGCATATTTACTTATTTACGCACTCTCTTCCCATTTTCAACTCAAAGCGAACTTAAAGATTTGGATCAAAGGCGCTCGAGGTGAGAGCTTTGGCCCTCGCAAGACTAAAGTAACAAATTTTATTTAGATACAACGAAATGGATAAATAAAATGGAATTCAAGAAAGTTATTCTTCGACGTACTGCTTTATTTAATTAGTTATTCGTCAAAGTGACGTGATTTATATTTGCTTACCTCTTCTTCCATAACTTCCTCTTCATAGTACTCTTCTTCTTCAACGCCGGCGTTCTCGTATTGTTGGTATTCTGACAAAAGGTCTGCCATGTTGCTCTCTGCTTCGGTGAACTCCATTTCGTCCATACCTGACGACGTGATCAGTTGGTGTCTTTATTTCTAGCAGTACTTACCTTCTCCTGTGTACCAGTGCAAGAAGGCTTTTCTGCGGAACATAGCGCTGAATTGGTCATTGACACGGTGGAAGAGCTCTTGGATGGATGTGGTATTACCGATGAATGTGACTGCCATCTTGGTGTCTTTTGGTGCGATATCACTGGTATTTTAAAGTCAATAGAGTTGCTAATATTGTAAAGACACTCACCAGTGGGCTGTTTGGATATTGTTTGGAATCCACTCAACAAAGTAAGCAGAGTTCTTGTTTTGTACGGACTGCATTTGGTCTTCGACCTCTTTCATGGAGACCTTACCACGGAAGTATGCGGCGACCTGTTCATGGTTAGGTGTATCGGACAAACTAGATAAATATACTCACTGTCAAGTAACGACCATGTCTTGGGTCTGATGCAGCCATCATGTTCTTAGCATCGAACATCTGTTGGGTAAGCTCAGGGACGCTGACAGCTCTGTACTGAGCATTGCCCTTGGCGGTGAGTGGTGCGTAACCAACCATGAAGAAGTGGAGACGTGGGAACGGAACCATGTTAACAGCCAATTTTCTCAAGTCAGAGTTGAGCTGACCTGGGAAACGGAGACAGGTGGTGATACCAGACATGACGCATGATACAAGTTGATTGAGGTCACCATATCCTGGAGTAGAGAGCTTGAGTGTCTTGAAACAAATATCGTAGAGGGCCTCGTTATCGATACAGAAAGTAAGGTCGGAGTTTTCAACCAATTGGTGGACAGATAAGACAGCGTTGTATGGTTCGACGACGGTGTCAGAAACCTAAATACATTGTTAGTCGCTAAAAGAACGCATGGATAACAAAAACGAACCTTTGGTGATGGAACAACGGAGAAAGTGGCCATCATACGGTCTGGGAATTCTTCTCTAATCTTTGAAATGAGGAGTGTACCCAAACCAGAACCAGTACCACCACCAAGGGAGTGCGCTATTTGGAAACCTTGCAGGCAATCACAATTTTCAGCTTCGCGACGTGTAACATCGAGAATTTGGTCAACAAGTTCGGCACCTTCAGTGTAGTGACCCTTAGCCCAGTTGTTACCGGCTGATGATTGACCGAATATCATGTTATCTGGTCTGAATAAGCCACCGATAGGGCTGGCTTTTACGGTTTCAATTGTACCTGGTTCCAAATCGCTGAGGGACCATCAGTAGTGTCCTAACAAGTTATTTAAGGGTTTCCTTACACTAATACAGAACGTGGGACGAATTTTTTTTCTAAAAGCAAGTTAGATACGTTGTCTTGGGTGTATGTCAACTAACCAGCTGCTTCGTTGTAGTAAACATTGATACGCTCGAGTTGTCTATTCAATTGTTAGATAGAATGCTTTGTTTATCGTGTAACTCACTGGTCGAGGTTACCATAGTAGTTACCTGAACCGTCAATGGCGTGTTCTTCGCTGAGTGTTTCCTGCGTATTCTTAGTAATACTTTAAAACGTATAAATTTCCACTCACCCAGAACTTAGAACCGATTTGGTTACCACACTGCCAGCGTTAGCTACAATCACATACCGAAGTCTCTAACTCACTTGACCCGTTTGTATGTGAACAATTCTATAGAATGATTATATTAGCTATCTATATACGTATATTTCTTATATTCACGTACTCTCTTCCCATTTTTATTTTCTGTCTTAATGATAGTTTTGCGCTAAAGCTAGCCTGACAACTTCTTCTCAAACTGTCATGACCAGAAATTTGTAGTTGACTATGCTACGAACTTAAAAGCAAAATAAAAGCTGTTAGTTACTGCCACATTTCTGTATCACCAGATAGCGGCTGTTCTAGCAAATTTCACAGAACCACCACGACCAAGTCAAGTGCGTTAGCCTATCCATGCTATCATGCTGTTACGTTCGTGGGATAGCAACCCGTCTGTTCGGTCTTTTGTCACCTAAGTCGCTCTATCCCGTTTTGGGCCGGAGTGCAGACTTGAGGGCGTTCAGGCGTCGTGCAAAGATCAGCTTCCACATGACGCGGCTGTTGTCTATTATGGACATCTCATACGGCTGTGGCTACTAAAGCTGACCGACATACAAATTTGTAAAGATGCATTTATTTTTTTAGAAATTTTTATCTGTAAGACATCATCTTGTAGAGCAACAACGATGGCGGCAGATGAGGAATTATCTGTTTCTAGCAGCACAACTGCTAGGTCGTTTGAAGAGACTGAGATAAAGCAGCAGTCCTTTATATCACGGAATGCAGGTCTCCTGATGATAGCACTTGCTCAGCTTTTTTTCTCGTCCATGTCTCTAGCCGTAAAGGTACTAGCAGACGTTGATCCACCAGTATCTGCCCTAGAACTTGTTGTAGTACGTATGGGATTGACTGGTGTACTCAGTCAGATGTACATATTAGTACATAATATATTTTCGGATGACAAAATACCCAACCCTATTTTAGGACCACTGGAAGTTAGAGTATGTTAGCTATTAATCTGATATCCACTCTAATGTGCCTATACAGGGTCTTTTATTCGCCAGAGGATTTGTCGGATTCGCCTCGATAACGGCACTCTATCACAGTTTGAAATACCTTGATTTGAGCGATGTATCTGCTCTACAATTCTTATTACCAACAATCAGCGGTTTCTCTGGTATGCTTTTTCTGAAAGAGCCTTACCTCCCAATAGAGAGATATTCCAGCATCGTCAGTTTATTAGGTGTTATATTGATTGCTAGGCCACCATTTATATTTGGGCATGAGGGCGCTCAGATAAACGTAGACTTAGGCGCTATCGGGATCAGAACATTAGCAGTCTGTGCCGTCATAGTCAGTGTATTCGGCGCTAGTCTGGCTTATGTTACTACTCGCGCTATTGGTAAACGAGCACATCCAATGCACGTAATATTGGCCTTTTCTTGGTGTTCGGTAATATTCGGTACACTCATGATGAAAATACAGGGTGAGCAGTTCGTTTTACCGAAATCATCAAAATGGACTGCATTGTTGATCGCTGTCGGAACATTTGGTTTCCTCGGCCAAATCCTTTTAACGTAAGTTGCATGTATTGCCACACAGCAGATGTCTTACAAACATCAGATTGGGTTTGCGGAGAGAGAAAGTCGGTAGAGCTTCCCTTGGGATGTACTTACAGATAGTTTTCGCCCTCATTTTTGAGAAAGTTTTCTTCAATACAACACCAGAAATGCTGTCAGTCGTTGGGGCCTCACTTATCATCGCGACAAGCACGATTGTCGCCATGAACAAGAACAAAAACAAGACAGAGGAGAAAGAAAACGACGAGCGTGAAACTCTCTTACGCGACGAAAGACAACGGTTTGCAAGCGTCGATTATGGAACTTTAGAACAGCGGAGGACATAACCAACACATCATCTCATATGTACATTTATACACAACGACATTTCATTCATTTAACATGCCGAACAAGTCTTCTAAATATCACATAGTTATCCACCTTCCTTTTTAAAAATATCACGCGTTTCATTATCTTCAAATAACGCGTCTTCGTTCTTCGCGCTTGAATATAAACTAATCAATCGAGACTAAAATACCAAAGCTTTATAGTAACTGATGCTGTTTCTTTATCTAACGACAAGGACTCCAAGCAAGAGAGTATAAAATGAGACATACACTCGCAGCATTATCTTTAAGTACAGCTATATTAGCTCAGGCCTTCGTACCTTCGAGCGAAGACTTTAAGAACCTTAATCCTACATCATCTTGGGACCACACGCCTTTCCCAGGAGCAATCCACGATGAGCCACTTGGAGGCGACTATAGTGATCCTAGCGGGATTGAACCACCGTCAGAAGAGGCACCAGATTCTCCAAATGGAGAAGGATATGAACTCGTAAAGGACATGCAAGGAGAAGAGTTCTTTGATTACTTCTACTTTTATGCGGATGAAGATCCTACACACGGCTATGTCGATTATGTCGACTCCAAGTACGCCTTCAAGGAGGGTCTTGCTGGTATGACAGACTCAGGCCGTCCATTCTTTAGAGTTGAGTCTACTCCAAAGATTACAGGTCCTCGTAAATCCATCAGATTGGAAAGCAACTTCAACTACACCGGTGGTGTTGTCCTTCTCGATGTATGGCGTGTTCCAGGTAGCGTATGTGGTTTGTGGCCAGCTTTCTGGTCAAATGGCGAGACCTATGATTGGCCAGAATGGGGTGAAATTGGTAAGTTTTTTCACATGATGCTGTTTCAGAATTGACAAAAGCATAGATATTATCGAGGGTGTAAATGCATTCACTGAAAACCAATCTTCCTTCCACACTGCAAGTGGTTGTTACATCTCTGAAGGCTCTTCAAATAAGTTCACCGGAAAATTGACACACGATGGCGAGCTCGCAAGGACATGCTCTGCCTTCGAGTCTAACAATGAAGGATGCGGTATTAAGGACAATCACAAGAACACCTACGGTACCCCACTTAACAAGCGTGACGGTGGTGTCTTCGCTATGCAATGGTTACCGGAATACGGTATCTCAACCTGGTTCTTCCCACGTGGACATATCCCGGAGGACATCGAGAAGGGAAAGCCATCTCCATCTCAATGGGGCAAGCCATATGCTCATCTCTCCAACGACGGCTGTGAAATATCTGAATACTTTAAGCACCACCAACTTATCTTTGATACCACCCTTGCTGGTGATTGGAGTGGAAGAGTTTGGGCAGAAGAGGAGATCTGGCAGGAAGAGACCTGTGCTAATATGACTGGATACGCCACAGCCGAAGAGTACATTAGAGAGGAAGGTGAAGCTTTCGAAGATGCAGTATGGGAAATTGGCTATGTCAAGCTCTACCAATGATTTTGTGCTGTGCTTTAATTGTATTATTATTAGTTACTCTTAATTTAAATTTTCGCTCGTTTTAACTTTTGAAATGTGGATGCAAATCACGCTGTATTATAACTTAATAGATTGTTTGTTATTATAAGGTGCGTTTAGATTTTATTGATATCTTCACACCGCAACTATCTAGACAATATGCCACCAAAACTCGGGAATAACCCCGTAGACAGCTTCAGGAAGGCACAGAAGAAGCAAGATATAAAGAAAGTAAGCATTTATAAAGTATAACTACATTTCACTCATATAATCAGGGGAAAGAGGCCAAAAGCAGTAACAAATCTAATCAGTTAGCATACACAGACACATTTTTGCTTGAAATTGAGATTAAAAGTCTTCAAGAGCGTAGTCAGAAAGAAGAATTAGACAAGAATCTTTCTGCTCATTTCACACAGCTTAAGGAGGAGTTCGAACGTATCAAGAAAGCGAAAGAAGAGTTTGTTGAGGAGCATCCTGAGAAGAAAGCTGAAATATATAAACATTTGAGTGCACCATCTGCACAGGCACAAGCTGCACTCGCCAGACGGAGAGATGAGAAGCCCCAGAAGCCAAAGCAGCTACTAGACAAGAAGGGTATGCCAATTAATCCAACAAAAAGTGTATATTACGATCCAGTGTACAATCCTACAGGTGTTGCTCCGCCGGGGATGCCATACGCTGAGAAGGAGAGCGATGAGAGTGAAGAAGATGATGATATACCGATGCCGTCTGCGCTCAGACCAGATGATACAAACGATAGCGTAGATGAGGATAGTGATTTAGATGATATACCAATGCCAGCAGATCCCCCACCTTCAACGCGTCAGCCTGTGAGCGCAAGTAAGGTCGCAGCGGGACCAAAGATAACCCAGACGGCGGAAATTACTGAGGCGGATAAAAAGCAAGCAGCTGCAAGTGCTACTATTAGCTCAGCTCCCCAGCTGCGTGACCTTCAAAAAGAGAGCGCCATAATGATGCCTGCTCAACTACTGAGGAAGAAGAAGTAGGATGTACCCAATGTGTAAAGATATATTTTCTGTTTCCTGCAGTAGTCCATGTGAGTTGCTCATTAACAATGTTGCTTTCGAGTTAGGTGAGATTGCGTCATAGCGTAATCATACTATCTTTGAAATATTTGATTGCTTTGTACTGCAAAAGTTTTGTATCACAGTAGATGTGCTCTTTGTCTTCTTCGAGCGTGCTTCATAATCTACACTTTGTCTGGCTCGTTGTAATATACCAGATGGAATAAAGATTATTGTGATGCTTCAATTATCGTGTATAGAAACATTCTCAAGGAAACTATTGTTTCGTCATTTGCCAATGTTTATCCTAGTTTCAGCGACAGAGAACTCACACGAGACAGTTAAGCCTGTAAGAAAATAAATGCTTGACAACTGTAATGAGAAATACCATATGAAAGAACAGTTTTCCTTTGTTTTTGATCTACCACGATGTCTTCAGCTACATATCAAAGGCAGCGTATTCTTATCGAGGAGTTAGTCAGAAGTCAATAATTGTACAGCTCTAACAAAGTTTAGCTTCCGTCAAATAACAAACACAAACTCAGATACTGCTCAACGATTCCTGAAAGTCAACGGATGGAGGTTCGACGATGCATTAGACGAATACTTTGCCAATCCACCTATACAAGTTAATAAAAGCAATTTGAACAAAGTTTGGAATAAGTACAAGGGTATGTCAATCTTTTTAGCCTTTATTTTCCTAGCTCATAAGCTGTAGATGCTGATGACGACAACTTGATGAGTGTTCCAGACGGTTTGATACAGTATGGCGAGGATCTTGGGATAGATTTGACGTCAGAGAATGCGTTAGCACTTGCACAGCTCTGCGGTGCTACTCTCCAAGCTGAGAACTGGCCAAAGGAGTCCTGGACAGCTGGTTGGTCAATTGTTGGCGGTGATTCGATCGATAAACAGAAACAATACATGGAAACTACGACGGAGAAGCTTAAAGAAGATGGCGCATACTTTACGCAGGTATACAGCCATACTTTCGAGCTTGGCAAGGGTCAAGGCGCGCGTATATTGACATTCGAGGACGCTAAAGCGTACTGGAGTATTCTGTTAGCACACCATTTGGGTGATGATGATGGCAGCGCTCCTAGCAAGTCACTTGTCAAAGAGGACGGTTCACCTTGTGAATTCACAAAGAAACATTTGGAAATATGGTTTGGGTTCCTTGAGGAGCAGAAAGTTGCGGTGACCAAAGATACCTGGCTGGAAGTGAGTGTCAATATCTCTATGTTTTCTATGTATATTCTAATAATTCCTATTCTTGCAGTTTCTCAACTTTATTAGATCAATTGATGGTCATTTCAGCACATTCGACGAGGCAGCCGCCTGGCCAAGCCTGATTGATGATTTTGTAGAGCACTTTAGAAGTTTGAAGTAAATTTATATTCCTTTAGTATCTCTTGTGACGTGTTCTTCCTTCTCTACGACGACAATGGTGAGTGACGCGCTGGGGTATTAGCGTGACTTATATAATCTACAGTCATTCACCGAATCTGCACCACCTCAATCTATTGAGACTGGCCATCAGGATGTTATTGTGAGTGGAATGACGAGTTACTTTCTATGCTGACGGTATATATAGCACGACGCACAGCTAGACTACTACGGAAAAAGATTAGCTACAGCTTCTTCAGATCGCACTATCAAAATCACAGATATCACGGACGCTCCTTCATCGACATATACCAACTCAAACGCAGTTATCTTGCAAGGGTGAGTTAGTAGGCCCTTTAGGATTTTAACTAAGATTTTATAGCCATCAGGGTCCAGTATGGCAAGTCGCCTGGGCTCATCCAAAGTACGGTTCTATACTAGCCAGCAGCAGCTATGATGGCAAGGTTTTCATTTGGAAACAGGAAGGTGCGAACTGGACGCGTATAAAGGATCATACCTTGCACACATCTTCAGTAAACTCCATCAGCTGGGCACCACACGAGCTTGGCCCTACTTTAGCCTGTGCTAGTTCAGACGGTAACGTCAGCGTACTCACTTTCCACAACGACGGTACTTGGGATGCTTCAATGTTGGCTGCCCACAAGTTGGGTGTTACTTCCGTTAGCTGGGCTCCTGCATCATCCAATTCGAATATTACTGCACCAGGCAGTGCTAATGCTAGCGCTTTAAGTCACAAATTGGTAACTGGTGGTTGCGACAGTCTGATAAAAATATGGTCACTTAAGTGGGTACAATTTGAATGTTTAATTATTACTGATATCGTCCAGTTCAGAAACAAAACAATGGCAATGCGATGATACGCTCCAGACGCACACTGATTGGGTCAGAGACGTTGCTTGGTCACCTAACGTTGGACTCTCAAAGCAATACATTGCGTCTGCATCACAAGACAAGACAGTCTACGTCCACACTCAGCAAATCGCAAATGGGGAGTGGAGCTCGACAAAAATAGATTACGACTTTAAAGACACCGTATGGAGACTGAGCTGGTCACTCTCGGGTAATGTTCTCGCCGTAAGCGCTGGTGATGGCAAAGTTACACTCTGGAAGGAGAACTTAGAAGGCGTATTCGAACTGGTTAGTGATGTTAATTGAGTAACTTTATATTGTAAATTTCATGCTTTTTTCGTTTATCAGTTGACTTATGTTTGTGACGCAATATTACCTTTGATCGCTTCACACGATACGATGATGAACGAAGCGATACACAGACGAAGCATTATGCTTGCCTGGACGCTTGATGTGAGTACTACTTTGAAATTTTTATACATCCTTAATGTGTATAGCCAGCAGCCCAGACGGCACTGGAGTAGTAAGTCGGCCTGACGTTAAGTGACCATTTGACATGATAATGTAGTTATATAACAACATTGGCAATGCCACACGATTTGTAGGTTGATATTCATCTATAGACTATACTGAGATTTCTTTCAGAGTACATATCGTAAATGTGGACACAAAAGGTACTGGAAACCTTGAACTCGAATTAAAAGAGAGAATAAATCAGCTAGAAACACAAGTAGCAGAAGGTATACAAGTTATAAGTCACACTTTATCTGGTGAGACATCGTCCGCGTTGGTTGAATTTGCAGATAAGTATTCACCAGATATGGTGGTTCTCGGAAGGAGAAATTTAGGACATTGGAAACGTATTGCATCAGATGAAGGCTTCTCACTTAGCTCACACCTTGCCACTCATATAGAATCCCCGGTTGTCATTGTTAAGTTCTACAAGGATTAGGTTTTTGGTGGGAGTCATCATTTACATTTATAAATGGGGTATCTGAGTAAACACTCATTGTATGTTGTCATCATGTTATTTTCTTCCTTATGCAAAGCTGAGAGTTTCGGATTGTTATAATTGTTTGTTAATTCACAAACAATTTTAGAATATTTACACAACGAATCATTTACCAAAATGCATGATTTATAATGATGTCAATTATTATGTCTGTAAATTCCTTCATATAGCTAATCCTGTATAGATATGTTTATTGTTGATATTATAAGCATTTCTACGTACTTAGGATGACTATGTTACAAATCAATGTAGCATGGTGCTTTAACGTGTCGCCTTAGTCAGTTATGAATGTGTTTTTGTGCATACTTATCTGGCTCTTTGAGCTGGAAAAATTTTTCTGCTACTTCAAGTCAAAACATAACATCAATCGACTTTTATATCAAAATAAAGATACACTGATAATTCATATGCATGTTACTGCAATGATTATCTTCATAAAAATGCTGTCATTTTCTAGATCTAAAATTTTTCATAAAAGAAATCATGTATAGATAACTGGAATAATACTGCAGAGAGTGGGTATGCAAGGGTAAACGTGAAGGAGTCGTTACTGTCATACAAATTATGTAAGTCTATCTGCAATAAGCTTGGGAAGTTGGAAATCATTAATTCTGACTATCCTTGGGTGTTCGATTAATTAACTTGACTATACCGTCCCCCCTCGTCCTCCTCTACCACATTTACCGCATGTTATTACGCAAAGGATAGCTGATATCGTTAGTGAACGTTTCATTTACTTTTAAATACTCACCGTTGAAGATTGCGAGGACTACTCTACCAATGGCAGAAATAATGGCCATAACGCCATGTGCTACTGCTGAAATGCATGTGTTTATACATCCGAAGATCGATGAAATTACGCCGCCCCTAGGAGTGGTTAGATGTGTACGAACGATGAGAGTGCTGCCAGTTTCAGTTTCAATGTCACATCCAATCTGAAATGAAATAATTCTCTATATGAGACTTGCTTTCGGAGACGAGGACTAGACAAAGACAACATCTTGAAGATATACAGAGGAGTTTGTCTCTAGAAACGAAGACAAAGACGAAGAAGATTAAAAACATACTGGCAGCACTATAATTGCTTACATTTTACTGAGGATGTTAGTCTAAAAGAGAGGTGCAACGCCACTCTTATATATGCCAGGCTCCATAGTTTACTCCGAACTGCGTCTTTATGCGTCATACATTCCTACCGAAGCTTCTTAGTATTTCTTTTAGAGGGATACTTTATGTTTCTGAGTATATTAAACTTCACCTCTGCTCGTTTACTACCCATAATCAAACTATGACGACACACGTTGGCAACATCTAAGCTTATATAACCAGTTGTAAGGTATTTTATGTATTTTGTATACTCGGAATAAATATTAATATATCATTAGAATTTAAAACAACTTTATCCTAATTGACATCATTGATGCGCACGAATGGTGCATTCGTGAATATGCATTTACGGGCTGAAAGAGAAAGTGCCATGGAAACAAGATCGACGTGCTCATTTGAGAATGTTAAATCTTTGTATATAGCTCTCGCACTCGTACTTCTCTTAACGTGCACGTCTGAAAGTATGCTAATTGTGATAGCGCAACGTGCTTGAGTGCGTTAGTTATCATCAATCATATAGTTCACTACTCACGCCATTCGATTCCTAGATCAGACTTTGCTTTCTGGAGGTGGTCGAAATGAATGTTTGTCCCGCTCGCTGGACACTTCTCACCTAAGTCAATAGCATGCGTCAGTGAAAGAGGATCATTCGGATCACCGTCACATCCTATTGCATCACTGCCCATCCCAGCGAAACATTGCGCGACTTCACCAGCAAGCCTTTGTAACTCTGGTGGAGAGCTACGCAGATATAATCCAGCGTGTACTAGACGTGCGATGACGGGCTGGGAATCATCCAAAAGGATCTGCATTTTGGCCAAGTCGAGAAGACGCTGACAAATTACGTAGAGCTGCGCAACTACAATTATGCTCTCCAATTCACGCCTTTTGAAATCATGCTCAGTGTCGAGAACGTTATTAAGATAAGTAGATATAAGACATGCCCGTCGGATCACGTCGAATGAAGGCATCGTCCAGAGATCACAGCTGAACATGTCAGTCACCTTGTCGACGAGATTCCCACTAGTGTCCGCTTGTTTATATGCACTTGGATTGTAGTTACCAAGTATCAGGTTACGATATGTGTCCGCAAATGAGCTGAAATATGCTTCGAGGTGTTGCACAAGCGTGTCTTTACTGTCTGATTGGAGTATACTCCGCGTACGCTCCATTACATGTTGCGTACTCGATATCGATGATGTCCAGATATCAGTTGGGTTTAGTATATTATTATTAATTTCTGCAATTAGTGATGCTACTTCAGTTTCTTCCTTCTCCTGCGGTAATAGTGTATCAACTATGGAAAGTACTGACTGTTGCTGCGATTCTTCGATATACTCTATGTCTTCCGGAGAATACACATGGAAGAGCCAGATGTAGGTGTTTGTATTAGGGATTTTGCGAGCAGAATAAACAAATGGGGCGTGCATCTTGCCTAAGCCCTTTTTGAATACGTTTTTTGCGGTTTCAACAAACACATCGCGTTGCCTTCTCGTCGCCTGGACAGAGAGATCTTCTACGACTGATGAGTTGTCGAGGTCGACAAACTTGATGCCGCCGTCCGTGAACCATAAGACAAGTAGTGAGGGAGACACTCTGTCAAGCCCAACCACCATCGTAAGGTTCTTAATGTCTACTTCCTTGACGGTACCATCTGGAGGGAGGAAGAAGAGGGAGCCGGGGGTAGTCCAGATGAGGATATCATCAATGTACTTGAAAGATGTAACTGTTTGGCCATTTGAGTTGTTAATCATATGTGGCTGCTCTGAAATTACGTGTAAGCCGTTGGTGTGCGTGATTGTTGTTTTGTAGATATCATAATCTGTACTCGTGTAGTATATATCGAGCACATCTAGTTATATCGTTAGATATTTAGCGATGCTACTAATTACTCACATCCATTATCCTGCTTTCGCCAGTCAGACAAGGCAATGAGCGAAATCCAAGACTTTGAGTGACCATCGATACACATAACGAGATCCATCTGACCATGCTGGAGATGCTTCCATATTAGTAACTCTCCCGATTTCGTTCCCGTTACCAAAATTGATATATCACTAGGTGCGACCACGTCTTGGTGCGTACTTGGGTTCGTGGACCAGGCTATAGAAAGTACCTGCGAGCGTAGTGCCCCTTTGAGCTGCTCATTAGGGTCTGAACTCTCGAGCAAAGCTGCATTTTCTTCTCTCAAACGCGCAGACGCGTCGAAAGTCGGCAACCACTTCCCGATGAAGAAGTTAACTTTTGGCGCTACTATGAAGAAATCGCAATTTGTGGTCAATACGGCGAGGAGACATCCACCATAGCTTGTCAACCCCGCTGGCGACCAAGTAGTACTCTTCCAACCATTCCAGAGGTAGGTGTCTGTCGTAGGCTCAACAATGCTGGGATCTACACAGGTTAGAGAATCAATGATGAGGTGACTACTTACGCGGATAATGTGCTGTATAGATATATGGGCTCGGAAAATCAGATAAGGCAACCTGAGTGTCGAAGAGGTTGTACCCTCCTGGGGATGTATTCCTAGCTGCGTCCTCAACGATACTACGCGAACGAGGCTTCCATAACGCCTTTGCCTGATCTTGATTGAGATACACACCGGTATTCGCAGTAAGAATGTCTATCCGCCGACGATGCGCGACGGCTATCTGACCATTTGGAGATATACCATTAAGAATAGTCTCTCCGATAGCCAGAGGCGCGGTATCGAAGTTGACGCACAATTTTGTCATCAGTGACGTCGTCGTTTGATTTGAAGAAGCTGATAAGAGACATTCATTTGAAAACAAGAAGGAAGAGTGAAATATTAAAAAAAGAAAATCCGATATATAGAAGGATCATAACAATGGGAGCCTGCCATTATGATATCTGAAAGCTAGAAGCTAATTTAGTGTTGACCTGCGTGGTGACGGCGTCTGGCGACTGGCTCTTCGCGCTTTTGGTAAGCGTTTGAGATCGCACCGTTGGCGAGAGTTGGGCCTGGGATAGACATTGAGCTGACGTCGGCACTATAGATACTGCCGAAGAGAGTACCATCATCGCCTGATTTCTTGTCAGGAATTTTTTTCATGAATATGACACACTCACCTGCGTTGGAGTAGACATTGCCTGGAATAGAGACAGATTGTCCTTGGAGACTACCAGTACCACCGTTGATGTAGACTTGGATACAGTGTGGGTAGAATTGTGGGGCACCTTGAGAGTGCAAAGCAATGATCTCGCTGTGTGGTTGTCAGAAATGCACCACAGGTAGGAGTTACCTACTGTCTGATCAAGTAGGAACCTTGTTGAATGTTCTCCGCTGGTGGGAGGTTTAAGGTCCAGCTGGCACCTTGAGCGACCAATTGGTCGGATGCCCATTGGCCGGTGTTAGCGTCGTAACCGGCTTCATCGATCTTGAACCATCCGTTGACGATGTCTTGAACGTTGTTGCAGTCGTCGTGGCCAGGTCCACAGAACTTGGCGTAAGTGAGGACAGGACCTGAGACAAGTTAGGTATTTCATCAAAGAGGAATGACACGCACCTTTGTGATCAGATGGCCATCTGTCCCATTGGATGATAAATGGTGAGCCTGGTGCAGCGTCTGCGGTCATCTCAGCTGGTGTTTGGGTACCAACTTTGTTGCAAGTGAGCATAGGGTCGTCCTTGCTGTAAAGTGGACCATCATCAGACATTGGACGGTTGACCTTTGGTGCGTGTGGTTGCCATGGGTCAACTTGTGGATCGTAAGCAGGGTAACCTTGTCCTGTGCGCGTAGTCAGCTGTCAAGTTTCTAAGGTATGTCTGACAACGCACCGTTGATGGTGAAGGATTGTGGTACACCGTGGGCACTAATACCAGCGACTGTGGCTGCGAGGGCTAAGAAAGATGAAAATTTCATTTTGTGTTGATTTAAACGAGGGTGGAGCTTCTAGAGAGGAGTTATAATTAAGTACACATTCTTTATGATAAAAATTATTTGTACTAACCCTTCTTTGGTTTTGTAGATCAAGTGGTTATCTATCAAAGAGGCAATTTGACTGCGAGTGGCCTGCACGGGCCGTTTGATCAGGGTTTGTTGAGATATTAAAAATGGGCATTTATGCGATCAGCTATGCTGTTAAATATGTTACATTCCACGCCATGATACTGAGACATGCTATTTTAGGTCTTATTTGAGGAATTTGAGGACGCTCGGGTGTTCCTGAAAAGCTATTTATGGTTTCTCGCCGGCACTAAGCTTAGCTTGCATTATCTGCACTACAACATTTGCATTCTTTCTCAGTTGTTAATATACATTCCTATTCTAAAAAAGTAACTCACGTCTTGTTTCTTCTCGAGTGTCTGTTGAAGTGTCTCCAGATTCTTGTTTACGTAATCAACCTTGCTCTTGTAGTGTTTATCAGCTTCCTGGGTTGTCTGAATCGGGGTATGAATAATGGTGCTTTTGCTACGTGGATGCCTACCTTCTTGACGTAATAGCCAGTACCAATATCGACTAGAACATTCTCAACGTCTGTAAGCTTCCCTGGAACGTATAGCGAGGTTGTCAATGGCACGAGCACCTTTTTCTCTGCACGTGTTGTCAGAAGACGCGAGAAAAAAAACACCGAAGGCACCTTTATTCGCAGGGTTTATTTCAGCGACGGCAGAAGCCGACTGTTTGAACTGTATCATAGCTCTTCTGAGTTGTGCATATGATTGTGTGAGGTGTGAAAGTTCCTATGTATTCTTAGTTGGTTGCTAGTAAACGGTACTAATAATTACTTCGTCGATTTGCTTTTTAACACCAGACAATTGCTGGAGCGATAATTGGCTGACATCGATAGCCTTGCCTTCTGAAGCCATCACTGTTGCTCTTTAACTTCTACGAAATGGAGCAGAGCAGGGAAATACTACGGGAGCTGACACCACGGTTGTTAGCTTCAGATTTAGCAGGTGCTAAGGAGAGAGTTGACAGAGTAACAAATGAGGATCTGAGCAGCTATCCTATCCCTAGTACGTCGTCGTCGACGACGACACCGCTTATTAGAGGATATGAGGCGACTCGTCCGAGCAACTACAATAGACGCAAACTAGCTAGTAATGAACTATCAAAATTGCAGTCTCTCAATTCTACAAAGCGGGATGTACTTTCTGAGGAAATCGACAGAGTCGAGAACCAAATAAGCAAGCTGAATACAGTGAAGAAGAACCTACAGATCGAGTTAAGGAAGACGCAGGAGATTGATCTCGAGTTAAGTGATCAACTGAGCCAGAATCCATTCAGTCATCCCGAATACGCGACGTTTCTTCCTGACGAACATGACGATTTGCCAATTAACAAGCCATTCATGTCTATGCAAGCTCACGGGAGTGCTATAAACGACCTCACGCTCGACAAACCCTATGGACATCTTATCACTGCGAGCGAAGATCCAAGTATGCGAGTATGGAACATGAGTACCGGGCTGGAGGAAGGCCAGCTCATAGGCCATACAGCGGGCGTCACTCGTGTCCAGATGGAGCAAAATCGTTGTGTTTCCGGTAGCGAAGATGCAACATTGCACATCTGGGATACCCACAACCGGTCGAATTTGGCTGTATTCACAGGCCACACTCAGCGCATAGATGCACTTCAATTCAGCCAATCGAATCTAGTTAGCGGTGCATCAGACAAAACGGTTAGATTGTGGGATATGACTAGCGGGCAATGCAAATTAACGATGGATCTACTCGCTTATGTCGAACGGCCACAATTACGTAATGCGGGACCACCGTTTATTGGCGGATTACAGTTTTACTACAACGCTTTGATTACTGGTTCGGCAGACTCAGTCGTGCGTATGTGGGACATGCGAACTGGATTACCACATAGAAACCTCCTTGGACATAGTGAGCCAGTGACATGTCTCTCATTTGACCAGACCCATGTTGTTTCTGGTAGTGCAGACGGTAGCGTCAATGTGGGTGTACTTTAACTACAAAAACAGTCTAACAATGTATAGATTTGGGATTTACGTACTGGAAAAGTACTCAATAGCCTGCACTTCGAAAGTCCAATAAAGGACTTGCAGTTTGACAGTCGGAAAATAATGATAGCAGGTGTTAACGACGGTCTGGCGCTTTACAATAGAGTGTCTGATGAGTATGAGTCGCTGAAGATTGGGTCGACAGTGAACACGCTCGAGTACCTGGATACTTATATGGTTACAGGTTCGGATAATGGAGAAATAAAGTGTTGGGCGATTTAAATTGTACAAAATTGCATGAAATAGCATTATTTAGTTTGTTACACCTTGGACTGATTCTCTCATCAGTAATGAATTTCCTGATCAATCAAACGACACGCAGAGCATTCCCGATGGCACAGAGGACATTCCAGACGACAGCCAAGACGATGTTCAGCGATGGATTCTGGGATGCGCCTAAACTGACTTACAAGGATATCAAACCGCTGACGAAAGCACCAACAGAGGTGAGTAGAGCTCTCGTAGGAAGATATAACTCATCTTGGATAGGACAGAGTATTAATTGGTATGTTAGTTATGACTGTGTATACACTTCTCACAACGAATAGACGTCCGTGAGGCAAATGAAGTAATCCAAGGTGGCATCCCATCAAGTGTGAACCTTCCACTCTCCAACTTTGAACACGCACTCGATCTCGACGACGCAGAGTTTAGACACCTGTACGGTTTCGACAAGCCAACGAACGGTATAGACGATAAGCGTAACTTTATATTCTACTGTCGCAGCGGGAAACGCTCAGCTACAGCCTGCGACTTGGCTATCAGAAGGGGCATTAAGAACATTCACAACTACCAAGGCAGCTACATCGACTGGTTGGAGCAAGAGAGCAAGAACAAAGAAGAGGAGGATGATGATTAGAGTTTTGTAGAGCCTAATATATGAAAAGTATTCATTCGAACATATGTAATACAGTTTTTAGGCCTTCTTACCAGCACGGAGCTTACGAATGTAGAACTCGAGTTCCTTGCCTTCGAGGATCTAAAAATTGTTAGAAGTGCGCGAAAATTTGCGGGAAAGACTTACAACACCGTCACAACGACCTGATTGACCTGGTCTTGAGTTGATCATAGCGTAGAGACGGCCAGCGGCGAATTGGGACTCGAGGAGTGGGTCGATCTTACCGGTCTTCTTACGCTCGTCTTGCTTAGCGGTGACGGATCTTGACTTCTTGACTTCCTCGGTTTGTTGTTCACCCTCCTTACGGCCCTTTCTGGTGACAGGTTGACCGTAGTGAGCCTCGTACCATTGACGGAATGGGTGGGCATCAATTTGGATGACGGCGCCCTTTACGAGGGTGTTAGTTCTGACCAACTCGTTGTTTGATGCGTTGTAGACGACACCGATCAAACGAGTCTTTCTGGTGCAGTGTTCTGAACCCCAAGCGAAGTTACCAGAGTCTAATCTAAGAGCTCTGTACTTCAAGTTTCCACCGCGAACTCTAACGGTTCTAACTCTCTTTTGGCCAAGACGAGTGTTGGCGGCTTGACGACCGAGTTCGTGGACACGCTTCTTGCGGAATTGGGCGCGCTTAGCACCTGTAGCTGAACGTTTGTGGAGGGAGCTAGAGAGTGTGAGGAGGGTAGAGAGAAGACTAGGGATACTCACTCGCGAGTGATACTAGACGGAGTCAGAGGATAGTTAGCAAAGTCTCTAGAGTACTCACCCCATGGTCTATAAACTAGTCAGTAAACTGGCAGAATAAATTTTAATCTCACTCACTCGTGCTACTTGGTCGTAAAGAAGAAATTTGAGAGAGGGGAGCGACGACGATAAATTGAAATAAAAATCTTTAAGAAAAATAATGGGAGGTTTATTAGTATTTTTTATTGGTTTATTATCAATATTAGTATCCTTAATTAGCTGGTTCTCTACTAAATCTGGACCAAATCAGACGTATGTTCTCTCTCCTCTGGTCTCCACCGGACTAAGACCCCCTAGTATAATCAGAAGCTCTGTCCTATTGACGATAGCCTGCTGCTACATTATGTACGTACTCTCTTCTATTTCCGCATCCCTAACGCCGCTATCCGCAGGTGGGCTGTCGTTTACCTCGCACAACTGCATCCAATTATTAGTGAGTGACTAATTAATAGAGTTATGAGTTTAACAACGTTAGATCCTAAAAAATCACTTTAATATACCCATTTTGTACAATACACTATCTATACATACGACCATCACGAATGTCATCAAAGCATTCTGAAAATACTTCAAATACTCGTTTAGAGAATGAATTACGCGTTTTATTAGAAAAGAAATCATCTCTAAAATCTAAATTAAACGATAAAATATCCTTAGAAGATCAAATACTGAAATCGTTATCAACTTCGTCTGAAAACATCGCGAAATCTCAAACTCTTCATTGCTTTAGATCTTTAGGTTTATCTGCTTTCGATATTGACCTCACTAGAGGTAGATGGGAACGAAGTAGGACTGATATTCTCAAACGCGGTCTTGCTATCAGAATAGAGACTTTCCTTTTCGATAAATTTTGGGAGCCTTACTATGTAATATTAGCAAAATCACAAGATAGTGATCTTATACGCGTAGCGCATCACACTATACCACATTTTATCGACTTGCAACCACTCGGGGATGCATACCTTGGTTGGTCACCTCCAGATAGCTCAGTTTATGAAATTACACCCCGTATTATCAACCCTTTCGTGAGTATCAAATGGGTTTACTGTCTACTCAACTTACCCTTTTAGCGCTTCGTCAGTGAACTTCAACGCGCTTTAGTTGCCTACATAGGCAGAAGAGAGAAGGTGAAGGAACTACAAGATTATGTGGATGCTTGTTCGAGTGTCAATAATATGAAATTGACAGCCAACGACGGCTATCGCAGCCTTGATATCGTTTGGGAAATTGGCGAAGTAGATATACGCACCAAAATTATGCCTAATGAAGAATATACTGATAGAAGTTACAAGAGATACTTTAGACTTTTAATAGAGTATGAGCTCTTCTCCTATGAGCTCTACTTCAACATTGGATGGCCATTAGACTTCGCAAGTGGAGGAGGATTAGAATTTATTGGAGGAGATGTGACGATGGAACTGATTATAGACAAGCTACCATCTGATAGTCTACTTGGCCACCAATCTGCTCATCAGTTTAGACAATTCCAACCGCAACTGCTTAGGCATTGTTTTATGAGACATCGTGAAAATAAGCAAGAGCTACTCGCTAAACAAAAAGTGCAGCTAGCTTACGAACAACACCAAACATATAATGATATACCAGACATTATAGAGAGACTCAATGGAGCTATATCTGACGGTGACCTACTCGAGAAACGAACACCAAAAGAAATTACAATCAATGCTGAAGTTGAACCAGCTGAAGTTGCAGAAAGCAGTGAATCTGAACTAGAAGATGAAGATCTCCTTCCACTTGCCGCCAGGACTCAATATGTACAAAATATTGTACATTCCCCAGAGCCAGAAGGACAAGAGTTGTCGCCAGAACGCTTAGCACGGTTAGAAAGATTAGAACGAAAGGATATGTCAGCACGAGTTGAGCGAGTTGAGCGAGTTGAGCGGGTAGATTCAGAAGAGCCAGACGAGCCAGAGTCATCAGAGCACTTAAAGAGATTAAGAAGATTACGGCGATCACAACAAGAAGAGGGTGACGAGCGATCAGTGTCGCAAGAAATGACAACTGAGGAGAAAGAGGAGGCAATGATGAAAAAACGTCGAGCTGAAGCCAGACTTAATAAGAGGCAACTTGAAACTGAAGGTCAACATTTGAGGAGGGAGGGTGATGTCACGGTATCGTCGAGACGCTCAAGTCAAAGACTATCTGGTGATTATGCGTCTGATACCACTAGTCTTATTGCCTTCCAGGAGGGAATTGCGAAGGATGCGATTGGAGATGCTCGCAAAGCGAGAGAGAACGCCTTAGGTGAATTGAGAAAGTCAACAATGAGGAAAAAGAAGGCAGATGATCAAGGTGGACCGTCAAAGACTAAAAAAAAGAGAACTGAACGGGTGCGATCATCGAGAGAAGAGAGAGAACAGTCGGATGAGCAGTCGGAAGTTCAACAGGAAGAAGAACATGCAGATTCAACACCGACACCATCACAAAGAACTAAAAGCACAGACACACCATCAGAGTAAACAAAGACACATGTAATTTTAAACTGTACAATAAGTCATAACCTAATAAATATTTTTGGTATATAAACTAACGCCTCTATTCTAAGCCTTAGTTAGTGTGACATCGGTTGCTTTGGATCTCCTGAGTTGATCAATAATGGCTGAATCTTTTGATTCCAAGGGGGGTGCGAAACCTGCCTGCTCGAATTCTTTCACCTTTGCGGTGAGTGTCTCAAGGTAATGATCTGTACTCTCCGGGCAGATAAGCCTCACGTGTTCTGCGAGTTGATAGAGGTAGTCTTTGTTTGTTCCACTCGGTCCTGCGTGTGTCGCTATCCTCATAGCAAGTTCTTTGAGTGGTTCAGGACCGACGAATGCCGGGTTATCTAATCTTCCGACGTAGATAAGTACGTCCCTGAATTTGATCTTATTATCAGGGCCGTATACATCTAGACGCTCTTCTGCGTATCCGTTCTTTTCACGGTGATCGAGATATGCTTTGACGGCGAATGAATGCTCCTGTGCGATTTCGTATACGACACCCCAGACTTGATCGTCCTCTGGGAAAGCATCCTGGGCACCACACGGGTGACTTTTAGCGTAGTCTTGCCATTCGTCGCTGTGTATAATGGTAGCAACACGTCCGGGGCTGGCTGGTGTACCTCTATGGTCGTTGCTCGATTGCGCGAAACGTCTAGCAAAGCCTTTGATGTATCCGGGATAGCGACCAATGTACTATCGAGGGTAAGATAATAGCAAAGAAATGATCTATAACATACGTGTGGAACTGGTTTGTATAACAGACTACCGTATCCGAATACCAACAAATTCATCCTCGTCGTCGAGTAGAGAACTTCTAATCAGTTAGCCGAATTAGTGTAGTAATGATGTGATAGCGGAATTTTTAATCTCAATTAGAGTTAAAAATCTAAAACATGCGATTTATTAATTTTGTTATCAGCTGCTCTTATGTCCGCTTACTAGACGACATCGACGACTTCTACTACATATACTTTATCTACTACACAAATGAAAGACAAACTCGAAGACGCTAACTTTCCTAGAACGGCAGACAAGAGGGTTTATCATTTAGGTTTGTTTGCTATATCACTCCTAGCTATCCACTAATCAATCACAGGATTACGTAAAGGTGAGGTGGCCAATAGACTCCTAGTCGTTGGTGACAGCGGACGTGCACGTATGCTCGCAGAGAACTTCGACAGCGCACCCTTCCAATTGCGCTCTGATAGAGGTTTTGAATGCTACACCGGTCTTTACAATGGCAAACCCATTTCTATTTTAGCAATCGGTATGGGTTTCTCAGCTATGGATTTCCTAGTGCGTGAAGCACGCGCTTGTGTCGATGGCGAAATGGTTATTGTCAGGTATGTCAAACGTTCACATCTGAGACACGCTAAAGAAGCATAGGATGGGCAGTTGCGGTAGTCTAGATCCAAACATAGGTGTTGGCAGCTTAGTTACACCACTGTCTGCTTGCGCCGTCACTTCTAATTATGATTATTTCACCGATGACGATTACAGCGATCAAGAGCCTTATCTCATTAGCCGCCCTGTCAACGCTGATCCAGAATTACACAGCGCCTTGTTCGAGAATGTGAAGAATGCACACGGGGTGTCTGACAGCGATGCGGCCTGTGTTGGCCACACTGTCAACGCGTCCGCTGATTCATTCTACAGTAGTCAAGGACGTACGGACCCTAGTTTCTACGATGCAAACGATACACTTTTAGAGAGTATAGTAGACAAAGTTCCAAATGTCTCCACCTTAGAGGTATGTCTACTGCATAATAGGTGCTTTTAGGCTGATTTCAGCACAGATGGAAACACATCAGCTTTATTTCCTCGCACATCTCGCTAATAAGCGTCATTTATTGCATGATAGTACCACGTTAGACGCCGCGCCAGCTTCACAAAGTAAGATACGTGCAGCAGCTGTTCAAATGGTATTTGCTGCTCGTGCATCCCGCGCGTTCATCTCGCCTGCTCAAGTCAAGCAACTGCAGAACTGGGTCGGAAGAGCATGTCTCGATACCCTCTCTGCTTTCTTTATACCTCCATCAGAAGTTCAACAAGATGGCATCTGGAATTAAACATATTATGAATCCTAAAAGTGAAATGAATCCTAACAAAGAAATATTAATAAACCTATATTAAATAACTTAATTAGCTGCTTGCTCTGCATTCTTGTCGGCTTCCTTCTTTATTTCAGACATAGCACTTTGACTTAAAACCATAGTTGGTGGAAGTGTAGTGATTGGTGGCAACAAAGAAGCAGCTGCTGTGCGAGAGTTTTGAATCAGGAGTTGATCCATTATTACGATTGAAGCCATTGCTTCGACGATTGGTACAGCGCGTGGAACGACACATGGATCGTGTCTACCGCGAGCTTCGAGAACACCTGCATCACCATTATACTTTGCTGTTTGTTGGGCTTGTGAGATAGTAGCTGGTGACTTGAAACCAATCCTGAATATTCGTTAGAGGTAATTCTCAAAAATAGTACAAACCTACTTGAAGTAGATGTCCTCGCCGTTGGAAATACCACCTTGAACACCACCTGACCAGTTTGTAGTAGTTCCCAAACCGTTTAATCCTTTAGTACTCTTGACGAATGGATCGTTATGAGCTGAGCCAGGAACCTCAGTACCTCTAAATCCAGAGCCAATCTCGAATGATTTGGTAGCTGGAATGCTTAACATTGCGTGACCGAGTTTAGCTTCGAGCTTGTCAAAGACAGGCTCACCCAAACCGATTGGGCAGTTGCGAATAACGCAAGTGACGGTACCACCGATACTGTCATTAGCCTCCTTAGCTTTGATGATACGCTCTGTCATCCTCTCGGCAGTTTCCTTATGAGGACATCTGGTGGTGTCTTTGTCTATTTCTTCGCGAGTGACGGTACTCATAATATCTCTAAACTCCTTACTAATAGGCTCATCGGTGTCTGTTGGTATGTATGGGATATGTTCTTTACCAACTGAACTGACGAATGCGATAATTTCAACGCCGTGGCTGAGTTTCAGATACTTTTCGGCGATTGCACCTGCGGCAACTCTGCCAATAGTCTCACGGGCTGATGATCTACCGCCGCCGGAGCTGGCTTTGATACCGTATTTGCCCAAATAGGTCCAATCTGCGTGACTAGGACGTGGGTAGAGGTCGGTCTCGCTGTAATCGTGGGGACGTTGATCCTTATTTTGTACGAGTAAACCGATTGGGGTACCAAGTGTAACGTTGTGCTCAATACCTGATTGTAATTGTACGGCGTCTGCCTCATTACGTGGTGTTGTTAAATTCGATTGACCTGGACGTCTTCTTGACAGCTGAGCTTGAATATCGACGTCCTCGAGGGGTAATCCAGGTGGAACACCATCTACGATACAGCCAACTGATTTACAGTGTGATTCACCGTATGTAGTTACTCTGAATAAAGTACCGAATGTGGACATTTTGATTGTTATGACTCAAGGGAAAATTAAAACGGAAATAGAATAAAAATATATAATTATAAAAAATTGAATATAATAATCTAATTGGCTCTTATTATTTCTTACTGACATTCTATCATCATCGATGTTTAGATCTGCATTATTTGGAATAACAAGAGGAAACCTACAAACGAGATCGTTTAGTAGATTATCCAAGGGACAGAACGCTAGACCTTCCTTCAGGTCTGCATTCCCTGCTCTCCAAGGTGCGTATCCATTAGTAATCCTCGCCACAGTACTTACCCCATCCAGCGAGAACAATGTTCATACAAACGGAGACAACACCTAACGAGGACAGCTTGAAGTTCATACCAGGCGTCCAAGTCATGTCAAACAACGCTACGGCTGAGTTTACAGAAGCGAAATCATCAATTGGTTCACCACTGGCGATGCGTTTATTCGGTATCGACGATATAAGGAGCGTTTTCTATGGTCCAGATTTCGTTACCATCAGCAAACAGGAGGATAGCAAGTGGAACGTTCTCAAACCTGAGATATACTCCATTCTGATGGAACATTTCTCCTCAAATACTCCTTTGTTTAGAGACGCTGCAGCTGAAGAAGCTGCAGGTCCACAAGATACAAAGATATTAGACACTGATACGGAAATTGTAGCCATGATAAAGGAGCTCCTCGATACGCGTATCAGACCAGCCATAATGGAAGACGGTGGTGATATTGAATACAGAGGTTTTGAAGAGGACACCGGAATGGTCAAACTCAAGCTCAAGGGAAGTTGCAGAGGTTGCTCATCCTCCTCGGTCACTCTCAAATCTGGTATCGAAAGAATGCTAATGCATTATATACCAGAAGTTAAAACCGTCGAGCAGGTCCTCGACCAGGAGGAAGAGATCGCACTCGATGAGTTCTCCAAATTTGAGAAACGCCTTGAAGAGAAAGACAAAAAGAAGCAAGATTTGAGTCAATATATGTCTCTTTAGATTTTAGATTTTACGATATATTAATGATATTTACAATGGTAACAATGGAAATGACTGTGTTGATGCAGATTTTGAGGTAGATTGTGAAACTGTGTTGTTAATATTATTATCCCGCACCCGAGCTTTTGGTGGTAAAAAGATGCTTAAAGAGAGTTTTCGCCGTGGTATCAAAGCTTCAGTTGTATTAGTTGAACGTGATTGTGAGTGACTGTTCGTTGGCGTCGGACTATCACTCAAGTTGAAATAAATTGCAATTGCCTTGAGAACATCTGCTTGAATGAGAAAAATAACGAATGCGACTAAGCCAGTAGCGGCGAATGTCAATGTTGGGCCTGTCTTAAAACCTTGAAATTCGATCGTTGCTTGTAATAAAACGACCAAACTTGTTATACTATAATAAAGAAAGAGAACGATGCGTGAAGTGAGTTGTATATCAATTGTTTTGCGTACTTTCACAAGACCTATTTGTGATACACGTAATCTAATAAATATAATTGCTGTCCAAAATGCGACGATCATGAGTACGAACATAACAACCGTACTAGTTAATGCCGTTGCCAGATTTAGTTTCTCATTTAGTATAACGCAAAAGTAGGGCGTCCGTATGACGTTATTGGTATCTTGTATTGAGGCCACAAGATGTGCGATAAAGAATGGCATACCAAGTAGCCAGGGTATGACGACAATGATAGGGGAATCTATGTAATCCTTTAATTGACTGAATGATGTTGCTTTAGCCGCGTTGACTGTAGCCCATATTCGCATAGTTACGATAAGTGATGTGCAACTATTCATAATCAAACCTGTACCCCTAACGGTGGCATTAATTATACGAATTGCCGTGGGTATATCCTCCGTTAAACTATTTTTGTGTCCAGTCCATAAAAGAATGGCATCAAACCAGAGTATAATGCAAAAAAGTGCGTAAAACTGTAATAAAATGATATTCTTCTGTATTCGTTTACTTGCTATAGTGATAATAAATAATATTAAATGACCAATACTGCCTATTTTTAGATATATTAGATTGTAAGAAAACTGTCTTAAAAATGCTAACATACCTGCTATAATTATACCAAAATAAGCGTTTAGATGTCGGTCATCAGCTAATTCAAATAATGCAGATGAGTTCATATATCATCTGGAAGTCTTAACTCTACGATCACTTTAGTCGGCTCCGCTATTTAGTTCAGATATTTGAAATTTCTTTGGTATGAATATAAAGACGATGCATAAATTAAATTTCCTTTTATAGTAAGTACCCCCTCGATGGCCAAACTTTAATTCACACTTTTAAGTGACAGTAGCTGTCAAATAAATGAAAAATTTATTAAGACAAGTACCCTAAAAATTTATTGATGGTTTACATCTCTATCGTTGGTATCTCTACCGAGAATTTCAGTAGCATTAGTATTAAAATCTTTTATCATTTCACTGACGTTGTTGATGTCAAGCTTGAGATAATCCTCAATTAATTGAGGTAATTCCGTGTTTTCGATCGATCCCTTGAATTGATCGCAGTATTTGCTGCCGTAGCAGTAGACTGGCACGTCTGCGGCGGTGTGCGCACGCGTTGTCCAGCCGACTCTTGCCCTATTGCTCACCGCGATGTTGAATGCATCTGATAAACCGCTAGATGAACCTTCTGCATCCAGTACACGCTTGATTTCCTCTTCCGTTGGATCTTCTATACCACTGTACTGCTTGAAAGCATCTATGATGACGTCACTGGTGATTTCCGTTAATTCTCTGAGTCTCTTCGATATATAATCACCAGAGTGCTTTGCATTTGCCAATACTTCTGGCTTCCATTGATATTCACCTAATTCAGCATCCGTTGGGAGTGATGTACCTAATCCAAGTTGACCAGTATCGTGATCGGATGTAGCAACGACAAGTGTTTCGCCATTTATTTGCTTCAATAACTCCTTTATTCTGACGTGTACATTCATGTGGTTGAGAGTTGATGAGACATGGGCAACAGGATCATTGTCGTGTCCTGCGTAATCAATTATGCCCTCTTCAACCATTATAAAGAAACCTTTTCCATCCTCATTGCTAAGCTTGATAAGAATTTCGAGAGCCTTTTCTGCCATCTGCATCAATGATGGTTCCTGCATGTGTGTTAGGGTATATTATTAAACATAAAAATTTTTCTTACATCCTCACTTAAGTCGAGAGTGTAGTTCATGGCTTTTTCATCAAATACACCAATAAGTGGTGCGCTATCTGCCTCATTGAGTTCTTCAATAGTGCGAGCAACTGTCCATCCCTTCTCCTGAGCTTCTTGCAATAGATCACGATCATCAGGACGACAACTTCCCTCCGCTGATTTAGGTATGAAAGGACAGTAACCACCTCCGATGACTATGTCAGCCGCTGGTATGCCTAATGCGCCGCGGAAGCCAAGAATTTGTTCGGCAATGAACCAGTAATCGTCTCTACTTTGGCTATGAACGTTGAAAGCACCAGGAGTAGCGTCAGAAACGTATGAATTCGTAACCAAAGCTGTGTGCATTCCTGCCAATTTTGCAGCTTCGAGTACACTACCGATGGCATTACCATCGACATCAACACCAAGAGCATTGTTGAGGGTCTTCTTACCAGTTGCCATCGCTGTCCCAGCTGCTGCACTGTCTGTTATGTAGGTATTCGCTGAACTCGTTCTCAAACTGCCAACCATGTCGTCATCCAAAGGCAATTGATAGGTGTAATTGAGGAAATTACCATTTGTTTCTAAGTTACGGACATACTCTCTTGACATTGTTAAACCAGGAAGTCCCAGACCGTCTGATATAGATAAGATGACATTCTTTTGTTCTTTGTTCGTCGGTTGGGCTGATACGAGCGCGAGTGCGCAGAATAAGCCAATTGATGTTGGTAGTTTCATGATGCGGTATCAAGCGTTAAAAACGGTGGTGTATTTATATTGCCATTTACGAACGTGTTTTTTGCGGGTACCTTCTTGGCGTAGTAAAAAGAAAAGTCATGTATGAAATAAAAACGAGGAACAGAAGGTGGGAGATTATGCGTCTCTTGATTTCCTATAATGTGTTAACTAAAAATATATAACAAAATATAGACCACTTACTTGTACTCATCTTGAGCAGATCTTTGTACGTTATCGAGATCGGTTTGAATAGATTTCAAGGCGTCGACGGATGCCTGATGGTATGATAACTGACTGTATAGGTTGTTAGAAGCTGTATGTTTTACTATATAAATCTACTAACGCTTTAACGAGGTTATTGAGTGAAGTCAATGGTTCAGGGTTCTCCAGGACGTTCTTCATCAAAGTGAGGGCAGTTTCGGTTTGTGTAACTAACTTATCCTCTGCGCTCTCCATTTCAAGTCTTGCTTGTTCAACTTTCTGAGGAGAAGCAGACTTCAATGATTGTTTGCAGCTGTCTAGCCATAATCTGGATTGTTTAACAGTATTCCTAGCGTTCTTAGCCAACTGGATCGAGGTGTCTAGAGTAGTTTGCCAAGGTTGCAAGAAGCTAATAAGAATATCGTTATCTTGAACGAGTTGAGCACTGCCAATCTTGTCGTGTGCTTCTGCAAACTTTGTGAGGGCCAAACCAAGAGGGTCTAATTCACCGAATTCCAAGGCGGAAGTTGCTGCAACTCTGGATATAGAATGGGAGTGTGTGGTAGACTGATGGTTGTTCGTCTGTTGAGTAATTTTACTCCATAAAGCATCAGATTGTTCTTGTAAGTTAAATAAGAAAGGATTTTTAATAACTTTAAGTAAGTTTTTTATCACAATCTCTAATTTATCCAATTTAACTTCTAATTCGATGTAGTCATTTGGTAATGCGGTTATATCAGCTTCATCTACCTTTCCTAATATTTCTTTAATTGATTGTAAATTATTAAAAATATTTTTATTAAATTTATTCATTATCGTTATGTAATAGGTTTTATTTTAAAGTGTAAAGAGATTAAACTAAATATCAGACATTTTATATCTTGTATCTAGATTTTTATTTAGTAAATAACTAATTATTAGTTGCTCTTCTACCCACCAAGTAATAAAACACTCTCAGTCCTTGTGGATCGTCGCTATCTTGTACATCAACGAGAGAACCTATTTTGGAAGTTTCAAAGGAGATATGCTCATCCTCCAGTCTAATCTCCAACTCTTGTCTACCGTTTATATCCCTTTTTGGCCAGTTGACGTCGTTCTCCTTTATAATCTCAGATTCCTTGATTAGTTTCTTGATCTCGAGAGCTAGTAAATCGTTCAACCAGATTTCCTTCCTAATTAATTCATCATTCCTGTAGTTGCTGTTGTTCGCGTATCTCAGTCTACCACGGGTGTACTCGAACTCTAAGAATTCATGTCCATATTTACCTGAATGACCGGAGTAATATCTCAAATAGAAATTATCTTTTAATAATTCACCTGACCTGGTTTATTATAAGTAAATTTTTCTTTTTTCTACTTCATTCTTATCAACTCACATTCGTTCTAGTAGTACTCTACAACAATGCTATCCAGGCTTAATTTATTTAAAACTAAAAATATTAAAAATGTCAGATATAGAGCGTTAGTTCGTTTAGCTTCCTTTTCACTCTCTAATTTCTTTATAGAAACTTTCCACCTGTATTACAAGCTATAGAATATGATAATCAACCATCAACTAACAATCTTTACTTGGAAAATAACCCACCAAGCGTATTCAAAGTACCAGAAAAGCATAAGAAATCTCATAACATTCCAATAGCCAACCTTCAATTGAAAGCATACGATAATGAACATTTGGATTTCTTCGCTGATTTCGCACAAAGGGCTGCATATCACCTTGGTATTGTTCTCACAGGTCCTGCTATGTTACCAACTAGACATGAACGTTTCGCCGTCTTGAAATCTCCCTTCGTTCACAAGAAGTCTCAGGAAGTTTTTGAGAGAAGAACACACACAAGATTGTTAAAAGTTTGGGATTCAGACGATCAAGTCGTACAACTTTGGATTCAATACCTTAATCAACACGCTATGAAGGGTGTTAGAATGAAGTTTGAACAGATTAAATATGAAAAGTTAGCCTTTGGTGATAAACTCCCTGAAATTGCTTCAGATTCACAAAGGCATGACCCTATAAAAGAAGCAGCTAAGCAAGTTGAACAATCAATAATAGAAAACCTCAATAAGGATAAAAACTAGTTAATTCATACTTTTTTCATTTACAACAATGTTTGATCCTTCTTCATATCCTCTGGCAACATTTCTGCCATCGATGGTCGACGCTTAGTCTTTGAGGCACCAGTGCCAGGTCCTCCTCTACCTTCTCCATCTAATTCATCATTATCCGGTCTAGACAATCTACGTCTATCACCTTTTGGTACTTTTTCATTTGGATCGAGTATCGTGTTGTCCTTCGTAACTTCGTCGTTCAATGACATTTCACTCATAGATGCTTTCTTGATTGATGTCATTGATGGTCTGCTCTTACGTCTTGTAATTGAATTTGAACGTGACTGAGGTGGTGATGCGATGTTTTCACGTACTTTGATGTCTGTTAGTATAACTATAGTCTGAAAATTTCTAACTTACACGTAGCGTCTGCCTTCGCTTCATCATTCAAAGCAGCTGACATTCTTCTACCTTTCCATTGCTCAGTTGGAATACCGGCATTGGCAGATGGCTTGCCCTCCTGTTGCCTCACTCTGTTCTCCACAAGGGTGTTATCAACAGTCAACTCCTTTGGAATAGACTGTGACATCATTCTTTGTTTCTCTGGACCAGGTCCACGTTCAATCTCTTCGTCATCTTCAACTGCAGAATCACCATATTTCATATAATCATATCTATCAACAGGTATGAACTTATCTGTTGGGTTGACTTCCTGACCCGACAATGATAATGCTCTGTCTCTCATTGACATCGATTGAGCTTCAGCATATCCCGTATCTTCCCTTTCAGCTCTTGGTGGGTTTTGGATGTTTTCGAATTGTGTCGCGTCCATTGAAGCACGCTTATTCAGTGACATTGACATAGCTGGATAATCTTCATTCAAATGTGGACGAGTGTTATCGTGAGCCTCGACTGGGTAGTCTGACAATGTGGCTGATTCACCGACAGCACTAACTGATGCTCTTGATCCTCTTCTCAATAGGGCAGCTTGAGCTGTCTCGGCATCTGCTTCTGGTGCGATTATTGGATCTCTGATTGCGTTATAGCCAGTGGTGTCGACTGATGCAGCTGCTGATAAGGCACTACTCATATTCTCATAGCCTTCTACGTCAGCTCCGACCAAGCTGGTGTGATCAACCTTTGGCTTGTGGATGTTTTCAGTTAATGTTGCATCAGCCATGGAAGTTTGAGTGAGAGAATCAGCCATGGACTTGCGACGTGGGCCAGTTGGTTGTTCTTCATGTGAATGAGAGTTGCGACGGCTACCACCAATACTTGGTGGTCCACTGAATGGGTTCTCGAGTTGTCTCATGACGTTACCTCTCAATTCTGGATGCTTCTCAATTTCAGCTCTAAATGCATCCCTTGCGCCAACTGGGTGTTGCGCGTAGGCTGGATTAATGCTTGAGCTTGCATATGCGGCCGCTTGGATAGATTCCTTGCGTTGTCTTGGAGTTTGGAAGAATTGTTTGGCAACGTCCGATGGTCCATCGACTTGTACGGCTGGTGTTCCTCCAGCTGGTGCATTTATGTCAAACATTGATTTGAATGACTTGATGTTTGAGTCAATGTACTTGCGTACACTTTCGTTGATCGTAACTGCAACACGTGATTGGACGTAAGGCCAGAAGGTCTTGTAGATGTTAGCCTTGATTCCTTCACCACCGTTTACATCAAACTTGATGGTATGAACGTTGACATCGTAACCTTGAAATTGACCAGTAGCATTTAAGTTGATAACGAGATCAGCGGTGAACTCCAAATCTGCTGTGCCTTCATCTGATACACCAACAATACCCTTCTGTGAATAATTGTACTTGAGACTCTTAGCTGAGAATTTCAGACCACGCAATGAAGCCTTAATACCAGTGTTTGGTGTGAAAGAGAGGCTTTGTGAGAATGAAATGGTTGAGTGAGAATCAAGTGAGAAATCCTCTGGAACCAAAGTAGACAACACCAAATTGACATTTGAAAAGGCGTACTTAAAGTCGTTATCCTCACCCTCAAATTTGTCAATTTGGACGTTGACGAAGTTCTTAGTTGCTTGTCTAGCGATCTCAATCAACGTCTTTCCATATGGTGCGTACTGTCTGATACTTGCAATAGCACGCTTAACACGAGCGATTCTTGAATTACCACCAATAGCTTCAGTTAATTTACCGAATTCATACGCGAGTGCATTCGATGGTAGCTTTTCTGACAAGACTGGCTTGAAGCGGTTTGAGATTATACCAACACGTGTTGTACAATTTGCTGGAATGTAAGAATAGCCCAATGAGTGGAGTTCAACATTTGGCTCAGCAGTCGCACGTGCTTCGATAGCCGCATTTAAGAGTGATGAGAAAGTATCAGTGCTCTCTGTGTTCTTCTCTTGAAGTGGTTCAGCAATTGAAGAACGTATTAAGGCTGGTGCCTCAGTCAAAACTTGCTCCAAAGCGATGATGAACTCGCCAAGTGCGTATATTGCAGGCGCGACTTGTGAGCCAGTGAGCATCTGTAAAATGTTTCTGAAAAGAAGCAAGGTAGAACGAAGATGAGCTGATTGGTTTCCACCTGCGAGGGCATCTAGGACGACGAAGACGAGTTTACGACGCAAGTCAGTTGTCATTTCCAATAATACTGTCAATGGTTCAAGTGCAGATAGGAAAATTGAGTGGAATTCTTTATCTTGTGCAATTTCATGAAGAGTTTGGTTCAAGTTTGCGGCGTGAATTGTGAGAGGATATTTTGAATAGAACAATTGACCAGCATTCTTCAAAACAGTTGTAAACTGGTCGAGTGCTACAACGACTTTTGCCTTATCGACGATCGACTTGGCGTGGAATGATGTCAACAAGATAACTGAAAAGAAAATTAGAATTGACAAAGAAAATAAAAAATGAAAACAGAAAAGGACTTACCTGATAATTCCTTACTAGCATCTTTAAGACCCTTCACGCAACCGAATAGTTGGTTAATGAGGGTGTTTTCTACATCTGTTGTGCCAAACAAATCTTCCCAAGCAAGTGCAAATGACCTGATAGCATCACCAAGGACGTCTTCTTCTGGGTTTTCCGGTTGCTCAATACCGTTAACAGCGCCGAAGAAAGATTTTCGTGGTTTGAGTGGCTCCAAACCTTGAGCTTGGGCAAGAGAGCCCTTCCTCTGAGGGGCCTGGTCTTGGTAGGCAGTAGAACGACGCCTAGCACGCTCGCCTGCTGGAGTCATTTGGCCAACTGAGGTACGTGGGGATGCGGGGCGAATGTCAGCGCTGACGTAAGGGTTGCTGGTGTAGGATCGAGGGCGTGGTGCGTAGGAGAGGGGTGAGCTGGAGGAGGAATAGACAGCGGATGGGGTAGTAGCCAAGTTTGAGAGGCCTGCAGGGTGTTGTGTGTTGTTAACAGAACCTCTGCGTGAGGGAGGAGCACCCGGTGGTGGTGCATATCCCTGCTTGTTCTGCTGACCAGAGATAGGGGTGAATGGTTTCAATAAACCAGACAAGCGACCACCAGATGGTCTGGTTGCTGCTGGTGCGCTGAACTGGAGAGGCGGGCCAGGAGATGATGATTTAGCGGAGTTGCTGCCGAAAGAAGTCTATATAAAGAGTTAGAAATGCTATAGGAATATTAAATAACTACTCACTTGCCGTGAACGTGGCTGCATATTTTGTTCTTCGTCGTTGGTGTATAACCCAGTTGGAGCTGACGAAATCTCAATGTGATGATGCTGATGACGTTTTGGTGGGGAAGCAGATCAAGAAATAAACAGAGATAAATAATATATTCACTACAATGTTGTATCTTTAAAGCTACGTATACCACTATCTCCGTCTTATTCTCGCTGTCAAATTAATTTTTTGTTTTTATCTAAACCATCGAGCTTATTGTTTGACGGCGACTGTTTAAAAAACAAAAAACACCAAAATGGGGCCTTACGAGTGCTCAAATTGCAAGTACAAATTTAATTTTATAGATAACTTAGTAGGTTATCCATAGATCTCCCTTTTTACTCATATTTATTTCTTACTAGGAGAGGCACGTCGCACGGAATAGATGCGGATCTAGCTATGATCCTTGTAAGCTATAGCTACTTTCCTCTGTCTTTTAATACTCACGCTATCTTTTTAGCTATCAACCTTCTCAATATCACCGAAGTCGTAGGTTCAGTTGACAAACATAAGCTATTTACTAACTACTTTAGAATTTGGAGGTAATTGACCCTCCATTTAAGAACATGAAGGTTCCTACACCCGAGCCACGCTTGAGAGCTCTCCCTCCGAGAACTACAAGAGTTACCGTACGTTCTTCCTATTCTATGCCACACTCACTAACAAACAAACAGCGCGGCAATGCGACGCAAGTAGAGAAGCAGCAGATAGTCGACGAAGTCTCCAATGGACGTGATAAGGTATTCCAATGCGACTGTGGTAAACAATACGGCTACAGGGAATCTATCGTGAGCAAATACACAATAACTAGCTTATAAGCTAATTTATAAATTAGTATAACCACAAAAAACACGGTAAATGTACCGGAAAGCCCTGGGGTAAGTGAGTATTTCACGCTTTGTCATGGTCCATCCTGACTTTTCTTCTTCTTAGGTGCAGCAATTATAAAGTGCATTCCAGCTAATCCCACTGTAGACGATAGGAAGGACGCCTATAAGAAACGCAAAGTTACTGACGAAGAGGAGGCCGACTCGAAAAGTACCTCATCCTCACCTGCGCCCGTAATACAACCAACATCTCGTCAGCAGAGAGCCGCTGCAGCCCAAGCAACGAAAACACTGTCACAGGAGCCACAGACTGGTCGCACGAATTTGCCGACGCTTCCTCCACTCTCTTCTCTTGAAGATCACAAACCAGATGTTTCAATGTTCGTGCAAAACCCAATGACAGTACATCCACAACCGGCTACTATTCAATACCCTAACCAACCTTTATATAATAGCATGGCTCCACCTAACATCCCCGGTATAAGCTCCTCAGCTTCAACTCCTACTTCAGAAGTTCCACCATCTATCAAAAAACCAATTACAAGGATAAGGCAACCAGAACACGAGAAAGCTTTCGCGTGCGATTGCGGTAAGCGTTTCGCTTATAAGACTTCTATATACCATCATAAGAATAGAGGTGGTTGTCCAGGTAGACCTTGGGTTACTTCAGAAGGTGGTCACAGAAATCGTGCAAAAACTGGCAAACATCTGTCGATGATGAGGGCCCACGAATTGGCTCAAAAGATGGGTGAAGTTGGTACTTTGAACGTTGATTTTGATAATGTACCTGATCATTTGAAAGCCGAAGTTGCGAATCCAATAATCGTCAGTAAAACAAAAAGGAAGAAAAGCTCCATTTCAAATGGATCAGAATCCAGCTCAAATGCGGCTGGCACTTCGCAAGATGGTAGCGCTGGACCAAGTGAAACACCACAGCCCAGACCTACTATCGGTTTAAAAATAAAGGAATGGAAAGAACCCCATCCACGTCAAATTGGAAGACCAAGTCTTGCCAGACAACAATTAGAACAAGAGATTCATCAAGGAAATAAGCATTTAATATCTGTACATTCACCTATGGTCTCATCTCCAACAAATCAAATACCAAGACCTTCAAATTATTCACCTTCGCCACATGAGTCGTCAGCCCCACCTATTATGCATACAACATCACAAACAAATGCGCCGACGGCAATCTCAACTACACCATCTAATGGCCAATACAATCCTTTGTCGATGTCGCGACAAAATACACAACTTGTTATGCAACATGAAGGCAATCAAACAATGCAGAGACATCAACATCAACATGCTCCAGTTACATCACAACCTTTAGTTAATAATAATCATCCTTTTGCACAACAAAATTCACAGTTAATGACACCAAGTAATTCAAATAATCCTGAATCAACCACTCCATCACACGCATCACTCGAATTTGATGACAGTATTGACAGTGAAGCTTACGCTTTCGGTGATATAGATGATGAAGGTTGCATTTCTAGAACCCGTTGGGGTCCTGCCGGTCAAGCATTGGCTGAGAACTTGGCTAAACGACATGAATGTGGGTACATAACGTATGTTTATACATAACTAATAATAATGCCCAGTGCGTAAACCAGCTTCGCCAACTCCGTTTAGACCTTTCGTTTGTTTAGTTCCTGGATGTGGTAGATCATACAAAAATAGCAATGGCTTAGCCGCACATTTCTCTTCAATTAGAGAATCAGGACATGGAGAATTAGGACGTAAACTTAGAGATGAAGCAAAAGAGAAAGACCATAACCCTGGATTCGTTGGCGTTTTTGATTCTATTATGATGGATCATCCAATACCTGATGAACCTGAGCCTGAAGATTAAACTTAATAGACTTGACATATCAATTTCAATAAGAATAAATGATATTTATTTTTAATACAATCTGTAAATACATTAATGTATGACTATTTATTTTTTTTCCAAGATAAGAAGTTTTGATATTTTTATATTTCCATTTCCAGCTAAGTATCTAAATCCGGGTACTAATCACATTTGAAAGGAAATATGGAGGCTTTAAAATTGTATGTGGAGCTTTTTTGACATGCGGAGCTTTTAGTAAGGTAAAATTCTTGTAGATCTTTAAAGATGGTTGTAATATTCGCGCCAGAAAATTTTCAATGGTCGCGGGGATCTTATTTAAACTAACTTGATTAGGAAGTTGGTGATATAAAAACTAAAATCATCAACCTAATCCAGAACGCGTCTCTTCTAAGAGGTTTTTTATGGATAGACTTACCCTAAACGACTTACCTCCATTTATGTCTTATTTAAATAATGACCAGCAAGGAAATGTAAGTAGAATATAGAAATAATTCATTTTTAACGCTTGCTATAGCTCGCAGGCGAGATTGCAAACGGATTCATAAACCCTGCTAGTCTTAGCAACGATAACAATGATAATCAACACAATCACGTTGATGATACTTACAAGATAGAAACACATGGTACTACATCACAAACGCACTTCCCCACACCTTCATCATCTAATGAACAGTTGGTTGACTTTGATGGTGGAGATTCACTAGGGTTCAATTACAACCTCTTACCAACACCAGAGTCATCTCCATTTGAGAATAGCTTCAACCTGGATATGAACTCTGCTGCAATGACGCATCAAATGTCGAACGACTTGATGAATCAAAATTTTGGCAACTCGTTGGGTATGTTTTACCCTACACCTTCTACATCTTCAGCGGGATCGGCTGCAAGTGGTATTTCTCAACTCAATCATGGCTCAGTTGAGCAAGAGTTTGCTAGGATTCTTTCACAATCAGGCGCGTCTGCTCAACTGGAACAACAAATGCACGAGGAGGAAAGACAAAGGATTATACAAGCACAGCAACAACAACAACACCATCAACAGCAGCAACACCATCAAAGAATGATGTTAGAGAGAATGCAACGCGTTAATTTGAGCCAACAACAAGCACAGCAACAAGCTCATCATCATCCATATAGGATTGCAGAGCAGAGCACGCGTAGTATACGCCGAAAGCAAAGTGCACCAGCTGTACGTAGCATCCAACCATCGAGCGTGAGCATGAGTGTGCAGCCATCTGCAACAGTAGCACCATATGCTACGACAAACAACACGCTGGGCAGAATTGATGAGAGTGAACCATCTCAGCAAACAAGTGGCTCAAGCTGCCATAGGAATATACGCGCGCAAAAGCTGAAAAGACAAACAGGACCACGTAAAGCTGTATCTATGCCTTCAATTCGTCAAGTCGCGTCAATCCAAACGGAGGAGAGAAATCAACCAAAAGTGACGAAATCACCAGGCGGGATTAGCTTCATTAATTTCACACAAGAGCACGCAGAGACATTAATCGCGGGTGTCGCACCTTCAGGTTCGAATAAACGCAAGAAGAAACAACAAACGGGTAAATAAATGAATGAATAATTAGTTTTTAATTTAAATTTAATGAATAATTTGTACATCACTCTATTTCAGTCTATTTTAATTCATAATTTATTTCTCATTTGATGACGAGTCCCCTGATAGTAGCCTTTCTTTGAAACGATGACCAGTTGGACGAGTACATCAACGAGCACTGTCTGTGAAGTGCACCCATTAGTTTTATTAAGTGTTTGTGAGTTATTCCACTCTCGTTATACCTTCTCACTAAGCATGCGACAGCTGATCACCACGCTCGCGCTGCTAAAGGTTCAAAGAAGCGAGTCGTTGGTTGTTTATTAGGCCAAGATAATGGTAACGTTATAAACGTTGCAAACTCATTCGCTGTGCCGTTCGAAGAAGATGAGAAAGACCCAAAAACTTGGTTTTTGGACCACGATTTCATTGAAGGAATGATGGAAATGTTCAAGAAGGTTAACGCACGTGAAAAGCTTATAGGATTCTATCACACAGGTCCAAGTCTTAGAGCGAGCGATTTAGAAATAAACGAGTTATTCAAGAGATGGTCAAACAGACCGGTTATGGTCGTTATAAACGTTGGAAATAGTGATGATCTCAACAAAGATGAGGGTGAGATACCCGCAGAAGCGTATGTTCAAGTTGAGGAAGTTAGAGAGGATGGTTCACCCCCAGCAAAGACATTCTTACATATTCCTTCACAAATCGTCGCAGAAGAAGCTGAAGAGATTGGTGTTGAACATCTTTTAAGAGATGTTAGACCTACGAACACAACAAATGCTAATATTAGTCTTCTTGGTGGTGAGACCCTGACAACTAGAGTTGGTGCTCTCTTAGGTGCACTCAGAGGTCTTACTAATAGACTTTCAACAATTAGTAAATATTTGGATGATGTTCAATCTGGAAAATTGCGTACAAATCATGCTATCCTTTATGATTTACAAGAGATTGTCACTTTGTTACCTTCAGGTGCTGAAGATTCAACTGAGGAAATGCTCACGGCTGTATCAAGGGAAGGAAATGATTCCCATGTAGTTCTATATCTCAGTTCACTCATTAGAGCAGTTGTTAAATTACATGACCTCGTTGATAACAAGCTTTCTAATTCACGTGCTGAACTTGGTCTACCTGAGCCTACAAAAGAGAAGAAGGAGGAGAAATCTGATGAAGATAAAAAGACTGAAACCGAAAAGAAGTAGTGTTCTAGATTGCATACATTCTGTTGATTTATATCACATGTAGAAATATTTAAAGTCTCTCAATGTATAGGGAACAATAAAATGCACAGAAGTAAATCCCTTTAAAATAATTTATTTAAATAATGTGCCTCTCATTATGAAAGCCAGCTGAAATTTCTTAAATATCCAAGTAATTCTGCTTTTGAGTATCCGATACGCTTTGCAATTTCAACTTGGGTTGCATGATCAATTGTTTGATATGCAGACAGCAACAATCCATCCAGTATACCTTTAGATAGAGATCTTGAAACGTAGTCATTCCGCACATGTCTAGAATCGTCGTAAGTCAATAATAATGAGACTTTAAAAAACACTTACCTGTGTGCACGTGGATTGAGAGCTGCTATGTGAGGTATTTGCCTTACTAAGGCTCCTTGTAATAACCATAATGCTTTGAATGTTATTTCATCAACTGGACTTAGACAACTCAAAGATCCGTCCACACATCCTGTATCGAGTTTTAGCAAATTGTTTTGGTAATTCAATGTTAAGACGAACCTAATAAAAGTTCTGAAGATGGTCTTACTGATGGCTTTGGTAAGAGGAGAGAACACGTGGCTTCAGAGCCTTTGTGAAATTCAGTAGTTCTAATCAATTTCTCACCACCTTCAGCAGTCGGATCGAATGGATTGTAATCAATTAATCTAAGGTCTCCTTGTATGTCATTGCTGACGAATGAAATTTGATCTTCGTGAGCGAGGAAGTTTGACACGCAAGTTTCAATTTGTCGGGCATCTCGTGATAGTTGAACGAGCTTGTAAGGTGATTCCTATAAGTAGGCGTTAGAAATAGCATTATGTGCATTATACACACACCTGGAAAGCTAAGAATGTGATAGACTTCACTTGATCACCAACTAGAATGAAGTTCTTGAGTACTTCCAAGGAAACAATATACGTTCCTGCATCGTAGAAAGCAACACTTATGAGTCTTTCATTGATTTCCAACGCTCGTATCAACACTTTTTGTCCTACTGCAACCACGAAGTATCCCGAACAACTCGTAATCGCGCTAACTGCACCTTTCGTCTCCTCTCTCATAAGCATTTTTAACTTGTAGTTATTACCGCTATCCTTTGAGCTTGGAATTAATTCTGCTATTTCAAAGAGATACATTGCACCTTTGACAGCAACATCTTCACCCCTATTTATACAAGTTCCAACACCTATAAAGTCCTTATATGTTCCATCAGCAGATGGTGAAAGAAGTGAAACTGTTTCGCAACAAATTACGAATTCATTTTGCTCGAACTCATAACCAAATATTGAAGAACGACAATCATTTGAAAGTAACTCAATTGCTGATCTATATGATGTAGCAGGTGAGAGATTTTCAGCTGTTATATAGTTTAGAATATGTTTTTAAAATAACTCATACCCACTTGGTGGTTTCCAAAGATAGTTACCAGCGTTGTCGAACAATCTGAATGGTACACTTGCGGTTGATGTAGCAACATACATTTGAGAGGTAGGATCGTAAGCTACTTTATCGAAATTTCTACCATTTGCTAAACGACGAAGTGGTAAGTTCTCAGAATATTCAACATCATCACCTATAGTTGCTAAGATAACCTCATCATTTGCATAATAAAACAATCCACCATCGAATGGTGCAGCATGGTGTATGTACTTCTGATCAAGCGGGTGTATACGTGGTATAGATGTATCTTCGCAACTTATTAATACTGGTGTACGTCCCGTAATTAAGGCCCCAAAATCACAGAATGTCAGAATTCTTGAAATAACCGTGGCTGATAATTGAACAGATACTGCTGATACCTTTGAAAAAGCAATACCGGAAGACGAATTATATGTGTCGTATATTACCAGTTCACCTGATTGATAAAGTATCTTCGCCAATTGTTAGAAAGGAATACAGATAAAACTGTGACTTACAATTAAATGTGCTCTTTTAACGCCACCTTTTCCTAAATTGACCAAACGAGAATCAAGTACTTCCACACGATTGTCATCTTCGCTCATACTCTCTTCGACACTATTTGAATTATGTATTGATGTGGGTATATCAGGAATTTGATCCGTACTGAAAACTAAGTCTAGTGATGGAAGTGCTAGAAGATGCAGTAAACCCGATGAGGTCATCATATAAAGATACTTTGATTGTGATGGTCCAAAAACACCATTGTTATCGTTATATATTGACCCAAAGGCATACTTGTCATCAATATCTGACACTTTTCTTAATTGATCAGCTTCATAGATAAAGAGAGAAATACTGCCGTTCGACTGCAATGTCAAAATATAAGGGTCAGATATTGAAGCCCTTTGTACTTCTCCATTCTCAATTTGTAGAGATTGTTGCTCTATGCCATCTGTTACAAATTAGTTTGGCGTTCGCTAAATTATACACACTAACCTTCTTTTAAGACCTTTATAGCATTACTTGTAATCATCAGGATTCGTGTTGAATTTGCTGCCGTATCAGCTGCAATTGTGACTTCATTATCTTCAGCTATGAGAGCCACTTCATTTGATGGCAACAATTTAGAAATCTTCATTCATGTTAGAAGAAGCGAAAGATCGTACATCTATCCTCACCTTAGTTTTCGATTTTGAATCTGTCGCTACCAAAACATTACCAACACCTGTCACATTAAAGGTCCATAATCCATGATTACCCTGAACATCAAGTTTGTGTTTACTTTCAAAAGGAACTTCTTGATGGAAGGCTGTAATACCACCAACGTGGCCAGCACCAGTAGCAGCAAGAATCTGCAGAGGTGAATTTCTTGTTTGCATATATCTACCGATAGTGATATCTTGAATCGGACCATATGATTCAATGTAATCACAGATTGTAAATGGTGGTTCAGATGAAATTTCTTCCTCTTCTTCTTTTTCATCAGCTTTTTTATCTGAAGAGCCGTACAATTCTTCATCAACATCAACATCCATATCATCATAAGCTGTTGTACCAACTTTCTCTTGCTTAGGGAAAAGCTCCAAATCATTGAGTGATTTTCCTACTCTGATCAAAAAGCTTGTTCCTACCATTGAAGGAATGAAGACAAATTGACCACCGCTCAATCCCTGACCATCAATATCGAGTCGATAAGCACCTGAGGGAATACTTCCCTTTGCAAATGGCTTGCTTATATCTATTCTAGAAATAGTTCTACCTTCTCTATAGAATTGGACCGCATGTATCTCGCCGTTAGGGAGGAAAAGTAGAGCTTGGGGATGAGTTTGCTTAGACTTTGGTTGTAAGAACTCAATTGAGGCACCTTCTAAACGCACGAAGAGGTCTTTTGGTGGTGCATCGAAATTTCTGGCAGATGTGAGCGTTGCCCAACCGTTAGTTGCTCTTCCTACTGGTCTTCCATTTTGATCTACATGTATAATAGCGTTAGCCGAAAGAATAGCAACACCACCAATTTCTTTCGGTGCCGCTTTAAGTGACATTGAATCGTATGGAAGATTATCAACTGTTGCAATGATTGGGTATACCTGCGTAACTAAATCTAGTGTAAGGAAGAAGACTTGGCAAGTATCCTGAGAGTCTGATAATCTACCTGTCCAAGTCTGGCGTGGTTCACAAAGAACTGCGAGCGTTGGATTATGGAATCCAGGTAAGAAAGTGTAGTCGATAACATTGCAAATGTCCGAGTCTATAGATTTTAATGGTAAAATGAAAGATGGCGCGTATGGAACGTCTTTAATAGCACTTGAGACGTGTTAAAAGCGAGAGTGTGTCAAAGGAACGACCTACTTTGAAACGTCTTGGTCTAGATCTTCAAGCTCAGCGTGAGCGCTATGTACGGGTAATATTGCCAAAGAATCATCAGGTAGGAGCAATGCAGAACAGCGATTCTCAGGATCTGATCGTAAAATGGCCTTGAAACGTGACATATCTTGTGAAATCTGAATAATATGAGCTTAACTGATATATGATGGATTGATAAGCTACTCACTACTTGCTGTGATCTCTCGTATGTGTGGATTGAGACTGTCACTATGTCGTTTATCTCATCTGACCATTCTAATAATGCAATCTAATATATTGTTAAGGCTGTCTCTAAATAACATGAATAACTATATGTATATTACCTTCGCGTCTCTAAATGCTATCAAAAGCCTATCTTTACCATCTTCTGTGGTTGATAGTATCTTGATAGATTGTATACCAATAATCTCTCCATGTAGCTGATACTCGCGTCTTAATATGAGCTTAGCAGAAGGTGTATTACTATCAATATCGATCTCATAGATCTTTAACGTATTGTTCGCTGTAGTGACAATATTATGGCTATCTCTACTAATAAAGCACAAATGGTCTGCGAACTCAGCACCTGAGGTCGACAGCAACTGATTGAAGTGCGTCAGGATCATCTTGAACCTGAACGTCGACTATCAAGAGCATAAACTATGGAAGACAGGTGGATAGGTAGATTTTATAACTAGCTCCTAGACACTTTTCTTATCTATTTAATAGGTTTATTGTTGGCTATCTCGTCGAGCGTTGCTAGTGAGTCTATATATAGGCGTCATCGACTATTACTCAATATATACAGTCGGCATGAGCTTTATTATCACTAAAAAGGGTCTACAAGATTCTAGTAACAAAGCAGGCGATAACTATTCAGCCTCAGATAAACTACTTTATCTTAAGAACCCGATTTGGTGGGCAGGTATGGCTACAAGTGCGTATACTCTGCTATATGGTTAGTCAATTCTCATATCACCTACAGTGGTCGTTGGAGAAGTAGCAAACTTCGCTGCTTACACTTTCGCACCTCCGGTGCTGATCACCCCATTAGGTGCTTTATCTGTCATCTTCGGCGCTATCTTAGCTTCATTCTTATTACACGAAAGGCTGGGACCTATCGGTAGAGTTGGCTGCGGTTTATGCGTCGTTGGTAGCTTAGTTATCGTCATACACGCGCCAGAGGATAAAGAAGTGGAGTCTGTGAATGATATACTAAACTATGCGATTCAATTACCATTTATTATATACGTCGCTATAGTTGTCATCTTTTCAGCTGTTATGATCTACAAATTCGTACCAAAGTATGGTAAAAAGACACCATTAGTTTACATTTCAATCTGTTCGATGGTAGGATCAATATCAGTTATGTCAATCAAAGGTTTCGGTGTAGCTTTGAAGCTCACATTAGCTGGAAACAATCAATTGACGCACGCCAGTACCTATATATTTGGTATAGTCGTCGTTGTATGTATTATAATACAAATGAACTACTTCAACAAAGCATTGGATACATTCTCAACTAATGTTGTCAATCCAATTTACTATGTTATGTTCTCAACGGCTACAATAATCGCATCATTCATCTTGTTCCAAGGATTTTATGAAACACCAACGAGGGATATCGTATCAGTCATTGCAGGTTTTTTGACTATATTTGCTGGTGTTTATTTACTCAATAAATCACGACAAATTGACGAAGATGCCTTAGCTAGTAAGCAAGCGATGCGTGGAACAGATCCACGTCATTCAATATCAGGGAGGTTATCATCAGCTGGCGCTGGTGGAACGATGTTAGACCCACCGTATGAGAGAGAAAGAGATTACGAACAATTTGAGTTACCAACCCACGAAACACAGGCATTAAACACGCTCCCAGAGAGAGACGAAAGCGACGATGGGATGGAAGACTATACGCAGAAATACGACGTTGAACAAGGTAAATACTAGAGTAAAATAAATAAAGGGATATTTCAATCTGTTTTGTAACTTTATAGTCCATATCGCTTCTTAATAATTAACTATAATGTCATCTGCTGAGGAACATACGAACTTGCACGCTACAGAGAATGTAGCAGAAGCTGGAGACGAGGGGAAGTTTAAAACGCTAACAAATATCCTAAAGAAATGTCAGTCCTCGCTTGATTCCCCGCTAATAAGCTGATCCACAGTCCAGGTATGTCAGTGAAAGATATCGCCAATATGTTAGTCTAGCTCTATTAGATAGCACTCTCACTAAGATATTCAGTCGCCTATCTCTCCCTGCTAGTCTGCTTTACCCAGCAGGTGCGTCATCACTGCGTAATGATTAAGTTGTCTGACAGTTCCTAAGGAAATTTAGAGTACTGGAACTACATAGGTAGGATACACATCACTAAGATCTACATGCAGGCTGACATTACATAGGACGTGCAGATACACTCGTCGAGTAGGTTCCCCTGACTCCTAAATCACTCCATCGTGCTTAGACAATACAGTATCAACCAACACGATGATCCTTTAGATAGAATGCTCGCCGCCTCTAGATTCTGCTTCGCTAAAGACCTCAGATTCGTCGTATGTACCCAGTAACGCTAATGTTATCATCTCTAATCTTAAAACAGCGTGGTGGCATCGTGAAACCATACAATTCAGTTATGGGGGAACACTTCCGTTGTTCCTGGCCAGCTACAGTCCCTGAGCTAAATGAGAAGGGTGAATTTATACCTACGTCAGACTTGGTCAACGACTATGATGATGCTTCTGGTGCTTCTTCACGTACAACAACTCCAGCACCCCAAGGCCCTGGCGTAGCCGCACAGGATGGCAAAAATGTACATGCGGTCTCAAGAGATTTGAGAACTGTCGCTGCACTCAACAATCGTCGCTCAAAAGGCAAAGTTAGCTTCCTTACCGAACAAATTTCCCATCACCCACCAGTATCTGCTTATTGGTACTCTGCGCCGGATTGTCAGACCGAGATTTACGGTGTTGATCAAGTAAGCGCCAAGATTTCTGGGACATCAATCAAAGTTCAACCTGGAGAGCGTAACAAAGGCTTGTTTGTTAATCTCAAAGATCGTCAAGAGGAATATCATATCTCTCATCCAACAGCACTTGTTTCTGGTATATTAAGAGGCTTGTCAAGTATCTACGCAGTCATATGCGATTCAAGTGTGATAGAAGTTAATGGCCCTAACGTTGGAGATAACCCACTTCGATTGATTATAGAATATAAAGAAGAATCATGGATTGGTAAACCACGGTTCTTGGTTGAAGGTGTTATTTATCATGCAACAACTGAAGAATCAAGAACATGGACAAAGGTGAAGCAAGTTCCAAGGGATCAAGTTCTAGCTACACTTGAAGGCACATGGCGCACTAAAATTTACTACAAAAAGGCAGGTGAAGATGAGCAAAAGTTATTGATCGACCTTGAAAATCTAGATCTCACGCCGAAATATGTTAGAGATCTCGATAAGCAAGATGATCTTGAATCAAGGAAAGTATGGGAACCAGTCACGAGAGCCATCCTGGAGAAAGATTACACCGAAGCAACCAAAGCGAAGCAAGTAATTGAACAGCATCAAAGAGATTTAGCCAATGAACGTAAACGTACTAATGCAGCTTACCAATCGTGCTATTTTGAACTGGATACGCCTGATGGTAAACCAATTCTTACCGAGAACGGTAAGAGAGCTCTAGAATCTGAGCTATTAGCGGACTTTGAATAAATATTATTTAGATTATATAAACTGACAATAATTTTGTTGATATTTTTATGAAATTTTTACGGTTCTCTCATCTATTTTGTTCTCAGCCTTTACAATTTGTTTTGGGCTGAATACTGTGAGATTTATAATATGTTTTGCAATAACCCAAACTTGGACAATGAAATTATATTGCTTGGTCATTCTATTTCTGAGCGTTACTGTTCTGGGTGAGATATCATTGAATAGACTGAGCAATCTTAGCACATGTACGCCAATATCAATTGATTGGATTAATGGTAATTCAGATGCACCACTAGTAAGTATCACTATAGCCTAAGTTTAGTAAGAAATAACATTTAAATTAGTCTATCGGCTTGTATAGATCCAACAGTAACCATTTAGAGTACTATACAGAGATAATAAAAGCGTATGACGCTAGAGCCAATCAATTCCTTTGGGTACCTTCAAAACATATTATCAGAGACCTTAAGAGGTGAGTTCATTGCATCACCAAGAGAAACCTAAACTAAGGTCTCAAAATAGAAAGATCTTCGTCTTGAAATTCGTCCAAGATGGCGAACAAGATGTTTACTCTAATCAATTCAGATTTGAGAGATGTAGAAGTAATAATGGTCATAAAAATCACGCTGCTGTAATTGCAGGAAGTATACTTGGTGCTCTCGTCGGCCTTGCTGTACTCTCTATAGTCGGAATGATAGTCGTACGCCGTCGTAAGGCCTTAGAAAAATGGAGAATGAATAAGGATGTTGAGCTGAGAGTGATGACACGACCTTCAAGCAGTTGTGTACCAAGTATACCACCAGTGGCTCATTATAACCGTAGTGCCGCTACGTCTTTCAATTCAACTAGTGCCCCTCCACCATATTCTGCAATATATGAAGACTTCAATGATGATGCAAGGACGGTACAGAACCAGCCTGCAAAAATACGTCGTAAACCCGTACCAAGTGTTTAATAAAGCTACTTTTGTGTATTAATAAATTACAAAGCCTCTGCGGCCGATATATATAGTACTGTAGTAATGTTAGAAATAGTCATAAATGAGGGATATACTGACCATTATTTCCTCTATAATAATCTTAAATTTGTAAATCAAAGAGTATGTTCAACCTTACCTAATGAATGCTTCACCATATGTGCTAGTAATTGGAGAACCAGCGATACCAGAAGATTCCCTTACGTCAGTAATAACCAGATTCATGTAACCATCTAAGCATTGCAAGATACCGGTGTATAATAAACCAGAATTGAGTTTAACGACGACACTCTTCCCAACGATTGCCTTTAAGAAAGCAGAAGGTGACTAGAGAGTGTAAGTAATGCTAGCCATAAATTTTGTTGCATTCTTACGCCTTTTGTATCGCTCTGTACAACTGACGACATTCCGTAGATGAAAGTTGGTAAATGAGATGTAATTCTATCAAATAATATAAAGTCTACTATTAATTTAACAACGTATTAACTATTATTGTATAATTATACATGAATACACAAAAAACGCGTCTTCGCGCTTTTATCTCAACCGTCAGGACGTTGAAGTAAATTATGGTAAATATAAGAAATATAAGCTAAAATATATAATACTAACATTTTATTAGTTTTATTCCGATGTTATCCTCTCAAAGAGAGGTCCTCTTGCTCGTATTTGGATTGCTGCACATATAGAAAAGAAACTATCAAAGAAGGAAGCGATAAACACAGATATTGGTGAATCAGTTGGTTAGATTTATTACTTTACGCCTTTATACGCCTATTTACGCGCTTTTTAGATGTTATTCTCAACCCGGAAGCTGTAGAACCTATGGCACTCAGAATGTCTGGACAATTATTGCTCGGTATCACGCGTATTCACTCTCGTAAAGCAAAATATTTACTCGAGGACGTAAATGACGCGCTCACAAGTCTTCGTAAAGCCTTCATTCCAGGTATCGGCACAATCGACTTATCCGAACAACAGTTGCTTGCACCAGAGAATGCTATCACTTTAGAAGAGGGACCCGCTATTGAAGATGGCGGTCTCGATTTAGAACAATTTCAAGCACCAATTTCATTCTCACTTGATCCACTTTTTGATATCAACAATATGAATATGTCTGTATCAGGTATCAGCTCAGGCGATTTCATGGGTGACTTGTCTATTGAAGCTGGTAGACGTGAAGGTAGCGTAGCTCGCTCGGACAGATTCTCTATTCTTGGTTCAGAGTTTAATGAACAAGGTAGAGCGGATAAAGGTAGACAAAGTGGTGCTACTGCAGGCGCAGTTGATGATTGGGGTATGCCAATTGATGCTGGTAGAGATGATTTCGGTGATTTTGGTATGGATGATGTTCCCCCTGCTGGCAGACAAGCTGATAACATGGAAATGGACTTGGGAGGTGCTTTCGATGGTGGACTCGATTTAGGTTTCAACTTAGATGAGCCACTTGTACCTGCCGCGCCATCTATTGGACGCGAATGTAGGTCATCTTACTTGATTTAAATACAAAGCTGACAAAATTTTAAGCTTCACCGCTCTCTAGTGCACCTCCAGCTGATTCTCAAATGGATATGGATGACTCCACTCGCAATGCCGTGGAGCAAGAAGCTCAAAGACAAGCAAAGAGAGGTGGTGGTAGAAAGAGACATATCGTTGACTCCCGCATAGAATTGGGTCGTAGGGGTGCTTCACAAAGCCAACAACGAGCAGAAGAAGATATCTCAAAGATATTGCAAGATGAAACATACTTGCAACCATCCCGTGCTTATCAAGAGCGTTTGGATATTCTTCAAGACCCTTTGAATCACTTTATCAATGTGAATGCAAGTCAAGGCAAACAAATGATTAGAGTTGCACCACCAAATATTTTGAATGAGACACTCAACTCACTTTATGATGTTCCAGTAGGTTGTTTGAGAAAACAAAGAGATGAGGATGAAGATGGACCATCTAAGCGCTTAAGAGAGGATGCGGAAACTGGTAGACATGAATCGATCCCATTTGATGATGACGGCTGGAACCTTGCAGGAATAGATGTTGGACCTGCAGATACGAGTGCATGGGAAGGTGGTGATCAAAACGAGGATACTTTCCAATTAGATGACGGCCAGGGAGTATTCGATAAAGATGTTATGAATGAACCCTTGATGAATGACGAATGGGCTAGTCTTCCAACCGGTTCTGTTAGCGGACGTAGCGAGAGTAGAGCGCCATCTAGGATGTCTACTCCAAGCTTAGATACGCCTTCTGCCTCGCAATACGAAGCTAAGGAAGGTGAAGCACCTATTGCAATGTTCGGAAGAAAGCAAACCAAGCAAGATGCTAAACAGTTAACAAAGGATGGTTATTCTAGGACTACCGTGAAAGCTAAAGAATTTTTAAAAGCTAGATTAACAGATAATCAACCCGAATCCCATGTTAGTTTCAATGAGATTTCCAACAAAGTGCGTATAAATAGTAACAACACAATAATAACTAATAATATCTATAGGCTAATAAAAGAGCAGCATCTTCATTCTTTTTCGAGATGCTTGTTTTGGGAACACGTCAACAAGTTAATCTCAACCAAGAAAGCCCATTCTCTGATATCAAAATTGGAGCCAAAGACAAGTTATTAGTATAATGTCTCAGATTGTAAAGAGTTTCTTCTGTATTGTAAATTTTAATGGAAATGTATAATTTGTTTAATGAAGTGTTCCTCACGTAAATTGACGACGTATAAGGGGAATACGAGTACCGTCGCAGTCTGCGATGTTATGTCATCTTTCGGCTCGTGAGGTTGGCAGAGCGAATGAAATTGCAAGTATAACAAATTTAACATAGATAAATTCCTGAAAATTCAAGCATTTTATTCGTTACTTATACTTTAGAGCTTGTTATATATCAAAAAGTTTAATTGGAACCCAGAAGGTACACAAAACTGTGGTGTCTAACTTTGTGTACTTGAGCAGTCGGCGAATGATATTTGAGGAATTTGTGGTGGACATTCACAGTCTTCTAGCAGAACGTTCAACTGTCTTCTCAACATCATGTCAGCAACTCAAGTAATTACTAAGAAACCAAGAACAGAGCAGAACATAAAGCTGAACAAGGTTCAAGATGATAGGTTACCAGTTACATTATTGTCTGGTTTCTTAGGTAGTGGAAAGACTACACTCCTCGAACGTATTCTCAAATCTAAAGACCATGGATTGCGTTGTGCAATGTAGGTACTAACGTCTCAGTGGAACCTCCTAACATCTTTCATAGTATAGTCAATGATATGTCTAGCTTGAACATTGATGCCGCTACGTGAGTTTGACTGAAAAAAGCTATGCAACTCTAATAAGTACACAAAAGGGTTGAGAACCACAAGCTTACAAAGGCTGGTGAGAAAATGGTTCAAATGCAGAACGGATGGTAAGTGTGATTCATGCCCTAAAATTTTCATTCTCAGACATTCTTTCAGGTGGGTTTATTAATTAGGATTAATTCTGGTTACTTACAGATCTGCAGTATATGCTGCACATTACGTGAAGACCTTTTGGAACAAATTGCTTTGCTTACTGAAGAGAAAGTATTCGACTACCTATTGATTGAGGTAAGAACGCCCAGCACTTCAACTCAGAAATAAATTCCTAACTTGTCAAAATTAGTCAACAGGTATATCTGAACCAATGCAAGTTGCAGAAACATTCAGTTTCGAATTCTTAGAGGAAGCAGTAAAAATTGAAGAATCATTAGCTGAAAATTCAACCAAAGACAAAGCAACACAATCAAAAATGGCCAATATCCTTGCAAAAGGTGGATTGCCAAAAGTTGCACGTTTAGACACAACTGTAACTGTAGTTGATGCACTAAACGTACTGAATGACTTCAACACCACGGACTTTATAACGGATAGACCACAAGAAGTTGGCCAAGGAGAGTTAGACGAAAGTGATGAGCGCAATGTCACTGATTTATTAGTTGACCAAATTGAGTTTGCGGACGTCATTCTCGTTAACAAATGCGATTTAGCAACAAAAGAAGTAGTCACAAAGGTCACAACTCTCATCAAAACTTTAAATCCAAGAGCTGATGTTATACCGACTACCAAGTGTGACACTGATTTAAGTAAAATTTTGAACACTCACAAATTTGATTTCGAAGCTGCCGTTACTGGAGCAGGATGGCTTCAATCACTAAGAGAAATGCTTCCTATTGAAGTTAAAAGTGCCGATGGTACTGTTCAAAGACATGCTCCTAAACCGTAAGTGCAAATTTTAGCAAAACAAAGACTAGGATGTTGACAATGAGCATAAAGGGAAACAGAAGAATACGGAATTAGCAACTTTGTTTATAAAAGACGTAGACCATTCCATCCGCTCAGATTATGGTTGCTCATAAGCAAGTATTGGGTTATAATTCAAGATTCACTTGAAGAAGGAGAAGAAGGAGAAGACGATGATGAAGAAGAGGGCATGGAAGATGACAAAAACGAGGACGCCAATGAAGAAGAAGAAGTTAATACAACAGAACAACCACAGTTAGACCCAGCTGCCAGATTGAGAGATAAAAAGGCAAGTATCTTTGCACCTTTATTCCGTGCAAAGGGTTTCATTTGGCTCCCTGGAAGAGAACAAATGGGTGAAATAAGTCAAGCTGGTGTAATGATGACAGTTGGTGGTGGTAATCCTTGGTTTGTTAGTACTCCTGAATCAGAATGGGATGTAGACGGTTTAGCCGTGAAAGCGATCAAAGCAGACTTTGTTGGTAAATATGGTGATAGAAGGCAAGAAATTGTTTTCATTGGTGGTGGTGAAAAACGAATGAATCAAGAAGCTATTGAAGCTGAATTTGACAAGTGCTTGTTGACAGACGAAGAAATGAAAGACTACGATGAAGCTATGCAAATACCATACGAAGATGATAAATACGAAAGATTGCAAGAGCTCTTTGAAGATGGTTTCGAAGAATGGGGCTTCCCAGGTGAGGAGGAAGAAGACGAAGAAGAGGGCCATTCACATGGTCATACGCATAATCATAAACACTAAAAAGTAAATTCCAATTTTTTTTTAATTTATGTCTATTTTTTATTTTCGCGACTATAACTGCAATTTTCGCGTTGTCTTCCTTCTTCCATAACCAAAGTGCAGAAAACGACTTGATCTACCAAATTATAGTTTAATTCAATGTCTATCATTTGATTGATTGATTTGTAGTTCTGCACTTTGGTTTGCGCCATGGTAATGTGAGTTTTTAATTTCAATCCGCTGTCAAATTTGATGATGAAACGCCCACCCATTTACGGGCTGCTAATCGCGGGTGAACAATAAATGTACCTACGCAAATGCACCACCAACTGATATATCAAATTTGATAGTGGATTGTTGCTTATAGAAATAGAACTGACCAGAGTTATAGTGTGAGTTAGCTTTGCAAAGGAGAACGAGTAATATTAGGATGATCAAGTAAATCAGTTCTGCTTCTGTAATACAGCTGAAGATATCCATTTACCAAAAGACACTTTCTATTTCTGATACTTATAACTCATTCTCCTTTTTTTAAGGAAACAATTACTAACAGTCTCCTAGATAATTATACTTTGTTATTTATTACACTAGCTCAGTTTATTTATAATTGCCTTTTTTCAAAATGATGACACCAAAGTTATTATCCATTCTCAGATATAGCTGCAACTTGGCATTTTAGACAGGAGTTTCGTTTGCTTGATTTATTAGTTGCGTTCTGCGATTGATTTATTTAAGTAGAGGTTATCTTCATACTAGAATTACGCCATTTTGCAATGCTATGATGTAAACTGGCTTTACTGAAAGAATAAGGCATTTTGTATATTACTTAATCATACAATAGATCTTTTTGAATTTCTTGATGCTTTTTGTTGAATAATTTATTTGCTTCCTCACCCCAGATTGAAGGACCGTCGCATCCATTTTGATAATGAATCTCTGAGTCTTTGTATTCCATTGCAGCAAGGTTTGATAAAGACAGTGGTTTTGTGCCATCCCATCTGACTATCGCTGGCCTAGAAAGAGTATTGTGAGGTGGAATTATACTCTTTGAGTTGTATATCTCATCCAAAATATAACCAATTTCATGAACATCAAGGTTTATTGGCCTAAACGAAGTTTCAGGAATCTATATCTGCTTTTTAGTAATAGACTCACTCATGTGAACCAAAGTTATTAGGTTTGCCTTCTTTTTTGTGGAAATCTCTGTATACTTTGTCGTATAATCTTGGTCTATTCTTCACTGGGAGCGGTGCATAGTCTTTTCTACCTGCCAAACTCAGTAATATATGGGTGGATGCAGCTAAGCCAAACATTGCTGGTATTGGGCCTAAAACAGGTAACAACCTTACTCTGAAATCATCCATTGCGGACAATTCATTAACTTTACCCTTTTCAAACTCCTCCTGTGGTAGAGGGAGCAACTTCACATCTGAAGGCTTTTCTGTTGAGTAAACTACGGGTATACCATGTCCATAATGTTTTAACTTTCTTCTTATAGATCTAGCTAATGGGTCTTCGAAGGTGTTAGACATGTCTGCAATTTGGATCCTTGAAGGGTCTTGTTTAGCGCCTGCACCTGCACAAGAGATAACCTTAAGGTTTAACTCCTTGCAACGTTTGAGAAGTGCCACCTTTGTTGGTATATGGTCTATGGCATCTATAATGTAATCAGGATTGCCACTAAGAAGAGCATCTCCCTGTTCTCCAGGTGACCATAATTGGTTTATAGCTTCAACTTTGGACCAAGGGGAAACGGAAAGGATGAAATTTTTAACTGAGTCAACCTTTGAAATACCGACGTCTTTCAAGGTAGCAGTTGCATGTCTATTAAGGCTGGATAGAGTGACTTGATCAAAGTCTACTAAACGCAAGTTGCTCACACCGGATCTAGATAACATAAGAGAAGACCAACTTCCAACACCACCAAGACCGATGACAACGATGAAGGAGTCACGTATAGACTGCATACCACTTTCACCTAAAAAGGAATAATTTCTACTTAATTGCTCTTTAATCAGTTCTTCATTGTGATTTAATGTTTTAGGATGAGAAGACTTTTTAGATTGTTTGTTGATAGGCTTTTTATTATTTAAATAAAATTTATAACTAAATATTGAAATAAATGAAGTTAGAATTATTAAATAACAATCTTTTTTATTAACAACCATAACGATTATGGATTATGATGATATTTTTGATACAAATTTAATTTTAGATCAAGTGGAAATAAATAAAAAATCTAATAAATTATTACATGAAAGTCTAAGCAATTTATTAGAAGATATAAAAGTTTTTGATAGCGATAAATTATTCCATTACCCAATCAATAAGAATAAGTATAAGGATTATTACAAGTTAATTAAATATCCAATGAATTTAACAACAATACAATCAAAGCTAGAAAAGTACTTAAATTTGGACGATTTTTTATTCGATTTAAATCTAATTATAAACAACGCAATGACGTTTAACCCTCCAAATAACTTTTATCATTTAAAAGCAGTCGAATTGAGAGATTTTATAGACAATTTAGTTAAAACTGAACTAAACAAATATAACATTATCAATGACACGAAACAACCTTCTTTACCTATAGCATGGGGTGTTTACTCTGAAGATGAGCAATCCGAAGAATCTGAAGAGGAACCTATTGAAGAAGATCCTCCTAATGTCAACCCACCCGTTGATTACAGACCGAAAGTGTTCAATTCAAACGCCTTCTTAAATCATCTGAAAATTTTCTCGGAAACAAATCCTATTTTACCTTTAAATACACCCACTATTTATTCCAAAAGATCAAGGTTTCAGAAAAAACGTCTAACGAGGAAAGAGCAAGAACTTCTAGAGAAAGAACCCTACTTGAAAAATGCTGATGGTTCAGTAAATGCCAATGAATGTAAGTAGCTCTCTTATTCTCTTATTTAAATATCATATTTTAACATTACCACTTATTAGTAGACACACCTTGGTCAATTATACCCACAAAATGGCAATTTAACACACCTTTCTTACAGCCAATCTGCAAACCACCTAATGAGGATTCTTTCAGACCTCTTTACTTACCTTCTCTACCCGGATTCTATTTTAAGTATGCAACAAACAATCCGCAGAAACAGTCTCAACAACAACAGCAACAACAACAGCCACAATCTCAACAACCATCTCAGCAACCATCTACTCAACAAACACCTGATCAAATAAACGATGGCGCAAGACAAGCGACAGTACTAGATTATGGTGCTTTCCAACATGTTCCCTCTATTCTTTGTGGTCACAATGAAAACTTTATCAAGACCGCATATCATGTTGAAGGTGACGCAATGATACACGCCATGTCGAAAAGAATAAACGAAGAATTTAGTCATAAAATCTCTAATTACTTGAACGATAAATTAGGTCACGTTAAACCTGACTCATATAATGGTAATTGGGAGGTCTTTTATAGAAATTATCTACACGATCAAATTCAAAATTCTAAGGAATTCATCGATGATATTTTTTTTGGTGGTGTTCAAGGTAAAGCTTACTTGAATAGTATATTAAACTACATTCAAGAAATTATCAATGAAAGTAATCTTTCTCCTGATGATCCACGTTCACAATTATTAATTCAACGTTTGAAGACCAATTACTTTGAACAAATTTCTGATCATTATACCCTTCTTGAAGATATTCAACAAAGTTTTGAAACTGGTAACCTCGACAACCTTCAACCATCATTCGATTATTATGATAAAACAAGGATCGCACAAATTAGAAATTTAGCTTTCAAGGCATACTTAAGGTCGTCCTCTGCAAAGGTTGATTGTCGCAAACTACTCTTTGACGAGAATGTCAAAGATTTGAGTAAATCTGATTATAGAGAAATCCATGACAGACCAGAAACCGATCCAGCTGGGGTTTTAGATTATATCAAATCCATGGCCGAGAAAATCAATCAAGATGCACTTAAGAAATCATCATCACAACCAAATGAATATGATGATGGACTTAAAATGGAAGTAGATGATAGCTATAGCGATAATGAGAATCAAAAGGATATATTCAAGGTTGTCGCGCCACCAATACCCAAACCTGCATCAACTAAGCGTTCAAAGAGAGCAAGTAGATCATCAACAGTAAAGAAACAACAAGTTCAACAAATGCACGTTGATGAATCACCCCAGAACGAATTTGCTAGAATATCTTTGTTAAAAGTTGCACTCAAGCTTCCCTCAAATCATTTATCATCAATATAAACTGCAATGCATTGTATTTATTTTTAGACTCATAGTTTAGCATAAGATTTATTAAACTCCTGAACTATACTATCTGTCGATTCAATTGCCCATTTTGCACCAATATCTGATGCTAACCAACCATAGTTTTCTTGGCCAGCTTTTTCTAAACCGAATGCATGACTTAAAAGTTGAGAATTAACCCCACCTTGGGCCCTTAAACATGCAATAGCTATGAGGCTGGTTTCGACTCTCCCAACTGGGTTGTCCTTTGTTGGTGCTGCCAATAAAGCTGAATAATGGTGATCTAAGATGTAGTTAGCCATATCAGGATGATTGGAGTTGAGTATGTCAATCAGCTTGTCATGAAAAGGATCGTAAATTGAGTCCCATAATTCGCGTCCGTTGTTTCTAAAGTCTTCGAGATTGTTTGAATTTAGTTGTCTATGAGAAAATTAGATATGAACAAAATGAAACAATTGATAAACTTCACCTAGAAGGAAGTTGTGGTATATTATCCTTTATAATCTGAGGTGTAGCTTCACGTAAGGCGGATAGACAATTTATTGCCTTGGCTACACCGTTTAAAGTGATGGTTTTCAATGTAGATTCACGCATTACTTGTGTCAAATGAACAGCTTTCTTTAAATCAACTTCATTTTGTAAATCATAAGATGAAATGTAATGCTCGTAAAGTTTACTTAGACCAATTGGACTATTTAGCGTCTCGATGGCTGCTGTCAGAAGTACTACTGGTGCGTATCTTCGGGATTGATCGAAAGTATAACCAATTGGCGGCTTTGAAACCTTTTCAATTAAATTTGAAAAATCATTAGGAGGTTTTAGTTGTCTCCTATGATCCGTATCTTTGATTAATGACTTTGTATATTGAGATAATGAACCTTTAATTAAAGTTTATTAACTTATTGAATAAATGAAATATTTATTCTCACGATTTTTATTGTTTATTCCTCTTAAAATAAATGCACTCATACGTCCGTCAATGACAATATGAAACTAAATATCAAATTAACGGCATTTTTAACGACCGTTGTTTTTGTTCAAATATATTTATCTCCTTTCACAAAAGTTGAAGAATCTTTCAACATTCAAGCTATTCATGATCATTTGATATACACACCAAGAAATATTTCAAAGGTTTGTGAAATTAGACATACGATAATTATAATCTAATAAATCTGCTCAAAAGTATGACCACTTCGAATTCCCTGGTGTAGTTCCACGCACTTTTATCGGTAACTTATTATTATCCTTACCTTTACAATTCTTGAAGAATTATACCTCTTTATTCAATCTACAATATGCTAGTAGATTTTTATTGGGTTTTATCAATGTCATCACAACTCAATTAGTGTTTAATCAAGTTTCTGATGCTTTTAATCAAAATGCCGTCATTTGGATGACATTACTAACTGCTTCTCAATTCCATTTCACATTTTGGTGTTCAAGAGCTTTGCCTAATCTTTTTGCTCTACCTTTAGTGAATATTTCAACATTTTACTCCATAAGAGCCTCCATCGATCGCCAAAACAAAGGCAAATACGGCATTATATCTTTATCAACATTGACTATAGCAGCTGTCATCTTTAGACTAGAGTTAATTTTGTTAATCGCGCCGCTTAGCTTCCAACTCTGGTTTAATAAGTGTATTAGTTTAAAGAACATCATAGTTATTGGTGTCTTAAGTGCTTTAACAGCGTTGACAGCTACCATTTCAATTGATAGTTACTTTTGGGATCAGAGGTTCCTTTGGCCAGAATTCAATGCTTTCGTCTTTAACATTTTTCAAGACAAAGCGAAAGACTGGGGTGTAAGTTGACTTATTGTTATGTAGATATCTGACTTACAAAACAGGTATCACCTTGGAGAACCTACTTCCTAAATTACCTTCCAAAAATACTTCTAACAGCTTTACCTCTTTCCTACATAGCTATTCTTCCTAAAAGCGATATCTTACCAAATGAAACTGTCTCAACTTCTAAAGTCATCGTAGTAAAGGAGAATGATTCAAAAACCCAAGTGACAAAAGCGCCATTTCAGCCATTATCTTTACTATTCCCATCATTATTTTACATATTCATCCTTAGTTTCATCGGACATAAAGAATGGAGGTTTATAATTTATGTAATCCCCGTGTTTAACTCAATTGCAGGATTGGCGATGGCTAGATTATGGGATTTAAGAAACAGCAAAATTCTGACAACTAAATCACTTATGATTATTCCAATTTGCGCTCTATGTTTAAATCTCCTTATCACCAGTTTCATGACAGCGGTTAGCTCTAGAAACTACCCAGGTGGTTATGCTTTACAGGAATTTCATGAAATTGTTTCAAATGATCAACCATCTGCTGTTCATCTTGATACTTTAACAGCTATGACTGGTGCTACGCGATTTGGAGAATTATTTAGAAACAATGGCTGGACATATCTCAAAAATGAAGATCATATACCTTTAGAGGCCGAATGGAGAATAGCTGAGAATGTAGAAGCAGGTTGGAATGTTGTCAGACCTATAAAAGGACTCAGAAGTTTCAGACTAAAGAGTTTGGAAGTTGAAATTGGTGATGTATTATATATCCAACAACGTATTTCTCAATAGATTATTTTATTGTTTATAACTCCTGAATTATATTACTAAGCGCTGTTTGATTAATTCAGAATGGAAATTTCTTAAATAACGATACATCCCACTAAAACGCAAACCAAGGTTGTAAATTTAGAAAATGACAAAGACATCTATTTAAAGTAATCCGGCAAAATGAAAGATAAGGTGTTTTTAGCTTCCTGTGTAAATCTCTCCTTTGGTGTGATGATGCTATATTGCATTGATCCTTGTTCCGTTAAAATTCCTTCCTTGAGGAGAGCTTCATGTACGTGTTGTAAGACATTTTGAACGACATGTTTTGAATTCGTTGCATTAGTTGTCAGAGTTTTGATAACTTCAGCAACAGTAACTGGTTCCTCATTAATTCTCCAAGCATCGTAATCAGTTGATGTACAGATTAAGGAATAACTTAATTCAGCTTCCCTTGCTAATTTAGCCTCAGGAAGTACGGACATGTTAATAATGTCACCTCCTAATTGTTGGTACATTCTAGATTCAGCTCTTGTAGAGAATTGAGGACCTTCCATACAAACGACGGTTTTATCGGATTGATCTGTTGATGTATGTAAATCAACGTTATCTGGTAAGACTTCTTTGATCAAAGGAGCGATAAAGTTTGATAAAGATGGTGAGAAAGGTTCACCAAACATTGCGTGAGTTACAACACCTTGACCAGGACCGAAGAAAGTGTGTTGTCTAATTGATTTTGTACGATCAATAATTTGATTTGGTATGACGAAATCACCTGGTTTGATTTCTTCTCTAAGAGAACCAACGGCAGAGAAAGCTACGATAGCTTTAACACCGATATGTTTTAAGGCGGCGATATTAGCTTGTGAGTTTACTTCCGAAGGCGTTAAGCTGTGATGAATACCATGACGTGCGATAAATGCGATTTGAACATTTGAAGGTAAATTCAAGATCATAACTTTTGATGAAGGTTTACCCCATGGTGTTGTAACATCAATATCTTCAACATGTGTTAAATTGTCTAATTTATAGAAGCCACTACCGCCTAAATTAAAGGAATAAAAAAAAAGGTTAACAAGAATAAAAAGAACAAACTAACCGATTACACCAATTAAAGGAGCTTTTGAATGTTAATTAAAAAATTACTTTTCTAAATAACTCACTCATAGTTCAGGTTAAAGTGGTGCAAGCAACTGAGAAAATGAATAAAATATCAATAAATGGACCACTATTATCCATAATTAGTTACTGTTTCGCATCAATTTCAATGACGATTATAAACAAGTATATCGTCTCTGGTGAACATTTCAATATGAACCTTCTGTTATTATCAATACAATCAATAGTTTGTATATTGACAGTTTACATTTTAAAGTTATCAGGTTTCATAAATTATAAAGATTTCAATCTAGTTGATATAAAGAATTGGTTCCCAGTCAGCTTCTCACTCGTTTTAGTTATTTATACAGGTTCAAAAGCTTTACAATTCTTATCAATACCTATTTATACTATTTTTAAGAATCTAACAATCATCTTGATTGCTTATGGTGAATTATTATGGTTCAATAACAAGATTACGAGATTAACTTCATTCGCGTTCTTATTAATGGTTTTATCATCAGTAGTAGCTGCTTATGATGACTTTGATCTGAATGATCTGTTTAATAAATCAATGATCGGTTACTTCTGGATGGCTTTGAATTGCTTATCATCAGCAGCTTACGTGAGTTATTTCTTCACGGAAACTGACACAGTAATTAATAAACTATGAAAGGTTTTGTTAATGAGGAAAAGAATTAAGCTTACAGGTTTCAAAGATTGGGATTCAATGGCGTTCGTTTTACTATTCGTTCTTTTTTGTTACGCTAACAAGCTTCATAGTTTCAACAATGCTCTCTCTATACCCTTATTGATCGTTTCTTCATTAATAATTGAAGATTGGTCATTTGATTCCCTCGAGAAAAATTTCCCTCCATCAAATAGATATTTGTTGTTATCGACAATAGCATTCTCAGGTGCAGCTGCCGTTAGTTCAACTTATTCGAAGTGAGGGCGCCTTAATAACAGTACGACAGGTTGGAATTAGTTATACGACAGCCTGGTGCGTTCGTACGACCTCATCAACGACATATTCGTAAGTTTTCAACGTCTATAGTTAGCTATAAGAAAACTAATCAGAAATCTAGTATGGTCGGTGCATTAAACAAGTTACCCGTTGCGGCATCAGGTTTGATATTCTTGTGAGTAACTGAAACACAATGAGAAAGAAATTAATTTATTATAAACAGCAATGATCCAGCTACAGTAAAATCAGTGTCTGCGATTATATTAGGTTTCATCGCAGGAATAATTTACGCAATAGCCAAACAAAAGCAATCAAAGTCAAACATAGAAAGTAAAGAAAGTATTATACCATTGAATATTAAACAACAGAAATAGATTTGCATTTTTATAGAAAAAATAAATTTTTTAGCTTGAAAATTATACCCAGCTGTCGTTCTTCCTTTCAGTTAAAGTATAAAAACGTAAGTAGAATAAAATAAGAAAAAAGGAAAAAGTTAATGAAGGATAAAGTAAGATGTCTATCGAAGAAATCCAAGAAAACGTAGAAAACCTCAACTTCAGTGAAGCAGGTCCTTCAAACGCTGGCACCCAAAGTCGTGCAGAGAAGAAGGCCAGACAAGCGCTCCAAGGACTTGGATTAAAGAAGGTTCAAGGTGTCACCAGAGTTGTACTTAGACGCCCACGTAATGTTATGCTCGTTGCTTCAAACCCAGAAGTACACACCGCACCAGGTTCAGGTATTCACATTGTGAGGAGAAGACAAGTAAAATGTAGATCCTTACTAACTAATCAAAGGTTTTCGGTGAATTCAAGGTCGAAGACCCAAGCCAAATTCAAGCAGCTTCACAATTAGCTGACCAAGAAGGACAAGAGAAGACAGAGTCTAAGAAGCCAGAGGAAATCATGGCTGAAATGGACAGCCAAGCCCAAAACATCTCAGAAGGAAAAGGAAAGGACGTTGAAGAAGAAGGTGAGGTTGATGAGACCGGCGTCGACGCCAAGGACATTGAGTTGGTTATCGCTCAAGTTGGCTGTTCACGTGCAAAGGCTGTCAAGGTTCTTAAAGAGAACAACGGTGATTTGATCAACGCTATTATGGCTGCATCAGAGTAAAATATATTTTGAATATACATTATATTTGCGAAATAGTCTATTTTAAATAAAAAATTTATTCACATTCCAAACTAATTTAAAGATGTTCATATCTCAGCTAAGTTGAAGAGGTCAGTGCTTTCCGCTCTTCGACCAACTTCATTATGGTACAAAGTATTTCAGAAGCAGAATCTATTGGTATACTTAATTTGCCAAACCAACGCCATAAGAGTGAGTTCTTTTCTATCTTTTTTACACTGAGACTAATCCATCCTAGTCGGTGAGTTGCCAGGTCATTCTTCATAAAAATGCTTACAAAGTAGTCGCAAAACGCGGTGGTCATTTCACTATCATGGTCGTTGGTGAATCTGGTTTAGGAAAAGTTTGTTTTGCCTCCCTTATGTCTTCTTTTATTAACCACACAACCCAGTCTACTTTGATCAACACACTCTTCTCCACTGAGCTCTCAGCTAAAAAGGATTACCGTCGCCGCCATGCTAAGCAACTCGATAAAACCACTGAAATCGAGATTATCAAAGCGTTAGTTTTGTCTTGAATTTTCACTTTAGCAACTTACACCCTTTAGTGAACTTGAAGAGAAGCAATTCAAGGTTAAACTTACCGTTATCGATACTCCTGGTTTCGGTGATTATGTTAACAACCGTGACAGCTGGTCTCCAATCATTGACTTCGTTGACGATCAACACGAATCTTACATGCGTCAAGAGCAGCAACCTAACCGTCAAGAAAAGTCAGACATGAGAGTACACGCTTGTTTATACTTTGTTAGACCAACTGGTCACACTCTTAAACCTTTAGATATCGAAATTATGAAGAGACTCGGTACACGCGTCAACTTAGTACCTGTTATCGCAAAAGCTGATACACTCACCCAATCTGACTTGCAATCATTTAAGAAGCGCATTTTAGAGGTTATCGAAGCCCAAGGCATCAAAATCTACAAGCCACCTGTTGAAAGCGACGATGAAGGCAACCAACAGCACGTTCAAGATCTTATTGATAGCTTACCTTTCTCTATAATTGGTTCCACTGAGGATGTTAAGAACTCTGAAGGAAAGTTGGTCAAGGGTAGACAATACTTGTGGGGTGTAGCTGAAGTTGAAAATGAACAACACTGCGATTTCAGAAAATTGAGACAATTGCTCATTAGAACTCACATGTTGGATCTTATAAATACTACTGAAGAAACTCACTATGAGTACTATAGACAATCTCAAATGGAAACAAGAAAATTCGGTGAACCAAAACCAAAGAAGCTCGACAATCCAAAATTCAAGGAAGAAGAGGAATCCCTTAGAAAGAGATTCACTGAACAAGTTAAGCTTGAAGAAGGTAGATTTAGACAATGGGAGCACCACTTGATGGCAGAGAGAGACAGATTGAACAAAGACCTTGAAACTTCACATGGTCAAATCAAATCACTTGAATCTGAATTAGATGCCATACAAATTGGTTACGGTCGTTCACAACGTCGTTAGGTTACCACGAAAAATACCCTATCTTTTATTCCAAATAATAAAGCAAACTAAATTTTTTTGTCCTTTACATTGTTTTCTATGAATTTAATAAAAATAATACATTACATTATTGTGATTTTCTGTATTTTACTTACATGGTTATATAGATAAAGTGGATCCGAAAATCAACACAAGTGATCGGTTAGAGTGTAACTAGATCAGGAGTCTATTAATACATCCTTATATGGCTAGACGCGCTCAAAATGGATATTTTATGATGTCACGATGATAAGAATAATCCGGGCATAGAATAGCCCGAGGTCTTGTTTCCAATAAAATAAGCTATCACAGCTATTCCATCACAAATCTCTAGAAACCATGTTCCATTGATTATAAAATTATTCAAATTAGGAAATTTAAAATTTACCCCACTCATTCCTGCGAGCCTCACTAAAATATTTAATCACCGGTTGAAATTCTTAATATGTCGCAGATAATGTCAAAACTGAAATCGGAAGTTTGTTAATATCCGTGGTATCATAGTCGCTTTATATTAAAACATAACGTTAATATATTAGACAATGAAAAGTTACATTTTTTTCGCAAGACATAGAGTACATAAATTGTATGTAATTCAAACTGTATTCTATTAGATTATATATTAGCGAGACCTTATGAATTATTCTAAGTTCATTCATTTTCCTGCGTAGAATCGCTTTATATTGGTGTTCTAGAAGTTACCTCATTGTAATGTGACACGATGACTGCATACATAATATGTTAATGCTGGCAATAACTAAAATACTATATGAACTTGCAAACAGCTATACTGTATTCCTAGGCCGTTTAATTTAACCATAATAGTCTTCAAAATATAACAAGTATTGCGTATAAGTAAGATAATTTAGTTGGTTTATTAAATAAATAAATAAATATACTGAGACACGTTTGTAATCTATAATTTTCCGCATATCTGTACATATTTGTACTTATTTGTACTTATTTGTAACCTAACACTCTTTCTTTTGTACAGTCACTCAGTCATGTCATAGTAGGTACAAATGCTAATATAAATTAAATATTTATATTCTATTAGTGTTCCATTGACACCGACGTCTATTCCATCACCCACAACATCCAGTCAGGAGCTCTATCAATGCGGTTTACAGTATCCACCCACGCCAAAGCATCAGAAGTCTAATTCTGATCAAGACTTATATCCACCTGCTGCTATTATCAATCAATTGTCTCCACCTACAATAAAATTACTTGGTATCCCGAACACTGGTGCAAAATCTAGAGTCGAGACCCAAATAAAAATAATTCTTCAGCTTGAAAACATTGAAAATGGTCCATGGGAATATTTGCGTTTGCCTTATGGCTCTGCTTCAAAGAAAAGATCAAAAAGAGGTGCACTCTTACCTAATGATGTACCTAGGCAAAATACCCTTTATCTGGAAACACGGGTGAAGTGCGCAACATCACCTAATTATTCAGTGTATGCTTGCACACCTTGTCGAGATCGTGAGAAGAAGCGTTCCCAAAGGAAACGTGAGGCAAGAAGACGACCAAGGCCAAAATCTGAAGATGAAGATGAGGATCCACTTCCAAATTCTGTACCTTCATCTGTAAGGGATCAATGGGAACGAAATAAGATAATCTTATTCAATTGTGGCGAATTAGTTACACTCAATACGGAATCTGTATTTGAAGGTGGCCAAGCGTTACCAACTGCTATATTGCCGACACGTATAACGTGTTACTGTAGACATCATCGTGAAAAGCTTGGTTTTATCATCGATTTTACTTTGAAACAGCATGATGGTAGCGTCGTTGCCTCAACAAGATCGCCCCCAATTTTGATTACAGATGACCATAAAAGTACGACAAGTAAATTATCTACAAATAATGATCCTTTATCATCAAAACCACGTAAAATCGCGAAATCAACCAGAGGTATTACAGAAGAAGATAATTTAATCCATTCTGATAGTAATGATAAGAAACCCTACGCAAGAAGTAATAGGAGGGAAAGGACTCCGTTACAATTTAATCACGTTAGTAGCTCTAGTCCATCTTTCATTTCACCTTCAGATTATTCTGCGAATAATTTAAATATGACGACACCTTCAACCACACCTAGTCCTCCAAAGAATCTGAAGGAATTATTACCAAACCAGAATATTACCCCGTTTAACCTCGGTAATCCTTTCGATGATGGTACACGTAAAATGGAAAATACGGACGATCTTGAAAAGTACCTTACGTCTACTTTATCTGTTAATTCACCACCGCAAATGAGTGAAAATCAGTCAGGATTGCAAATGAACTCTCAACTAGATTTATCGATGTTCGATTTGGAAGCTGATAAGTTTATTAGTAATTCATGGAATCTAGATGATACCAATGTAGATATGTCTTACAAAGAGGCAAAAATTTCAAGAGTTGTGCCATATGAAGGTCCAACAAGTGGTGGTATCGAGATTACAATCCTTGGAAAGAATTTTACCGATGGGTTGGTAGCTTATTTTGGAGAGAATCCAGCATCAAAAACTACTAGATGGGGTGAATCTACTTTGGTATGCTTGCTACCACCATCATTACAAGCAGGTCCTGTAGATGTCACATTGAAAGGTCCAAACTCGAGTAAAAATGCTATGTCTGAACAAGTTACTTTTACATACTTAGACCAATCAGATAAAGCTTTGGTGAGTAAAACCATATTTAATTATATCATTATCTTACATGAATATACTAGATGGAGTTAGCTTTGAAAGTTCTTGGTTATAATCTTACAGGAAAAGTTGAAGACGCTAAGAATGTGGCGATGAGAATCGTTGGAGCTGGAGATGAGGAAGAGCAGTTCAATAATTATCATAATATGAATTCTACAAATAATAACTATGATCTTGAAACTTTCACCCTTAACGCACTTAAATTACTTGATTACAATGATGGTGAAACATATACAAACATCGTGAATAATCAAAGACAGACGTTATTGCACTTATCATGTCAACTTTCTTTCGATAGACTTGCAACAATTTTAATAAGAAATGGGGCGGACTTGAATGCTAGAGATATTAATGGCTTAACCCCACTACACTTTGCACATATGTTCAAATCAGAAGATTGTGCTTCAGTTCTTTATGAAAATAGTGCAGATCCATCAATCGTTGATGCAACTGGTAAATTGCCAAAAGAAGTCGGAAATGTTAGATACTTTACCAAATTAATCAACCAAGATGGTGAAGATGCAGATGATGAAGTTGACTTCTCAAGCTCTGAGGAATCAATTGAGTCATTAAGTGAAAAGCCTATGATAAAGAAGCGCGATTCTATAATATTAAAATCACCTATTTCAAGCGAATCAAAAGGAGTGACAAAGAAAGAAAGAAAATTCCATGAGTGTGATCTTGATATACTTCCACCTAAAACAGATTTCATTCATGAAAAGACAGAATGGGGTTTCAATAAAGTTGAAGAAATAACTCAATTCCTTGATGAGATTGATTGGTCAACTAAGGCTAAACGGAGAGCTCAAAGTGTAGTTGAGGATGTACGCTTAATGCTATTTTGGGCACCAGTACTTATGTTATCTCTAATCTTCTCATTCATCTCTATAATACCGTTCATGAATAGGGTCGGAAATCAACTTGCACCTTTACTTGGACTTCAGGCAAACTCAGAGTAATGAATGTAGTTCGATTTTTTATTTGTAAAGTGTATACTTTTTACTTGTATATTAATGATCTTTGATATTTATTATAATTATTTAAGAAAGCGGATGAGTTAATTGAGAGAGAAGTGCAGGCACTGCTTGATTGTCATTTGAATCATCAAATAAAGGCACGATGGGTAGGTTAATGCAGTGATGTATGAAACATGTGTAAGTCATACAGATGTAGTATTTTCTCCATGATTATATCAAGATTTGGATCTCAAAATAATCTTAATAATGCAATATTGATCATAATAATACAGATGTCTATAATAATGACTTAATTGTTGTTTCTATTAAATTGTTCTAGGTTACTTGCCAATACGTTTAATGCAGATTTTGGAACGGTGATTTTCATATCATCTAGTATTTCTATGATATTATTGATACTTAATGGTAAATTGTTCAATCTATTAAATATATTGAACAATTTGACTTTATCATTTAAGTATGAGAATGTAGCAATGAAGGTGATCATATTGTGTGAATTTTCATCTGGTATCTTAAATTTTGATTGATCATCGATCAGACTTAAGAGTGATCTGTGATAATGATGATTGAATTTATCAAATAAATTATATTGATGTATTAGTTTCAATAAAATTGAATGCCTTTTTGAACTAGTGAGATAATTATATTTTGCCATTAAATTCAATAAAAAGCTGGTTTGATGTGGATTAACTCTCTTTTCTAAAGAATCATCTATTAAATCGAATAATAAAGACTTTGAAGGTCTATATTTATCAGATTTATCTAGATTAAGTAGTAAGTGATTAAAATTTTTGCCTATTTTTGAAAAATATCGAACGATAACTTGAGTAAAAGGTAAAATATCAATCTTTCTAGATTCTAAATCTACTAATAAGTTATCTATCAATTGGTAATCATTAGATTGAAAAGCGGCATTTAATAATGTACCATATGTTTCAGAACTTGGATTCAAACCACGCGATATTGCATGATTCAACAAATTCAAAGCTACTTTTGGTGAATCTTGTGATGCTAATAAAAGAACTACGTTTATATCTTTTATATCAGGTAGAATATTTCTAGATAACATATGTCTAAAAATTTCTAATGCCGCAGTTGGATTATTGAGATGTAAACAAATCCTAGCTAATGTAGTTAATTGAACATGGTTGAAATCGGAAGGTTTGGTGTTGTTCAAATGGTAATCGAAAACTAGATTAGCAAAGTTTATATTCTCAACTGATTGACTCTTGGTGAAAACTCTAACAATTGATGAGATCATCTTCGAATCTTTAAGAAAATTGAACTTCTTCTTATCAATTAAATGATTGAACAAAAGAGTAATAAGGTCTAATTGATTCAATTTGGTTAAATTGATGAGAATTTTAGAATTAACTTTAGAAGATAGAGATGAAAGTTGATCTTTTTCAAATAAATTCAATATGAAAGCCTTGTGTTTTGAAGTCTGATTTCCTTCTGTTAAATAGTTTGATAATTGAAGTAAAGCTTTTTCGTCTTCCAACTTATACTTATTGATCGAATATAAGTAGAGTTTGAGTAAATAAACATTGTCGTTGAGTTCAACAAGTTGCTGAAATAGTTTGTCAAAATTGAAACCAGTGAAGTCATTCTTTATAAGGTAATCAATCAAGTATCTCATTGATTGTTGATTCCCATCGAATGTAAACTTGTTAATTAAGTTGTCAATTAAACTTAACTTTAAAGTGTCATCGCTCAAGTTCTGCTTAAGTAATAAATTTAAGAAATCTATAGATAGTCTCCCTTTACCGAAGTTTATTGCAATCAAATGACAGTAAATTGATATAGATTTGTAAGTAAGTGAAATGTCGTTATTGGAGTTTAAATTCTTAAACAAATTGTATGCTAAATCCAAAGAAGGTTGATCATTTAAAGTTAATAGCCATTTTATCAATGAGAGGTTTATTTCTAGATTGTTGAATTCGTGATGTATATTTATTGGTATTGAAGGTAACTCAGACTTTATAGATAGAAAGTTATTCCTTATAAAGTTTAGCTTGAAATCCAAATTCTGGTTATCACTTTTTGAGATATAAAACAATGTGTACTTTATGAACTGGTTATCGACGTTGTCTTTAAAGGCTAAATTATGTAAGTCCCAGTAAATTGAAGGCTTTAGTTTATGATTCTTGTTTATTAGAATATCATTCAAAACTTTCTTTGATTCAATCGACCTCTGAGGATTTTTCAATTTCGATAGGTTATGGATTAGCTGATTATTAAATAAAAGCTTCATCCTAATAATTTTTTATTAATAAATTTAATAATAAAGTTTCAAACTCACTAGTTATTAGTTGTTTTATCAACAAAATGGGTAAAAGTGCGAAAGTGACGAAGAAACCACTAAACAAAAAGATAAAATCATCTAGTAATAATAATAATAATAATAGTTCAAATAGTAATAATAAACTTACATCATCATCATCCTCGACGAAGAATATCACAACTAATCCGTCGATCAGTCACTCTAAAAAGCGTAAAGATAGAATAATAAACTTACAAAACCAAGCAAAGGAAGCAAAAGAGAAAGGTAACTACGTTTTAGACAATAAGGATTACTTGAAGTTATATGAATGATTGATATCGATTTATAAATATATATATATATACACATTGTAGACGCATAAATTTGTTTTTATTTGACTAGTCATTTTATATCTATCCAACTAGTTCCGATTATCATTTACTAAACCATCTTTGGAGTTGCCTGCGCGATTGAGTTTTCAACTCTTGACCTCCTACATCCTAATTGGGTAAGTAAATTATAAATATCTATATTACGTTGTCTAATTATACTCTAGTCATGACAGCTTATCTACCTCGTCAACAATCTCACCCCCCTTCGAGCTCTCCAATCGAATCAGAGTTTCCACCTATCTATCTCAACACACCAAACTCTTCCCCGAAGAACTCAAACCAAGACATCGAAGATGACGCTTTGGCTGATGTCTCTTTTGCCTCTTCAATATCGATATCAACTTCATCACCTTCCCCTAATAAACCTGATATAAATGATCTCTCTTTAAATGAGAATCAGACTATAAAGTCAAATAAACCTTTCAATACCTTTTCAAGAGGTAAAAAGCGCGTCGGCTTGCCCGCTATGTGGTCTGTCACCAAAGAGTCAATTTCACCACCTACACGTCCACGTACGAGTTCGAAAAGAAATGCTGTCATGTTTGAACCTAAATCCGTACGCGTCTTAGTTTACTTGCTTTTACCTTTACTTACTGATCATGCCCTTAGACTATCATACCTTCATCACCTGCATCGTCTTCATCAGCAACCTCGCATAATCATTCAATGAGCTTAGACAACCCTCAGGATAGTTCCTTTGATTCATCCTTTAGTAGTACACAAAGACCTAGAGCTCCTTCTGAACCTTCAAAATCTGATTACTATTATCATAACCCTTCACCTGCTAGAGTAAAGAAGCCTAGGCTATCTCCACTCAAACCACCTTTCATGTCAATTAAAACTCTAGGTAGAGCTTATTCAGCTCCTGGTAATTACGTAGGCGAATCTAAAACAATTTCTGGCGGATTTTCACCATATCAATCTCAATCACCCTTCCTTAATAGTAATTCAAAATACAAATCAGCTCCAATACGCGAACGTAGGCAAAACAAGAAGAATAGGTTGCCAATGCCTTCATTTGATCAACAATCACCGTCATTATTCAATGATGAACAGTCTGAAAATCAACCTGAACCTTCAAATACTTTTATTAAACCAGCTCCTTTCCGTAGAGCTTTTTCATTAGTCGCGCCAAACCCTATGGCTAATATGCCTTCCCCTGGTTTAGATAGCTCACCATGCGCTGATGCTTCACCATCAATCAGACCTTTATCACAACAAATCCAAAAACCTGCCAATCCTATTAGACCTTCGGGACCTCTAAGGGCACTAAGCGCTTTACAAGGTCCTACAGTATCCCCAAGAGGTGTACAAATTCCTGGTTTTGGTCATTCTGAAAAGGAAGGAAAATTATTACCATGTTTCAGTGTAAAAGATGATGGTTTAATGAGGATACAACCTGAAACACTGGATAAACTAATCAGCGAGCCTCTACCAGAAAGTATTTCTGATGTGCACATAGTTGATTGTCGGTTTCCATTCGAGTATCATGGTGGACATTTACCTGGCGCTGTCAATTTAGGTACTTTACAATCCGTTGAAAATTACTTTTTAATTCCAAATGCTGGTGCAAATAGAGATACGAAATCTTTACCAACTCCATCAACCTCTGCATCATCAAATGAAAGCCGAAAAGTTATCATATTCCACTGCGAGTTCTCAAATATGAGAGCACCTACACTGTAAGTTTACACTTCTTCAGTTTAATCATATTAAATTCTATAGTGCTAAACACTTGAGATCTTTGGATAGAAGTCGTAATGAACATCCAAATCTTAACTTTCCAGAGTTGTATATATTATCTGGCGGATATGCGGAATACTTTAGACAATTCCATAATGTTAAACCCGAATTGAAATATACACCAATGGACGCCCCACACTTTCATCCACAAAGGGAAGCACATTTAGCTGCATTTAGAGCTTCATCAAAACCATCATCGATAGGTTGTTTAAATATGGGATTAAGATCAAAATCGTTTACTTTTGCAACTAATAATTCTAGATTAACAAATGTATCAAAATTACTACAAGATCAGACAGTCACTGAAGAATCTGATACATCGATGGAAGCATCTCCATGTGGTAACAACAATATGCTCAGACCTTCTTTACTCAATAGAACTAAGTCTTTAGCGAAACTACAGAGTTCACCACTTACTTTAGATTTTGATGAGAAAGAGAACAATTTGAGTAGAGATTTAACATTCGTTGAGCGTAATTAAATTGGTTTCTTTCATGTATATATTTTTCATAATTGTTCACTAATACACTTATAACGTTGAATTTTACATCATTGATTTGTTAATTTCTCTAAATCTTGAATACGTAATTCAAGTTGATTAGATCTTTGATCGCGTTGTTCTAATTGAAGTTTAGTAAGAGAAACATAACTCATGTATTCCTTTCTAAGATCTTCATATTGTGAGCGTAATTCGGTATACATTCCAGCACGCTCTCTTGTATTTGACTCTTGACTACGTTCGTTACTCTCTAAATCTAACTGCCTTTGAGATTTTAGTACTTCTAATCTTTTTGACATTTCATTTAAAGTATTAATTTGAAAGTTCTCTCTAGCAGATAAACCAATGGTTAATTGATTTTCTAATAGTTGAATTTTATTACTTTGCTCTTGGTTTTCTTTACTTAAATTAAAAGCAGCTTCTGATGATTGTTTATATTGCTGTCTTAGAAAGTCATTATCTTCTACTAAACCTCTTTCTCGACGGTTAGAATTATCTATTAATTCCAACAATCTCTTATTCTCTTCCTGAAGTCGTGTATGATCTTCTTTTAAATTTTGTGCAAAGCTCGTAAATTGATCAAATGGATTTCTTTCCTAATAGTGATATCAAAATAGATCGTTGATTAGTTTAAATTAACATACTTCCACTTCTGCGTTATCAACCTTTACTTCTTCTACTACACTGGCCTCTTCAGCCATTGGAATGTTTTCTTCCATCACTTGATAGTGATTATTCAAGTTGTTATCAAATATCCTAAACGAATAAAATTATAATATTGATATACATATATTTCTCTAATTTCTTCTTTACACTTTTTCATAAACAAGCTGTTCATCCATATAACAGACTTTGTTGAAAGATTACAGAAATTGAAATGCTATTGTGTAAATATAATTGTACAATGCTTATTAGTTATGCAAATAAAATGACTAAAATCAGTATTGATCGTCACCTACGACAAAGCCATCTTCATACTATATCATCATTAGCGATTATTTATGTTTGACATAAAGACTTACATCGTATGTATCATCTGGATCGACACCATTTGGGCTACTAGATAAGAGCATTGGTCTATGCGCAACTTCCTTCGAACCTAATTTAAAGCCTGTAGGATTTCTTATTGGACCTCTATCAAATTGAGGACCAGAATTTGGTGCTTGAGTTGCTAACCCCATAACATATGCAGCTTGTTGATTATAATCACTTCCCGCGTCAGAAAATTGACTCTGATCAGCGGCTAAGAAATCAATATCCCCTTCAGATAAAACTTCGATCTCGCTGGACCTTTCGTCTCCTGAAACATCTTCAGTTTCTGATACTTGAGCGTCAGCATCAATATATTCTCCTTGTTTCATCATCAATCTGCTCCGTTTAACCTTCGGCTGAGGCGCCATAGGTGATGGATTAGATGAAGATCTCTGCCTGAGACGTTTGAAAGGATGGTAGGGAGTACCACGCGGTGAAGATGAAATTATAGGTTTTCCTGTAGTACGAGGTGCTACATAACTTTGACCAGGTCTTCTAACTAATTGCGATTGATCTGGTGATGCTACCTTCAGAATTGATTTTGGATCAAAATGGAAGGGTTTGATATATGTGTTCTCCTTAGTATTCATCCGTGTGTTATTAACGACGAGCGGCGAAGAGTCAATTGACATGCAACTATTATTTGCATTCTTTTTAATAGGTCTTGCAGGCGTTTTGAAAGTCTCATTGTCCTTATTTTTAGATTTATTCTCCCTGCCTGATACAACAACTGGACTTTCAACTGGTTCAGGTTCTAAATCTATAATCGGTGATTCTTCATTTAATATCCTTGGCGCTTTGAAACCTTTCTTCTGTCGTACCTTGCTTCCAAAAGGTGGTTCAGATGGTGATTTCAATATAGGTGGCTTATTTAAAACCAACACTGGAGATGAGGTTGGGGAAGTTGGTGTTGGTGACCTTGTGCGCATCCTTTTTGATGTTTGTGTAGCTTTTGGCGATTCTACTTCTTCTTCGTCATCATGAAGCGTTATGGAGTGAGTACGCAATGATAAAGTCTTAGATAAAGCTGCAACAGAAGGTATGCCCCTGTTTGACTGACTGGCCTGTCTTCTTAGGGCTTGACTAGGTTGCCTTTGTAGAAGCTGACCAGGTTTACCCTTAACTTTTTTGTTTCTTCTAGAAGTTGGGCCTGTTGGTTCAAGATTAAGAGGCTGACTTGCTTGAGATTGTAAATCTAACATTCCATTCTGCAAAGCCTCATCCTCTGAGTCAGATTCTATATCCATAGCAACTGATTCTTTCTTTTCGACTAATTCACCAGCATTGACGAACCCTGAAGCAGCTTCCTTTGGTACATTCCGTAGAGGATCATCATTCCTTTTACGTTTTGATTTTGTAGCAAAACTACGAATATCTGCAGCATCACTTAGTTTATCTTTAATATCCTTTTTACCAAGATTTTCCCATTCCTCTACTTGAACATGTCTCTTTTCACATTCAGGTTCAACGTCTTCAGGGACTAGACGTTTGACATCATCGTACAATGCAACTTGGTCACCAGAGACGATGTAAGCTTGAACATCTTGATGCCTAATTTGAGCATCCTCCCAATTCTTTTCTTCAATACCTGCAGCCATTAGAGTATGTACGTGTCCTTGACGTTTTCTACCTGTACGACCGATCTTTTGAAGCATACTTATTGAACTCTTGCCAGGATCGTAAGTAATAGTGAGATCTATATCACCAATATCTAAACCTTCTTCACCAATTGATGTTGAAACCAACACATTGAAGGTTCCCGCTTTGTAATCATTCATAACCTTTTGTTGTTGCTTTTGATTCAAACCTTTCTTTCCTTTGGCGGATGATTGTCCTACAAATGCACTAGCCTGGATACTTTGTCAGAAAGTAATTTTAAAAGGGTTAGCTTACCCTGAGGATTGGTGAATTTGTGTTGATTTGATCAACGACTTCTTCAACGGTGTCTCTGAGTGCTGAAATAACGTTAATACGTTGATAAAAAAATCAAAGCATCAAAACTCACAAATGAACACTATAGCTCTAGTCTCAGTGTTACCATTCGAAAAGTTAGTGAAATGATCCAAAAGCAGTGATTGTACTTTGTCCATTTTTGGATGGCTAAGATTACCACCGCGTTTATTTCGCTCGATGTCTATTTCTAATAGTAATTTTTCTATAGTTTTCTTGGTTTCTGGCTCTGGCTTCGTCTTTTTGCCATTAATATCTTGTAAATTCTTATAGAACAGCTCAATACTCTGTACTTGCTAAACAGATAATTAGTAGAGAATGACAAGAAATCGCTTACGCACCAAATTTCTCATCGCACGTACTGCTTCGGAAGCCTTAGTGATAGTTCCATGTAAATAACCTTGATGAGGAAGTATCCTTGGACGAAGTGAATCAATCTGATATGGATGAATTCGCCTCAGTCTGTTCAGTATGTGTTCTGGTAGCATATCCTTTTGAACTAATGGTTCTATCGTGCGCTAAACTATTTTAGCGAATTCTATCTTCTAAATGTTGACGCACCTTCACGATACGCTCCCATTGCACACAAAGATCATCGGTAAAGTAGTCCATATCAATAAGATGCTCTTCAAAGAATTTCTTGTGTATATACTGCTTGATATCTGGAGATGAATCATTACGAATGGCAATATTACTGATATGTAAATTGTCAATGATTGGCTGAACCTGTTCAGGTGTATTTCCAGGAGTAGCAGTTAATGCCAATACTCTGAAATGAGGATTTGTAGACATCATATGTCTAACTACTGAACAATAGCTATTGCAGTGTCAATATGAGACACCCGAAATAGATAATACGTACGAAAAATCACCTTGACTTTTATGAGCTTCATCTATGAGACATGTAAGATATTGATACTGCTACTATAAAACACGAACCTATGACAATCAATACAAGATCTTGCGGATCGCATACCCCTTTTTGTAAGTCATTGTTAAGTGTCTGTGGTGTCATATAAAGTACTCTCTTCTCTTTTATCTGTTAACTGATTAGATTAAATAAAGCGCTAAAGCAAAGGTTTCCCACAATATTTTCGCGTTTATGTTGGGGTACATCGCCGTACAACACAGCTACATCAGCTTGAGGAATACCACAAACATCGTGACATGCCTTGGCTTGCTGGTCAACGAGTGGTTCTTATACACATAAGCTTTGCGTATTAATGGTCAAATGAAACCTACTTGTGGGTGCCAAGAAGACAACTTTAGCAGTAGGGAACCACTTGTAATAGTTCATAATAACGACACCAGCAATCAAGGTCTACAACTATCTTAGCGATATGATTGAGGTATTGCTAAAGTACTCACTTTACCGAGACCCGTTGGAAGTGCTACTAAAGTGTTCTGGAACAAACATTGAGTAGTTATATCGAACTGATAATCTCTAATAGGATAATTTGTTGGATATATCCACCTTTTGATTGCTTGTGTGTCACAGTGGTGCTTCATTGCAGGTAACTGCAACAGATTAGTGAAAGATGAGTTTCGTAAGGTAACTTACAGGACTACGGATGTCTTAGGACGCGTATAAAAATGCTATCAATAAAATACTCACCCTTTAAGTTGTTAAAAAGAATGAAAAGCAAAACTGTCTTACTTACCATCAGATCGCGAAGACGGGAATTGTTCGAACTCTATTGGATTATCCTCAATGATCATATCACCATCTTCTTCAGCTTGCGCCTTCTGTTTCCTTCTTTTACTGGACATCGACATCGTGGCGTAATCCCATTGCTTCCTGGCACCAGTATGCTCTTTCTGTACCATTACAGGTCGGGGTGCAGATCGGACAGCAGGTGGTGGAGGTGCGCCCCAGAGCCTTTGTTGTGTTAGATTTTGTGATGTTGGAGCTGCATTGTAAGATGTGTTCTCTATTCTATCAAGCTGCTCCATCGCTTCATCGTCGATAATGATAGGTGAATTGAAGTCGTCACCATAATCTATAGTGTTATCCATTTCTATACGCTGAGCTAAATGTAAATGCTGTTGCTGCTTCTGCCGATCCTGGTTGTATCTAGATTCAATCAAGTCAGCTTGTTCGAGTAAGCCAGCATCATCGAAAGGATCTGAAAAATCCGAGTTATCCACTTTAAGGTATTGGTTAGTGTTATATTTTATATACCTTCTATCGCTTACTTTGTGCTATCTTGAGGAGCACGCGTGGTGGTTGAGGTTCAAACACGCGAATTATTGACTAGAGGGAATTCTGAGGAACATAAAAACTAAACTATTCATTTTTACGTGTTTTATATAAATCTACGCGTTTTATATTACTATTCTCTCATCTCTCAGGTTGTCGTTTCCAGGTACAACAACAGTACACACAAGCATGGAAGAAGGCGACTTCGCATATCATATGCTCATTTGCCAGTTTCTGTTTTATGCAAAATCATCTATCTTCGATACGCAGTCTCTACTATGACGTCGTCTAACAAATCATTTTCATTTTACTCTACAATTAGTTTATTTCATCAGGTCAACCAGATCTTCAAATGGAGACTTTTGCTGAGGCTGTTGAGATTGCTGAGGTTGCTGTGAAGCTGACTGTTGAACGGGAGGTGTGGTGGTATTAATGACATTTGGTGTGCTAACACCAGGCGTAATAGGAGTTTGTGCGCTAGGTGTAAATGGTTGGGAATAACTGACGGGAGTATTTATCGATGGTCCCATCGCGTAAAGACTCTTCAAAGCTTCATTTGAGCTAAGATTGTTTGCAGGTGTTGGTGATTGCATTGCTGGTACCTGTGCCTCTGCTGTAGTTGAAGGACCTGGCGATGGAGCAGAGAATAAGTCAATTGGAAGATCGGTAGCATTTTGCGTGAGCTGTACACCACTATCCTGTTCATTCTCTCGCTCAATATGTTCGTGTTGCAGAGGATCATCGAAATCTATCAGGTTCTGGCCTGCATCATTTCTATTTGAGGACCTAGAGGTCATTCCCTTCGATTGGAAGCTTTTGAGTGTCAATAAAGGACCATATAAGTCGTAACGACTACTTACTTTTCATTCATCTCGAATGTAGCATTATAGTCACCATTCTTGAAAGCATTATATCTATTCAGAACATTGTTGATCAAGTCGTTGATTTGTAGCAAACGCTCTGATATAATTTTAGAGTTATGATATGAACAAACCATCTACTTACCCAACAAGTCAGATTCTGATTCAGAAGCCTCAGAGATCCATTTTTGTAACTTGGGGCTTGCTTGTTTGCAAAGTGATGACACTTGCTGAGAACAAATCAATGAGTGAAGATAAGATAAAAAGTGCTTACATCATAGGCGTCACCACGTACAAGCTTTTCTTGAGTATGTGCAGCTTGGTCGAGCATATCATTGAGAAGTATCGCCTTGTGCTGTACTTTCTCCAACTCTTTTATTGTTTGTGCTCGGTAATCTGGTTTGCGCTCGTCCTAAGTTATTCGAGTTAGCTTCATATGAAATAGTATAATTCAACCCACAAATCCAGAAAGCTTTTTCATAAGATCTTGAGCAGCAGCGAGGTCCCTCGGAGTACCACGTCTAATAAGTTCTTGGAGTTTCTAGTATCTGTGAGCATGTCTGGGATTGTTACCGAGTGAGAACTCACGGCAGATTGCGCTTCTCTGTCCTCCTCTTCTAATTCCTCCGGGGATTTAAGGTTCTATCGAAAATCAGTATACGCTTTTGGAAAGCAATAACATACATCTGTTGCAACTGAAATAGCGGCGTTCCTGCTCAACTCTGGGAACCTATATCCTTTGTATCCTAATAACCTCCACATATCCCTAATATGAACGAGGTCTTCCTTATGTTTTGATGTCGTAGCGATACCATTCTTCCATTCATTGATAAGTTCTAGTGTTCTACCCATGATAGGACCTGGATAAGCCGGTGGGCGCTCAGGGAACCTACGCACGAGCTCGTTAAGGAAATCTTTAGTCGCAATTTGGAGGTGGAATGGGTAACCACAGTTCTTGACGAGTACATCGAGCAGCTGGACACGTCAGCTGAAATATCTTAACTAATGAAGAACACACATGAAGGCCTAATAAAGCTGATCTAGGGCTTCCCTGATTGACATGCCTCAATATTTCGAACGCTGCTTCTCGTGGGCTTCATAGCGTCAGAAGTGAGCATATGGAGAGCGGGAGCATACCAATTAGATTTCTTTGTATTTATATAATCAGCTATTTCCATTTCTAGTGATTGATTTGGTTCCAATAGCGTCGGTTCACATGCCATATCTGATCGTCGTTATGTTGAGGACGTTGATAATGGAGACTGCTTACTGATATAAGAGGATAGAACATCAGAAGTTCTAGGATTTCTACCCCATGGACTGCCTAATCTACCGAGAGTATTTGGATTCAACATCGCTGTATGAATTATAGAGACGAAAATAATACATAATAAATTAAGTAGACGGTATACAATTAGAGGTGGTGGCCAGGTACTAGCGTAAATATTATAGTTAGTATTGCGGTTGATAGTATAATCAACACCGTAACTAAGCTGCGTTTCGTGAGATTGACGTAAGGCGAATAAAATCAATACTCACACAGAGCGCATAACAAGCAACTTCTTGATATATGATTCTTCTATGTTAATTGTTCTGAAAGGAGTTGTCTCGCTGTATAATGTCAATATGATATGATACTCAATACCGCTACGAACCTCTTATTGAACAAAACCAGAAGAGGATCTAAATTGTATTGGAATGACCAAAGAAGGAATAGTGATATAATAAAAGGTAGAAGAACCTATAAAAAGTTAGAACTAATCATTAAATTATTTTGTCCATACCCAAACACGTGTTTTCTGAGGCTTGTGATCAAGAAAAATGAAACAGAAACCAAGTGAAAAAGCGAACCAAAGCAGAAAAAGCCCTAATCCGAGTCTGATTAAGGACGACATTGGTGTCAAGTTACCAAAGCCTTTCGCACGCAAGAACCTAAATATCAATTAGTAAAACATCATATAAAAAGTCATCACAAACCTAGGGAAAACTCCACCTTCAAGTGCCCTAAAAATGTACTCCTTCTGTGGGTAAAACAAGTCTGGTATATCTGTCAATGGTGTTTGATGACCGAACGAGTCAATTCTTAGAGCTGGAGGAAGATAGATCTCTTTGTCACTTCCCGGAGCAAGATATCTGTAATAAATGCGTTCAGCAGAGTCGAATAGATCGGCATGACTGATGACTGCATTGCGTGGTATAGTAGTTGGTGCTCTCTGTGCGCTCTTGCGCTTGGTGGACAACCTAGTTGATGGTCTGTCAGGTTCAAAATCTGAAGTCGACAGATTCTGTCTGTTGGAAGTGTCACGTAAGAAATTGTCGAGTGGTATAGGATTCTCCTGAGTGCCTGAGCTTGAGTTCATAGAATTTACAGATTTCGACTGAGAGTTGGCTATTGGAGAGGGAGTTAATCTGTCTTGTTCTGAATTGTCAGGGGATACAGCTAAACCTATTATGTTAGAGTATATAGAGCCTCTACTACGTGCACTGCTGAGATATTCAGGCCAAACATCTTGCAATGATCTTCCTGATTTGCTGATATCTTTAAAGTAGGCTCTACATAGGTTCTCGTGCTGTTGTGTGTCGAGCCAGAAGTCCAAGGCGTCCTCAGAACCCTCGCGTTGGAGGAAGAGATACAAACAGAAGAGATCCACTGGTGGGCGTGTCTTTCTAGAGAGTACCTCAGCGAGTGTAGGCAGCCGTGAAAGCTGCTCTGGCTTCTCTGTAAATTTCATGGATGATGATGGAGAGATCTTAGAGATGCACACATTCCAGAGATGGAAATTGAATAATTTTTACAAATTATTAATAAATGATCGTATATATTTAGTATTTTGTTATTATCTCTACCTTTGGGTATTTCTACCCTTCTTACTACACAACGACGAGATGTCTGCATTCAGCAAAGCACTTCCAACGGCTATCAAAGAGATCAGATTGGTAGGATGCCAAACAGGAAACAGATCTGAAGGTTTAAGGTGCGTTTTCCGTTTTCTATAACGTAGCACACTAATGATAGTAGACAATTCATCAAATCAAGCTACCCAGCTTTGAAGCAATCAAATCCACACTTACCAATTCTCGTACGCGAAGCATCAGGTGCACCAGCACGTGCGTTTGCTAGATTCGGTGGGTATGCCTAGTAATAGCAAGCATTAGCTGACTAGAGACAGAATACGGTTTAGAGAAGAACGTAACTTTGGAGGGATTATCTGCTGGAGAAGTTACAAAGCAAATTGAGGGTTTATTGACGAAGACCAATTAAAATGTACACTTTATACATCGCTACATAGATTTAATTAATTATGATTGTGAATAATTGCACTAGCTGTCTATCTTTCAACTTTTAATTTAGATAGCAACTTTTTGATAAGTGCACTCTTATCTCTCAGCACTGGCCCTGCATGTCATGATAGCAGATAAGCTGGGTAATAAAAGCCGGGGTTGTCGCTTCTTCTTTTAAACAATCCAACTCTCACACTCATTAAACTATATACACTACTTCCAAAATAATGTTCGCAAAAGTTTTCACCGCAGGTCTCATTGGTGAGTGAAACACACTGTAATTGAACTTTACTAATAAAGTATACAGCTACATCTGCTCTTGCAGCACCAGTTGCTCGTTCTGACTCGCTCACTTCAGTTGTTCAAGGTCTCGGATCAAATTCAGATTTCACTTCTGCACTTTCAAGCCTTGAGACCTTAAACAGCCAGGATTCTAAGCCTACATCAGACGATATTAGCTCTGGTATGTTGCTTTTCGTTATTTAGCTCTAAATTTACGTGACTTTTAGTCGTCAACCAGCTTACTTCAGCATTCAAGTCAACAAACGATCAAATGGCCACAGCTGATACCTCAGATGTCGATCCAAATGGTCTTGGTAAATATCTCGCTGATGATATCCAAAACATTGTCAACCACCTTTCACCAACATTAAACAGTGTCGTTGGTGAAGATCTTGGTTTACAGTCCATCTTGCAACCATTAGATGATGAGATCAGCTCAACTTTGTCTGGACTTGAAAGTGATGTTACCAACGTCCAGAAAATCCTATATGGCGCTTTGAATGATCTCGGTTTAGGTGATGTTGCAGACCTTTTAAACAAGACATTAAACGGAGAACTCCCAGGTCTTCTTACTTCAATTGATAATGAGCTTAATGGTGTTCTCGAGCATGTTCCGGTCGTTGGTGATCTTTTGTTATCGCTCGGATTATAAAAAAATTTGCAGTAATCCTGCTATCTACTCTAATTTGTAATACTCTGTGTGGGATACACAATTAATTCGGCTGCTAGCTTATTTAAATTACAAAGAATGGAATGTCCCCTTTCCGATGACATGAATGAAGCTTGTGTCATTCATGTCTTTTTCATAAATAACAACATCCGAAAAATGTGATACAGCAGTAAATAGTGACATATATTAGCAATTACTAAAATACAAATTAGTACAATGTGACTGTGTTACAAATTAATCTATTCTCCTTGAAGAATCTTATTTTCTTGGAGATGTTTTTGTCATCCTTTTGCGAGGACTTGGGGAAGCTTGATCATTCTCACGCTGTATTTCTCTGGTTTCATGCGCTCTTCTGCCTTGAAGTCTTTCATTCATTCTGCGTGCCTTTCTCATTTCGAGTGTTCGTTCTCCTGGATGCTCTCGCTCCTCCCCATTGTCTTCTTCGGATGATACATCCACAACTGATGATCTCCTAAATATATATGACCTAGGTGAGTTTTGGCTCCCACTTCCGCTTCTACTCCTACTGATACTTCCTGGAGACCCCGATGAACGTCTACGTTTAGAAGATTGTTCCGAAACCTCGGAATTACGCTCTTCAGGACGCACGACATTTGAAGAACTCCATCGTGACTCTTCGGCTTCATTTTGTAGTTTCTCTGCTTCCTTTCTCTTGTGAAACTTTCCTTCGACCCTCTTACTGGCTTCTCTGTCTGTATTATGTTTCTCCTTACGTTCTGCTCTACGTCTTTCTTTAATTTCCATGATCTTTTCAAGTTTTTTTATCCTCTTAGCATTTTCTCTAGAAGCTTTCTTTAATGCAGATTTCTTCTTCCTTTCCTCATTCATTCTTTCCCTTTTCATAACATCATTGTTTGACTTAGTGATAATTTGCTTCAATTTCAGGGGTATTTCTTTATTAGTTCTACTATCCTTTGGTTTGAGCATTAATTCAGCAGCAGTTGATGGTGGTAATGCTAATGGCTGTGATTGTTGCATATGCAACCAAGCCGTTAAAGCAATTTCAATAGCTTTCTTGAGGGGAATACCAATAACTAGCATATTTTGAAAGTTTATATTCATATTCGCAATGGTATCTAATTCTTTAGCAGAGGCAGTCTCTTCAAGGACAGTCAGATTTTGAGGCTAGTCGGAGCAATTTGACTTACCTTTGTCTGATAACCTAGCACACACGAAGAATGAAGGTTCAAGTCGGTTATTTGGTTTATCCCATTTTAATTCGCATGTAAGCATCAATGTACGCTTCCTAATTGTGATATCAGGTTTATGAATTTCAGAAGAGATTGCAACTCACGTATAATCACCAAACACTATAGTGAATTCATTGAGATAGATAACATTTTTGTGGTATAATGTGTGTAATTCATCCATGAGAGCATTTAAATGTTGTACTATCCCACCATAGTCGTGTAAAGTTCTGTAAAATAGGGGCAAAGAATGTTGATCTTCGATCCTGTTGGGAGTGTTTAGTGTTACACATCGATAATGATAACGCTTTAATCACCTCTTAATTGCATCATGTAAACCAGAAATTGGGCAATTTATCTTCAAATCGGTTACTCTTAGAGTTTTTGTGTTAAATTGAACAACTGTATCGAATGGTATACCACCTAGTGATTGAATAATTCCAGAAATTCTATAGTCTCTCACTTCTTGATCTTCTTGTAGAAGTGTTGGTTGATCTATGGATATACCAGTAAATGCCTGATTAAGTTGTATAGCCGCATTGAATCTATGAATCTGTTTCTGAGTTTCGATGTCTTGTTGTTTGTTGATTGTAGTAGATTTATTCTGACTATCAGTATTACTACCATTTGAATCTACGCCCTCAGTGCTAGTAATCGCGTCCTTATCGGGACTATCAAATACATTATCTTGAAGTAAAGCAGAAAGTGCATCGGATTCACCAGCAGCGGCTAACTTTTTACTATAATAAAGTTAGAATAATCGATAATTTACGCGTAAACATACAGAATTTCCTCTAATTCCTCCTCATCATCGAGATCGTCATCGAATCTAGATTGAGTTTCACGTGCTTGCAATTGTCTTTCTAAAGAAGTTATTTCTGATTTAACCCGCCTTATATCAGATTCTAATTCTGGTCTAGATTTGCGTGTGATTACCATTTTGATAGATGTTCATCAAACCTCAATGATGCGCGTTGTGGGTGTTAGGAAGGTGGAAAAATTTTGTAGAAAAAGAAGGAAATGAGTTATATCTTCTAATAATTGTACTAGATATAATACAGTATATATAATATTCCTTTGAATTTGACCGTTGTGGTAGTCAACACTCCTTCACCCGTCACTATGATAAAGAACTTGCGTTTATTTAGCTCATCCTGTAGGACGCAAGCGGTACTTGGACCGAAAACATCAAAGAAAGAAGTTTATCGCTGGGAAAGCTCAAAACCAGACGATAACATTCTACCAAAGTTAGAAATCGAGAGTAAGAGAAGATGGTTGGCCTATATGCGTATGGAAGAGTTTGAATTACCAAAGCTAGAGAGTGAGAATCTCTTTTATTAGCTACTATATACTTATACCCTATAGAATATAGAAAAGAATTCAAACCACCAGCCAAAGATGAAGTTGTAAAGGTTAGAACACTTGACTATCTAAATCAAGAACCACATCCTGCATCTGTTAAATCTGTCGTTACAGTAAAAGTAAGTGACCTTCCACTGGCAGACGCATCATCCAAGCACAAGTTGAAACTTCTCGCCGGTCCTCGCTGGTCAGGCCCAGAGTCGAGAATAGTAGACGGTAAATTAGTAGAGGATGTTGACGGCGAGATAAAGATCAGCTCAGAGCAATTCCCATACAGAGCACAGAATATGAGATGGTGTTCAGATAAATTACAGCTTTTATTAAAGGAATCAAACGTGAGTTGGATAAATCGGCTTATTACATCAGCTGATAACCATTTATAGGATAAAAGTTATAACTTTGACGACATTCCGTTAGATACTCGTCATGTTACTCGTAGAATTCGTAAATCAAGGCGTGGTGGTCACAGGTTGGAGAACTTGGCTGGTGCACAACAAGGTCGTAGGCCGACAAAGTTTGATATGCCGGAAAGCTGGATTGAAGAGGCCAAGTCGGCTTTAAGTAAGAAGTGATGTAGTTGAGAATGTGATGAGATTTTTTTATAGAAAAAGTATTATTTATTTGAGTGTATATTAATGTGAATACTAATTGTTAATCTACATATCTGTTCACCTATCTGTCCATCTGTCTATCTGTCTATGTCGGTACCTCCACATACATACACACTACAGCATCAAACCCGATAGTGAATAATATAAACCGAGAGTGATGATAGGTAAAATTAATTAAATATTTCATTTTTATTAAATATCACGTCGACGTCAACGGCTGTCATTGTCTTTGAATGCTTCAAATATCTGGATTGAGTATGGAATGCAGATTCCGATCTTTTGAATTTAAGATTTCTGCGAACGACTCTTTAGGTCTCTAAAACAATGACTAACATAGTCCTCACACCTCCAGTAACTCCAATGTTCAATGAGATGAAAGACACACCAGAGAACTTGTCTTCGTTTGTCCAGACGTTTATTGCTTCAATATTCCCACCTTCAAAGAAACAAATGATGACGAACTTATACACTCCACCGGCATCCCCAGCATCTTCACAGTTCAACACTGGTCCACACTCAGACTTATACGAGTTTGCACACTATATTATTACACGTGCTGAGCTCTGTACTGAAGCAGCGCTCTCTGCATTGGCATTATTAGCAAGACTACGTAGGAAACTTCCAAGGGCTAGAGCTGAATCTGGTCCACGTCTTTTCCTCGCTGCAATGATCGTCGCATCAAAGGGCCTATTTGATATTGCGTACAACAACCCTGGATGGTATGAGATTGCTGCTGGCTGCCCTGCAATTGAAGCAGACTTTGCTTTAGCTGATATTAATCTGAGTGAGTGGATTAGTTTAGAAATTTTTCACTGTCTGACATAAACCTAGTGGAGCGCCAATTGCTTTCTCATTTGGATTACCGTGTTGCTGTTTTTGGGGATGAAATTATTGCTCTTCGTAGGATATACATGACTGGACAAATTCAACAACAAACTTCATTAGTCAAGTCAGCATCAACTAACACATCAATCAACAGCCTGCTTACTCCGCCACCATCACCTTTGGATTTACCAGTTGAACAGGTACAAGCGGAAGCTCCACCACCACGTCCACTCAAATCTCGTGTACGTAATTCAATTGCTGGTCCTCAAGACATACAACATTATCAAGCATTCAACGAACCATTATCGATATATGCTAGAAGACCACGTGCAGCGCCTTTACCACCACTGTTACCTGTTCAATCTAGTTGCTCGATGGAGAGTGGACCATTGTCAGCACCAAGTGATGGTCAATTACCTGCATACCCATCTTCATTCGAGCAATTGTTACGCTCACATCGCCGCTGGCTCTAACTAACGACCAATACAAAAACGGACATTATCTCATTCTCTTAAATTATCGACTGTTTTAATCAAATACCCACAAAGTCTTACTGTAAATCATTTTTAATCGGATTCATAAAAGGTAGAATACATTCTTTTTAATCATTTTTGTTTTACATTTTACGCGCGTCTGTGTTTCTTTGTCTAAGTTCTTGGTTTGTGACGTTGAAGAGCTAACAAATGAGCAATGTCGAAATTATTGGAGGATATAGACGCTTTATCAGATAATATGAAGAATAGATTGCGTAGAGGTTAGTGATTGGTGTTTCCTTAGATCAATAATAATATAATCTGTAGCTGATTTAATTGATCCACTAGAGGTGATGCTGATGGGTGTTGAAGGATTGTCTAAAAAGCTCAATATGTCCATATCAGAATGTGAAAAGTTAGTACAGACCGTTGCCTTAGGAAGTATGCCAGAGGTTGAGGATTTCCATAATAGGTTCAATTCAATAGATACGTTCACTTCTGGAGATGATGAATTAGACAACTTACTTGGAGGAGGTATCCGTGAGCAATCTCTTTTTGAGATAGTCGGTGCAGCGTGCGTCGCCATTGTTTTCTTGAACGTCATTTCTTACCGATATATAGATCTGTTGGGAAATCACAATTATTAATGCAGACACTAATTACAGTACAACTTCCTTTCGAAGAAGGAGGTCTCGATGCACATTCGATATTAATACACACAGGGAAAGCACCACCTACAGATCGATTACAAGCAATGTCAAGGTCGTTTTTCCCTTCGATACCACCAGAGGATGTTCTCTCAAATATTTCAATACTTCAAGTGACAGATATTCAATCTTTGCAGCACGCCCTCGACTTTTTCATACCACGATTTCTCACTGATAGTCCAAAATCGAAAGCAGTTCGTTTGATTGCTATAGATTCACTTGGAGAACTCAGCAGGCAGTTCAATAACACAGGAAAGGGTCTATCAACTCGTAATGCCAATATACTTAGAGTTGTTGATAGTCTCAAGCGATTGATTCATACCTATAGACTAGCCGCAATCGTCGTAAATGGTGTGACGGATGCTGTACAAGATGAGCAAATACCAACATCTGAAAGCTACGCTGTTCAGTCGCGTTACTTCTCTGGACAGACTGTTCACAATAACAAAACCGCTCAACTTGGGATGGGATGGGCTAATTCTGTCCATGTACGCCTTATGTTGGTTAGAACCTTACGTAAGGTGCATGTTGATCTCACAGATAATGAGATTATCGTTAGTTCTCCAGAAGGTGAAGCTCGTTTAGCGCTGCCTTCGCATTTCTATCAAGATGATGATAGAAGATTCAAGAAGCCACGCACGCAGAGATCATTCAACGTTCACAAACGACGCGCTCATATAGTATATTCTTCTTATCGTCCAGCTGGCAAATGCGAATTCTATATATTACCAATTGGATTGCGATCATTGCATCTATCTGTAAGAGATAAGAACGCGTCACCAGTCCCAACTGCTGCTCTCACGCCAGCTATAAGTCAATCATTCACTCAAACAATTGACGATGAGGAGGCAGAAATCTGGGCATCTATCCCATTTAGTGATGACGATGAGGAGTTTTAATGTATTTATTTATTTATTCAAGCATAGATCTATGTACTTTTGTCTTTTATATCTTGACGTTGATGTACAAACTAAAAAACACGCTAGCGGGACATAAAAGGAGCGTAACGAGGGCTAAATTTAGTAATAGTGGAAACTATCTCGCATCTGCTAGTTAGTAAATCAGATATTTCTCACTAATCTAACGAATAAACACCAAAGGTGCTGATAAAACTGTAAAGATATGGGAAATTGAAAATGGATACCTCTATGAAAGCTTTGAGGAGCATCAAGATGGCGTGAATGATATTTGTTGGTCAAGTAACGATAAATGTGTAGCTAGTGCATCCGATGATAGATCTATCATTTTATGGTCAATTGAAGGAGTGAGAGGGATATATTTATAACGTACAACTATCTAATGGTCACAATTAAAGAATAGAGCTATGAAGGTTTTGAAAGGACACACAAACTATGTCTTCTGCGTTAGTTATAACCCACAATGCAACTTGTTAGCAAGTGGATCGTTTGATGAAACAGTGCGGATTTGGGATGCACTAAGGGGTTGGTATCATGGCTTAAATAGATATCATTTGACAATATTCAAGGTAAATGCTTGAGGACGATATCAGCACATTCAGATCCGGTACTATCGATTGATTTCAGCAGTGATGGCTCATATATAGCAAGTTGCTCGATGGATGGTTTGATGTGCGTTGTTCATTCTTTTTTGTTATCCTTTTTAACATATCTCAAGACGTATATGGGATGTCTGGACTGGACAATGTCTAAAAACGCTAGTCGATGAATCTAACAAACAGGCAACTTTTCTGAAGTTCTCGCCTAATTCCCAATACTTACTTTCTGCATCATTGGATCAACTGGTTAAGTTGTGGGAATACTCTAATAAAGATCGTCCAATTAGGACATATAGTGGTCATGATAATAGTATTTACGCGCAATCTATTGATTATGGCATGATAGATGGCAAAAGAGTAGTATTGGCAGGTTCTGAAGATGGTAAAATCTACGTATGGGATTTACAAACTATGAAGGTTCTACATAGCTTTACAGCACACAAAGGTACGTGGTCTGTCGTATAGAAGAGACGGTGTACTCAATGGCCACAGATGCGGTTATTAATATTCATTCGCACTCTCACCTTCCGAGGATATGTAGTTGTTCATTGGAGAAAGAGTGAGTGAGGGAATTTCTGAAGCATATAGCTGATTTAAGATAGTTTGACGATCAAAATATGGGAGTATACAGACACACCTGCGATAGAAGATATGCATATAGAGGCAACACCATCTGAGCAAGCTAATGAGGCACCTAAAGAAAACATTGAGGTTGCCAAGGAGAGCACTGAAATACCCTCCAAAGAATCCACTGAAGCACAAGAAGACACCACAATCACAGAGCATACCAATGTAACAACAACAGACAGAATGGATGAAAATTGAAGACAAATGGTATCATAATGTAAATTAATCTCTAGGACTTTCCAAAGTGAATAACGGGAAAGGATAAACATCTTGATCGAGTAAACCAGCGAATTCACCACCAATACTTATATCATTAGACTTATCATTTGCCTTGTTAGCTAAAGAAGGTGATAGATGAGCGTAGTGCTGTATAAGTGCAGGTAAAAGCTTTGTACTTGATTTCTCATCATCGAGATTTATAACGATGTAGAGGTAATCAGTTGGTAAACCATACCTTAGAACAGATTCAACGAAGAGTCTGAGGAATTTGATATGTGCGAGTGCCTGATAAGCCTCTGAGAAGGAATTTGATAGAGTGTGTGAGAAGTTTTTGAACTCTTGTTTTTCGATTTCAGTAGCTTGTTGAAGTTCTTGAGAAGACTTTTGAGCTAAAGAGGAATCGAATTGGAATTCTCTAACGATGTATTTGTTTTCACGACATGCTTGTATGAAGTCGTGTTTGTATTTACGGAAAACAGAAACGTTTACCAAGACAAATTCGCTATCTTTAGTGATCTCGAAAGAGGATCTTGGTACTACCATCTTTGATAGTCTTTCATAGTTGTTAAACCATTCTTTGATGTTGTTAATTGGTATAGCTACGAAGATCGTCTCTAAGAAATCAGAATTCGTAACATTCTCTTCTGACACGATCTGGGCGAGAGACTTCGTAGATAAGTTACCCATTTGCTTGCGTTGTAACTGATTGAGGGTACCTTTAGCTATTTGGTAATTCTGCTGTGCAACTTTAAAGTCTTGGTCAACCTTATTGATATTCTTCAGGATAGATTGGATAATTTCATCGAGATTGAGTCGTTTATATTTGTAGTTATTCCAAACGAAGTTGTTCAAGTAAGCTTTCGCTGATTGTTCGTTTATAGTTAATGTATTAGTTGATGACTCTAAGTACTTTTGTGTAGTTGATGTAATTTGATCATCAAACTTCTGGAGCTGTTCGGATAAAGATATGCAATTAGCTAGAGTGCCATACTAAATCGCTATATCAGCTAGACGTTCATATATAGAAGGGATACTGACTTTAAATTCCGGTAAATCAATCTGATGGATTGCTTGCGAGGGATCTTTTATTAAATAAGACTTTAAGATAGCGGCTTTTAATTCAGATATTAAATTAATTTTATTATCATTTAAAGGGATTGATATCAAATAATTCAAGTCTTTCATTGACGATTACTTTCAAGAAGAGTGTAATTATAATAATGTGAGTAGTCTATAAACTAAAATAAATTTACTAACCTCCCAGGACTAAACTAACTATGAAGCAAATAAAGAATAGACAGTCTATTCACCCGGGCAGTAGAAAAGCTGAGCAAGTTACCAGAGTAAATTTGAGACTAAACAAGTTGGATAAGCAAAGGAAGGTTATGGATACAGAGAAGACCAATAAGATGTCCAGATATAACTTTATCGCTTCTCAATTAGCCTCCATTGAACCTGAACCTGAGCTCTTATCTTTGGAAGATTTACACAACCTCGTAGAACTATACATCAACAGGGATGACGATCATTACAACGAACTAAGGGCCACTAGAGAGCAAAGGGATAAATCATTGCAAAGGTCCTCTGGCAAGAGTGCCAGAGAATCTGAGTTGGAGTCGCGTAAGGAGAGAGACTTGCAGGAGTACGCGAGTGGATTTATAGTACCAGATCTAAGTGACAGCTTAACTATGAAGCTCTTCAAGCAATTCCCTTGCGCTAGAAAGCTCTCTAAGAAATCAAAAGGTAAAACACAAGCGAGTGCTATCGGCGGTATTTCTAACAACAAGAGTGATGCAAATAGTCTCACACCAGAGGAGTTAGCGGAATATGGTCTGGATTACAACTACTTGCCCCAATTGAATCTAGTTAGGATATACAAGAATGACCGTAACTTAAAAGATTTATCGCAAAAAGGCAAAAATAATTTATATAATATTTGATTTTCCATTTTATTTATTCTCTTCTACCGTCATCATCACTATTGAGTATGCCAATCAGACAGCTAGATTGTAAGTAATATATTTATTTTATACTATAATTGGTTATCTAACACCGCACAGCCTTCTTAAATGAAAGGAAGTTGATCAAGTCCGCACCTTTATCCGCTTTAAGTGATACAAGATTAGGTATAGACGTACAAACTTATCTAAACAAACTATTCTTGGATTTCTCCACAAAGGAACCTATGGTAGCTGCTATGGGTGGCCATCCATTAGCTTTAATCTCCCACATAGAATCAGATCTCCGTTTCTTAGAAAAGTCACACATAAAACCAGTTTTCATTTTCAACGGTTTACACCCATCTAAGAAACTCAAATCTCAGCACAATGATCAGAGGTCTTTTATTCGTTCAGACGCTTGGTCTGCTTATGAGCAAGGTAGAATACAAGACGCTATTAATAGTTTCGGCCAGAGACAAAACCTCTTTCAGCCTGACTTATTGAGGCTGATACATAAACTATTCAGACAACGTCACGTTGAATTCCTTACCGCTCCATACTTATCTTGGCCCCAACTAGTATACCTACTCAGTCACCCAAAGTCTTATATACACGCTATTTTTGGCTCAACTGAACATCTACTTTACCCACAAGTTGACAAGTTAATCACTTCGCTTGATTTGCAAGGTGGTACTTTCAACTTTGTCCAAAAAAGATCTTTGTTGCAAGACATAAAGTTATCACAAGAGCAATTCTTCGACTTAGGTTTATTAGCAGGTATTGACATCTGTCCTACTTTCCCACCTGCCAGTTATAATTTTGATTTTAAGCAACTCATTGAAACAGTCAGACATGCAAAGAGTGGTTGGTTTGCTGTACAAAATTTCGTTCAATCTCAACAATCTAACGGTCATGAATCAAGCCATTACGTTGAATCTTTCCAAAAGGCTGTTATTTTGTTGAAATTCTCCTTAATTTTAGCTGCAGAGGAAGGTAGAGTTTTGCCTCTTCCTTTGGCAATTCCACCACCACCACCTCAACCTGCATTATCTTCTGCAGACATTCCATCAGATTTGGGGGATGTTTTCTCACCACGTTTGCCTGATGAAGTTTATTTCCACTTGTGTAGAGGTTTAGTTGGTCCATGGGCAATCAACACTCTCGCACAAGGTGGTTTCCAAGAGTTGCCTCCATTATGTAACGGTGAAACTCAAGATTATAAAAACTTTGTTAAAGATTACATAACTGAATCAAACTTTGGTCCAAGGGCTGTTGCTATTGCATTGATTGCATCCACTTTACATCCTTTCTGGCGGAATAGACAAGTACATGCTCATTATTACTTCCATTCGCACTCTACACTTGTTCCACATAACTCATCAACCACCACTGACCTTATAAAAAGAATCGACCATTGGAACGTACCTGCCAACGTAATTGAAGATGAATTGAGAAGACAAAATGTGAGTAATCTTTCTTGTAATGACAACAGCTAACCTTTTAGTCATCCACCATCGACTTTGCCTTATGTCTTGGTGCTACAAGCATCGATAAATCAGCTGAAAGAACTATCACAGCGAAGAATACCAATGGACCAGTTTTGCATAAGAAGGATGAAATCGTCGCAAATACAATTTGGAGATTCTTGGAATTGAGATCACTTCTCACACCTCAGCACACTCATACACCATTTGGACGTGCTATGCACAACGCCCTTACGGTTTCTAGACTGAACGATAAATTCCAAGAACCACTACTTATTCTCGTTGAGCTTCTGCGTGCGAAAGTTCTCCATGATCGTCACTTCTCAAATCGTCAATTCTCAGGCGGGCCTTCATTTGGTACTGAAGAAGAAAAGAAGAGCATGCTTTTAATTATACGTACGCTATCGATCGTACCATTACAATTCAAGGTGAGTAGTATTATGATTGTTTTGTTAAAACTCCAGTTAACAAAATTATAGCCGGAACAATGGTCAGGACCATTATCAAAGGAGTTGCTTGTCTTTAACTCATTCCAAAAAACACTTTCAAGATCATTAAGAACGTTGGTAGAATCAATCTCTATGAACGCATTCCTCAAAAACAACGCAAGGCGAGCACGTGAGGACTACCTTGACATCGCGTTATCATTACCTTTCCAAAACGACATCAATACTGGATTCGGTATCTTTTTCAAGATCTACTTGGATGCATTGACGACATTTGCAGAAGGTAGTATCACAGAAGAAAATAAGGATAGTGAGAATGTGAAAGAAGCAAAGCAATCTGCCAAGGAAATACTCGGTGAAGCAATACCCAACGTCAGAGATGCAGAAGCAGAACTCATGCGTGGATTTAGATTCTGGGATGCTGTGAGTAGTTTTTTGTCTTTATACGACAGACTAATGTTTTTTAGGTACTCGTCTGCGTTCGTACACTCAAAGCAGATAAAGCCATTGATCTCAAGCTGGCTGAATCATTCGAAGCAGCTAATAGCTACATCAACATGATGAGACCATAATTTTTTGTATATCATCGACATTTGCAATATGCATGCAGCCTTTTTGAATGTGGAAATTGAATTTATATTAGAAATGTCTAGTTTTCTTTTGATTTAGCTTCAAGGAACTTCTCGAGGTCAAATGATGGGTTCTCTGGGTCTGTGATCACTTTAAAAGAGTTAAAAATATAGTTTTATACCTTATAGTCACTCACATCCGTTGCTACTCTTAGATTGTGATGCGGTCTTTTCATCCCAAGCCTTACGTGCCTTCTCAATGAGTTCTTGGTGATGCTTTTCAGCTTGGTGTTCTTCCTCCTTCGCTTGTATATTCTTTACTGAGCGCAAGTGTACGGCACCGTATAGAACACCCGTGGCAAGTGCAGACCAGCGAACGACCTTTGGCTTTATTAAAAAATTCTCTTTATGAATTAATAGCTGCTCACATTTTGTGTGACGGATGCCATTATTAGTTAGTCGTTGATCGTTTGAGTTAGGAAACATCGGTTTCTGAATAAATGCATAAAAAGAATAAATTTATAAAAAGTTGTAAAAATAATTTAATTCGTCGTTTGATTACTCTCTCTAAAGATGACGGCTTTGAAACTGTGTGTCTTGTGTTAGTTAGGCGTATCGTTCTGATTTCACTTACAATTCATAGGATAACCAACAGAGCGCGTTTGATGGCATGTGTGTAAGCATACGTGGTGCCCATCCTCTAAAGAATCCTTTCGTACCATTACGCTCATAAACAATTGAGCAGGCATCCAGTATACCACTAGCATTCCTCAAGCGAAGATCTTCAACTGGGGCATTACCACGCGTTTGTAATACTGTTTTCGCGACATCTAATGGTGTCGTTATTAACGCGGCGACTGCTCCTGCTGCTGCACCGGAGACACCATGAGATATTGGTGAATAGTTGTTTTCTGGGTTGAGTATCTTTTTAGTTGATTCATATGTAGAGAATTGTACGGCTGTGAATGGTACGGTCATCATTCTAAGACGCTGTTAGTGAATGTTACGAAATTTTCATCTTCACTACATACAATGTAGTAGGGTAAGATACGTAGAAGGCCGACAATCCTTCTGTTTTCATCAGCGTTCTTGCGCAAGAACGTACTGTCTTGAACTTTGAGTCCTCAACTTGCATTCTTTGTTTGATAACTGTGGGAGATAAGCGGGAATCCCAACCGATACTAAGTGTACTCACCATCAAATGGATTCATGAGAGCATCTGCAGCTATGGTAGCTGATGCACCTGCGAGTGCTATACTTTGTTAGCTTAGTAAGAAGCTCACTGTGTACCTTACCAGTCGGCAATACCTGATGGCCTTCTCTGTTACCACCCGAAAGCTCTTTCATGGCTTCATATACACCAAAATATACTGCATGGGCTGGTCCAGCTCCTATTACAACTGAACTCACACCTCTCCACAACGATCTCAATCCATGAGTAGAAGAAACCCTCTCTATTGCAGAATTCAAACTAGAGTATGCAACAGATGATGCAGATGTTGGAGCCGTCTGTAAAACTTGCATACGAGTCTTATGAACGCTTTGAGCACTTTCGGATCTAGTCGCATCGGAGAACTCACTTTTATACTGTCGATTGGATACATGAACGCGTGCTCAGATATACCAGCGAGCGCACCAGCGAATGCGTGCACACCCCAAGATGCAGTATCTGGCAATGCTTCATAATCTGGCTCCTCGATGACAGGGATGGCTTCCTCGGGCTATTAATTTTGATTAGATATGCTGTTAAGTTATAAATTCTTTCTAACATCTGCAATTGGCATTCCTTTTTTTTCTGCCGGTGTAAGCTAAAGAGAAGACAGCCCTGAAGATGCTTGTCTAGAAAATAAATTTACAAAATAAGCGTTAGAATTTATTATTAAAAGTGTGCGGATGCTGTATTATTTCGAGTTACCAGATTAGATCCCTTATATTGCCACAATGACCATCGCTGCTGTTGCTCAAATATGTAGCCGTCAGAACGTCAAAGATAATGCTCTGAAGTGCGTATCTTTAATAAAAAGAGCTGCAGATAATGGCGCTAAGGTAGGTAATTCCCTATTCACCTCATCCTTCTCACAATTTAGGCAATATTCCTTCCAGAAGCTAGTGACTTCATCGCCCAGGGGGATCTCTATAAGACACTATCTGAACCACTATCTACGTCATCTTTCTTAAACGATATACGTGCAGCTGCCATAAGTTCACGCATTTGGGTCTCACTAGGTTTACATGAGGGTGGTGCATCTGACGATCGCTGTTTTAATACTCAGGTGATGATTGACGATAAGGGTGACATTCTTTCTAGCTACAGGAAGGTTGGTATTCTCCATCCTGAGGTTTACTATTGATTTCCAACAGACACATCTCTTCGATGTAAAAGATGTCGGACCGGGAAACAAACCCGTACTAGAAAGCATGTCTACCGAGCCTGGAAAGCATATAGAGGAACCTATACAGACTCCCGTCGGAATGCGTAGGTATTCCCGTATTGTCTTATAGCGGTGTCTAATTTTTCACAGTCGGGATGTTAACTTGCTATGATATAAGGTAGGATAAATATTGCCTCATTTATCATCTAATCTTTTTTAGATTTCCAGAAGTCAGCCTGATGTTGAGAAGTCGTGGCGCACAGGTGCTCACTTACCCAAGCAGCTTCACTGTAAAGACTGTGAGTTACCATTAAGTGCGGAACTTTCTGCTTACTTCTACAAAGGGAAAAGCTCACTGGGGTTCGTCGTTCTTAATGTTCGGTTTGACACTCACGATGCATAGAAACTCTCTTACGTGCACGCGCTATTGAGACACAATGTTATGTCATCGCAGCTGCACAAGCGTAGGTAGTTAGTTTTTGACTATGCTTCCTACTTATAGCTCTTTAGAGGCGTTCATACCACGGCTGGTCGCACATCATATGGTAGATCAATGGTGGTCAGCCCGTGGGGTGAAATAGTGACGCAGTTGAGCACATACGATAACATTCCATCTCCATTCGAGAAAGAGCAGGATATGCCGGACACATCCTCCGAAATTGCGTACTTTGATATTGACTTGGATTATTTGAACAACGTGCGCGCTTCTATGCCTCTCTGGCAGCAACGTAGACAAGATGTATATGATTAGGCATACAAGCTAAGATACTACTGACCTTGTTGTGTTACTTTGCCAGTATCCTACGCAGTTTTAATCGGCCGAAATTTTTACTTTCATATACCTTAACAGATTTACTTGCACTTTCGTTCTTTTGTTACTCGATTAGTATCGACCCCCTAGCGTGTTTAAGACCTATGGGTGCAAAAATACATGTCATCCGCGGCGTTCCACGCTTATTCGGTCAACCAAATGCGAATACCCGCAATACCCTAATATACCACACATGACCGTTTGAGGCTCCTGCTGCTGTTAAGCACGCTTTCTCCAGTCTATTCAAGGTGAAACCTCCAGTTTTCATAGTTTTAAAATTCGAAAAGCTGGAATCGGTGCAAAACTGCTTACTGGATCCTGAAACTTTAATGAAAGTGTCCTAAGTTCATAGACGATCACCGTTTGTCTTAACAACTGATGAGGTAGCAGTATTAGTATGGTATTATTGTTTCAAGTCAACTTTTCATATCTTCTGAGATAGCCTTTAAAGGGCATGATTTCTGTATTGTCACAGGCCAAATAATTTTCCATTGCAGACATCTCCATAAATCAAACTTTCCGATTACAACACGTAAATGAACAAATTTCTTCAAGAAGGGAAAAAGAGAGAAAGCAATTGAAGGATTTACTGCCTTACATTGATTTGAGCACTGTTTGGAGAACATTACAAGGTTATCATACATTCATACATATAGCGCATGTAGACACTTATGCCTAGAACTTAACGAAGATCAAGAGAAAAATGTTAATCTCGTCCACAAATCTGATAATCACGCTTATTTAATGATCAAAACCAGCATTTGAATTAATGAGACGTAAGCATTCCTATATTCTTGATAATCCGACAGCGATCCCTCCTATGTCCCTTACTAATCGAACAAGGTGATTTTTTATGTACCGGTGGACGAGACTAATTCATCAATCTGAGACAAAGCCTCAACAACTTCTAACAATCAGGATATTGTAGAAGCCACTCTCAAATGTTCAATATAATTCAACCTTGGAAGATCCGGATGCTAGCATAAACTGGATTGATACCCAGGTCTTCGAGTCCGCAAGTTTCACCTTAACACTAAAATCACGACAAGCTAACACAAGAGGTACAGTACAATCCTGGGCTAGAAATAGACACTTAGTGGAATTTTTCATGACATCAACAATAAAATCGTGCACAATTTTTCAGTTATTAAAGTTGAGTTAGACCTCAACTCGATAAAGTCACTGGTGGTACGTCCTCCAAATTAAAAAATTTCAGTAAGGTCCAGCTAAAAAATTGGTAAGCTCTACGATTGAAAAGTAGACTTTACATCCTAATGACCATCACACTTTTTGTAGTAATATTCAGTTATGACTCAATTATTATCTTCATATATGGATGCGCTAGTCGTTATTGTGGGCGCAAAACCTAGTATTTCTTCCTCTGAATTAGGTGATGTATTCAAAGGATTAGCTTCCAGCCTGTTAAAATCAATATCGGGTTACTTCTTTCTAAAATTATTAACTCATATGGTTATTAAGTTGTCTCAGTACAAGATAGATGAAATTGATAGAGCCGACAACAAAGTAGTGGAAAATGAAGACAACCGAAATCTCGCTCATATTCAACCAGGCTATAAGAGGAAGCTACTTTCTGACTTCTTTTGTTGTTTAGTAGTAGTTGTGATATCTTATCTGATTAGTTTGATATTGGAATATGTAGGCACAAAGTAGTGTTAATAGATAGATCGGATAGATTTTTTGTATTTTGGACTCTGTAAGGGGTTTGTGAACGAACATAATGATATGAGTTTTTATCTCAAAGATAATGAGATGATTGCGAGGGTTTAGGTGCGAGACATACCTTGAAGTATCTTCACTATCAGAAGTATTGTTGGGGTGCTTTCGTTATGGACAATCGCTAAAGCATTAGTTTTCGATGTCGGACGTCATACTGTCATAGTTCCCTAGTTCTAATGTTTTTTTAGCACAACGAAGTGGGTTATGCGACTTCCATCCTGGCAAATAACTGACACAATATTTTCAGCACCTGTCATCGTATTTCAACAAAAGCGTGATGAAGATGAAATTGAAATATATTGTTATGATACAAAGTTTGACTGGATCCGCGAGATAGGAGGCAGCGATATATCGAATTTACCATCATCTAGATTGTATTTTATGGTGACAGCGGAAGTCCTTCAAAAACGTAGAAGGAAAACAAGTTGAATAAACCTAAGATTAACAAGATTATACAAGCCCATTCTAAAGCTTTAACTTGACTAGAGAACTTCTCGGTGTATAAGTAAGTTGCAGTTATTAAAGTGCATATGGTAGCTAGAACGTTTAACATAATATGCTTCTTGCTAGTATAAAGTGCAACAAATAACAAAAAAATGAGACTTTTAATTAAAATGAAAAAAAATGAAACGTAAAATAAAATTAGGGTAATAAGGAATGGGATGTTATAAAATGCATCTTTTCTGTAGCTAATATACCTCCCTCGTGAAGATTCGATTCCTTAACCATGTAGCTCTGATAGGAACAAGTAAAATTCGGAAAGATGATAGAATCTGAATATATTATTCAGAATTCAAAGTTTAACTGTGTCCATCAATAGTTTTTCCAGTATGTGTATTTGAATGGTGCATCGTAATTTACGCATTGACTTCACATCTATAGGGCAACCTCACCCTAAATCTGCAATAGGAGGTTGCCCTGCATCTCACTTACCCTCAATAGAGGCACACACTAAGAATATAGACTATATATGCGATTATTATCAAAGTTTTAATATGTCGCACCGTGCGCCTTACATATATCCATAGTTATTCATACTAAACACAGGAATAAGTAATAAGAAAGAAGTGCCCACTTTCAGCAAGCTAGTTCTATTCTTGATCAGTGTCTTGGAGATTCAAATGTTAACTGAAACATATTTATAATGTCTTATAAATGTTCAGTATCTTTAATGTATGTTTTTGTATGCTTTATCTATTTTGTTATTTGAATATGAAGATTTTGAAAGCTTTCGTAGAATAACGAAAACATAAAAGAAGGTAATTCTAGCAATTGAACAGGGTATAATTCTACTGTCGGACAGTACTAAAACTTGAATGAACCAAAATAGCTCCAATCTAACCTATGGTAAAACATAGTAAGAGAATAAGTTGAACCAAGATAAGATAATAACATTGATATATATCCATTCCAGTAGTTTTCTTTTATTTGTTAATTTTTCGCTATAAGCGTATGTGGAGTAGATAAATGTAAGTAAGATGGGTAACAAAGTGGACATAAATTTGTCTGGATATGAATGGTTTCCTTGACTGTGATTGTATTACTTCAAGAGTAAACATGCTTTGAGATTTTTTCATAGTGCATATGCATATATTAATTTTGATTTTGAAATGTGATTACATTAGAAGCATGAATAAATCTCTTGAACATTATTGTAGTATTTCAGAAGATAATTTTCAGTTCTCATTTTGCTTCTCATTATTGTTCGATTGTTTTTTAACACAGCTTAGTTCCTGATTACACTGTTGATTCGGAGTCTGACAATTAATTGACGCATTATTTCAGTACATTCATTGTGTTCCAACTCTACTGCTAGTACTTATACTGCAAGTCATTCATTTTTGACATAGCCTCCATTACATAGTAGATATATTAGTGCCAATTCTTTTGCAAAATAAGCTTAACTGATTACCGTTAAATGCTTAGTCAATGTATCTGGCAAATGATCTTGAGTGTCAATATCCTTTTCTTCAATTTCTTTTTTTCATGTGTCCCCTTGCTCTCATAATGTTACATCATGTGTTTGAGGCCAGTTTTAGATCCTGATTTAGATTGAGAACTTTAGCTAAGGAGGCTATACCGTCAGATTTGGCTAGAATTGATAACTACACGATTTGTTATTGATCTTTAATTAAATTAGTAAGTTTGGTCAGACACGCCAGAACTACGTTATCTTCTTTAATTGTGCATTGGTTCTATAAAATGAAAGGAGTCTATATATGATGATTCTTAGTACGATACTTGTTAATCTCTTATATATACTTTCCATTATCTCACTGACCGTGTTTCTTTTCCTTTGTTCTTTTCATGGTATTTATGCGATATATTGACAGCGCCTGTCCGATGTCTTGGGCCTATGAGATACATCCGAGTTTCACTCTTACTTGACTCTGTACGTTCAGTCCCAGTACATTAATTCCAAAATTGTATTAGAGGCTAAATATCTTGTCGTTAATTGGTCTAAGCTGCTTCCTCTTGCAGTAAGAGTTAAGTTTCTAGTTGAGAATTAGCCATCGCATTGCGAGAGTTGACCATTTCTTGAGGGAGCTATCCATATTCTCTCTTTTCGATGATTTGGCATATTGCTTGGGGGATCAGCTTGAAGAACAACAATAGGTCAAAACTGTGCGTTCCATAATCTTCACTAAGGGCTCTACGCCTTTCATTTAAGTCAGTACTAAGTTTAAGATCTTGTAACCTTTCGTGTTTTCACGCATCACGGCATCATTGAGCTTCTACATCATTGAAATTGAAACATATATCCGTCAGAATGTTCTCACCCTTAAATTTAGCGCTTGCGAATTCACGAGAAGAAATTTTACGCACATCCAAAAAAGGTGAAGATTTTAGATGATGATGATTCGTCTAAGAGTCTCGCCACATTGCTAATTTTAGCGAGGATCAAGGAAAGGTCTTAATTATGCAAATTTAAATCTCCCAGTTGCTATAAGGCAGGATGGCCGAGCGGTCTAAGGCGCTAGACTAAGGATCTAGTCCGAAAGGGCGTGGGTTCGAATCCCACTCCTGTCACATCTTTTTGCTCTCCCCTAATGAGTATTTTGAAGAAATATTCGATAAAAAATGTAGTTAGAGACACTGAGTGATTTTTTGGTGTTTATTATGTTCATGATTGTAGACTATGTTAACTATATATGATTTAACAAGCAAGTATCACTTTGAAATCCATGTAGAAACAGAAAACTTTAACATAGGTGGGCTTGCAAAGTTCATGTTGATAATAAAGTATGTATGTATCTACTTTATCTCGTGATTGAGTACATTCGGTTTTGGGACAGTAAATAGCAGCAAAGCTGGTTAGTAACTAGGTAGCTTTGGAAATTAAGCCGAAGATAATAAACATCATTTTATTTATTTTGTACTAAAGTTAACATTCAAATGGACAGTTCTCTGATGAAGAATGAATTATAATTTTTAGAACAATAGGTTACTTAAGAGATATCGACGGTTGTCAACACGATGTCTTAATCATACGTCAATCAATGAGCTCTTTAAGAGCTTAGAGTGTACTTCAGAATGAAAAGTGTTTTGTATGTCCTAATACATTTTCCCAATGAAAAGCATTCACCATCTTTGGACGTATCTTTGTAGGTTGAAATGCAGTGATACGATTCCTTTTATCAATTTATAAGTTATGTTGAAATTAGTGCGCGTATTGGTAGCTTCCTGCTATGAAACCCGTACACATAATGTGCTTCGGTACTGAGACCTCGCATTACTTGATAAAAGACATCTTTTATCTCCACATATGACAATCCTTTATTGCGATAGCTTGTCTAACTTGTAATATCTCCATTGAGCGTTGCTCTCGATCAAGCAATCAATTATTCGATCTATTATGGACAAATTATGCACTGTGAAAGTATATATTGATTAAGTTAGCTATTTCTCTATTTATAAAAAAAAGTACAACAACATAAGGCAAGAATAATAAACATTTAAACGTTGCATGTTAGTTTGAAAGCATGATCGAATAAGCCATACGGCTTATGAGACCTGGCATATCTCTCAACGACTACCATATCTTCACCACGTAAGGAATTTTGTGAAGCAAGGCGAACATCCTTGTGAAGTCTGATAATTTGTGATAATTTACCAGTCCTCTTGTCACGAATTTCGATGAAAGTTTCGCAAAATAGCAACAATAGGTTGCCCTCTATCGCAGCATTGTTAACAGTTCCGTTCCACCTAAGTACATTAGCACTCTTGAGTGGAACACCCTTTTCATTAACATATAAACCAAGTGTATCAAAGATCATGATGTACTCTCCACTCTTGACTGTGAAAAGTTCAATAGGTTTGAGCTTCCCTCTACTAATTTGATCGGAAATGTTGGCAATATTAAGCTGGTACTGTCTCGCTTGGTGTCTGTCTTTGAACACCTGATAATTGTGTCCATGTAATCTTGGTAATGTCAACATTCTGTTACTATTTGTAGGATCCAAGACACGCAAGACACCTTCGTCAATCACTGCAACATGCTTGCTGCTTGGGAATGGGAACAAGACGGTTGCTATTCCTGTAGTTTGTAAACTAAGCGCTGGCATAACCTCTCTAATCCAAACTTCTCGTTTCGGTTTCTTAACTCTATTTACGTCTTGATATGCCTGTAAACGTGCGTTGACCGGCAACGGTTCGAAAAATTGAGCAGTCGATTTGTGTAGCACCTTATGAGACACGTAGGTAATTATCGCACTCTTTCCTATCGTACTTCCCACTTTGTAATAGGTAACTTTCTCGCTAGAACTGCACAATCTTATTCTTCCAAATTTCCGCTTAGGGCCGCGTGAACTTGTTGGACAGATTTCCTCGAGGTCATATCCATATAGTTGTCCTTCAACAAGCAAAATCATAAGACTATATTGCGAGAGCACAGTGACACCTTCAACACCCTTCAAACCTATAACTTTCCTGTAACTTTCCTTATCATCTTCATATCCAATGTAAACACCAGAAGATGTCGCAAGTGAAACATAGTTTCTAGAACCCCACTTGAACATACTAGCAGAATTGATGCGGTTAGAGCCTGATTTCTCGTACTTGTCCGCTTGACTTAATACGCTCTGTTGGAAGATAGAGTTTGTTAATGTTTTCGAGACGATCAGCTTGTTGGCCTCAATGAAAGTTCTTCTGATAGCAATAGCTTCGCTAATCTGTATACTATATGAGATGTATCGTAATGATCATTGATCTTTCTCACCTTGAACTTCCAAGTGTCTCTTTCACTTGCTGTAGATGCATATAGTTTGTACTCTTTGCCATTTCCTACGTGCTTGAGGACCATCCCGTGTACCTCTCTTTCTGGTTCTATATGAGTGAACAATATCCTTGATCCTGTCGACAGTTAATCAAAGTCAGGTATTAAAAACGGTACCACTTACCATCTGATCTTCGTTCATCTGAAAGCAAGCAGTTAGTACGATGCGTTGGTGATGGATTCACCTCTTCGATATGACAAAGCTCAAGTGGAATTGGTCTTGATGTGAGGCTGTACCTGATCGCATCAGTTTTCTTCTTCTGCGAAGGTTCGGTGATGAGAACATAGTTATCCATAACAAAGACCTTCTTCGCATGCCAACCATGCAAATCAGTCGCTGACCTTTCACGCTTGAAAAGTATACCATCATGTTGTAACGTGCGTATGTCATCCAATAAGTCAACATCATGTAACTCCCCTAACCTGAAATCCAACGAGGATGCCATCTCCCAGAATTTAACTTTATTGTTTGATTGCTCTATACCTGGTTGCGTAGATTTCGCAATGTCACTGATCGCACGTGCAGCGACAGGAAGATTTTCCCTATCACTGTGATCTTCAGGGGTATTGTCGAGCATTCGATTGAGGAGAAGAGGGTAACGTGGTAACCTAAACACAGGTCTTTGGAGTAATGGTATTATTGATTGACGTTGCGCCTTCGGATGTCTCGAACAAGCTTCGCAGTGGTCTGCGAATTTCTTATTATTGCGCATCTCTGCTTTTAAAGTGGCTTCTTGAATTGGCCAGTGTTTGATATAGGCTTCGTAATCGTCCTGCCATATGATACAAGCACGTAAGATCAAGTCAGCAACTGATTCTATCAATGGGTGCTCTTCATTCTGACGCTCGAAGATCCTCATCAAACCTCTCTTGTGGTTGGCTACCAAGTTACTCAGATTGAATACAGCATCTTTGACAAATTGTGCGCGTCGTTCTTCTGGTATCATGTTGCTATCCCTAATAGGAGGCACAAAAACCTCTTCCAAGAAGTGTAAATCGTTATAATACATTTTCTCAGTACGCATGAACTCGAAAAGTACGCTGGGTGGTGTCAACAAAGCTTACTTTTGGATAGTAGAACACTAACCTTTGTCTAGCAATCTCAACCTTACCGAATGCCTTCAAAGTGTCATCACTGACGAGATTATGCCATTCAGAGGTGACATCTTCCATGTCACTCTGCCATTTCTTCAAATTGTGGTTCTCTACATGCTGTCTCATTCTCTCCTTTTTGACAAAAGTGGATTCATCCTGGTTCCACGTGACATCAGAGGGTACGCCATTATGATGTTCATCGCTTGTGTTATAAGCAGTTGTATCTGGTGTATTGTAGGTCTGTCGGCTTTCACCAATTGACGAGCCAGCGCTGTGTAAATGCGACGAGACCGTACTTTGATCGTTATCATCTACACTGAATGGTTGAGATACTTCACTTTTCGACATTTCAATAGCCTGTGATAAATCCTGTTGCTCTTGTTCTTCAATTGTGAGTTGATTGAACATAGCGTCATGCTCATCGTCTGTGTGCCTGCCGTAGAATGGTTCAACACGGGACTCCATAGAGTAGACTGAGGAAGTTCTTGAATGTGATGTTGGTCTTCGTACCACACTTGCTGGGCTGAGACTTGCGTTATCGCTAGGGTAATTGTCTGAAATCATAGGAGAGATTGGCGTCACTGGTTGTGGTCTATTGCTATCCTTTTTGTTAACCCTCAATGGCTGTACATTACGCTTCAAAACTGAAGTTGTGAACTCTTCATTGATAGCACTCGTGGAGGCGTATTGATGGGGTCTTGCTGGGACGGGTGGAGGCGTAGGCTGTGGATGCCTAAATGACCTCCTGTAATTCAACCTAGATGTACTTGGGTGTATATTTGGTGTATTCGGCGTAGTGTCAGATTCTCCGTAGTATGACATCGTTTCTGAAGTATTTAAACTCTCCTCGTAGGAAGGAGGCTGTTGTACGTTGTTTGTTATTTCACTCAGCCGTCTACCATTGACTTCTGGGACTGGAAAGGCTATGAACTGATTATCCATCCTCACTGTCAGACCAATAGATGTAACACAGCATATAATCTTTAAATTTGTACAAAAATATCTACTGGACTGCTATCCACGGTGTATTTATTCTTTAATTCAACTAAATTTCCATCGACGCAGACATAATTACCAGGATTTTCCGCTTCAAATGACATAGACTTTACATGGTAGTACTCAACGACGAATTCACTATTGCTATGCTTAAGGTTGAGATGATTCCCGTTATCATAAGCAGCATACATAACATCCGTCAATACCTTGGCTGATGTCTGAGTTGCTGCGTCATAATCCTTCTTCTCAAGATGTTCCCTAACGAGAGGATCACGAGTTGGGCGGACTATAACGACCGAGAGGCCTTCCTCAGTGGTGTTGTGCGGTGCAATCACAAACTTCTCCTCTAATCTGTCGATATGGGATGCCAGAAGATAGGTAAATGGACCAGATAAGGTGATATCTTCAACTTTATCGCTAAAAGCACCCTCTGAAAACACTCTACTGGCATATAAATTCAACCTCCCTTCTGTCCATTTCGTGCATACCTCCATAAATGCAGTTTTGAAGCGTTCGATTGAGGTGTCAACACTCCTGAGTTCCTCGCTGCGATGCAGAAGAGCAGCGTGAACGGCGGTCGAGACTACGACATGAGCTGTCTTGCGTGAACTACCATCGTCCACAATAACGTCACTAAGGGCGAGCCTCTTTGCATTGTTTGACTTGCTGACGAATGAATTGAAAGATAGGAGTTTGTACTCGATACTATCCTTGTCGAGGGTAGATGATGAGTGTATAGAGTGATATAACGCATTAGCTGTGCCCGTCGGAACCAAAACTAGCGTTGTTTTTGGTGGGTTATCAAGATCACTCAATCCAGTTATGAACTCATGGGTTGTGCTATCACCTATTCAGATTAGAAAGGCTTCAAGGGAAGACAAAGCATACCTCCTAATAAAGATACTACAAGTTCACCGCCGTTTCGCGCCAACTTTGAGCTTATCTCTTGTGCGTGTCCTTCATATTCGGTGCGTAGGAGCTCATAGCTGATATTACTACTCTCTAGGGAGGGTATTATATGCTGGTGAAGATATTCTTCCGCTAGTTTACCCCCTGAGTTTGGATTGTAGATTACGATCATCGTTGGAGAGAACTATCATGTCTTCTGGTACGAAGGTGAGTGATACTGGCAGTAGAAGTGTATAAAGCTGAATACCATTACAGCTAGGACAGGATGTGTAGGTTATATCTCACTAGACCAACCACACCGCTGATATCCCCAGGAATCGCATCCTCTATATAAAGAACCTACCATATTCTATAACAGGAGAGGATCTATACGATTTATTCGGTAAATATGGCGCTATACGTCAAATTAGACTAGGAAATACCAAGGAAACGAGAGGAACTGGTAAGTTTATACAGTTGAGAAATATCAGTCTGATTAAAGCCTACAGCCTACGTCGTATACGAGATTGTTAATGATTCTAAGCAAGCATTCGATAATCTCAACGGTTTCCACTTAAACGAACGCTATATCGTCGTCATGTACCATCAACCAGAGAAGCAGGCGCAGATCGCTATGAAACAAGCGGAATTAGCTAAAAGAGAGGAAGAATTGGCTGCGTTCAAGCGGGCGAACGATATAGCTTGATCATTTTTCACTAATTTATCTATACAGCAATAAAGAGAATGCATGCATTACAAGAGCACGCGGTTGTACTATTAAAAGTTTACGTTCCTATTGATACAGATTTAAGAATTGATTGTTGCGTTAGAACAGTCCTGGATAACCGAAAGCTAAGGTAAATATACGAGATTATTATTTATTTGTGGCTCTATGTTCTCTATTTCACTAGAGAAGCGCACGAGTTACTATGGCATCGTTAGTACTGAGTGTAGCTGTAAAATCTACTCACTTTACGCGTAGATGAACGCCTGTTAGTGGTTGACTTGCCGTTTAATGGTTTAACAGCAACTGGCTTCTTTCCAGTAGACTTCTTAGCGGTTGGCTTGTTTGCTGCCTTCTCTGTAAGTTTCTTAGTCGCTGGTTTCTTGGTTGCTTTCTTGATAGCAGTTGTTGCTGGTGTTTTTTTGGCAGCTACCCTACGTGTAGTTGAAGAAGTCCTTTTCTTGCTGTCAACAGGCTTCTTAACCTCATTCACGTGCGATGTAGTGACGATCTTCCTTCCTGATGCCGTCGTTCCTGTGACGGTCTTCTTTGGTGCAACGGATTGATTTACGCGTGCGACGCGTTTAGTCTTAGGCTTAACCTTATCGTCATCAGATTCTGAGCTGTCAGATCCGGCACGCTTCTTCGGTGCAAGTTTGACTTTCCCGGTGATACCTAAGCTAGATTGTGAGTGACGACGTAAAAGAAAAGTAAGGAGACAGACCTTTAGGACAAACGAATACGTTGTTTTCGATACCCCTCTTGAGTGACTGAGATAAAAAGTGGGCTGTCATTTTAGATTCTGGGTTGATTTTGTATGCGGAGGCTAAGAACCTGAAGAGTAGGTCAGCTATGGTGGCGTGAATAGGAGTTAACGGTCCTACTTTTTAATGGTCTGACGGGAAACACCGGTTTTGTCATTCTCTTCTGCAATGCATTCCCTGGGTAATCCGTTAGTGACGTGCCTTCATGTGATATTGACGAGGGTAGGGACGAGAGTAGGGACAGTGACAGGGACAGTAGGGATTGTAAAAACGATAACTGGCGGTAACATAACAATAGTATATAGTATCATTCCTCCATAGTAAACCTCCTGTCATATATCCACAGAAAACAAAAGCATTTCTACCGCTCAAAAAAGATCAAAAACTCACTTTAGCATTTCCTCATAGCTTGGGTGATTATTTGATTGTTTTGCTGGCATTCTCAATTCTATCGACCGTGGTAGTTTTAATTAAGCGATTGCGAAACACGCGAAAGGTTATTAACAAGACATTACGAATTAGGAAGTTATTCTTATAACATTTTTTATTCGCTTAAATATATATCGTTCTATGTATACTAATAATTCGCACTCTAAACTGCACCAGGCTACTCCCCATGTATCGATGTTTTAAAAATTTTCGCACGCCAAATCTCAAAGAAGAGCACTGAAAAAGGCTAGAAATATATATATAAATTGCTTTTAATAAACAAATGAAATGAGGCAAATATAAGAAAATCGTATATTGTTCTTCTTTGTAAAATTTATAGTATGCACTTGTTGAAAAATGAGGAAAACAATATGAAATAATCATCTGTCTATCTTCCATAATCTCGTCCGTTGTATGCTGCAGGGTCGACCCAGTGAGTAGGCGCGCCTTGATTTGGTGGTGGTTGCTGAGGCGGCGGGTAGAAAGGTTGGCCAGTGAAAGCAGCTGGAGGCTGATTCACTGGTGAGTAGCCACCTGGCATATTAGGCGAGCCCCTAGCGAAAAGCTTGTTCCTTCTTGATTTCGCAGGTAATGGCGGTGCAGCAAGGTATGCTGGTCTTCTCCGACGGAAGCAGCCACCGAAGATGCACCTGAAAATACCATATAGAACGAGTATTATGACGATAGCAATAATGATCGTTACAGGTATGGCGATCTGTAAATTCTGTCTGTACCAATTTTGGAATGTGTCCTGCCAGCTTCCTGTTTTACAATCGCCCTCTGAGTAGATTGTTAGATCCCAAATAAGAGAAAGTTTTCACCCACTCTCACAAGTACCCCCGTATCCACATTGAGAACCATCCCTGAGTGGAGTCTGGAGACGCACACAGCCGCTTCCTTGAGGACTGTTGCAGGTAACAAGACATGTGTCATCACCACCCATATCACATGCGCTTGTGAGACCCATAGACGCGCCAGCGGATTTACATTGATCATCTTCGGAAGTACATAATCCAGTTGCGCACTTTCTGCCACCACCACAATCAGAGCCTACAAAGTGTAAACTAGAGTCATCATGAACTAGATTACCTACCATTATCTTTGAATTTGTCTTCTGGACAGGCACCCGAGTCACCTGTGCATTTCTCCTCGTAGTCACAGGTACTGTCTATCGAAGGACGACATACTTGGCTACTTGGTGCATATTGGCAATTGTCATCGCAACACGCTTCTGTGCTAGTGTCGCACACTGCGCCGTCTTTGAATTTACAGTCAGATGTGCAACATTTGGTATCACCACCGCCGTCGCACTCCTCGTCATCTTCGACAACACCATTACCGCATTGTTGTAGACTTATAATAGGTTTATCAGAATTTGAAGGATTGACTAGACAAGATGTACTAGTCGATCCGCTACCCATCGCTGAGCAGATGTTGCCTACTGTACAATCACTAAACTTAGTTGCACTATCAGAAGATGTTGCCGACATAATATATTGATTGTCAGCATCGCAGGTATCTCTGTTCAATGGACAGCAGGATTGTTGGAGGCTACATCCATCTTCACAATCGTGGATTGCACCAACTAAGACCTGTTAGTTTATCAAATACACACCTGATTTTACTCACAATTATGTCCTATCTCGTGTGCTGCCACTGCCCACTGGTTTCTAGTTATAGCTGTGACTGCGGTACCTGAGACTGACTGCGACCCCTGCGACCCCTGCGACTTTGCTTGTTGCTGGCAAAGTGTGCTTATCCATGCGACACCAACTTCACTTCCAGTGTTACATTTAGTCTGGATGTTCGTTAAAAACGTTGCTGCTTTGAAGACTGGTACTCACCATTAAATGCCACAATCCTGCACCATCGTCGCCTTTCTGTCCTCTCCAGGCAGAGAACATTGAAAGGCGATCATTTAAACTAACTGAATCGCTACAGTCTTGATTCCATTCGACACTCTGATCAGGTGTGCTTGGGCAACTTGGTTCTTGCACGTTAAGCTCTATAACACCGAGTGAAATCCTAAAGGTATCCTTATAAAGACCAGAAATCTGGTTTACATCTCTCAATATCTGCGTACGAGCATTCTCTTGGGAGTCATAATTTTGTACGTAGGTACAATCAGCAGCGAAACCCATATAAACAAGTCTTTGTTCGGTTGGACAACCATCTGTGGATCCAATACTGTCGACAAGATTAGACGCTGTTTCATCGTTACCCCCGCTAACGTCACCCGTTCCTTGTCTCCTCAGACGTTGACGGTCCTTCGCTTGAGTAATTGCGCGATCGAGAGTGTGATCATCAAGTGGTGCGAAACGAACGAAAGGTTTACTGCGAGTAGACTTTCCAAAGAGGCCTTCAAACCAGTTCATAAGTGGTGAAGACCAGACATGTTTGTTATCGAGAAGAGTGAATGGTGGTAATTGAGTATCATCGGGTTGGATGTCTAATGAGGGATAATGTGTACTATCAGTTGCACAAGAAGATACTAAAGTGCTATTTGTGCGTTCGATGGTGTCACTTTCTTTAAAGATAATGAGTCTTGAGGGGTGATATGACGGGGAGGGATCCTCGTCAGCCATGGTAGCCAAATAAGATGACGGCGTTTTAATATGATACAATTCACCGTCGTAAGTGAAAGAACCTTCAAATTGAGGGGACTGATTATTCTCTACGCCATCATCGTGTATCATAATGTTTGCTTTACCGCGAACGCTGAAGGGTGGTTAAATAGACTGACTGGTGGAGTGTACAAATAACCCACAGATGATTATCTTGGAATAAATCATTGAATTCGTCGTTTCTGATAAGTCTAGCCGCGTCTTGGGCTAAACGCGTATCAGAATGGTGATTCGCGACGGTAAAACCGTGAAACATTCTGTAATTTTCCTTCAACAACGGTTCAGAGTGTGATATTTTACCATTATTAAAGTAATTTATGCGTCCTTCGGGGTGAAATAAGTCGATATTCGGATGTAAATGTAAATTGAAGAGTTTATCGTCTAACTTGAAGGATATACGTAAATTATCATCGTGTTTCACAGCAGGAGAGGTATCTAAACCCCTTTTTGTGAACTCTGGCCAAGTGTGGGGATCTCTAGGAAGCACGTCTATCGAGACGTCCTCCGGATGGGATAGCTTTGTGATGGGAGATGGTTTATGCGAGTGTGCCAATAGGCATTGTGTTATAAATGCTAACAGAAGAATAAAAAATGTCCTCATCGCATTTGAGTCTTGGTTGAATGACGACAAGCGCATTCTTGGCTATTTACGGCGATGAATAAGGTGCCCGAAAATCCGTTCATTGACGACGAGGCACAGAATCCTTTCATCAACGACGACGATGACTTAGAGACGCCTACTCAGACGAACTCATTTACATACCCCACCGCTGGTACTGCTACCACGGCTAACGTTACACAGCGAGAGGAGGATCTAGAGAGGAGGGAAATGGATATACAGCTACGAGAGAGTCGTATAAAGCAGTTCGGTAGAAATAACTGGCCATCTTTCTACCCGCTCATTTATTTGGACATAAAGGAGGAAATCCCTGCTGAACATCGCTCTACTACCTTACTAGCCTACAGGTTGTGGCTATTTCTAGTCGCTGTATTTGCCATCAATTGGGTGGCATGTCTTTTGCTACTCATTCAGGGCGACGGCTTCGAGAGTCTGGCAGCTGCTAGCGGCTACCTGTTGATCATCCCATTATCATTCCTCTTATGGTTTAGACCACTCTACAATGCTCTCATGAAGGGTCACGCCTTCTATTACCTCGTTTACCTCTTCTTCGCGGGATGTCACATCGTTTTTTCTGTCGTAAGGGACAACTTTCATGTTATAGACCGCTCTTACGATTACGCAGTATGTATTTATTGGTATACCTTCCACTGGCGGCGCTGGTCTCATCAATACCATACGCGCGTTCACTTCTGGTAAGATCGCTGCAGGTGTTCTTTGTGCTGTCAGCACAGTGGGATGGGCTATACAGGGACTCGGTTTCGCCTGGATTTATCTCCAAATATACAAGTTATATAAGCGCAAGGGGTTGACTATCGATGCTGCAAAATCTGAAGTCACGGCGCATGGTTTCAGAGCGTATTTCTCAGTTTGTTCGGCGCTTTTGATGATGAATTCAAGCTAACACACCCTCAGCGCAGTTCTAATATTTAAAAGATATCAATGTTAATTGTACACGTAGTTAAGAAATGCAAGTGATTAGAATTACTCAATTATCCTCCAGTTGTACTTGTTAGCACCTCTGATGAGCTCGTCCTCTTTCTTGGTTACATCCTTTCCTGCGTTGCGTTAGCCAAGGAAGAAGACATAGAGTGTACCCGCCTTTCCAAGTTAATCTGCCATATACCGAGCCATGACCGCCTGCACGGAGTTTGTACCTAGTGATAGTCCAGAAAGTATCCTGGTCTGATACGCCTTTCCATCTAGATTGTGCGACTCGCATGTTGGTATCTAACTTTGGTAGTTTTGAGATAACCAAAGGTAATTTATGTCCGCTCGATGATTTTAAAGTGTTTATTGGCGATTGCTTAGCGAATTCAATAAATTTCTTTGGTAGAGCCATCGTTGTAGTTTATGAAGAAGCTTCTTTTTTCGCATCGACGATGAGGCAAATTATTCCAAGGAGCGTCCTCACTAGATTTCCTAAGGTGCATCTAGCCGTAGAGCGTAAATCTAGACATAGCGTTTTTTCAAACCGTGTATTCAGTCCTGGCCAGTTCGTACATCCAGCTGATAGAGTCAAGTACTGGAATATCGTACCAAAGGATACCGTCAGAATACTCAAAGGGCGTCAAGATATTAAGAAGGATAGTGACGGTAACGACGTTATTACCCCCGTTCTCCAGGTCGACCAGTTTAAGAATAGAGTCTTTCCTGAATCCGGTTTGAAAGTGGGTCTTTATCATCGATTTTAACGACTCTCTTACAGTTCATTAGCAAAAGAGAAGTGTGCCTTTGTCCGCTAGCAATCCGGATATCAGATTCCAATCAAAGGTCAAACCAGTTCACTATTCAAATGTGCAACTATTCTTGGGAAATTTACCTCCAAAGAATGACCCAAATGGTGAAAAGCTACCGTCAGTTCCTCCTTTCTAGCTTATATCATTACTCACTTTGATACAGTACATACGCTGTCTCTTTGAGACGTTCAAAGGCCATTGTTAGATCAAAAGTTAGATTAGATGGTACTAGAACACAGCATAGATTGGTTTGGAAGAGATTTGCTACAAAGATCAGCCCACCAGACCGTGAATTCGACCTCAGCAAACCAATTCCATGGCCAACTTATGAAAAAATCCAACGCAAAGATTACACAGATAAAGAAACACCAGAGAATGTTCTCAACAGGGTTACATTCAATCCATCACCACTCACAAAATCAACCAGTCGCACAAGCTACGATTACATCCTTGGTAAGAAAGAAGCAGGTCCAATTGAGCTCGCAATCGCCCATGAACTTGCTAATCCACACTCTAAACACAAGAGAGCTCAACGTTATGCTGAAAGGCAACGCAAATGGGCATACAGATTGCAGGAACTTGAAAAATCTGAAAAATCTTCAGGTGTATGGACCACAGCTGCACAGGCACAAAATGAAGCCCGTAGATTGTGGACTATTGAGAGAGCAGTTGCTAGAGCTGAACAAAAACTCGTTGATAGCCAGGGTACACCTGAAAAGAGGGAAAATAAGAGAGTACTGAGAGAAGCTAAGAAGGCAGCCAAGGAAGCGAGAAGAAGTGCGCTCCTCAGCAACCTCGTCCTCAACAAAGACGGAAAGATTGTACATAAGCGTGACTTGTAGATATTTTCATAGATTGATTCATTTTACTTATTTTGGTAGGCAACGTGACATCTTACAATAGTTGTAGACTTGTGTGTTGACGACAGCTTGTAAACGATGTGGATGTTTTGGTCAGTTTATCAACATGCATATATACCGATTGTTACACTCCTTTACTGAACTCACTAATGAAGAGAGAAGCCGAACAAAAGGAGCTGATAGACACAAAAAAGCCAAAAAGGGACCTCCTCCTTGAGGAGATAACTAAGCCTGCTTTTGTTGACAACTATAAACTTGAGGATATGCGTGGTGGCGATTTCTTCTACATGAATGAGTTTCTCAAGCAAAACGAAGCGAACGAGTTGTACAATCAAGCGTTAGAGTTGGAATGTAAGTCTAAAACCACATACGCCGTACAAACGCGTACAAACTCATTTATTACAGTCTATCGACCCACTTTAAAGATATACGGGAAAGACGTCATTCAATCTCGTCAAGTTGCTGTCTATGCGATAGAAGAAAAGCGTGCACATATGAAATACAGCAATCATGATGCTAAAGTGAATCATCCATTTCCTCAGCTCGTCAACCAAATCGCCGGGCGATTGAAAGAAGTCAGTGAGTTTGTGTCCTATCAATGGGACAGCTACTTATACCCTACAGCTGGTGTAGACTTTACACACTGTATGCTAAACTATTACCAAGATGGCAGTGTCTATATTGGCAAACACAATGATAATTTTAACAATCAAGTCATAGCAACTGTCAGTCTAGGTGCTGAGAGAACGATACATCTCTCACCGCAGACGACGAAAGCTGCACTCAAGGTATACCCAGAGACAGATGTTCCAGGACGGGAGAAGAGCACTCTCAAGCTCACAAACGGGAGTTTATTTGGTGAGTGAAAACAATTGTCCGTTTTAATTATATCAGAATGCTTATAATGTACACGTTTAGTCATGCAAGGATCTACACAGCGTTATTGGAAGCATGAAATCAAGAAAGAACCAAAGGTTAAAACCGGTCGGATTAGCTTGACCTATAGACAGATCGTTGATTGAGATATTCACTCTGATCTTTCGTCTATCGTTTCTTCTCTGAAAATAGGCGTACGGGATGACCTCCTCTTTGCGCAGTATATTGACAAAGCTAATGCGATCACACATGCCATTGTAGTTAAATGTAATGAAGAAATATAGCAAGCGCGTCCTTCGAGACATGTTGATGCGGTCGCTGGCATGTTTAATATGTTCTCTAATTTAGAATACTTCTCTAGTTCGTCCTCTGTTGGTGCATGTGAGTCGTAGATTCCACCAAAGATTAGATTGAGAACTGGGCCGGCTAGAGCTGGTGCAAGCGACATTAAACCCCAATTAGATGAGAAAGCGTGAAGTCCCCATATCTCCAATGTCAATACTGGTCCAATGGCGAAGAGACTTCCATACGATAATCCAATCATAGCAGTTGCCCAACCGAGCTGTCCTGGGACCTTTATTGATTGCGCAACTAACTGTGAGACCACAAAAGCGCTTGAAATTACAGCTGCCCACCATGCCCTATTCAACTTGTACTTCTTGTGACTGTAATCAGAAATTAATCCAATAATGATCCTACCCGCACAATTTGTCAAGCTGAGCAGACTAACTTGTTTCGTTTGAGCTTGTGCCACAGTGACAGGGTCGTAATGTGGATGGTGATAAGCGTAAAGTGCTTGTACGACAGCTCCGACGTTGTTAATCCACATCAATCCCGTACCAGCTAAGAGTGCTATGATGATGAACATGAGCCAAAAGTCTAAGCTTTTAAGGATAGCAAGTGGTGATCCAGAGGTGAGTATGTCCTCATCAAGCGAAGCGTTCTCGTCAAAAAGTGGACGTCCTTCCTCATTATCAGCTACTTTCTCACTTTCTGGCGGAACCACATTGATAAATAAAGCACCAAGTAATACGGATAATGAAGTACCAATCGCTAGTGCGAGCAAGAAGTCATCAGTTGATCCTTGGAAAGCTTCGTGGCTAATAAATGAATAGAAAAAGGCGCTCAAACCGAATCCAGATAGAACAATACCAGACGCGGTTGCTCGTGTGTTATCATTAAACGACCGTGCTGTTGCGTTTAATGCCGACAATAGGGAGCCACTACCACCCATACCGGCAATTATCGAGAGTAAGGAAACCCAGACGACAGGGTTTTGTGAATGAATTAAACCAGCGTAGAATGAGTATATACCAAAGTAACCAATAAATAGCACACATGAGCTGATTAGAAGCGGTATTCTGAGTGGTAACTTGTCGATAAACCGTCCCCAAGCGGGTGCAGTGAAGTAAACACCTGCGTTTCCACAACTAGCGACTATACTAATCTGCGTGTGGTTTAAATCGAGCCTCCTCGCTAGTTGTTCTCCGTATGAGCTGAATACCTAAGATAGTTAATAGATATCAAAAGCGGAAAAATGAACATACATAGTTCGTTCCAGCGCCTAGTGCTGTTATAAAACAGAATAGTAATGTTATTGTACGCGTAAGATTTGCAGAATTACGCATTCCAGCCGACTTGGTTGTTGATAGTGAACCACAACGAATGAAGGACGTCAATATAAATATAAGCGTCAAATTCGCACAGCCGAAGCTTGACGATAAAGGAGAAGCTTATCCTACGATAAATCTAAACGAGGATTCTCTAGAACCGAATATCAATATTGCCTTAGATTTACCAGAGGAGCAGCATATCACAGGAGCTAGTGTTACACCGACGCGCATAGTACATTTGGATAAAGATGATGATGACACTATTCCATTCCCAGCTGCTCTCATACCTAACAGTGATAGAAGCAATCGTACACTCCAATACAACAGACACAGCTTCAAATCGGATAATTTTAGGAAAAAAACTGCTCCAGCATCAAGTAAAGTCATACGCGGTTATAATGGTCGTTGGATAAAGGTTCCTATCAACGAGAGTCAAGGTTTGTCTCCCGTGGAATCCCGTACGTCACACTGACACGATTGACAGCTGATACAAGCCCTGAGAGGATGGATATGGATTATGTATCCAGAGAAGGTAGCTCAACGCCAGTCTCAGAGCCCGAAACGGAGTTATTGTCTCAGAAACCAAACAAGGAGAAGGGTAAAATGGTACATAGTGAACCACTTGGTAGCCCATATGTTGAAAGTACAAGTACCATGCGGTCGCTCAGTACAAATTCTAACATACCCGCGAATCGAGAGGATGGTTATAGGCATGATGGTTCAGTACTTTTCCAAAAACCAGCGGTGAAGCAACCAGAAGGATCTATAGCGAATACCATTAGCCATCAAGAGGATCCTTCAATTCTAGAACGGAACCGGCGATCTAGTACTTCTCACTATACCAAATCAAAAGTTGATAAGGAACCACACCTCGAGAGGGCTGAAGAGATGCGCTTGGGTGCTGCTGGGAACGCGGGCGACACACAACTCGGACAGGAGGTCGAGGGAGCTGACGAATCCCAGGTTGTAGAGAGACCACACAGAGTTCTCAGAAAACGTAATAAAAGCAGCATAACTCAACTCGAACAGGAGTCTGATGAAGATGATGAAACTACTCAAAATTTCCAGGAAAACTCACGCAAAGTTAGTAAAAATCGTAATGGCGGCAACTCGAAATCTAGTCCTCCGACTGGCGGTACACCTGCATTTGAAAGAATAACATTGAAATTGCCAGCACGTCCGAAAAACGGACAGCCTAGTGAGCCTATCAGGATTATCAAGACGGCTGTCTCGCCTCCGAAACGGACTGAGGCGCGACAACAACGGTGGTACAGAGCACCACGTCGTCACTCCCTGAAAGACGATTCAGAAAAGGAGCAACAGGGAGAGGTTCACTCAATCTCCCTAGATAATAGTCCATTGAAAGAGCAGAAATCTGAGCAGGAGCCTTCTACTCCTAAGGTAACTTATGAACCTGAAATTAATGATATAGCAAAGCAGCTCGAGAAACCAGATCAATCGCAAAGTCAACCACCTCAAGAAAAACCAACATCACAACCACTCTCACGAATCTCCTCAACTCCTGTACCTCAACGAGAAAGTGAAAGGCTGTCGAAAAGGTACAAAAAAGAACATGATAGTAAAGATTCCGACCAATCTGGACAGGTTATACTTCAATTCAAGAACATTATAGCAGAGTCTAATGATAACCACCAACCGAAAAGAAAACCACAAGAAAGGAGAAACGAACGTCAACAAGCTGAAGACTCACGTAATCTCCTAAATGAAGCTAAGGAGCTCAAATTGATATTTGATACTCCAACACCAAAGACACCTTTAGAAGATATTGGAAAATTACAACCTAGACCTGAGCCAACAAGTAAAGCAGTTAATGGTTATGATTTAGGTATTTACGGTAGAAAAAATATCATTCCACCGAGATATGATGATGTACCATCGAATGATTTTGCTGATCAACTCAAACGAAGGGTTAATGACATAAAACTATTCAGCAAAGGTTTCATTAAACAAGCAGTCGATAATCCAGTCATTGCTCAGGATACCCTTATATTTGAAGATGGTATTTCTCTTCAAGGTCTCTTCATGAACACAATGATTATACCGGTATTTCGAGCCTTCTGCGGAGATGACGTTACGTTTGAATCTTTACACCACAGAAGATTGTTGGTGGTAATCACTGATAACTGTATGGTTCTATTGGACTATTATAACTTTTCAGGCTATGAAAGTGCGAAATGTTTCAGAGCTATCCCATTTTATTTGATCACCGATGTTATGGTAGGTGTAACAGAAGCTAACATCCTCACCTTCTAATGGCTTTATTAGGTACATGAAAATCCTCAAGATTTACCGTTCATTGCATTCAAACTTGATCATAGAGATCCATTCGTTCTGAATTTCTTTGAGGGTAAAGCTGAGTATAATCCTGGTTTGTGGCTTTATTAATGTTTTATCATTTCTAACAATATATTACTCTTAGAAGATGACTATATATATCTTTTCTTAGACAACCGAAATGAAAGATTTCATCATATACCCTTCAATTATTGGCTAGATAAATTAAAGTACACAATGGATATAAAGAAAAAGCCAATTCATCAATTGCCACTTATTGAAACAGTTGGGTATTATGGTAAATTCCAAGAAGGAAAACTCAAGCAAGCAATTTTCAGAATCAAAACAGAGGAGATAAACAGAATGTATTTAGGTGCAAAGTATAAACCAATAGATGGAAGGAAACCAAAAGGTGAAAAGCATGTCGTGCTTTCTAAGACACCTAAACGCCGTTACAAGAATAATGATCATTACGTTAGCATTTACTCTGAAAACTCACTACATCCAAATAAGAAACAGCTTAGATCATCTACAGGCTCAATACCTCCTAGCTTTTTACCTGCACAAATGCACGAACACTTACCAGAAAACAGAAGAAGTACAATTAATTTAACAGATAGTCATGATTTAAACATTCCATCGTCAACGTCAAAAGAAGTTATTGAAGTTAGTGATTCAAATTCAGAATCCCATGTTGACGAACCTATGAATGATGATCAAATTAATTGACAAGACCTACCCAGTTGAAAAGGAAGAGTATAATGCAAAAATCCTACAATTTTTCTTTTAGTTGTATTCAATTTTATGTTAATAATTAGTTTATGTATTCTGATCAATATTAAATAAGTATATACAAAAGTCAAAAAGAGCTTTAGATGGTATGGTTGTTTTACATACGTAAATAACAAAATTAGAATGTTGAGTAGCAGAAGAAGATTATGTAAGAAACGCCTCAGTGTTTTAAGATTAAGATATTAAGAGACTTCTTAGAGGTAGTTAGCTAATGAAGCAATTGCACCAATTGCACTAATAGCAAAGAGTCCAGGTACGACGGATCCTCTGTAAGCAGAAGATGAGTTTTGTACTTGAGAGTCAGGCCTTTCAACATCGGATGATGGTTCCAATTGAGAATTCTCTGAAGTTGGTTGAACACCAATTTCACCAGAACCAATAGTTACCCAATGACCATAACTTGGAATACCATCAACAGTAATAAAGATTAAAGCTGGACCAGGTTGGAAAATGTTTGGATTGTTTGGCATTTGTGCAACATGCAATATACCTTCTTCTTCACTTGTAGCTGTCCATGTCGTACGTAATTCCAAGTATCTCTGACCAAAGTTCATTGCATGTGTTGAGAAACCAGGTCTAATAACGACAGCCTTTACATTCTGAAGGTTGCGTGAATCACCTTTAAGATCTGATGAAGACAGTTGAATGTCAAATGAGTGACCACCATATGATAATTGATCAGGTAATCCTTGAGGTTGTGGTCTTGGTTCATTGTACCAAGTTGGGTACCATCTTTCAACACGATAATCAGTGTTCCATTGACGATCTTCGGTTTGAATAACGTCGACGTTAGGATTTGATCCGGAAACCCAAACAGAACCATCTTCTAATAAGGTTGCGACACTATGATACAATCTTGCGACATCACTACCATCTAAACCATCTCTTGAAATACGTTCACCCTTTGGTGCATTTGGATCAAAGATGAGAGGCATATAAGTTGGATCATCGGCATATGATTGACCAACTGCCCAAGTATCATTACCATAACCAGCTGAACCCTTGGCACCACCGTTCAATAAAACTAATTGACCATTTGGCAAGTAAATAAAGTTACCCATTGTTCTTGGTTCAGGTAACTCATCATCTTCCTCCCACTGTGGGTTCTCTGAACCTTCTGGTTGTATTCTGACACATGATTTGTCTGCCCACTTCTTGGTAATGTCGAATCCAGGACCACCTTCGTTACCCCAACCATCTTGTGGAATATCTTGACCACCACAGAAGAGGAATGATGGATTGTAGTCATTTTCTGGTGTCAAAGGTAAGACAGCAGTTGCACCACTAGCTGGATAAGCTCTGGCGGCGTGTGGAATATCTGGGAGTGTCTTATATTCGAGCTTATCGTCGATATCCCAAATGATGGCAGCGTACATCGCTTGTACGAATAATCTACCTGATGGTAAAAGGTAAGCTAGTGGATATAAGTTGATTGGCATAGTGCGCTCTCTCAAGAAGTCGAAGTCAACTGGGTCACCGTCGCGAGGTGGGTAGAATTCGTAACTGTAAGCTTTGTTAGATACGCTACAAAGAAAGTGAGTAACACCCACGTTGGATTGTTTTGTGCTTCTCCGTTAATATATCCACCCCACTCATCACCACCCATAATAATGGCGTCACCTCCACCGAGTGTCTCTACAGTAGGGTACCATCTTCTACCTGTCATGAACTGATCGTTATCTGACCATTCTTTGCTACCGGCGAGATCGAGAATTCTTATAGCAGCACCACCGTCTTCGTTTTGATATGGATTTGGTTTATCTGGGTAGTCGTTGACAGCAGCCTATATTATTGTTAGAGAAGGTGTTGCTATGAGTGTGTATAGCTTTACTCACACCACCGTGTGTAACAGCTTGGTTACCACCGACGTTGAGCCATCTACCGTCAGCAAGGACAGCACCTCCTGCACAGAAGGAATTTGTTACGACATCTTTTGGCTCAGCAGTATTATCTTTAGGATTGTATACAGCAGCCCAAGCCTGATGGCATTCTGATTAGATGATGGTCGCTAATGATCAAACTACAAACTTACTGGATGTCCATTGATTTGTGTAGGGTTATTCTCAGTCTTATCGAGAATCCAGACGTTTCCGTCTCTTCCTAAAAAAGCCATTTGTGCACTGACTAAAGAATCACCAACCTTGATTATCGTTAGGACAATCTATCTAAGATAAAGATAGACTTACTAGTTCATAACCACCAGGGTTAGCAGCTTGTGAAAGGGATAATACCGATGCGGCAGCTAAGAGGCTGCGCTTTTTGTATTTGGGTACTCTTATTGGCATTGTATTAGTTTCTTTTTTTGGTTGATATAAAACTAGTTTAAGGAGTGTGAGAAAAACATTATTCTGCTTTTATAGGTCCCAATAAATTTATCCATTTTGAGATGTCCGCTCTATGTTTCGGCGCTTCGAAAATTTTAGCTTCGCATTATACTGCTTCTTATTAAATAAGATAAAAGTAGCATCTAGTTTCTTTGAACCAGTAGTAATGTAATTAATACTTTTCTGCTTCATTACCGCAGCTTTGGTCGTTTAAACGTGGAAAATGAAATTTTTCATAACAATTAATTAGCGGACTTTCCTAAAGAGGAAGTTCCAAATATAATCTTTAATATAGCAAATAGCCCAATGAGGTCAATATTAATATATGCTTTTGGAAATCTAGAGAACATTTATCATCCAAAGTGATAATTAATATATAAAACAGTTATCTATTAGTAAAGCTAATCTATTAATAATACAACATGTATCGGTTTTATGAATACATCTATTTAGTGAATGTCCATTTTATACTTGTTGAGATTCATGCCAAGCTTTTCTTAGTTCGTTTGAAGCCCTTATCAATTCCTTTGCTAAATCTGGTATTTCACCAAAAAAGCTTGTCTTTTCATCGTTTGGTAATAAACCAACGTCTCTATCTACCATGTTAATTGTTGAATTCATCAATTGTTCATTGTTTACTGGAGGTGGTACACCTAAACTATCCTTGTTATATGCGATAGCGTGGAAAGCAACTGTCAAAAGTGATGGTCTGCCGTCTCCAAACATTGTCTGTGGATCATATTGATATGTTGCGGGTGGCGCAACTGGTGTAGTTGGACGTGAGGTTGGTGGTGATGTTGGTGGTGTTGACAAAGGTGCTACAGTAGAGTCCATATCGCCATAAGACGAGCTTACCGTAGTTGTTGGGGGCTTAGGTGGTTCGTCTGCTGGATGCGCTGGTGGTGGTGGTGGTGGTGGTGGTTCTAGTGTTATTTCCGCAGGTAGGTCAATCTTGACCTCTACTTTACCCGGATCCTTGGGCGCCTCCTTAGGTAGTTCTTCCTTAGGCGGTTCAGGCAGCGGTGGTAGCTCGGACGGGATTGGTGGTTCAGGAAGAGGATTGCTTTCTGCCATCGCGAGTTCATCTTTCGGAGGCGCAGGTGGTGCGTCTGGTGTTGGCGGTAGCGGATTTGGTTCTGGGGGTTTATCAGTCGCTTTTTCCTCTGTCTTCTCCTCTGGTTTGTCTCCACCGCCCTTCTTCTTCTTCTTTTTTTTTTTACCTGGTCCACCAGCGTTTGGCGCACTTGACTCAGGTTCACTTGCGCTAGTTTCGCCTGCAGATGGCGCATTCATACTTAAATCATTCTTCTCTTCCTTATTTTCTTCCTTTGTGTCGTCTTTTTCCTTCTCTTTGGATCTTTCTTGCTCCTCCTTGAGAATCTTCGTATCCCGTTCAATTTCATGGAAAAGATCCTCTATAATTGGTTCATCCTCGGCATTAGCCATTGGGAGAGCGAGTGGTGAAAGTGGCATCGCGTCATCTTTCGGTGTTTCACTATCTTCAGAGTAGAAATCTTCAGCTATTAATGTCGGAGAATTTAAAAAAGCGACTCTACCTTTATTCCCTCCTGTTTCAGCTTTCGGTACAGGCTTCCGTTGTACACCTTTGCCTTTGCCTTTTTTCTTACCATTTGGCTTTTGATTGTCGTCATTCGCCGGTGGTGGTGGCGGTGGTGTTGGTGCCGGTCCTTCGTCTGGCTCAGGAAATAAGAGCAATGGCGACATCGGCAATGCTGGGCTACCAGCCCCAGCCGGAGAGTTCAATTGTGGTTCACGTGGTCCAAATCGTCTGCGTGGGAGGGAATAAAGGGATAAACCCAAACCGAGTACCATGGTAAGCTCAGTTTGATTGATAATTAAGAAGAACTCACACGCGTTTTGGTGACATCTAAATGCGATTTCCTATGAGCTTCCTAATCCGGTATTATCTTACGGCTCTTTATGGTAATAATAGCAAAAATCTGTTGCGATAGCGTGTATTTTAAAAATGTCTGTGCTTAATGAGATGACCGTTTAGCTTCAACGGAGGAACTAAAGCAAGACAACCTTAAAAATTGTGCGGAAAGTGCTATCTTGTTAATTGAATACCTTACTATCTTATACGATTCATTTATTTTACTTACTCACGCGAAAGTGACGTGATGTTATATCGCCTTTTATAGTCTACTGATATGTCCTCAATCAGGGCTTTTTGATGAAAATATCATTTACCTAATGATGTATATATCCTTTACACATTTATGACGCGTCACTAATCTCATCGCTGCACCAAGCTCTCCCGATCTTGATTTCGGAACTGCCGTAGTAGCATGACAGAAGCGCAAATATACTAATAATTACAAAATGTCTACTATTTTCATGAGTTCAATGGCTTTTTAGCTCGTATTTAAGTTATATTGACATCAGCTCATATTAGTATACAACACATCGATAGATAGCAAAACAGTATAGATTATAAAACTCAAATGTTATAATAGATGCACTCATTTAAACGATTTTATGTGGTTATTTAGTCTCATTCAAACCGTATATGTTTCCCGATAAGGAATGCGAATGCTCGGCATCTTGAGCCTAATTTAGTATGCCTAGGCATATTTTCAGACTTAAAAATGATAAGATTAGAATATGTCGTATATATATTTACAAACCTATGCTGTTTATTCAGATTTCATGCATGGCATTCCTTTCTACCGACCTAGAGTATATCTATCGCCTAGCCACTACCCAAACGTGATAACCGTATTCTCTAACAACAATGCCTTTCATGACCGTAGCAGGTCTTTCAACTATATTAAAGACAAAATTTTATGTCCATCGAGGATATTCAATAATATGAACACTTTAATTTCTTCTGCATCAATTTTTCACCTTCCCTTAGAGAAATACTAACATTATTAGGAAGCTATCATTTAATATCATTCTGCCATTCTAGCTTGTGTCCTGATTTCTTTTGAAATGTCTGAGATCACCATCTTAATAATATTTACATAATATATCGATTTGTTGTATAGTAAAAGGTTGGACTGAACATACAGAGAGACTTTCAAGTACCCATTGCCGAAAGTGAACCCATTGAGATACAATTACAATGGGTAGATAAATGACATAGCCTATTTACACGGTTTTATTTGAGATTCGTCATATTAATGTTTGCTAGAACTAATACCTTGCCTCTTTATTTGGAAATTCTTAGTGGAGGCATAGATATAATCTGCGTAAAGGGATATATCAGCCTTACAAGATAGATAATCTTCCCATTATGGTTATTTGTCAAATAACTAGGGAGTTGTATGGAAAAGTTTGGCAATTAGCAAGAAGATGTGGTAAAATGAGATAGTCATTTGAATTGAGTACTTTCATATGAGACCGGTTTGTGTTTCTTTTCGCGGATGTCTGTTTGCGTTTAGTAGTATCTGAAATAAACACCTGACCTATAGATAATAAATATATGAAGATAGCACCAAGAAGGTTCCGTCAAGGCGATTCTGGAGGTCAGAATTTCACAACAATAATCCAAGACAATATGCTTCATCACTCAACACTCTCACGATATGCTATCGGTCATAACCTGTTACATACAGCAGTCTAACATTTTAAAAATCAGGTAAAGTGGCTATCAGGACCTTCACTTAACTCAACTACCATATAAGATTATGGATACAATAATAATATCTGATTGTGTATGTAAGTGCCAAGCAAGGAAGGAGATAACGGCCATACTGGCGGATAAAAATGAAGTGTCACTCTAATACTTCTTGGAATCTCTGTAACCTTCCTTATATATTCATATATATATATATGTCCAGAACAAACACACGAGAACGAAAAGAGTAATACAAAATCTTTAAATATTCATAAAATGTCAAAATTTTACACAGATTGCAAAGCAGCAGTCTTCTCAAAGAGACCGCTAACTACCTGTGTTACATTCTTAAGAGTATCTAAAGTAGTATCATAGAGGTGATCTTCTTGTGGTGGATCGAAGACAATGAGGCAGTTGTTACCTTGATCGATAATACCATAGAATACCTTGTCTAAAATCATTTGTGAGAGTTTTTGCTCTATTGCGTTTATTGGTTGTGAGAGTAAGTTTGCGATATGGTCAATTTCAACTTTAGAGTATGGTTCAATTATCTTGAGAAGATTACTTTCCAATAATGTATCGTAGAGACTGCTCAAGTGTGATTTTATTATCTGATCTGCTGAAAGTTCTAATTGGTATTAAGCTATGTCATGTTTATTAAAGATAAGGACTCACCTTGCTTGTAATCCCTCAAAGCTTTTTCAAACTCTATCAATGATCTGTTCTTGTGTGCTTGTGCTATGGCTTTCATAGCGTCCAAATTGGTACCTGCGTAGCGTTGAGCCATCTTATTTTGTATGATTGCATCTACATCTTCTGACTGAGGCGAATGTGAGCTTATCTATGCTTAAAGGACTATAATACTCACCAAATTGAGCATAATTTTACATAAGAGCATATACTTGAGTGCGGATACAGCTCTTGGATCATCCTGGGAAGAGAAACCTTCGAGCGTCTCGAAGAAGTATGAGAAAGCAGTCTTCCAGTCCCTGTCATTCGCATGAAGAATACCCGCTTGAAGGTCCAACTGAGCCTGTAAGAGAGGTGGACAGTATATAGCGTTAGCTGCAGTTCTAGCAGATGTGAGTGCAGCCTTAGACTTGACAATGTTTGAGGTTGAGTAATAGATCTTAGATTCTAGGATGTGAACTTCTGTGAGGATGATCTTATCGTCTAACCTTTTGAGTTCCTTGAGTAAACCGTCGAGGAGACTGAGGGCAGCTTTGTAATCCTTAGAAGCGTAGTAGATACCTGCTAGTCTGATTTCCAATGATTGTCTAAGGAAAACTCTCTTGTCAGATTTCGCCCAATTGATGTTGTCGATCAAGCAATCCATCTGTGCGTCTCTGGAATCCTTTATATGATCAAAGTGGTCAATAAGAGTGCGTATAAGTTTTGCTGTTTTCGCTTTAGCTGTTGATGACATGAATGATCTCGATGATTTGATTACGTTGGTTAGTTCAGCTGCATTTCTAGTCGATAGTTAGCTACATCTAGACGTTAATAGTAAATAATAGTCTACTAACTGTTGATCCCTGTATATTTCACCGAGTTTAACTAGAGCTGCTTCTTGCTTGCGTAAGTCAGCATCTGTGGTAGCGTCTAATAGGGTAAGATAAGTATAATAGCTAGGGGTATAACTATATAACGCACTCTCTGACAATATTTGCTTCAATTCCGTTGTACTCTCTGTAGACATGATGACGCGTGCTATTCAAGGACGCCCTTCAACTCCTACCTTGAGCAATGTCGAAAAGAAATTTACCGAATATTTTAATTACGGGTACGCCTGGAACTGGTAAGACAACATTATCGCAATCAATTTTAGAATCACTTAATAGAGCATCCGATCAACAAAATCAATTCAAGCATATAAGCATAGGCGATCTAGTAAAGCAGAAGGATCTCCATAACGGCTATAATAACGAATGGCAGTGTTACGACGTAGACGACGATAAGATACTCGATGAGTTAGAGTCCACTATTGAATCAGGCGGTAACATCTTAGATTGGCATTGTTCAGAGATTTTTCCAGAGAATTGGCTCGATTTGGTTATCGTACTGAGGTGCGATCATCAAGTACTCTATCAGAGGTTGGAAGATCGGTGAGTCCACCCTAATCAATACCTTCAAACGTTCGTTCTAATACACTCAAAGCGGTTACAAATCGGAGAAAATACAGGAGAACAACGACGCTGAGATTTTCGGAGAGTGCCTTCATGAAGCTTTAGAAGCTTTCCCGAATCCAGGTCAAGTCGTCGAGCTTCAGAGTGAAGAAATCGAGAATCTGGAGAGCAACTTAGAGAGATTCACGCTATGGCTAGACAACTGGAAATCCAACAATTCATAATATTTAATATTTACTATTCATGTAAAACCTCTTACACCTAAAACTCTTCTAACATCTGTTGTGAACCTCAATGAATCTAAGAATGGAAGCAGATCGAGCAATGCCTCATCGTTAGGATCACTTATCCAACCTGATATTGGTATTCCATTAGCTGGGTTGATATTGTATGAAATTGGCGAATTGTCAACTAAAGCAACTCTTGATAAGTCCTTATCAATAATGTCGAGATCTTTCATGTAACTACCGTTAGGTGCTTGGGTACAGGACTCTCTAAAAAGTCTTTTTGTCAAAATCCCCCTACCCGCGTCTATCCAATCAATAACCGGATCCGCATATTCTTGCATAGACGCCGTGAATATGACTAAAGTATACCAACTAGCAACTTTTTTTAAAAAGAAATCTAAATGGGGTCTTTTGTATACGTGATATAAAACGCTTCTACCACCGAGTACGACTTCAACCATATGTGCACCACCATCACCGCCTGCAATGCCATTTCCAGATAAAACACTTCTTAAACCGAGACTGAAACCGTTCGATGACCGTTGCGGAGCTCTGCTTGTTGAATGTATCAATGTTTCATCTAAATCTAATACCAATGTTTTTGGTAAATGCACGCCTGTTGACTTATTTGATAGCTTTTTGCTTCTAGATTCAAGAGGTGGAGAAGGTGAGGGTGAATAGGTTGTCTGGCTAGCACCTGAGCCAGAAACAGCAAGTAAATTACGCGAAGGTAGTGGATTGGGTAGTAGGTTGTTATCAGTCGACGTCGTTCGTCGCCTATTGAACGGTGCTAAGGGTGTTTATCAGCGTGTAAGCAAGGAATAAGATAGAAACGCACGTGCAAATGGATATTGTTGATCTTGTTTCTTTGCGCTCTTCGGTGGATTAGTCAATAAGTCTTGGTAGTTTGTTTGACTGGTTTCACGCTTGACAGGACGGCCGTGGGATGTTTTCGTAGCTGGGGATTTATCCTCTATATTAAGAAACTGATCAAGTTCGTCCTTCTCCTTATGTAAGTCGTCATTAATTAGACTGTCATTATGGCTATAGCCGTCATTCTTCGTGAATAACCTGAAAATAAACTGGAATAACCAGCTGGAGTTGTTAGCTCTAATGATGCTATTCCTGTTGTTAGGGTATTGCTCTGGGAACTGTAGATGGATATCTATATCGCTAGTTAGCGTATGGCTGAGATGCAAAAGATACTGACCTGTGTTGGCGTATCTCCTCCTCCGCGTCCTCCTCAATGGCGCCGTTAGAATCCTATCTATCAGTTTTAGAGAATTCATCTCTTGATGGTATTCTAACAACAAGTGTTGAGTGGATTTGAAGGACAGAAATCATGATATTTGTATCAGCTATTAGACAGTCTCGGTATTCCTTTCCTATCTCTTCTGTCCTACATTCCTTCGAGCTGTTGTATGCTTAACAAAGACGCAGATCAGGCAGTAGAGAGTATGCATATCAAAACTATATAAATATTAAAGTTCTAGGGGTGTTATATAATAGCTGTATACCCTCTACAGCTCATTTCAAGTACCTGGGAGATATCCCCAACCAAAATATATGACCTAAGAAAAGGCATCTATAAATATATTCTATAAGTGTACATCCACATCCTTTTAAAGGTTAAATATATCATTCTTGTGATCCAAAAGCTTGTCTCCTTGTGGTCCCTCAAGCTTTTTGTTTGTCATGAGATGGAAAGTTGTAGTATTATCTAACGATCGACATCGTGAGACGGGCTGTCAAGCTGTAGCTATTAACTCACCTTTGTTATCCTGTATAGCATGCTCGAGTATTATCAGATTATCGAATAAACCAGCGCACGTTTCTGAGCATATACTAGCGCATTCTGAGATATCCAAGCCCTCGATCTGATCAACGTTTGATAGTCTCTCAGTTGCGTTCGCAGTTGACGAGGCCTTAATCCTCTGATTGATCTTCTTATTAGTGAGGTATTTCTCACACTGTCCTAAAGCCTGCTCATGTGAACTGACGAGACGTATGTTCTCTAACTTTGTGCCTGCTCTGGCAACCAAACAGTGCTCCACTTTAAGTTGGTATTCTTCTAATTTTATCAGATCCTCCCTCCGTGCGATCTCAGCTGCTGATTCCTTCACTTGTCCAAATGTTGAATTCCGTATTGGTATAATAGCTAGATCGATATCGCCATTGTCAAGGTTCTCAAACAACCTGCGTATCTCAGAATGAGGGTGTAGAGTGTATTCACTAGTCTTAAAGTGCTTCTCCGTTAATATATTCGAATAACTACCCACTGGCCCTAGATATCCCAGCTTCATTGATAACGGTGATGATGGAAACTATTGAAAAGGCACTGGCTGGTGAAATTGTAAGTATATTTCTATATCAGACTATACAGCAGCTAATAGTTTGATTTTAGGACTACGTAGGACAGCTCAAAGCTGAGCGTTTACAGAAGATAATAATATCAGCCACGACTGTAGGTTTATAGCTCATATTACTATTGTTCTAACGCGTTATAGCTCATTTCTTTCATATCTGGTTGGATAACTTCAAGAATTGAAGTGACAGCAGTTGTATACCTTTCTGGATGTGTCATTGCTGCGATTGTGAGACTTACAAAGCTATATTATATACCAACTAACAAATTCAAGGTAATAGGTCCAGCTTGGTCATGTTACAATAGAAATACTGTACAATGGAATGACAAAGAGAGAAAGAAAACAGAATAGATACCCATTTAATGCATTTATTATTCTTTTGACGTACATGCTGTCATATTAAACCATAGCAATCATAAATTTCATAATCTAGCGGTGGCCTGCACCTGAAGTCGAACTACCTGATCCTCTAAGATCTACGCCACGTCCTTGCGTCGTGTTCTTGATTGCAGAACCACCTGACAATTCGACTGGTTGGTCTGCACCTGCCTCGAGGATTTTTGCGACGACAACGTCATCTGTGGATGTACCGAATACATTCTCTAATTGTTGCTTGGATGCTCTGCCGATCTTGCCCTGTGAGCCTTGTTCAGTGTAGAATATGTCAAATGCTGTAAAGTATGAGTGACGTCATTATAAAAGCCAGCACTAACAATCAACTACTTCAACGAGTGGGATCGTCTTGTCGCCTTCTGACCATCTCTTGTACTCGTCTGGGTTGACGATGACACTGAAGGTCTCATGCTCGACTGGTGATGGCTTGTAGAATACTTGAGTGGTTGATTTTCCCTGCTTATGTGTTAGCCTTGCTAGGTAGACTGCATGAAGTCGGGTGCTGATTGGCGTACAAGCTACTAGCGCTAGAGCGTATCCTCGAGGCGTGTAATGGAAACGTCTAGACTAGAAACCCCTCCTTCAATACTTTAGAATTCCTGACTCACCATTTTTCAGATTGTTAGTTGTTGAATGTTGTAGTCTAAGGAGCACGCGACAGACTAAGTAGTCTCCGCTCCACTCAAAACATCCATGACGTTATTACCGGCAAGTTTTCATCACTTCTGTCAGCGTGACGCACATCAGCTGATTACAAAAGTATCCTTCAATCAACACTTGTTAATTCATTATCTACGTTGTGTTTTCTCTTTGTCAAAGATGACGTTATTTACGTCACCGATCTATCACGAATATATCAAATTTATACATTAAAATACTTGGGTGTACATGGAGTGTAATGCAATGTTTAATATTTAAGTGATTGTTCTAAAATGCCTGACAAGTGATCTCTAGCTTCATCCAATTCCGGGTTGAAATTTGGTGCCAAGTTGAGCACTCTCCTTTGAGGTAATGTGCCCTCAACGCTGGAGTTCAAGTTAGTAAAGAATCTTCTGAAAAAATAACCCACAGAGCTGGAATATCTGAGCTAGAGTAGCCAACCTTTGAGAGTCCCATCGGTATACCCAGTTGTGCCAAGAACGACGCAATTCTGTCACTTCGTGGGGATTAGATAACAAATTTGATTTAGTTAATGCGCCTACTAGAGTAGCTGTCCAATATCCGTGTCTGGGAGCCTCTCCCACTCTTTTGGTTCGACATCTAATCCAGCAAATAACTTGGCCGCTTCCCTGTGTCTAGCTGGGTTTGATGGTGCTGTGAACTTAAAGACAGCTGGTCCGGTTAAAGCGACACTGATACCATGTGGGATGATTGGTTCTCCCACATTCTCATACCCTGGATGGCTGTATTGTGGACCTTTCTTGTTCAAACCGGAGATCTAAAGTACATCAGCGTATACTTGTGAATGCGTAACTTCACGTACTGGGTATGACGAAGCGTGACAGACTAGTGGAATATTAGCAAACGCACACTACTTGATTTTGTACGTACGATGAACACCAGCGGTTCCGAAACCATATCCTGCAAATGTAGAAGCTAGAAGCATCTGTTCCTTAGCCTTCTTGTCCGTAGGATCACGGGCGACACGAGGTAAATTCTCAATAGTTGTTTTCAGAGCCCAGAGAGAGAAGACATCTGACATAGGGTTAGCACCTTGATACGCAGGCCTCTCAGTTGGATGCTGTGGGCGCGGAGTACGTTGGTGATACGGTATAGCTGTGTATGACTCGAGTGCATGGAAGAGCGTGTCTAAACCCGCGCTTATGTGTACTTCGACAGGGCAGGTATCAATATTCCAGACATCTACGATACCCATAGTAGGACGGAGGAGTCTAGACGCAATCCCGGTCTTTGCGCCCAGACTTTGGTGGTCGTAAATCGCCTGGCCAGTCGTCTCTGATCCTGTACCCGCCGTCGTTGGAATAGCTATCAGTGGGTTGAGTGCCTGGGTTACAATCTGTCCCTTTCCTACTGGCGCATTAACAAACGTCAGAAGCTCCTCGTTTTTGTAAACACTAAATAGATTTGCGACTTTAGCAGTGTCCATCGTGGAACCACCACCAACGGCGACAAAGTGTGAGAAGTTGTGCTGTCGCGCAAAGTCGATGGCTGCTTGTAGACTGACGTATTGTAAGACAAGCGTTCCACAATGTGTGTAACCCACCTGTCTTCGTTTGGCTCGCATTTTACCTGTTCGAACATCTTATGTGGTACTCTGTTCTCCTCTAAACTCTCGAGAACCTTCAAAAACGTGAGAATTGTTTATAGCGAGTAATTCCGACTGTACCGTGCGGACTGGCTTGAGTTTGGCGACCGTTGGGTCAGTATATACACCAACCTATCAGTGATTTAGTCCCGTATATTAACAATATCCCTATAAACCTACCAAGCGAGCTCTCATAGACGCGAGATCTTGCCCAACTTCTCTCGTGACGTTATGCCCAAACCTAATGGCAGCTGATTGTACCTATAGTATGCTCAGCACGAGCGATTATCGCTGTTTATCCACCCACCTCGAATGCGTTATCGCCCACTGGTGCATTATGGGCTGATAAGCTACGTGTGCCACAAGCTGAGCATCCACAAGACGGTGAATGTGTGAGGTTCATCAGCGTCCTGGCTGCTAGACTGCCCTCTCTGGCACTTAGGCGGTTTAATTGTTTCGTCTGTGTTACTCTCATTGGTATCAGATGATAGTCGAAAGAAACAAAGAAGTTGCGGTAAATACCGACAATATGTATTATTTTACAAGTCTATATCCCATTCATCATATGTGTTCCTACTATTCACTACTTTCTTCTCTCCAATTATTCCGGCTATCACTCTCGCGTATTCACCGAAGAGTAAGTTATGCTTCCGCGTCCTACCGGGTACATTCTGCGTTTTAAGCTTATCAAGTGCATCTCTAAGTCCTGTAGCTAGTCTATGTTCCCAAAAGCGCTGGTGCTTATTCGTCGTCCGAGATTGTTCTTTGTCTTCGGATTTGATAAAGCGGGTGATACCATACTTGGAAAAGATTTCCATAGCATCGAAGATATGACCAGTGTTTCCAGTTGACAACGCAGCTTTAATAAATGAGCTCATTATCCTTATGTCTACTTCTGTCTTCGTTGAAATTGCCATTTCATATATTTCCTTTGCATGCTTGTATGAACGAGCTTTCATTGCAGCACTCATTGCTTGATCAAATGACTGTGAATCTGGTTGTGCACGTCTGAGCTCTGTGCACATCATATGAAGATATTCAATAGCTTTGTCGGAATTTCCCTCCTGTGCGCAAGCAAGCAGTGCAAAGAACATACTACGCGTACTTATGTACTTCTTCACGCTATCCATAGCGAGTAAAAAGTCAGCATGTCTGATTACCAGTGACGGCCTCTCAGCTGCCAATCCTAAGTGATACAGCGAATCTATAATACGATCATTGAGTTCAACTTTTGGTATGTTTAGTTCCTTTTTCTCTATAAATGGTGAATGTGAAGGTACACCTAAGAAAATATGGGCAATCATCAGACCCGTCTTGCAGTCCTTTGGCGTGCCTTTACTAAGAAGTCTCAATACAGTCGATATCAAGGCCGTGTCTGGGAGCAATCTCTGACATTCTGGAGTGTCTTTGCTATGTTTCCAGGCATCTTTTAGTCTGTCCATGTAGACTTTCCAAAGCGTGAGTCCTCTCTCAACGTCTTCCCTCTGTCCTGCCTTGAGAAGACCCTGAAAGAGTGTCGTGTAGGTGTAAGTATCTGCAGAGGAAGGACCGATATCTGCCATATCCTCAAATACATCCATCATATCCTTTGAATGTGCTACTTTTGACAATATAGATAGATATGCGTTGATAGGGAGCACACTTCTCTCTTCCTCCACCAAATTTCTGTCTATTTCGTCATCTAGACTTTGCTGATAAATGCCAAATTGACGAAAGATAGTCTCTGCAGCTTCTATAACCTTCTTAGTGGGTCTCTCTTTATCTACACCGCTTAGTGCTCTAAAAACAATAGTGTAACTACGGCTATTTGGTGTAATACCTCTCTTTTTCATCTTACAAGGTGTTTAGTGGTATTTAGGCACAAATCAGTCTGCTCACCTCCATGAAAAGCTTGTATGTATCGCTCGGTTTCTGATTTATGCGTGACTCCTGGAGTAGCTGGTTCCATACGACGACATTAGCAAGGCCATTTCCTCTAGATTCATTTTGTACAACTGCATAAGCCTCATTGAATTTCTTCTTCTGACTGAGTTCCTTCACTCTCGCAGCGAGAAGGTAGGAATCTGTAGACTGTAGCTTCCCTGTACCATCGTATGTTGGCTTTCTAGGTGCTCTACGTGGTATTCTTTTGGTTGATAGTACGACAGTCTGTCTAAATAAACCGAGCATTTCGTCAGTTCTTCGTTGTAAGAAGACAATGAAGACATCAATTTTCAGACCGTGTATTGACCTCCACAACGGTGTAGTTAAGCAGATCGTAGGCGGTACATTATCCAACAATCCAGACGAACTCAAGACGAACTTCGTAGCTGAGTGTGTCTTATCAACATTCCATGATATTCTCTAATGTGACAGCAAAACGCCAGCTGAATTTGCCAAGTTATACAAACAGAATGGACTTATAGGTGGTCATGTTATCAAGTTAGGCGCTGGTAATGATGACGCTGCGAAGTCTGCAGTTTCTGCCTGGAGAGGTGAACATTTAGTTTGTATACGTGCGAATCTAACTATATACAGATGGTTTACACGTCGGTGGTGGTATAACAGATCAAAATGCCGCTGAATGGATTGAAGCTGGCGCTGAAAAGGTGAGAACACCAGAGAAGACAGAAGACAGGCTAACCTTTTAGGTTATCGTAACGAGTTACCTGTTTCCAGAAGCGAAATTCTCATTGGAGAGGCTAAAAAGCGTTAGCGAAGCTGTCGGTAAAGATAGACTGGTCGTAGACGTCAGCTGTAGAAGACGCGATGATAAGTGGATTGTAGCGATGAACAAATGGCAGACGCTGACGGACATGGAAGTAACAAAGGGTACATAGCTTCTATGATATAAAATATCCACTCATTCAACCAACAGATACATTGTCTATGTTAAGCGAATACTGTTCAGAGTTCCTGATACACGCAGCCGACGTCGAGGGACTATGCAAGGGTATCGATGAGGATTTGGTGAAGAAACTAGGCGAGTGGGTTAACATACCAACGACCTATGCAGGCGGTGCAAAGCGTGAGTACACATACGTCATCACAATCTAAGGCAGCTGACAATTGCAGATGCTGATGATCTTGCACTCGTGAATGAGCTGTCCAAAGGCAAGGTTGATTTGACATATGGAAGGTAAGCCTATATATGGTTAAATCGGATTCCTATTAACATATTAAACAGTGCGCTTGATGTATTCGGTGGAACGCAAGTAAAGTTTGATGACTTGGTCAACTGGAATAAGAAATTGACGTAATGTTTCAAAATATCAATACCATTCTGAGGCTCATGAGCGGACTATGCTTTACTTGTTTGATGTATTCCCCAAAAGAGGCACACTCTGAGTGGACGATGATGCCGACAACGGGCTTGATTGAAGAGAATTCCTTCTGGATGGAATCCTGTTGGATAATGCAGATATCTTCTCTGACGCACCCGTACTAATGCTGTAAGAACGGCGTCTGATATGCGATTTGAGTTTCCTAGCAAGTTGTTCATAGCCAGATGCCTGTGGGTTTATGAGGTCAAATCTAAGCTCTTCTTTCCCGGTGAGATATGCACTGTCTTTGTAATAAGCTGGAAAGGTGTTAGAAAATGACTCTAGTGAGTAGCTACCCACGAGCTGTCGCTAGATTGTGTGATTCGTGATATATAGAGAAAGCAGCAGCTTCATTTGGTGGATTTGGGTGCTGTGGACGTTGAGCATGTAACTAGGACTAGCTAATGGACATACCTGGAATATAACAGGATTATTGTCCAACTCAGCAGATTTCCTAGCTTGTTGTGCAAATTGTTGCATGGTGGACGGGCCGAAAGAGATCAGTCAAATATGAGATCATATGTTACGCGCCAAGCGGTGAATAAAAATCAACGGATATATTTACAAAGCGGTGCAGATTAAATGTTTGCTAGTATAGCCTCAGCAGAGCTTACTTCGAGCTGACCCGGTTCCTCTTTCTTGACGTACCTGATTTTGAGGTCGTCGATGATGAGGGCGTACCTAGAGGTTCTAAGACCCATTCCTTTGTCAGTCAAGTCGGCTTCCAGTCCAAGTTGTTTGGAGAACTCCGCATAGGTGTCGCTGATGAAAATGATCGAACCGTCGCTGTTGTGTGATTTACCCCAGGCGGAAAGAACAAATGGGTCATTAGCGCTGAGGAAAGCGATAACGTCTACGCCTTTATCGTGGATTTCCTGTGCCTTCTCAATGAAAGGTGGCTGGGGCGTGTTAGCCGTGTAAGCGAATTAGTATGATACTAACAAGGTGCTTCATATGGCAAGAAGGCGTGAATGCACCTGGTACACTGATAATGACAACTTTCTTGTTCTTCCACTCAGAGTGTGCGTTCAGAGTGACAGGCACGCCACAGACGTCGATAGACTCCTCTGTGTAGGGGATATACTTGAATTTAGCATCTGGGATAACGTCACCGATGTTTGCTACCATTTCGTCCTCGTTGTCGTTCTTCAAGAGCAGCGACGAGGATGTCATCTATAAGGAGGCCGGTAAAGCCTAAAATAGTGAGTACAGCAACTTCACGTGAGCTTCAAAAGCTAATAATTTTCTATAGAAACCGCCAAAAAAGGTTTGAAATTTACAATCAGCAGTTCTATCCTAACATCACCAGATTGACGGTGGCAGATCAAAGGAGGAGAATTGGGCGAGACTAGCCTCAGCTATTAGAGAAATACAGAACCACAATGCATCCAAACTCTCGTTTGAAGAGACTTAGTAAGTAGCATGTAAGTTGTTGCAACAATCTAACACTCTACAGCCGCAGCGCATACACCCTCGTACTCAACAAGCACGGTCAGAGGCTATATGATGGCCTATCTGAGCTCACAGAGCAATACCTTCGTGCACTCACAAAACGATACATCATACCAATATCAACGAACCAAATGATACTGACCCACAAGTCAAATTCCCTAGATCAGCTATCTATCTTGAATGCAGGCGAGGTTTTCCTCAAAGCTCTTATTCAGCTTTGGGACGACCACACAGCATCGATGACTAAACTTCGCGATGTCTTGAAGTACATGGACAAAGTGTACACGCCCACGAAGAACGTCGCATCCACTTGGGAACTTGGCTTGAATTTATTCAGGGATGTCGTTCTCAACAATTCTGAGACATCAACAGACATACAATTTACACTTTTTGCAGTCATACATTCACAAATATGCTTAGAGAGGGATGGTCAGGTTATCGATAGATCAGCTCTTAAATCCTGTTGCGATATCCTTTTCGAGTTATCGGAACTCTCACCCGTGCACTTAAAGAGCAAAACAAAGAGCTACATCCCACCATCGCCGTATGAGAAATCAATATACACAGTGCTCCTAGAGCCACAACTTAGAGCGGAGACAGAGAAATACTACAGAGATGAGGCGACAAGCTTCCTAGAATCGAACGATATTCCTTCCTACTTGAAACGCGTAGAAAGCAGACTCGAAGAGGAAAGCAATCGTTGTTTACATTACCTCAGTCATAATACATCGCCGATATTTAAGCAGATTTTGGAAAAAGAGCTAATTAGTAACAAAATAGACGAAATACTCTCAAATTCTGCTACTGGCTTGGTTAATATGATAGAAAATGATTCAATTGACATCCTTGGGCGATTGTATAACTTATTCCAATTGATACCTGAAGATGGCCCAGTGAATCTAAGGCGAGCCATCAAACATGACGTCATTAGACGCGGCCAGAGTATCAATTCTGACATTATGACACTGGTAGATGATTCAAAATCATCGAAACAGCCTTCAACTTCTATGTCAGAAAAGAAACCTAGCGGTGGAAGCGATGCCTCAACACTAAGCTTGGCTTTACAATGGGTCAGACAAACTCTCACATTGAAGCTGAAAATGGATAATCTTTGGCATACATCTTTCAAAGGTGATTTAGATATACAGACTTCTATTAATGAGGGCTTTGAGACTTTCATTAATATGAATCCTAAAGCATCTGAGTTTATCTCTCTCTTCATTGATGACAACCTCAAGAAGGGTTTGAAGGGTAAGACTGAAGATGAAACAGATCAGATCTTGGACGAGACTATAATCTTATTTAGATTTTTGGTTGATAAGGATGTCTTTGAAGTGTTCTACAAGAGACATCTCGCTCGTCGATTGATTCAAGGTAGATCAGTTTCTGATGATGCGGAACGTGGTATGCTTGCTAAGTTGAAGGTTGAATGTGGTGTACAGTTCACACAGAAGATGGAGGGTATGTTTAATGGTAAGTATAGTTCGCTTGAGAAACTTCAATTAATGATTACATAGACATGCGAACATCTGCTGATAATATGAAATCATTCAAAACCTACAAAAACACCAAGGAGAAGGTGAGGTGATTATATGGGAAAAGAAATTGTCTAACGCCCTAAAAGGAATCAGAAAATGCAGATTTGAACGTAAACGTCTTGACGGCATCGTATTGGCCAATTTCAGCTCAAGTCAATACTTGTACACTTCCAGCTGAGATGATGAGATTGCAGCAGCAGTATGAGAGATTCTACCTGCAGCGTCACAGCGGTAGGAGGATGTTATGGCAAGTCACACAAGGTAGTGTCGATCTAAAGGTAGAATTCCAAAACAGAAAATATGAAATCAATGTCTCGACGCTTGCTGCGATTATATTATTACTTTTCGAGAATGTGGATGACGAAGAATGGGTCAGCTACCAGGACATAATGAATGCGACGAACATAGCCGAGGGTGAACTTAAGAGGAATCTTCAAACGCTTGCTTGTGGGAAATACAAACTCTTAGAGAAAGATCCAAAAAGTAAAGACGTTAAAGTAACTGACAAGTTTAGAATAAACAACAACTTTAGCTCCCCGTTGGCGAAGATAAAGATAGCAACAATCGCAAACAGAGTAGAGACGACAGAAGAGCGTAAACAGACCGATGAAAAGGTGGAAGAAGAGCGCAAGCATCAAACTGACGTAAGTGTTTTGATAAAGGTGAGACAAAATCTAACTGTATATTAGGCTTGTATTGTAAGAATAATGAAATCAAGGAAACAAGCATCACATAATGAGGTCATAATTGAAGCTACGAAGATACTAGGATCGAGATTCGCACCAACACCACAAGCTATCAAAAAGCGAATAGAAGCATTGATAGAGGTAAGCAATGAGTGAAATTAATGAGTATGTCTAACGCAGATCACAGAGGGAATACATTGAAAGAACTGAAAATCGCATGATATACCGCTACGTCGCTTGAACCACATATGTCATCATGGAGGATTGGCTGAAACGACGTAAAGAGCTCAAGAATATAAAATTTGATGATAATAATGTAAAATTTAATCAATTGCACATAAATCAAAAAGATTTCATAAAGCTCAAACTGATATCGAAGGGACAGTTCGGCAGTATCGAGTTAGTGAAGTGCAAGCTAAATGGATCATTTTACGCGTTGAAGGTTATGAATAAGGGCTTCAGTAAACGTAATATCGGCGTGAGTTTCTTCATATATCGCTCACGACATCTGACAGTCCACAGTTCAGCAATCCGACGAATGAGAAAGCTGTACATCTATTAGCAGCAACGAGAAATACTAGTAATTGCCTACCACTCGTATCAGCTTTCCAATCACCTGATGATTTATTCATCCAACTTCCGCTAGCGATAAACGGGAATTTACTCGAATTATTAGAACAAAATACGCGTTTTGAAACTAAAACTATAAAGCTCTACTCGTCACAGCTCTTAAATGCTCTTACTTGGTTACATGACGATATTGGCTGGTTACATAGGGATATCAAACCACAAAATATCCTATTATCATCAAATGATCACATACTCCTCACAGACTTTGGCGCTGCTGTGCCGCTTCTTAACAATACTCGTAAAGCTAAGAAATCTGACAGCTTAGGTTTGGTCGGTACAACAGATTATGTCTCACCCGAGATACTGCTGGCTGCAGAAGAATACTTGATTGCTGAGCAGACGGGATCATCTATTCATTATGATGAGAAGTCGCCTGGATTATATGGTCCTGAGACAGATTGGTGGAGTTTTGGTGTTGTCCTGTTCGAGCTCGCGTACGGAGTTACGCCATTCTTCGCAGAAACTGTTGGAGAGACATACAACAAGATCAGGCAACGCAGTTACACACTCGGGCAAGATACGAATGGGGAACTACGCCATTTACTTGATTGGTGAGTGCCTACTCCAGTGTAAGCTACTAATTAACCAATAATAGCCTCTTTAAACCCCAAACTGAGCGCTTAGGTTATTATGGGACAAAGGAGGTACGCAATCATGCCTTCTTCAGACACACAGATTGGGAAAGCATGTCGAAGCGTAAAATCCAAACTACATACTTTGACAAAACGCTCGATGAACTGGTTGAAGATGACAGTATTGCCGTAGAACAACCAGCACCTCAAAAGGCGTTCGATTTCAGTGCATTATTCCAAGCAGCCGATTCAATAAGTTTGGAAGCCTTCAATGAATCTTTCCAACAATCTAATAATTGGAATGAATTCAATTATATACCACCAGTACAAGATTTATTCCCGTCATATCATACAAGGAAGACACCTGAAACACCATTCAAATTGTCGTTCAACAATACGACATCGACGCACAAGAATAGAAACTTATCAGAAGAGCAAGCGTTTATAGAGATGCAGCAATGTGTTGGACTGTCTGCTAAGAAGAGGTTGGATTATAGCTTCAACTTGGATACCCTCCCTCGAGCAGTCTCTTACAGCAGTGATTTATCATCTGTCGATGACAACACTCAGAATGATGGAGGCGGCTACCGAGAATCTCCATTAAAGAGGGTAGAATCGCGATCGAGTCTGTCACGTATGAATTCTCAGCAATCGGTACACCAACCAAGTTTGTCACGAATGAACTCCCAACAATCTATCCATCATCCTGGTTTGTCACGGATGAATTTCCAACAATCTATCCATAATCCTAGTTTGTCTAGAATGAATTCTCAGCAATATGTCAAACAACCAGCTAGACCGGCACTGAGGAAGAATTTCAAGTCTTCACCCAATATGAGATTAGATAGCGGCCCACGCGAGAATTCATTATCGACCAGAGCAAGTTCATCTAGGCTCGCGCGACCATCTAGACTTAACGTTCTCGACGATTTGCCAGAAAACGAAAATAACAATCCAACCACATCTACACCACATGCTCCGAAGAATCTGCACTCTAGGATGGATAATTTGAAAAAACGCCATGATGCATTGCTTAAAGATCTTAACCAGACTAGTAGGAGGCATGAAAAACTCCTAGCGAGATCATCATCTAGGCAAAGTTTAAGACAGTAGTAAAGTAAAAACACACTATTCATACACATTATCATCATCATTATCAACCATCCTGTTGCCAAATTGACCATTTTGTAACATTTGCGATAGCATTAATGAGCTACTCGCATCAAAGTTGAAATCGTTGAGTGCTGCTTGCGTAGATGAAGGGAGTTCCTGACTGTTTGGTATCATTAACTCGTTGATGTCTGGTTTGACGTCTTCGCTCGGCTGTAACACTTCAGATAGGTTGGTTTGATTATTATCTTCTATTTGCACTATTTCGGGTTCAGGTGAGGGCAATATCGATGGTTGTAGCTCTGTTGCTTGATCAGGTTGTACGATTACCTTCCAATCTTGTAAGTAATACACAGAAGACGAGAATAAACTTACATGTAATGTCTTTGCGAATAGTTTTAGCATCTTATAACTTGTCTCTACTTTCGGTTTGGGTTTTTGTTCGTATTGAAGATCGTCATCGTCGATAAAGAGATCTTCTTCGTCTGTTGTCTGCTGTACCGTACGTTTCGAGGTTGGTATATATCGTACTTGGCGGGTTTTCTTTATAACTCCTTGTTTCTCCCGCGTTGGTTTGTAATAGTATGCGAATTGATAGCCTAACTAGGGTGAGAAATGCCATCTAAGTGTGCAACAAACCAACCGTTATTCCTGTATGTATCCAGTTCTTCTCTCCCGTGTTGCATTTCAGCGAGTAATTTAGGCATATAGAGACGTTTAACGTCTTCGATAACGTTCAAGAGAATGCGTCTATTAAACCAAGCACGGTGTTTGCTATCTAGGAATACCACGCATTGCAAAGCTGATGACTCGTTCAAGCGTATATAATGTACTGATTTACTGGGAAACATGAGTGTAAGCGCGAGAGAGGTTTGATAGCTGATACGACCTAGTTATATCAACAATTGTTGCATTATTTCATATACAATTCCCATTTAGCGTAACTTTAAAGCTATCAAACTTCTTTATTTCGTGACATCATCGATGGAATTGCCACTACGCTTTCATAGGCAGATACTCCGTCAGCTGATACCTCAAGGGATTGGTGAGAGTACAGAAGATGATGATAACACCGTAGAAGATCTCGATCCTTCAGATTCTGGCCTATTGATCCTCGGACCCGGATTGGGTTTACGCAAGATCGTCGCTTCTTTCCTTGCTTTGCAGTCAGATCCACGTAGACTTGTACTGATAATAAATGCTGATCCCCAGGAAGAAGACGGTATCGGCGATTTACTCAGTTTGATGGGCGTCGCTAGACCAGGATTACGAGTAGTCAATTTTGATATAGGCAGCTCCCAGAGAGAGGAGTTATACAAAGGCGGCGGATTAGTGTCAGTGACCTCTCAGATTCTCGTCGTCGATATGCTCAATGGCGTCGTGCCCGTTGAACTGATTTCTGGGATTGTGGTACTACATGCGGAGAAGAAAGTCACATCTTAGATTTAGGAATGTTAACTTACAATTTGTAGTGTTACACCAGATTCAACAGAAGCCTTTATCACAAACATTTATCGTGATAATAACAAGGTAAATGCTATCAATTATTATCTTTCCCTCTAACGTTCCCTAGGATGGCTTCTTGAAGGCTTTTTCAGATGATCCCGTACAATTCAACACCGGAGTCACTCCCCTCCAGACAGTCTTAAGGTCTCTTAAGATAAGGAAAGTATGGATATGGCCTCGCTTTCACGAAACTGTCCAACAAGACCTCGAGAAACGCAAAGCAGATGTCGTTGAGTTATACCCCTCCATGACCAAAAGTATGCTGGATTTGCAGCATTCGATATTACAATGTATGGATGCTACAGTACAAGAAATTAAGAAGAGCAATGTTTCATATGTGAGTTGTAACTCATGAAGATATAATAGACGCTCAACCATTACAACAGCTGGATATTGACGATTTTACCGTCGATAACGCCCTATTCAAGAGCTTTGACAAGATCATCAGGATGCAACTTTTACCTGTCTGGCATCTGATCAGACCTAAAACGAAGGGCATGATTGAAGATCTAAGAACCTTAAGAAATCTGCTCACTTACCTCCTCAACTACTCCTGTGTCGAATTGCAAGAGTTTCTTGAATCTATTTATCAATCTAATTTAGAAGATTACAAAAATTCTAGTATGGCTAATAAAACACCATCTCCTTGGCTTTATCTTGATGCTGCTGATACCATATTCAATACAGCCAAGGGGCGGACGTATAAGGTGGTCGATGGTGACAGCAATAAGAACAAACACAGGTCATGGTTACCCCCAAATATTGTACCAATCTTGGAAGAACAACCCAAATGGAGTGTGTTAACGGAGGTATTAGCGGAAATAGACAACAACATTCATTTCAATTCCACAAATAAATCAAAAGACGAACGGAACATGACATTGATCATGTGTGCATCAAATAAAGTTGCTATACAGTTGTCTGAATATCTCGATCAATGCGAAGATGACAATAATAAGTTACAAACAAGTAAAAGAGCGCCTAAGATGATGAAAAGACTGCTCAGAGACCATCTTGAGATGTTTAAAGCTAACATAATTAATATGTCTACCAACATGAAGTCAGATGTTCAGCAACCAAACGTTTCGAATAAAGCTAACAATCCGACTAATTCAGAGCAAGAAATGTCTGCTGCCCTACAACGGAAGGAGCAATTTAGGAGGAATGAGGGAGCCACTGCTTATGGTCATAATAGGCGAAGAGTACGAGGTGGTTCTGTCATGGCTTCTGTCGCATCTAATAGGAAGTCATACAACACTATTGACCCTAATACAGTATCACCATTAGAAGCTGAAGCCCGTCAGATAGCACAGTTGTGGGTTCTCTACACCTAATTTTTCCTTGTCTAATCCTTCCTAGTAAATCACAGCGATCTACGCAGAAGAACAAAGAGAAAGAGGTGATTGAGATCTCAGATGACAGTGATGATGAAGATGAACGTCTATTCGATAATACTCCCCAATTTCTGCTTACTGGAGACCCAAATGACGTGTTTTATAACGATGAATACTTTGGTTTGATGGAGGAAGATGAGACGATACTTATAAGAGCTTATAGAGATGATGATGATGATACTTTACTCAACGAGATTAGACCGAAGTATATCATCATGTACGATCCTAATGCTGCCTTTGTCAGGCGGGTCGAGGTGGGTTGACAAAGTTCTCTTTGTTGATATCCTCATATAATTACTACAGCTTTACAAATCCTCAAATCCACAGATAGATATAAGGATGTACTTCCTGATGTACAATGCATCTGTGGAAGAGCAGACTTATTTGTCAGGACTACGTAAAGAGAAAGATGCATTCGAGAGACTTATTAGAGAGAAATCGGTCAGTATTACTTTTCTATTAGTCTTGAAAGTTGCTTATTAATTAAAGACAATGCTTATGCCGCTTCTTGAGAAAGAATCTAGTCGTGCCGGCACCGATCATTATCTGAGCGCTCTTTCCGCACGTGTTGCTGGTGGACAAGTTATTACAGGTGACACGAAACCCAAGGTAAGTATCACAATTTAATAGAATCATTTTACTTACTTTATACAGATCATTGTAGATAACAGAGAGTTTAGGTCATCACTTCCTGGTATACTCTACAGATCCAAATTCGAAGTCATACCCGTCACTCTAACCGTTGGTGATTATGTTTTAGATCCGACGATGTGTGTCGAAAGAAAGAGCTTGACAGATCTGAATCAATCATTCCAATCTGGTAGATTGTTCACGCAATGTGAATATATGAGCACTTATTATAAGACACCGATACTTTTGATAGAGTTTGAAGAGAACAAGTCGTTTACGTTGGAAGTAAGTGGTGGTGGTGGTGGTATTATAATGTGGACTACTAACAAGCTCTACAGACAATTTCGGAATCAAAGAAAGTCATACCCCATATGAATACAAAGAAACCTTCTATTACTGGTACCAGCCCGACGGAGATATTTCAATCGAGACTCGTAATGTTGACTATATCGTTCCCAAGATTGCGTATACTGTGGTCTTCATCGCCTAGACAGACCGCTGAGATGTTTGCAGATCTCAAATACCAAAGAGAGGAACCAGATCGCGACAAAGCAGTCAGCATAGGGCAAGATGAAGTTGGACAGCAGGATTTAATCGAGGAAAACTGGTCGACGGTGCCATCTGAGGTACTGAGGTGTATGCCAGGTGTAACAGGGAAGAACTACCACTACATTTCCAACAAAGTGAAGTCTATAAGGCACTTGGTCGAATTGACAAACAAAGAATTGAGAGACATTATGGGAGTTGATCAAGGAAACGCGCTATTTAATTTTGTAAATAAAATTGTAAACAAGTGAAAAAACCTGCGGCAAAGTAGATTATTTTTAAATCAATGACGTTTGTTCCTGTCGTACCTTCAGAGCAACAACCATCATGCACCGTCTATGGCGAGTTGGTATACTAGTAGTTGCTGCTATTGTAAGCGCAGTATTTCCTTATAAATCTACTCAAACGCCACAATAGATTTCATTCGGGCTGCTCCTGTCATTCTCTCAGCCTTCGCAGTACACATCAAGGATATTTAGAGGGAAGAACAATGGCAGCTACCATCGTAGACCTCTCACTTCTACTTGGCTCCGACCAGATCTAGAGACGAAAGAACGTCAGAAGGCTGCGTTCGTCGTTTTGGCTAGGAATAGCGATTTGTACCAGTTTTTACCTTCGATGAGAGCTGTGTGGGTATCAGTAACTCAAATATTCCTATATTCTGACTATGAACACCAGCGAGGACAGATTTAATAAGAAGTTTGGCTGTGAGTTTTGACAGAAGACATGCTACTCCAGGCACTCATAATAGCCAGATGAATGGGTATTCCTCAATGACAAGCCTTTTTCAGATGAATTCAAAAAGTAAGACTCTTATCGCTCGTCTATATCACGCTCACTTTACTGCAGACGTACACAAGCACTTAGCGACTCACCCTGCCACTATGGGCTTATTCCAGAAGACCACTGGAATCAGCCTAGCTTCATAAATGAGACAAAGGCCTCAGAAGCAAGAGATGCACTCGAGAGCCTGGGTAAAGTACCATACGCTAATTCCGTACCATACAGGAACATGTGCAGATTCAACTCCGGGTTCTTCTGGAGACATCCTCTACTTGATAACTTTGATTATTATTGGCGCGTTGAGTGGGTCTCCTTTTTGTTTTTGTTTTTTCACACGCTGACATCACAGGCCGGACATTAAGGTGTGTCATTGTCTTTATATTTGGATATAGGTGTTCTAACTCGTTAAAAGCTGTTCTGCGATGTTGATTACGATCGTAAGTACTCTAGTCCTATCTCTTCCATCTGACAACCCCAAAGCATTCCAATTCTTGGCCGAGAATGACATCAACTATGGTGGGTTTCCGATATATAACACATACACGTATGCTCAAAACGACCAGGTTTCACCGTATCCCTTTACGAGTACCAGGAGTCTATACCTACTTTATGGGAGACGGTAAAGAGTGCGTAAAGACCGTCATTAGTTGCACATCCAATTGACAATCCAACAGACTTCATTCATGATCACCCTGAGCATGTACCAAAAGAGAACGCAATGAAGTTCTTATCAGACGACGGCGGCAAGACTTATAATCACTGTCATTTCTGGAGTAATTTCGAGATCGCTAATTTAAATCTCTGGAGATCACCAGCCTACAGAGCATTTTTCGATTACTTGGACAAAGCCGGTGGTTTCTACTATGAGGTAGGTTTGTTATTGTATTATGTGGGCATCCACTCACAGTGAATAGCGTTGGGGCGATGCGCCTGTACACTCAATAGCTGCCGCTTTGTTCTCTAGACCTGATCAGATTCACTTCTTTGAAGATATTGGGTGAGTTTCACATTTATGCTGTTGTTTCATATTCACAAAGCGCAGATATCGTCATGAGCCATTCCAGCACTGTCCTCAAGGTGACGCTGCAGTTGGTAGATGCTACTGTGACCCAGGAGACAACTTTGGTGGGTTAATGTTGGCTTCTTCTCCTGTCACTAACCCAGCACAGACTATCTAGGGTACTCCTGCTTGAGCAGATACGACGAATTGACAGACAGATCCTCCACCTAAGCATGTTAAGTTATTGTATATTAAATCCTTATTTTCATTTCATGACTTCGTCTTTTGAGAAGACACTCCTTATCTTTCGACCGCGATGAGTGCGAGAACACCGCTGACGCCAGTGAAACATAGAGCGACTGGTAGTGGTGTAGGTTTGCCATTTGGTTTCTCTACGCCTATGAAGCAGCCGTCTACACCTACTGGTCATAGTCCTGCCTATCTTACAGTGAGTAAACTATCGATAAGCGGTTGGTCTAACAGAGCAGTCACGGAGACACTCAGTATATGGTACAGAAACGAAGATCGTTATAGACCCAGGCTCAAAAGTTATAAAAGTTGGTTTCAGTGGGGAAGCGTCTCCACGGGAATGCATAATGATAAGAGAAATACTATGGGATTTGGATGGTATACAGGACGAACTGGGTGTCCTAGATATATTTAGGGATATCTATTTTGAACAGTTACAAACTGATCCAAAACAACGGAGGGTTATCATTGCAGAGAATCCATTACTGAGTTCACCCGTTAAGTTCGCGATAATGAGTGTTCTGTTCTCAAATCTTCAAGTTCCCTCGGTTTCATTCACGCCTTCGCCTTTGTTGTCTTTGATTTCTGCGGGCAGGACAACCGGTTTGGTAGTCGACATTGGATACCTTCAGACTGTCGTATCCCCAGTTTACGCTTCGAGGCCGTTAGATCCTCATATTATGACAACGTCTTTCGGTGGAAAGTACCTTAGTGATAGACTAAGAGAGCTCATCGTTGAATATGCTACTTATTATCCGCCATTCACGACTCAGCAGCTTTCCACAGCGACTTCTCAACCTCCACCAAGTACTATACCCCAAGACGCAATAACCGATGCATGGATTGAGGACGTGAAGTGTAAAGCACTCTTCGCTGAACCTCTGCTGAGGAAGCGCGAGGATGATGATGAAGTTATGTCGGAATCAGACGATGATGCTAGTCAAATATCTGTTAAATTGCAAACAAATAACGGTCGTGGTGTCGTTTTTATACCCGGTTGGATCAGAACCAAGGTTGTAGAAGACTTATTTGATAGTAAAGAGGACATCGATCAGCCTAGTATACCAGAATGCATCGTTAAATGTCTTCAAAAGTTACCTATAGATACAAGGAGGGATTTAGCCGCTAATTGTCTCGTTGTTGGTGGAACAGCCTCTATGGTTGGGTTCCGAACGAGATTGAAGAATGAAATACGAGAGTTGCTGACGCGCAGTTCGGAAACTAAGAAGAGTCTGATGGATTTGAGTGGTTTAAGTGCTTCTTTCGAGGTACTCAATGATCCTATACCTAGCCAAGCATCTCAACCCACCGACGAAACAACTAATCGGCGCAAATCTAATAAAGTTAACATGAAGGCACCCGCGTGGAACCCATCTTGTTATGCCTGGGTGGGCGCGAGTCTTTCAGGGTTAGTTAATATATACAAACAATGTCATATCTGACGCCAACTGCAGTTCTGTTAAACTATCAGCTCCAGAAATACAGAGGAATGAATTTGAGGAGAGTATAGAAGATAAGGAAATAAATTAATACACAACATTTCTGGCATTTTATACACTTGCATCGTCACTGGCTGACCCCTCTGATGCGTTGTCTGGTTTCTGGTTATGGCTAGGTGAACTGCCGATCATATTTAACAGGAAATCTGATTCGTAGGGCAAATAGGCCGCATTTGCTGGATTAGTTTGCTGTTCATTGTACTAATAATGACATGAGTAACTCAATATTCCGGAGTATAATATACTCACATTTAAAGGTTGCTGGAAGTGTCCTTCGGATACCTCATCTTGATCAACTTCCTGGAGATCATTTACTGGTGCTTCATCATCAGCATACGTTTGGTGCTGGATGTTGCCAGATTCTACTGCGTTATTCTTTCCTTTCTTTTTGCTCTCGTCGCTCCTTGGTACGATGTCGATCAGAAAATCGAACTGATCTGATAACTCGACGGCACCAGATACATCGGATTTCTGAAGCGTTCGACGTTTATTTGACTCTGCAACGAGCCAGGATCTGCATGTTAGCTCTGAAATGAAAACTGAGTGGATGTTAGACCAACTGGAGTGTGAAAACGCGCGAACTAACTTTCGCAAGCCCTTGAGAAGAGTATCGGTGCTGTGATTATATAAGTATAAGGGCAATAGAGTAGTTATTGCGAACCTTCTGCAGAAATCATCTGATTTGGTGCATCGGATCAGCTTATCTGATGTAACACAATTGATCACTTACTTTAACGCCTGAGTTGTATCGTTAGTGGATAGATAATAGAAGATTGAGACACACCTGGATCAGATTTCATAACCTTCTTTATTCTCGCTAAAGGTAACTCATGCTTCTTGAAATCAGTAACCTCGTCTTCAATCTGGTGCAAATGACTCGTCCAGAACGTTGATAAGAAATCGTCGAGCGACTGTCCCGATTTGATTAGCGTCTGCGATGTGCTCATTCGGCCGGTATATCGATAGTGAAGGTAGAGGAAGAACAAGAGAACGGTTTAATTTATAAAGAAATATACAGTTTATTAATGTATTCAATTTACATTCGCGGCTTTTGTACCTCAGTCGGTCTCCATTTCGTTGTATTCCTCTGGGTGTTCCCTAATTTGAGCTTCTGTAGGGAGCTTTGGAAGCTTATCACCATTCTCTGGGTCGTCAATGATACTGTTGATAGTCTCTACTAGTCTTCTCTTGTAGATTTCTGATCTTTCACTTTGGAGGTAGAACTAGTAATATTTGAGTGGATACACGCGTTTATTTGAATCTACTTACGAAATGTACGGCACCGCTAGAAGCAAACGTAAGCTTAAACGTACGTCCAGATGGCTCCTCATCGACGCGTGTAAACTTGCTATCTTCAGGGAAGAGAAGGTTCTCATCTTCTAGACTGTCTGTAGCGCGTGATCTCCATGCTAATTTCGTATTAAGTTAGCTCAGTTTGTTGGTATACGTAATCACCTACAGAGACGACACAATCCATCTTGCACATCTACTTCAAGCTGTCCCTTATCCGGAAGAAATTCAACTCTATTTGATTCACCCGCTCTGAATCCTCTACCTGCTCTGAGTGTTATAAGTGACATCCTGACGTAAGTGATCAAGGAAGAAGATCGTTCGTAGAAATTCACTATTAGATTTTTACTAGAGAACCTTTAAGGTATCTATTCATTAGCATTTAGTAGATTATTCTTTCTTTCATCCACTCGATTGCAGCCGGGATGTCAATGTGAGTACATCGAGGAGTATGTGCTTATATTGGTTGGAGTAAGATAGCTACGCGTCCGTCATATGCAAAGATCGATCTAAAGGATATGTGATAGGCTAATATTAAAGCTCCGGATTATTTGAATAATTTGAGTTCAAAGCGAGATATACCGCATGAGCATGTTTATGAACTATCTAATAAGTCAATTATACATAATTATCTTTTTTATCCACAAATTTACGCTTTATTTCTTCTCTTTGAGCTCAATAGTGAGAAATTTCAGCGGAGGCATGTGTAAATTCTATTTAGTCTGAATATTTACTTAAATCTCGAGAATGCAGACTAAATGCGGATATAAATACTGCACAGTGTTACACTTTCTTTCCTTACAACTCTCTAGTTCTTCTCTTCTATTACAATGATCGCCCAAACCGTCTTCGCTGCTGCTCTCGTCGCCTCAGTCTCCGCTGGCTGGGAATCAAAGACTGGCTCATGTAACACTGGCAAACTTTCATGTTGTGACACCAACAAGAAGGTTGAAAAGTCAACCGGTGAAGAATCAGGTCTCCTCCACACTGGTGACATCCTCGATCAAGTTGCTATCCAATGTACTCAAGTCCCATTACTCATTGGTGTCGCTATTGAAGACGAGTGCAAGAACACTCCAGTAAGTTGATTATCTTTTTATTATGACAACTTCTGATGAAATTTTTAGGTCTGTTGTGAAGACACCGAGCAAGATGGTCTCGTCGGTATTGGCTGTACCCCAGTTCCACTCATCTAAGCTCTTATTTTAGCAAGCGAAGAGCTCTTTGTACTAATTTATTTATGCTTGGGCTAGATCCTTTCTTTACCCCGTAATAATTGAAAATTTTGCCATATTTTTGTGTATCTCAAAATGTGATTATGTGATTGTTGAATTATCGAATTGTCTCAATGTTATTATTTATTGTTTAAATCTCAATTTCGCTATATATGCAATTCACGTAACCCAGATAAGTTGATATGTAAGATTTACACTTATACTATTTAGCTATTCCTGAATTATACCAGCTATAGAAATAACGTTCAATAAAATTTGAAGACCTCGTTTCAACTCCCGAGTAGCTCGTTATCTCTTCACACTCTACTATGGTCAAGCGTGCAGCAAACGATCGCAAGGAGAACGCTAGTAAGCGTACTAAGTCAACATTCAAGAAAGAAGAAGAAGTGCCATCTAAGAGGAAAGCGCCAATCACTAGTGCAGCTCCAGCAAATGAAGAAGATAGTGAAGAAGACGAAGGATACGAGGAAGTACCAAATGAATCTGATGTAGAGGAAGAAGTTGAACCGTCAGATAATAACGATAAAGCCGCCAGTCAGTATAGTTTAATATCATTACAACACCCAACTAACAGTTTTATCAGGTAATAAAAAGGTGCATGCAGAGCAAAAGGAGAAAGCAGCACTTAGAAAAGCACAAAAACCACACTCTGAGCTCGTCGCTAGAGCTAAAATCCATTGGGAGAAAGTTAGACAAAATAAATCTATGACTAGAGAAGAACGCCAGCAACATTTGGATCCACTAATGGAAGTTGTAACAGGACACGTTAAAGATGTTATCTTTAAGCACGATGCGAGTCGTATCATTCAATCTATCGTCAAATGGGGAAGTCGCAAAGAGAGAGAAATTGTTGCACAGGAGTTGGAAGGTACTTACTTGCAGTTAGCCCAAGATAAGTACGCCAATGTACGTTACTTGCACTTTCTTCTCATGCCTTTCTAACTCAATATAGTTCCTACTCACAAAACTCATCAGATACTGTCCAACTCATAGGTCAAAGATCTTAGCTTCGTTCCATGGTCATGTACCTAGATTGCTTCTCCATAAGTACGCCTCTGGTGTTATAGAAGATGCTTTCGCTTTGTACGCTAACGCGGAAGATCGCCAAGCGCTCGTTCGTGACTTTTACGGTAAAGAATTCGCTTTATTCAACGATGACGAATCAAAGAAGGGTAAAGTACTCAAAGACCTTCTTGCAAATGAGTCACAATCAAAACGTGAGATGATGATGGACAACGTCCGTAATACACTTCAATCAATCTTCGAACACTCAGACAAAGGCGCAGTTTCACATTCTATAGTACATAGAGCACTCTGGGAGTATATGTCTTCACTTGAATTCGTTTACGGTGAAGTTGAAGCTGACAAAAAGCGCAAATCTTTACTTGAAGATTGTGACGAATTACTTCCAGAAATAGTCCACACTAGAGATGGTTCTAGAGCCGCTAGAGAATTCATCGCTACTTTGACAGCAAAGGAGCGTAAAGTTATTCTTAGAACGATTAAGCCACATATAGAGAAAATGGCTACAGATGATCAAGCTCAATTTGTACTCTTCACCGTCTTAGATGCTGTTGATGATACCAAAGCTTTATCACAGTCAGTTATCGCACCAATGACGAAAGCAGCCGAAGAATTGGCATTTGACAAAAATGGTAGAAGATCTTTGCATTATCTTACCACCCCAAGATCTACAAAACATTTCACACCTGCTTTCATCGCAACTATTGCAGAGACTGACGAATCATTGAAAAAGACTTCCAAAAAGGATGCTAATATTAGAAGAACTGAAATTCAAAAGGCGTCAAGTGCAGATTTGTTAAAGATTGTTGAAGAAATACCAAGAAAACTAATCATGGATGCTGGTGGTAGTTTGATATTAAGTGATATTATGCTTTACACTGTAGGAGGTAAGTGATATGTCTTTAATGATGACGCCTGTTAATCCAAAATAGATAAGTGCAAAGCATTAGACGCTTTAGCTGGTTTGATCGAAACAAGCAGTGATGTCTTAGACTTCGCTCCTGCTTCTAGGGTATATAAGACAATCCTCCAAGGTGGAAAGTTTGACAAGAACACAAAGAAAGTTGAAGTGAGTGATCCAGAGATGGCAAAGCAAGCTGCAGAGAAGATCTGGAAAGCATTACAAGCTCATGCAGTAAAGCTCGCAAAGACGTCAGGTACATTCATATTGGCTGAGCTTGCTGAAACCGCAGCTGTTCACAACTTGAGCGCCATCAAAGAAGAATTACTGAATGAATTTGACAGCCCACAACGTGAGGAGATTAAGAACTCGGATGCTAAAGGAAATACATTGTTGTTAGAGAAACTTGATAAACTCAAGTGAATAATACGAAATGCATAATTTATTTTTAGAGGGTTTTATCATTCTGTTGTTAATCTTTACACTCTTCAGAGTTACACCGATAGAGGCTTCCTCGATGACGTCCATGTTGAAAGAGAAGGAAGAGCCTCGATATTTCGCTGGTTTAAACACGGCACAGCTAGAGGGTTAGTAGACTACTAGCTTATAGAATATTTAATCAATACCCATCCTGCTATACTGCATGAACCGCTGTCTTCACTTCAAATATTGGCTGGTCCGGGTTCAGGTAAAACTCGCGTATTGACGACCAGGAGTGAGTCAATCGTATCATTTGCTTGTCAGTCTAATCTCTACAAAGTCGCTCATATGATCCTTCATCATAATATCCTTCCTAACAACATCGTCGCCGTCACTTTCACAAACAAAGCAGCAAACGAAATGAAAACCCGTTTGAGGTCGCTGATAGAACCTAGTAAAGTTGAGAGTCTTGTAATGGGTGCGTTACATTTCATTCCCTCGACATCGCCTTTACAATATCGAAGGTACATTCCACTCAGTTTGCTTAAGATACATAAGGTTATACGGGAAGCATATGGATCCACCTATGCCAAAGGATTGGTCCATTATTGATGCAGGAGATGCGTAGGATATCAATTTTACGTCATCGTCTAATCTAACTTCTTGCAAATAGTAAGGATCTCGTCAGCCAGGTCTGCAAAGCAGATGAAAAGCTTAAAGGGATGGCAGACTACTGTCGTAACCAGATTTCCTGGTATAAATCTAAGCGTATCGATCCAGATGATTTACGCGATATGGCAGAGGTAGAAACTGATTTCGGCAAGAAGAAGAGTAAACTACAATTAGTTGGTGTAAGCTACATGCTATAAGTTGACCGTGATCTTATACCACTTTATAGGTCTATGAACAATACCAAAAGAAGTTGAAGGTTCGCCAAAATCTTTTACCTATCACTACTCCCTTGACCCGTTTTAGAGCATAAATTGTCTCGATTTTGATGACATTCTTTTAGAAGGCTGTCGTGTATTCGAGCAAGTCCCATACGCTAAGAACAATATCCAAGTCATGTTAGTTGACGAGTTTCAAGTGGGTTTCTTCGTCCGATTAAGTGAACATGCTCATGTTTTAAGGATACAAACACTGTCCAATACCAATTGATGACTCTAATGGCGCACACCGGCTACGTTAGCATTGTCGGTGATCCAGACCAGAGTAGTACGTATTCAGTCAAACTTTTGGATATCCTTTTGAAATGCTTTTAGTTTACGGTTGGAGAGCGGCTGAAATTGGCAACCTCTCCCGTATGAGAAGAGGTAAATAGTTACTTATAAGCGTGATGACGATTTAAGAATTTCTAGATTTCAAGGACACGACTGAAATTTTCCTTGAACAGAATTACCGTTCCTCAGGCGCAATAGTCAAAGCTGCAATGACAGTTATGTCTCAAGGTTAGAGTCGTTCAACTTCTTTTCGTAATCAGGTCTGATGAGTCTATAGACAAAAGCAGACCACAAAAGTCACTCCAAACGGACCATCCTGATGGATCACCTGTCACACTCAAAAGATTCGAAGATGGTGAAGATGAAGCTTATTGGATCGCCAAAGAAATCAAGAGAATGATCGCTCATTCAGGTAACAAATTACGGTTTGAAGATTTCGTCATCTTGCGTAAGTTGCTGTAGTTAATGAAGTTAACATTAACTCAAATTACAACAAGTTCGTTTTAACGCTCTCTCACGTACCGTTGAATCAGAATTGAACAAAATGAGAATCCCAGTTAGAGTCCTCGCAGGCACAAAATTCTTTGATCGTGCTGAAATCAAGGATATAATGTCATATTTAGCACTTCTAGTAAATCCTAGTCATTCACCAGCACTCAGACGGGCGATTAATACACCAAAGCGTGGTATGGGACCAAAAAGTGTTGATGAAGTTATAAATATAGGTGAAAAAGCTGGGGTCCCACCGTTTACTATGCTTCATGATGGTCTTGTCAAAGACGAGAAAGTGAAAGGATGGAAAACGAGCTGGAAAAAGCTTGCTAGCTTCGTCGATCCTTTAAATGAAGCACGGGAATCTCTTTACAAAGGTAAAGGCTTGTCTCAGATAGTTGACGGGCTCATAAATGATATACAATACAAGGAGCATCTTGGAACATCTTGCAAGAACAAAAGCGAATTTGAATCTCGTGTAGAGAATTTAAAGGAATTACTGTCTTTTGCTGCTACTATTGATAGAGATTTTGAGGATGGTACACTCTTCAAAGAAGATGAGGAGTTTGATTCTGTTAAGGATCAAAATTATGCTAGAATTGGTAAATTCATGGAAATCTCTTCTTTAGATGTTAGTTTTAACACTGAGAATGATATCAATGAGGCTTTGGTGGGTTTTTTTTTTGACTTGTTTTTTGACTGACATCTATGGTAGGGAAAAGTTACTATTTCAACCATTCACAGTGCTAAAGGTCTCGAATGGCCTGTTGTTTTCTTGCCAGCCGTCGAATCAGGTATTATACCGTTCTACAAATCTGAGACAGACGAACAAGAGAGGGAAGAAAGGTACGCGATGAGATTGTAAAAAATGTCAACTAATTACAATTCAAGACGTTTGTTATATGTCGGTATGACACGTGCCAAAGCGACGCTCAATATAACACATGCTGAGAATCGTATGGTGGCAGGTATGGTTCTATACTCTAAGCTGATTGCAAAATTGACAAGAGTTATCAGGATCCATGAAGTATAGAGCTGTTTCAGATTTCTTGCGTAATGTATTAAACTTCGACGTAAGTATGTCATTAATAAAAAAAAGGCCTTTACTAAGACAAATACTAGTGTTTCCAAGATGAAGCTATGCTCATTGATAAAGGCTTACGAGAGCAGATATTCTCCATCCTCGGTTTGGAGAATGTCGATGAAAAGGAGCTTGCAGAAGCTATACAGGAATAGTTAGTTTACCCTTATAACCTAAAATACCTTATTGAACTACGTTAGTAATAAAATGTTCAAGTATGACCCAAAAGATTTTAGGAGGTATGTGTTTACATAGTCTCAAAATTGTTATCTAACAAAAGCACGTATAGTGGTGGCTATACGTCAACCTCCGTAAGGGATTATAGAACCAAATATCGCTCCGAAGAGCGTCTTAATCCATCATTCGAAGTTAAAAACGCAGGCATGGTATTACCTAGTCTTAACAAAGTATCGAAGTCATCTACAGGTTTCACTGCTGGTTACAAGAACAAGCCGTTTGTTGCGCCAAGACCAGCCAACCCACAGGTTAAAGCGGAAGTCGCAACTTCAAGTAATGTATTAAATAGCTACTCAAGTGACTCAACGGGTATGTCCAAAGCGTCAGACAGCAAACGAACAGCAAATCTTCAGACGTTTCAAGATGATGCTAATTCTTGGAAAGATAGCCTCAAGGTTCTTCTTCCAGTCTCTTCAGATAATGAAAGTGATGTCAAACCAGTCAAGAAGAAAAAGAAAAACTCATGAGATAATATATTTATTATAGTATGATTGAAGCTTTATTTGATAAATCTATTTATTCTTGTCATTCTCCTCCTCTTCCTCTTCATCATCTGATCTCTCGTCTGCTAGATGGTTGTATAGGAGTGCTCTAATGAGAATTCTCCAGATAAGGAAGTACCAGAAAAGATTAAGAAGCTGTAATGCAAGTATTGGTAAGAAAATCTGGTATTTCATCCAGTCTACCATCCAAACACCGTCTGGTGTCCACCAACGCCTAGCTTCTGATGGAATAAGGTCAAATTCGTACCAAACGGACCAAAGGATTCTGAGGTTGAGCCAATGACGCATGTAACTTATCTCAATTAGTATGAAAAAGTGATCAAATAGTTAGATACTCACGACCAAACCAGTATGAAGAATCCGAAGATGAAGTTACCCACCCAGTGGCCTGGTCTGACATAATTGAAACACTTTGCGAGCTATATAGAACGTCAAGTAAGATCACTTTTTCTTTTATAATAACTTACAGCTAGGAAGATATCTGAAACATCCATTGTCACAAAAATTGCATTTCCAATCATGCTGAGGTTGATAAGGTAACTCCAAAGGACAAGCCAGAGAGTTACAATATGCTTGAGTGTAGAATTTAGAAAAAGAAGATAGTTGTTATGTGATACTCACATGCATAATAAGTTCGTTGAAATCCTTACGAGGTTTCTCCAAACCGAGGATAAGAACCAACATTTGTTGAAGCCAATAGGAAGTTTGAAGGAGGTAGTAAAGTTTAATATGTGGCTTCATATCCCAATGTGGGTAACCTAACCAGAAATGTTCAGTTTTATACCACCAAGTTGGCTCTTGATACATGACCCAAATACCAATTGCGCCTGAGAATGAGAAATAAATGAATGTGTAAGCTTGTTCTAAGAATCTGAGAACTTTAGCTTCTTTTCTGACACCAAGTTTGTAAGCTAATGGGCGAAGAAGGTAGATAGTGATGAATTGTCTCGTAAATGAGAATACTACGACATAGAAGAGTACGAATAGGATGTCCTAGAACTTTTGTCAACTCTTGTTATGAAAGATTGCATATTCACGCACTTTGTAAGACTTGGCGTAACGTACTGTGCCTTCTGGATCCTCTGGGTGTCTAGGTACAGGGTTGGAGAGTAATAGAAGAGGTTCAAATGGGTTGAAAGCGCCTGGTGTGAATTTACGCCAATTGAAGTAGGCTATGACGGTTATTACTATCATTTTGAAGGAGGTGACTGTGTGTGTTGTTAGACTATACAATGGAGCCTCTTCTAACTATCTTACTAGGGTGTACCATCCATTTCATCGTTAATAAGTCGATAATGAATCCTCTAGACTCATCCGAGACTGGCTTCTTAGAGCGCGTCGGCCGGCTAATATAGTTGCTTAGATAGTGTGTTAGGATATGTGAACTAGTTCACCCACGCCGCTTTGCTAGTTTGCTCTACTGAATGGCCGGAAGCAGGTATTTCGCTAATAAGCGTCAATTATGACTATTTGCTAATTAGAAAACTCTACCTTATATCTGTTATAGCATTTGATATTGAACTGGAGGACCTTTGCCTCGTGCGTACTTTCGGTTCCGTCATGATAGCTCAATATCAAGAGAGAAGACATGCACAGTTCGCTCGGATAATTTTTAAGTAGAAAGCAGACGCGTAATATACATTTATCGTTTCATGATATATTTATCGTGTTCGTAGAGATGTGATACTTTCCTCAGACTCTTCATTGTCTTGTATGTTGTCTGCTTGAGCGACCTGAGCGTTATCAGAAGCTATATACGGTGAATACGCCATGCTTACATTTCTCAAGACATTCTTTTTTGATGATTCCTGCATTTCTCCGCCAATGATCAGCTCATCTAGTATCTGTAGAGTCTTAGTGTTGTCCGCATGAGTTGATAACACTAACAGAATAGGCTTTCTGGAAGTTGAATATGCTAATAAACGATAAGGGTATGTTGTATAGTATTCCTCAAGACTTACAGGTCTAATTCACAAACCTGTCCGTATAATTAGCGCATTATCAACCAATAAACTGAATACTAACGTTTCCAAAGTATCTATCGAGTACTTCTACATATCTGTGTATAACTTCTAAGGCTATAAGTTCATTCTCGCCTTGTGAAATGCCGCAGACGAAGAATAATGATGCGTATCTACGGTATACAACCTTTGAATCTAATACAAGGTTAGTATAGTTAAATCATACGCTATTATATACCTTTGTATTCTAAAAAGTTACACATTCTCGTTCTTCTCGATAAAACTAACTGAGTAACATCCTTGATTATCTTTGCCTTTACTTTAGGTTGAGTGGCCATGAACCACTTTGCTAGCCTTACTTTCCCTTGACGGGATACCAGTAGCACCTTTCTCTTTATTAGATTATTCTATATACAGTTTATTAGCCTACGTAATTCATCATGGTTGAGAACAAACGATCATCAGAGACAAATGCTAGATAGTTAATCTCTAATGAGATCAATACGTAAGCTCTCAGATGAAGCACGCAGTGGCATACGGAGCGCCTACATCATTACCTCGGTACAGCAGCTCACCAGGGAGTTGTTAGATAACGCGATAGAAGCAGACTCTACACAAATACAGGTTCTTATCTCCTTAGATGACTGGTCTATTAAACTAACCGATAATGGTATTGGAATACAGAAAGATAGTCTCGCAGAGCTTGGAAGAAGTCATATGAGCTCAAAGAAGGGCTCCAAAGGCGAAACCTTAGCCAGCATTTCCCAGCTAGCATCACTTAAGATCACTACACGACATGCAAGCTCATTATCGACTCACACGCTTATCGCCAGAGCCGGTCACTCTGTGTACTTCGGGTTAAGCTTAGATGGCAACCGCTCGAGTAGAGGGACAGTAGTAACAGTAACAGACATATTTGCCAATATACCTGTGCGTCGCAAATCGCTCAACAAAGCCAGGGAAATACATGGTATCAAGTCAGACATGCAGTCTCTCGCTCTGGTGCATCCCGAAATCGCCTTTGAGTTGCGCAACTCACAGCAAATACTTATACAACTTCCTCCGGTGCGTCTTCACTTTCTATATCTTCTTAACTGACGTCAAGAAGTCGCACGATACTGTATCACGGTTCCGCGAGATATTCGGCTATGCTCTCGCAGAACACGTCGAGGAGATCAACTACCATGGATCAGATCACGTTGTTGATGGATTCATGAGTCTCGAATGTGCTCATAGTCGTGCCTATCAGTACATATTCGTCAACAGCCATCTGATCGTCGCTGGAGACCTCCACAGCGTGGTGAGCACAACATTTGCAGAGTCTTCATTCGGTGTCATGGCAAATGAGCCAGCTTCGATGGAATCAAGTGGGTGCCACATTAAATATAATATCAAGTTGACACTCAGTAGATGCCTCCAGGAGACATGCTCAACGTTATCCTGTCTTCTTACTTCACATTCACATCCCTTCTAGTATTCTAGAGAGTACATATGATCGACATCACAGGATGTTTTACATTGATGTGAGTAGATTTCACGAAGATGGTATGTACTAATGAGAAAAAGAACCAAGCATCGCTTTCAAATACCTTGAAGCAACTCGTGATTGACTTTCTCGTCAAGTACAGCTTTATTTCACCAGTGGCGGAGTCATATACTAGCGCTTCCAACCCAAGACACTCACAAGCAACAACGCTTTCCAAGAGTGTTACTGCGAATAAGAGGGCGGTCAGTGATTCAGCTGTAAGCACACAACAGAGTGTTCGGTCAGTTACGAGTGTGAGTATTAATTTCTTTGAATGTAAATTCTAACATCACTTAGCCTCAACCTTCGAGGGATACAAAAAAAGCCAAGAATGAAAATGCATCGAGAACATCTCAACAAAGACGTACAATTGACGTACATGGTATAAACTCCACACGAACGTCCAAATCCGACTGGCTCACCAATGTGCTCAACAAGTGGAATAACCCCACATATAGGCTTCTCAAGAGTACGACAGCCACCAGTGTAGATTCGTCAGAGAGCCGACGAGAATCGTTCAAATTGACAAAAGCAGATATAGAGAATGCCAGGGTGGTCGGACAAGTAGACGACAAGTTCATAATGGCGGTCGTCACGACAAAGAATGCACTCGTTGCATTCGACCAGCATGCTGTCGATGAACGTATCCGCGTTGAAAGATATTTAGAAGCGCTCATACGACGAGATGATATCGTCCTTGTCGATCCACCTATTGGAACACTCTTGACGTATGAGGAAATGCGCACTCTGGGCACCAATGTTGAAACAGTCGAGCAATGGGGTTTCCTAATTGACATAGATATCAAGCCATCGCAAGAACATTATGGACAGGTATTCGTGAAGACGCTCCCTGGAGTCATGCATGATAGACTTATCCGCGAGCCGAAACTCGTTCAGGATATTATCCAGGAGGCTGTCGCGAGGGGCATGAATGAGTCGACGACGCTGAATTGGCATGTTATGGTAGGGCTATGTCCACCGACTCTACTATCATTAGTAAATTCCAAAGCATGTCGGAGTGAGTTATTTCAAATTTCGCTACTTTTTGACTAACTATGCAGATTCTATTAAATTTGGTGATACTTTATCAATGCGAGATTGTGAGATGCTTCTACAGTCATTGTCACATACGAAAAATCCCTACCAATGTGCACATGGAAGGTAAGTCTGCCAATTTAGCCATTGAAATAACTGATGCGTTATTTAGACCAACGGTAAACCCACTAATCAGACTATGATAGATTTTAATATGCAAATTATATGTATTACATTATGCAGTTGCTGCGAAAGCTGTGTTCCATTTCTCAAGCATGGCAGCTTGGTCAGCCTCGTCCTCCTCCTGTCGTTGTTTACGATATGCGGACAAGTCCCAGTCTTCTCCTTCGTCTTCAGATTCATCTTCGAACCATTCGGCGTTGAATGTGAAGAGATCTCTACCGGACATACCAACTTGACGACCAGCTGCGTTAGTTGCTTCCTTAACTTTCTTGACAGCTTCATGCTCTGCTTCCTTCTTGTCAACACGATCTTTCTTCCATTTTGCGAAGCTCTCCGCAGTGACTGGTGTGAGGTTTGAACCGAGCTTATGTCTCTCAGTTTCCAAGAAGGCCTCTATCGTGATCTCCTTCTTGTTCTTACCCTCCTCAGCCTCACGCTTCTTTTGTGATTTCAAAACGAAACCTTGTGGAAGTGCGTGTCTGTAATGACACTGCTTGCCAGCTTTCTGGTCCTCATTTGGACAAGACCAGAACCAACCATATTTACTATCCTCGATAGCTTGGATAAAGAATTTACAGACGATATCGGTCGTCGATTTTGGATTACCGTGCTTAGAAAGAACAACCTCGCGAAGTTTGTCGTCGTCCCATTTATCCATAGTATCTTGTTGTTGCTGCTCTTGGTCTCTGGCGTCTGAGTAGATGTCCTTCTTCTCGACCTTTGGTTTACCGTCTGAGTGTAAGAATTTACATTTCTTTCCCTTTTCACAGAAACCAGCCTTGAAGTATTGACAGACGATAGTCTTTGGATCAACGCCAAATGGAATCTTATAGGATTAGAGGGTGGTTGACTATATAGCAAAAACTCACTCTCTGTGGCGGTTGTGAACCAGCTAAGAGTTTAGCCTCTTCTGCAGCCTTCTTCTCAGCTTCTCTTCTTTGTTGGGTCTCTATTTGCCTTTGACGCTCCTTATCAGTTGCGTCCTTTGATTTACCCTGCTGTGCTTGCTCTTGAGTAATTCTCTGCACTTCACGCTGTCCTTTACCACCCCTGGGTTTGTTAGAAGGCCTTTCTTAGTTCTAAAAAAGTTCTCACTTTTTGTTCTTCATACCGAAAGTCTTTATTTCGTTAGTAAATCGCTTAAACTGCCTATTAAAAACCCACATTGTCTACTTTTGGCTTGGCTTTCGACTTCTCATTCTTTTGTTGCTTCTTCTTGTTGTCTGCCTTTGCTTTGTCCGGCATTCTACTTTATTACTATTTCTATATACTCTCTATAACGCTCACTCACGTCGACGTCACTAATCAAGAAGTCAATTTTTATGTGCACCACTAGTAATACATCATTTAAAATATATAGAAAAATATCTACACCCTTATTCATTGTTTACTCCATTGTTTTATTCTAGCCGCAACCCCAGGGAATTTTTCTTCACTTTCGTCTTCCTTAAAGTACATCGTCTTCGGACGACTCTTCGCTAATACGATTGGTTTTGGTGATATAGCAGGTCCTGTTTTCTTCTCTTTCGCAGTCGCTTCCAAGTTCTCAAACTTGCTTACTACATTCCCAATCGATGTTGAACGCTGATGCTGCTTCACCTGAAGACTATGTCTTCTTGGTAATGTTGCGCCCTTCTTACTCACGCTATCGACAAGCGGACTTGCGGATGTCGAAGTTCTGACCTTTCGTTCTGGTTCTGGCTCTGTTGGTGAGATATCTATGAGTTTTTCCGCTATATCCTACGTCAGTTGGGTGTCATAAATAATCTGCATCACTCACGCTCAGGACTCTGCTCATGAATTTGAATAGTAGGCGCATCTGGCTGAACAGGCGACGATGGTTCTGAGATATCTATAAGCTTATCCGACTTCTTTTCAGCGGCAGGTGTATCAGGTGGGGACACATCAATCAGATTACCGACTTTGAGTCCAATTGGTTTACTAGGTTTATCTGGTTTACTGGTTTGATTGTCTATGATCTCTTCCTGCTTATTGGAGTCATAACTTTCAGCATCATCCTGTATAACTGGAGAAGGAAGTTTCTCGGACTGCAGCTTGGAGCGCTCCTCGTCCTTTTCGACCAACAATTGCAAATTAGATTTAGCAGTTTGTCCACTTTGGTGTCTATTGTTTTGCACATTTTGCTGCTTAATTTGATGTCCATTTGACTGCACACTTGGCTGTACACTTGGTTGTACACTTGGTTGTACACTTGACTGTCTACTTGGCTTTTCATTTTGCGAAGCTTTGCTTTCCTCTTGCTTATCATTTTGCTTTTCAGTTTTATCTTCTTCCTGGTTACTCGTGAGGGGATAGCTCAGCTCATCCTTGAGTGATTGGAGATTACTTAGAGGATCAGTCGTCTGTTGAGTGTATTGTCTACCAACTGAATACTCAATATCTTCCGGTTCGTCATCGGAAGAAGGTGGTGATTGTTCCTTGCTTGGAGGTACGTCCATATTATCCATCAAATTAACACCATTGCTGGTATTCTCCTGGCCTATCATGGCCACATCTTTCGGTACACGAAGATGACGAGGGAGGATCTCCTCAATTACAAGCCCATCAGGGCTTTCTTCCTGTGGATCAGTCGTACTCTTCACATCCACATCTATTAAGATGTCTTTCTTTGAGCGGTTCTCAAATTGATCACCAAAGGCGTCCAAATCTGGAAAGCGTGCTGCAACATTTTTGAATTCTGGGTCAACTGGGTGGTTCTTCGGCAAATCTTTGAGATGGTTAGGCAAGGATTTCGACATTTTTGGTTGGAGAAGTTGTTTAGACGACACCTCTTTGATTTCCCAAGGGTCGTCTGTCTTCTCTCTATGTGGCTGCTGTATAGATGATCCCGTTTTGAGTTTTATAGGTCTACCTCTCCGTTGAGGTGTTACGTCAGAAGGAGAAAGGAAATGGCTTGGTTTGGTGTGTATAGCTTCCTGCTTGGCTGGGACCTTCGAAGGACTCTTAGTTGGACTCTGAAGAGGTCTTCCTGTCTTGATAGGCATAGGTGATGGTTGCTTGACGGGTTTTGAAGGTGGTGGCTGACTGTGTTAGAACTAAAGAAGGGAGATTCAATACTTACTTTGAATTCATGCATTGTTCCACGCATTTGATGTACTCTCTTGAGAATTTCAACTGCAGATGGACGCTGACTGGATTGCTCGCGGAGCATGGATGCTATGATGAATGTTAGACAATCACAAAGAGCATTATAAAACCCACAAATAAGTGTGTTCAGAGATGACGAATAGAGGGGATAATTTGGTATGGTATACTGTACGTTGAGGATAGCGAGTGGACCATTCTGCTCGAATGGAGTGGTATAATAGCAGAGTTTGTATAATAGAACACCGAGTGCCCAAACGTCAGCTTTTTCGTCTATAATTCTACACTGGTATGGGTCAACCATTTCGGGTGCTCTATATTGAATTGTCGTGTGTTTGTTAAGGTCAGCTTCGAGAGCTTTTATTTCATCCAAATTTGAGGGTTTATAGTTTGGTTTTAGGTGAGTAGCTGAACCGAAATCGCATAGTTTAAAAGACTTTGGACCTGACTGGAGTATGTTCTCTATCTTAAGATCTCTATGGAGAATTGACAAGGAGTGCATATGAGCGACTGCGTCTGTAACAGCGACGAAGATATCCAATATCTGAGATTCTGTCAGACGCGTCTTCAGGTGTCTGTTCATTAGGTCAATCAGTGCACCGCCTAGGGATGTTAGGTTTGGTGTATCGGTAGTGTATACGAACCTGAGCAATATTCCATTAGAATGAAGACTTCATGTCCACCCTGGGGTAACTTATAGGCTGCTGCGTCTATGAGATTGACGATGTTCGATGAATTCGAAAGCAATTTCATAATTTCAACTTCATTTCCAACTAATTTGAGATCATCTAGGTTATCAACAGCTATTCTCTTCAGTACATGCTTGTATGTGTTGTTTATTGGCGTGCTAGATGTACAGATGTAGACGTGTGCGTAACCGCCTATATATCGAGAGATGAGCAGAGATAGCGAGCAGAGAATACTAACCGGATGTGAGGAATCTATCTATGTAGACGTTATGTATCCCTACTTTTATTTTGGTCGACTTAGAGAGAATAGAAGGCGGCATAGATGATGGTTATAGTACAACAAGAGATAAGAGATAATTAGTCTAAAATCTGGAAGGTATTTCTCTCTAGCTGATGTCTGTCAGACGGCGGATGTTCTGTGTACTGTTCTACACACCTCGTTCTCCAATTCGTACTTTATAGACTGTACGCTGTCTGGGCTGACTAGTATATGCTGGAGATCTAAATCCTGGACAATAAACTTTGATTTATCGTTCAAATTGAGTATAATCTGCTTGACAGCTGGATCACTGCTGCTGTTAGGAGATATATAGAATAAAAATAAACGGACCAGCTAATTAAAACGCCTGTATATTTAATAACCCCTTACATTCTCTACTAGACTCACCTTTACTAGCTTTAACCATCACGATGAAGAACAAAAGCAATAAATCTGCGAGTTCTGCAGATAACTCGAGCGATTGGAGATCTAAAGATAAATCTTCAATCGACGACCAAATTATTAGTTTATATAGGAGTTCGCAGCCTTCTCAGCAAATTATCAACAAACGTTTAGAACTCATAGCGAGATTGTCAAACATCATATCTACAAAATATGGCAGCAACTACTCCGTAGAATCTTTCGGGAGCACCTGCTATCAAGTCTCCTCCTCTTCTTCCGATCTAGACCTCGTCATCATTGATAAAGACAGGCCGCATGGTTTTGATCCCTCAGTAGACGTCTATCAGCTCCCATCAGCTTATAATCCAAATAACTTAGCAAAAACACTCTCTTCTAACAATTTGAAGAGCGTCCAACCCATATTTGCTGCTGTTCCAATCGTCAAATTCACCGACCCTGTTACAAACTTACAATGTGATTTAAACGCTAACAATTTAGTTAGTTCACATTCTATTATAGCAATCTACTAACAATGTTCTAGTTCGGTATACGCAATTCCCTTCTCATCAAATCCTACCTTGATTTGAGCCCTATTGCTAGACCATTAGTATTAGCAATAAAGCATTGGGCTAAATTACGCGGTTTGAATGACAGCGCTGGTCAATACGGTCCTACAACTCTCTCATCTTACACCCTCATCCTCATGGTCATCTCTTTCTTACAGTTCATCGGTCACTTACCAAACTTACAAGACGCTGACCAGATAAAAGCCGCTCGGTTACCTGAGCATAGATTATGGGTCCGTCCACCTGTGAAAAGGAGAGATTCAAAGAGAGATCAACAGAAGCCCCCGGTTGAGACAACCACCACACAAGGTGCGCAGGCCGCTCCAGCGATAATTCCCCATCCACCAGATGTCAGAGTATCTTTTGATACCACTTTCGTCAAAAGACCGCTCGGTAACTTCATCCCAACTAACCTCTCACTTTCAACTGCGTTAGCGGGCTTCTTTTACTTCTATTCGAACGAACCAAGTAACTCATTGAATGAATTTTGGGGTATAGATGAACCATTTAATTATGAAACCTCAATCATCTCAATGAAATATGGCGGTATCATACCTAGAGATGACCTTTTTGTCGATATCTACAATAGGAACTTAGACGGTAATATCAATTTAACAACGACATCGGTAAATGTCCAGAAGAACACGACTACGGTGTCTGCTCAACAGCCTCTCCAATGGCGTGAACAGCTCCTGGTTACCCAGGATCCTTTCATCACAACACGGAATACATCTACAAATGTAAGACCTCAAACCTCGAGGCATATAATTGAAGAATTCCAAAATGGCCATAAGGCGATATCTTCTGGGAAGTGTTATGACGATATCTGCAAAAAACGCACAACACCCTTTGAAGGTGAACCAGGACCTGGTTCGTTTCGCAAGGCTCAGAGAAAGGTTACAAATAGACGGAGAAAAGGCAATGGAAAGGGTGAAAAATCAGCAAAATCTACAGCTACGGAAACCAATAAAAAGAGTACCAGTGATAGCCAAAAATCAACCAATAAAGACAAAAGTTCGTCGGAATCTTCAAAACCTGAAGAGAAGGCTGTGAAAGAAGTGAAACGTAAGAGGAAATCACGGAAACCAGCTAATAAATCGACTACTGTCGTTATTCCAAAGAATAACCAAGCAAGTACAGCACAGCCGTGAAGAATCTGCTTGTTTGGAAACTATTTAAGCTATTTATTCTGCATTGTATCATTAAATCGAGTTATAAACAGCCTTGATATCTGCATAACATTCTTCTTACCTTAATGTCATCATCGATCGATAGGAACAATCCACCACCACAGCTGAAGAGGCTGAGACTCTCTGTGGGTGATCCTTCTACTATGGTATTCTACTAACAACCAATAGAGAGCTTGCGATAGATGTAAGCCTCCGTTTAATCTATGATCTAACTAATTCGGCGAATAGGCAGAAAGAGGAAAGTAAAGGTAAATGATAGACAGCGGTGTTTAAGTAATATCTCACACTCTACAGTGCGATGAAGGACATCCCTGTCAATCCTGTATCGCTGCGAGATCTGAATGCACTTTCGTCGCAGAACCACAGAAACCGCTGAAAGCAAAGTGAGTAGTCAGTAGCTAGATATATCATCAATTTACATCTCACTAGGAAGAATATCGCTGAACTAGAAGCCAGAATGACGGCATTAGAAAAGGTTTTAGAATCGATTCCACCCTCGATATCACAGGCAGCGCTCTCTAAATTAGACTACGCACTCACCACAGAGAGCAGCTTCGGTCTTCCTGGCAGCTCCAGGAAACGCTCTGTCGATGACTTCACGAAGTCACAAGACAAGCACGCATTCGAATCAGATGCAGTTGATGCTACAAACTTAGTGGACAAATTAGCTTCATTGTCTATATCCCCTTCTTACCTTTACCTTGACCACGAGGGTAATCCAGCTTGGGCAGGCTCAACTTCCGGTCTACCCCTTATTGATATGCTAAATAACCGCTCTGGTTCAGGCACAAGTAGCGTACCATCTGCTTCCGAACACGGTGAATCTCCTGGAGAGGAACCAGGCGATTTCAACCAGGAGACCTACTTTCCGGGAAGGAAAGCTACGCAAGTCGGGCTGGAGCCTATAATTGTTTGGTCACGTGTTACCTCACTCATTCCAGTCGACCTCATGAATACTCTCATCAGAACATATGTAAGTATAATCAAAAGTGAGACAAGTTTAATCTAACAGTTTGAAGATGGCAACAACACATTTGCTGTGGCCATTTCTGCATATACCCACATTTTTAAAGGTGAGTGCACTCTATAATCGTGTAAGTGACTTATTTCCGTAGGATTACGCAACTCCAAGTTCATGGGGTGAACCTGGTTTCGCATCTCTCGTAGTAGCAATATGTACAATAGCATCTAGACATGTTGACGATCCTCGAGCTCGCAGTGACCCGAATGATCCAGCTTCTAGTGGGAAGCACTACTTTACTCTTTTCTCACAATTGCGCGATTTTCCACATAACGAGAGTGGAAATGTCTACTACATCCAAGCGACATTCCTTGCAGCCGTATATGTGAGTTTTTAGGTACGAATGATCTTGGCTAACAAATAGCAGCTCATCGGTGGTGGAAAATTAGCAAAGGCATTCGCGCTCCTCGCTGAGAGTATCACTCTCTCCATTGACTCTGGTCTACATAGATCACTCGACCATTATGACCTCACTGACAAGATATGGTCTGAAATTCGCAAGAGAACATTCTGGTCGATATTCTGCTGGGATAAGCAGGCTGCTGCTGCATTCGGCAGGCCTCCTATGATTAGACTCCGTGATTGCGATCTCGAGGAACCGTTGGATGTCGACGATCAGTATTTGTCCGACGAAACAACATCACAGCCAGCTAACCAACCGTCGAGGATCAGACCGTTTATACACATGATTCGCTTGCATGTCGTACTTGAGCGCGTTCTCGATGGTTGTAATCTGCCAGCCGTTTTCCCATCTAGCTCATTCTTAACAAAGGCTGCTGCAATCGGACAAGACAGGGCACTTGAGAGCGCTGAGGAGCTACTCCAGGAATGGCGAAATCAGTTACCGGAAGATCTGAAATACACGCAGGCTACGATCGCGAGTAAAGATGCATACCGGCTGACACAATCTGAGCGCCTCCATTGCCTCGAACAACTCACAAGTATGCTCGTATATAGACATAAATTCTCAACGGCTGCGATCGCCTCTGAGAAGCTCTCTGAGATCCAGATAGAGGACCAGGATGGTATTGTCAACAGAAGTCGTCAGCAATATCAGCATATAGCCCAACAAACTGCGTTGACTATAATCGCTGCCCACTCGCATATTTCGAGGAGAGGACTCTTGACGCATTATGGCGTGCATGTTATCCACCAGCTTACGCAAGCTGGACGCACACTCGTTGCTGTCGTCCTCCAATCGCGGAAGAATAAAGAGAAATCCTCAATGTCGGTGTCTTTAGAGGGTCTGAGGGTTGCGGTCGGACTGCTGAGGCAATTTGCGATACGTTATGGCTGCGGGACGAGGAGTTCAGACGTGTTGGTTGAATTTTGCAGAGGTGAGTATGCATAGATTTTGAAATAACCCAGTTGACCATTTGATTAGTTTGCCAAATCCCGGTAGAAGATGAAGCACATATTCCCTCGATTGGACAAGCGTGGCTCAGGCCGGTTCCTCTGAAATCCGAAACTGCGGCACGCAAGCGCAAAGACTCGAAGAGTCCAACTAATGGCGGATTATTCATGCCACTTCCGATGCAATTGAATGAAAGTGAGGGCTCAAATGCGAACATCAACGAGAACTTTATCCAGAATGCAACGAACGCCTCACCAGAGAGCGGAATACTAGGAGGAAGCAACAATAACGCAGACTCAGCAGCTGACATACTCGAACTGCTCAATCAGGGCAAGTTCGACGTCGATGCTCTCCTCGATAGTACGAGTCAAGCGGGAAGAGTGCTCGATGTCCACGATTTCGGGTTGCTTGCACCGCCCGAAGCCTCAACGTTTATGTCATTTGCACCAGATTTCAATAATTTGTAAATTATGAAAAATATTTTTAGATTTATATTCGAGATCGTCTGTTGATCCATACAATCGATGAGATGAATATCAGCGAGGCTAATAATGACAGCTTAAAGGGTAAAACGCCAAAGAAGGGCATTTTAAAGTCACCGCCACCGCCATCGAATAGATTTCCCTTCATTTCACCGATTGGAGACTTGTTCGAGAAGCTGAGCACAAAATCAACAGAAGAGCAGCAAGAACCCCGAGGAGAGTCTAGCCAGACGAGTCAATCCACCGATGGCACCTTTTGGGGCGGTTTCAAGAGGTTGCTCGCTGATGGACCATCTGAAGCACTCGATACGGCTAAAACGTTGCCGAATATCCTCCAGCAGCAATCATCCGCACATAACTCTCCACCGGCTTCTCACTCTGAACCTTCTTTCAAGCGTGTGGCGTTTCACCTTCCTGCTATGACGGTCACTTATCCAATCCACGCCAGCCTTCCACCAAAGGACTCCCAAGAACACAGGCAGCAGGTCGAGAATGCATACAGGGAACAGCTTGCAGCCAGAGTCGGTGGACAGGGGCATGCCTACTGGACAAATGACAACGCGAGAGCTTTGATTGAGCTTTACAGGGATAGTTGCAGGATGCGGGAAGAGTCACCCCGAATGGAGCTCGTAGAACAGCTGCGCACGTCAGCTTCAATGCGCAGTACCCGCTCCCTTGATCTTTCTGGTCTCCATTTGAGCAGAGAGGCGGTTGAGCCATTGGCTGATGTACTCTCCGTCGATTGGGGCCTCCAGAGACTTATTTTGGAAGACGCAGGCCTCACAGATGACAGCATGAAGCCAATTCTGCATGCACTCCTTATTTCTGGATCGCTACCTTGGTTGAGCCTGGCAAACAACAAAAGCGTCAAGGAGAAAGGATGGAAGTACCTCTCTGTCTTCATACGCAGAGCCCATCATCTTGCGTATGTTGACCTTTCGGAGAATGTTATCGACAAGAAGAGTGCAGAGTGCATCATGGCCGCACTTGCAAGACAGAATCTGCGTCATGATGATCAAAATGTACCTAGAGAAGCTCAAGAAACTGAAAATCATCATGTATCATCTGAAAGTCCTCTTATCCCGTCACCCGCTCTCTTGCGCTCGACACACAGAGAGAGCAGCCTCAGTACCATCAGACTGGAAGGCTGCACATTCAAGTCTGGCGCCCTTGAGGCTATCGCGCAAGGACTCAAGAACTCTGCTCTGATGCACCTTTCTTTAAGACGCAACAAGATATCCCCAAATGGCGTAGTCTCTATCGCCTTGATGTTGAAAGATTATGCTGATGCGCCCGTTAATACGACTGATCCATTCTCGCGGTCATCAAACGTGCCAACACGCGGCTTGCTCTCATCTTTCAAGTCCCAGCAGACCGGAGCCGAAGATGATGCTCCTGTTGTCTCCAGTCCATCTGGCAGTGTGACAACCCGCAAGATACCAGCAACAACGATAGCACCTAACGGCGATATCCCTCAGGAACAGTTCAGCTCACCCCGTCTGGAAGACTCCCAGGATAGGCTTGACCTTGGTAGCCATCATCTCCTCAGACACGACATTGGCAGTGGGCTTATTACACTCGATTTGAAAGGCAATGACATACGCGTAAGTCTACCATATAGTTTTGGATCTGACTGACAAGTTGAAGTCGGGTGTTAACTACATAGCTACCGTCTTGAAAAGGAATAAGACACTCAAAGTATTGAACTTGAGTGAGAATAGGATAGATTATCATGGCTTGCTCTCATTATCTGAGGCATTGAAACATAATCACACTCTCGAGACATTAGATTTGAGCAAGAACCCTTGCTGTGGTCCTGAATCAGATGGTGTAAGTAGTGCCAACTATTTGTTCATTCACTCACGCGAAATAGATAACATCGTTGAGGACGTCCTTCACCGTCAATTCGAACATGAAGCGGTTGTTTTTGGCAGACACACAGATGCAATCTGAGGGTGCAATTGCGCTGGCTGAGTTCCTCCCAGAAGCAAGGACGCTCTTGCATATCGTGAGTGCTCTTTCTGCAACATTAGAATTGTTTCTGATTTTATTCTAGGACTTGACGGAAAATGATCTGACGATGTCCGGCTTACTTGCCCTTTCTGTCGCCGTGAAAATGAATGAGTCACTTCGCTGTCTCGACATTAGCATACCAATTAATGATCCAGAGATGGCTCGTCTGAGTCAAGATATACTCCAGTCATGTATCCGCAATACCGAAGCTGCTCAAGAGAAGTCTGGCAAAGGCAAGAGCCTCTTCGGACCAATTGAGCGCTCACTGCTAGCTAAGAAACTACAAGAAGCGGAAGTACAACAGACAACGGCTGCCGTTGTTGCCGCGGCGGAGAGCCCTGAAGGTATGGCTCGCGCTAGTGTCTGGAATAGGACGCCGTCGGAGGTACTTCTCACATCGCAAGAAATCACCAAGAGCTTCACAGGGGTGTTTGCGAAAGGTGACAGAGATGGCATACATTCTTATATCGACGCTAGGCAGTTTGAAGTCCAAGCACTCAAGGATCGCTTAATGGAATTGATAGCCGAGGGTATGGTCGACACTGAGGATGAGATGAAACTCGCTTTGAGTCTTAACGATGATCTGGAAGATTTACTTATCAAGATAGACAACAACAAAAAGCGAACAACGATACGCAGTCGGAGTGTGAGTATAAACGAAGATGAGATGTCAAATCCACACTTCCAGATAATGGGTTCTGATGATTCTGATGCTGAGTCAATCCCACTCGAGACCACGCGGCCACAATTAGCAATATCGACAGATGTGAAAAGTGACAATGAAGAGGAAACACCGAAACCAAGTGAGGATCTCAAAAGTCCTACTTCTGATCTCAGTCGTAGCCAATTGTTTGAAGAAGGTGAAATTTTCCGTAAGGGTACGGCTTTACTCGATGAATCACGCATTGATGGCGAGGAAGACGGCGAGGCTCTCAGGAAAGAGATTCTCGAGACTGAACTCCCAAATCCACCACCTAAATCACCTACAACGCCATAAAGGATCTCTTGAAAGAAAAATAGTCAAATATACCAATTATAGTCTTTTCTTGCTCAAGTAGTTTGAAAGGCGCACTTTAATATTTACCGCCCTGTATATTCTGCATAAGTATTTACATTAATATATTTCATAAATGCCTGGAAATTTACGATACGACAATGAGTGAGTAGAATGTGGCCCACCTTTCTACTAAAAAGTGTGTTATAAAATACATACTAATAATGAGACTTGGAGGTTATATTTACACTTTTCTGTAATCATTATCAAGTGTTTCATTTATATTTCCCTCTTGATTCTCACACCACCCACAGAAGTTAAAATTTTACTGGTATATACAAAACAACTTAAGAAAATGCAGCTAAAAAATAGAATCTTTCCAAGATCCAATACTAATATAATCGAAGTTCTTAAATACATTTTGTAAACCTTACTCTATTAAATAAATCACATTTATGCTTTCTACTAAAACGAAATGAGTTTATACACATATCTGTTATATGAAAATCCACATCTACAATATCTTTAAAAATACTATTACCGCCAAGTCATTTAATGTGATTTTCATCGATTTAGACGACCCGTAAGACGATATAATGAAAATTTGCAAATAGGCTTTTATTTCATGATACCCTATATTTAGGTTAACCCACCAAGGACACAGTCGTGAAACCAAATATGTACAAGGCTTTACGGGTAATTGTGCAAAATACAAGGGTGTATTCAAACATGTTCCAATTTAATGTTTATTATTTAAATAATATGTTCATGTATTTATATATGTATTATAGCATAAATGTTCATTCCATGTATATATTTCTCATTTATTGAATATGTACATTTTATATGGACTAATGGCCATCGGAAGTGCAAGCTATTAGAATGGTTCCAGGGGACGTAGAAATTGAATTGATACCAATTGTATTGATTGGGATACTGTCTTGTGTCCAGTGTTCTTTTGATTTAAGGTGCCTTAATAAAAGAGAGGATGCTTAGGTCAAACCTCTTAGGCAGAAACTGTAATATTCCATTTCCATTTATGGATTGAAAAGATTATTTTTTTTTTTTTCAAAAAGAGGGAGATGTATGGTTACAATGCGAGGAGCAAGAGTTTCTGCAAAATGCGAAACCAGTGGTATTAGATGTTTTCAGTACAAAAAAGGGATGCTATTGTTACCGACTGTATTTGTCTGGCTCTTTGTGATGTGAAAAATTGTGCAAATGTGAGAAGTAGTAAGTTAATGAAAGAAACAAGTCGAAGATGTATCAAGATAAAAATTAATCGAATAAACAGTCCAGAATTTTAGGGTTTTCTCCATTGTATATTGCTCTCTTTTTCTCATATTGTTCTCTGATAATGATGATGATGAAATATAAGTGTCTTATTAAGACGATACAGTCTAACTGTATTCATCAATACTGATTCATGTATGAGGATTCAAATGGTGCATCGGAGTAGCTGGAAGTGTTCCTTGACCGCTTGATGTCTCAAACAATGAAAAATCGATTTTTTTGAGATGGGACGCCCTTTGATATTACCACCTAGCTAATGCTGCAATATCACAGCTTCGGTGGTCTAGATGGTTATGATTTCGGTCTCATAAGTTATGAGTCCCTTCTAGGGATGCAATCCGAAGGCCCGTGGTTCGAGTCCGCGCCGAAGCATTAATTTTTGCCTTTCCTTTTTGCGCCCGGAGGCGATCTTTACTTTGTCTACTTTATAGTTTTTGATTTACACTGCGTGCTGTATTGTGACTTAGTATTGATGACTTTTTAAGTAGTGATCTGGAAGTGTTCTGCGTACAAGTGAGTATTGGCATAGCGAGCAATGGCAACGAAAACGAAGAAGGGGTTCATGAAGTGATATACATAAAAGCTTAATTAAAAAGACACACCAATGTCGCGTTGTATTGCTTTGGAACAGCGTAGTGACAACAACGAGAACAGAAAAGGTAGGAGAGTATAATAAATAAGCAATAAACTAGATGTTAATAAAGAGTAATTAATAAAATATAATAATTTGTCGATAAATTGGAATTTTTAATTTTAAGTAAATTTGAATTTTATCATCAAGTTGAAGGAATCGATTGACGCTTGTTGGAAGACTTTCAAGACCCGAAAATGGTTCAACAAAGAAGCAGACCTATTGCACGCAACGTTGGTCGTCTCACCCGCACTCAACTCTACACCAAGCGTGGTCTCTTCAAGGGTCAAAAGAAGGCTGCTGCTCCAGCAAAGGAAGCCACTGAGGAGTTCAAGACCAAGAAGGTTGGTGGTGCTAAGAACGGTGGTGAGCGTAAGGTCCCAACCGTCAAGGCTAGAGCTTTCTACCCAGCCGAGGATGTCGCTATCCCAAAGAACTCACGTAAGACTCAACGCCCAACCAAGTTGCGTGAATCTATCACCCCAGGTACCGTCCTCATCTTGCTCGCTGGTCGCTTCAGAGGCAAGAGAGTCGTCTTCCTCAAGCAACTCGACTCTGGTCTCCTCCTCGTTACCGGTCCATTCAAGGTCAACGGTGTACCACTCCGTCGTGTCAACCAAGCCTACGTTATTGCTACTTCAACCAAGATCAACGTCGGTGCTGTTGACGTGAGTTTTTTAGCGTACGAAAATTTTAGCCTAACCGTATTTTCAGTCATCAAAGGTAAACGACGCTTTCTTCGCAAAGGCTGCCGTCAAGAACGCTTCCAAGGAAGAGGCATTCTTCGGTGACAAGGCCGAGAAGAAGGAGTACCCAGCTGAGAAAGCCCAAGAGCAAAAGAACGTTGACAAGGCGATCCTCGCTGAGATCAAGAAGGTTGACGGTCTTACCAAGTACCTCAACGCTTCATTCGGTCTCTCACGTGGTGAATTCCCACACGAAGTCAGTCCTAGTTTATTTTCTCGATTTTGCTAACGAACTTCAGCTCAAATTCTAAGCGTGTATTGACGAATACAGACTTATTTAGATAAAATGCATTTTTATAAGCCTGTTTTACTTTTTAAAATTGATTGTCGTCTGCTAATTTTAATTCGTCTGCCTTTTGTTATTTTTTCCTAGTCTCCTTCCCTGATTGTATCTATGAGTATCGAGAGAGCAGATGAGCAGATGGAAATTCTAGAGGACAACAACCCAGAATCAATAGTTTATGGTAGAGTACATTAGCTAGACTATATTATATTCTAATTTATTATGCAGACTCATCGTCACCTCAATCAACGAGCACATCCTCCTTAACTTGGATAAGCTGGTTTTGTTCTTTGCGTGGGTATCCTGCAATTTATACGCTCTCATTCTCACATACAAAAAGCTGGCCACGAATACTTTGCCGAGGTTTCTGAGGACTTTATCGAAGACGAGTTCAACTTGACTGGATTAGCTGGTATAGTAGGATTCTATAAGGTGAATTTTACCTTTCAATAGAGAATATCATCTCATACCTCTTCAGGAAGCATTAGAAATGATACTGGATGTCGAACCAGGTGGGTGGTTTATACACTTCCTTGTCCAACAACTAAGCATGTCCAGAAGAATCTTTAAAGATCCCAGATGTCTCTATCGTCGAACATAGCGCTGAAATGCTCTATGGATTGATACATGCACGCTATATCCTCACCAGAATTGGTTTACAGCAGATGGTAGGTTTTTTTGTTGTCGTTCTTACAATACAATAACACACATATAGGTCGAGAAATACGAAAATGGTCACTTTGGGTTCTGTCCGCGCTTTTGTTGCCAATCCTGCCCAGTTGTACCATGTGGACGGTCAGATACACCTGGGGTAGACACTGTGAAACTCTACTGTCCAAATTGTATGGATATCTACGTACCACCAAGCTCGAGATTCCAGGGTGTCGACGGTTCCTTCTTTGGAACGACATTCCCTCATCTTTTATTCCACACTTTCAAGGATTTACAACCATCAATTGTCTTATCGGAAAATGAAAACGGTGTTGATTACAAAGCAGTCGTTGGATCACAGTATAAACCAGCAGCTACAAAGATATATACTCCAAAGATTTACGGTTTTAAAATTTCAGAGAAGTCAAGGTCTGGTCCTCGTATGCAATGGTTAAGAATGAGACCAAATACAGTAGAAGAGTTGAACTCAGTTGATAACAAAGGTAATATTAAGAATAGCGATTTGAAGAAATCTTCAGATCGTAAATCATCCAACAAATCCAAACAACAGGGTAAATTATTCGATGAAGATGACGATGATGAGGAAATACACAGTGAATCTGAAGAAGAGGAGGACAAACCTAAACCTCAACCAATACATCCATAATAATAATAATAAGATAATATTTTTTTTGCATAATTTTCTCTATAATAATGTTGTAAAACCCCTACATTTTAACTCTTTTTATTGCAATGGAATATCCCTAACGAAACTCAAAACACCGAGCGAATATCTGGTCATATCAAATATTCTTTGACATTCGCTACGTTGAGCTTTTGATAAAATCGCTAACTTCTCCCTTAATAACTTATCTGATGCTAAAATATCAGCGTGTACTCTCAACATTAATCCAAGGTTTGCTTGGATTGTGTCGAAATCTTTTTGTTGTCGTAATCTATCTGTTAATGCTACTATAAATAAACTTAAATCTGAAGGTAAAAGTGATCTAACGTCTGAATCGTTATTTGCTGGTGAAATTCTATGTAAATACTTGAATAATTTTTCCACTGTTAGGTGTGTTAGCAGTGTATGTATACGATATGCCCACTCACATCTATTTGAATCTTCCGATTGCAATATCTTTGAAAGCTGGGTCTCAATACCAAGTGAACCTTGAGTCAAACGGTGAGTCTCATTCTTTGAATCAACTTCCATATTATTGTTAAGACCGTCAGAGAGTGAGGGTAAGAAAAATGGTGCCTTCTCTGGTGCTTTTGGAGCTTCGATTGGTTTATTACGTTCCTTGATTGTGTCAAGATTCAACAATGTCGTCCAGCGTGAACGAGGCATGGCAGATAATGTAACCAGTCCACTCTCGAGTTGCTCCTTTGTGCTTTCAACAAATGTTGGAAGTATAGGTGCACTCTCCATCAATGCAAGCTCCTCATCTTCAACTTCACCCTGCATTGTTGGCATATTGACTTCAATAACATCGTCAAATTTAATAGGTTTGAGAGCAACTTCCACCAATTGAGTTTTATTAGCCCATAAATAGATACCAACGGAGTCGATATGTGTAGTAGCGAGGAAATCACCAGTTGGTGAGAATGTCAAAGAAGTTGGTATAGTTGCAACTCTAAACGCGTCGACAAGTGATCCAGTTGGGATGTCATATGTTCTAATTATGCAATCAAATGATGATGCAACTAGCCATTTCGAATCTGGTGAGAAAGTAATATCCGATATCTTTTCGGTGAAACCCTTAAATTCTCTGACTAGACGTCTTGATTCGATATCGACCAATCTAATGACATTATCCGAGCAAATTGCAGCCATTATACCGTTGTCTCTCTGTAAAATCAACTGCTGGACACCCGCTGTCAGTTGCATTGAGTCGAGGAGAGCGCCATTATGGAAATCAAAGAAATAGAGGAAACCGTCAGCGGTACTACATACGAGAGTAGTGTTAAGTGCATCAGTGACAATGCTTGATATTTTCAGAGCATCCTTATCTTGGTACTTGTTTTGAATAGTCATTACCCTCCTCTTTATTCCAGATTGCATATTGAATTGATGTACAGTACCCATGTCACTACCGACAAAGCCATAATTACCACATACGCTGACGTTAGCAGATACAGCGATACCGTCATCGAGATGCAGTTTATGAGCGCCAAGTTTCTTATCTTGAACATACCAGGTATAAGCGTCCGAGCTGTCTTCATGACAGGTGAGGACGTCGTCCCAGTCTTTTGACCTCTGGGTGGCGTATGATAACGACGTAATTGGTGGTAATCTCAAAGCAGCGATTGGTAATGCCAATTGAGCAGCTTTTCTAGACAGTGATCCTTGGGATAATTCGAAACTGCGTGAGTCTCTAACAACACTCATGTACCTCAGACTGTTGTCTTTGGATGCACTGAGGATCGTTTTACCATCTTCGCCGTAATAATTGATACGATGAGGTGGTGCAGTGTGACCAGCTCTGAATTTAAGCAATCTTGGTAAGCTACTTGGAGAATCGAATAACCATTGCTAATCGGAGATGTAAGATAGTGCTACACGTAGAAAAAAAACACTAACCTTCAAACTGTTGTCACCACTGGATGAAATTAAAATCGGCTGATTTGGCAAGAACTCAATCTTGGATGGTGGTTCGCTATGTGCGTCTCTTAATACATTCACAAGATTACCACCTTGATTAAGATCCCAGAAGGCGATGAAACCATTGGAAGCAGCAGTCGCCATAATGTGTTCACCGTCCGTTCTGAAACTAATCGAAGTTATTTGAACATTTCCATCCATCCTTACTTTGAATAATTCTGTGTCTGATTTCAAATCGAAGAGAATGGTACGGCCGTTTTCGCAACCAACTGCAACAATGTCGATGGCTGGAGATTGTTGTAAGGTTGTTATTGGACTATCAAAGTTGAATTCCCTGATGAGAGTTCTAGTTCTGATATTCCAGAGCTGCAATTGACCATTTTTGGATGCGACTAACAATTTGTTGAGATAAGTTGATGGATGAAGGAAATCGGTAGCTGTGAAGTTGACACCAAATTCAATCTCGTGGAGTAATTCACTGGACTGTAAATCCCAAACTAATAATGCACTGCCGTCTGATTTGAGTGAGAGTAGTTGACTACCGAAAAGAAGAAGTTTGGATAGTTTGTAAGGAGATTTCAGCTGATCAACTAGTTTACCTCTCTTATATTTATAGATACTATCGTTGCTGCTGCAGTAGATGAAGTTACCATCGTTTACGATAGATTCAATAGGAAACTCGAGATCGTTAGAGATGAACAACAGCCTGAGGCTTATCAAGTCGAACATCATCCAGCTCTTCTCTAAGCAAGTGATAATTTGGCCATTAAATTTATTAGCATCTCTCGTTAATCTCGTAACCAAATTGAATGGTTTTGAGTTAGAAATTTTACCAAGCAGTCTAAACGGCTGGAATATCTTTGGTTTTATTGCCTTATCTACTCTCTGTCGTTTCGTAGTCGGCATATTATCGTCGTAGGAAGCAGAGAGATGAGGGATAAATACTAGCGAATAATAATAATAAAATATTATAATTACAAAAGGAGTATAAAAAATATATTTTAATTTATTGATTCTCCTATTTTAGTAATTTTAATACTCCCTCTATAACAACCGTCGTCGTTGATTATACTTAATGGCGCAATTCGTACCCTCACCTGCAGTTAGTAATATATTTGTTATATGCCAGATATCTAATCTAGGATCTCCAGTCTGTGAACCCAGAAGCCACAGGCCACGCACCGGACGATGCAGACGCTCAAACGAGATTGCCATCTATCTGTGTAGACTACCTAAGCCACGATTGGGAGGAGGAAGATGTCTGGACTTCTTGGAGATCAATGACGAGACATAAAAATGATATAGCCAACGGTGTGAGATTAGAAAACGCTAGCTGGAGAACCTGGTGGAAGCAGCGGAATAAACTGAAGACGATCAGCCCAGAAACTTTGAATTGGTATGTTCTTTTGCTCTTTTGGAGTTTTTACTCACCACATCATCAGGCTCAAAGATAGTGACGTTACCTGGTTGTACGGTCCTTTACACACTGCAGTCGATCCAGTACCTCAACCGAAAGCATCCACCCTGGAAGATCATATCGATTTAGATCAAGGACATGGTACAAAACCAATTTTAAAACATCGCACTATATCAGAATTACTCACGATGCCTAATCAATCATCACCTTCTATAGAAGCTATACCTGATGATGAGCAATCAGATGTACCTTCTGACTATCAGTCTGATGCGTCCGTTTCATCAGCAGCTTCACCAATTGAATCAAAAAGACCGAAATTCCCCAACTCTCATTCTGAACCACTCATTAAGACTGCTTTACATAACAGCGACACTATCAATCAACACAATAATGATTTGGATACTGCCTCTCCCGCATCTAAGTTAATGTCCCCAAATGCAACCAATTCAGATGGCGATGCCAGCAACACTAGCTCAATGGGCAGCAAAAGACACATCACTTTCAACAGCTTCGTAGAACAAAGGATATCGCTAGATGAACCAGAGCGTATAGCAGACGAAGCGTTGGCTTCAGATGAGGATGAGGTGTCTAGTGAAGATGAGGGATTGACGTTTAGAAGTAGATCATTATCAAACAACACTTCGAAATCGAGAACGAGGTCATCAAGTGCAGCGTCAGATTTATCCTCGATTCCTGCACCTGATCATATTACAATCGCGGAGATTGAACCAACAACGTTGAAAATTAATCCTCATGGATTAGACGAGGACGATTCTAGTTTCGATATAATCCAACCTCCTAATGATAGTAATCCAGACTACGTACCAACTGCACGTAGATCCTCATTTTACAATAATTCATCAGATGAAGACGATGATCAGGAACAATCAACGGCCGCATTTAGGTCTGAGGCACCACCATTAGCGTCACCCGCACATGGCTTCCTCCCTCAAGCTTGGGAAGATAATGACGAGTTTGACTACTTTAGTGGTAAATTTGATGACTTTGATGACGATGAAGATAATAAGGTCATCGAGGACATCAGTAAACAACCAGTACAAGCACACCACCAACCGAACGTGCGTAAAGGTGTCCTTAAGAAATCTCCAAGCTATGATAGAAACGTTGCCACAATTGGTGCAGTTCCTTCCACCGCTGTTGGTCCTGAACCTTCTGAAGAACGCGGTAGACGTCTCTAAGCGAGCATTTTGAAGGAGATTTTCACATGTAGAGCCATAAGGATACCTACAATCTCTAATAATGGATATTTATATATTAAAAAAAGGGGTAAACTTTACTAGTAAGAATACCGGATTAAAGTTTTCATCTGAACAATTTATGATCTATATAATTCTCTTAAATCCTATTTGTTTTATGTATTTTCAATTTTTAAGCAGTACTTTGTTTTCTAGAGATCCACATTGATGTGTTTCACAAATTTAATTTTTTTCAGCGTGCGATTTACCAGAAATTTTAGCGTACAAGACAGACGAAAGTTTATGAGAATATTCTACACCCCGATCAATAATTAAAGATGACGCTGTTTTAAGTTATGTCATTTGTCATGTGTGAAGATGTCTTTGAAAGTGCCATTTTGTCATTCCTTGTTGTTTGACCATTAACAGCATAACTATGCAGTTTATAACAACTAAGTTAACATTCGATGAGAATCCAGATAATCTTGCGCCAAGAATACCCTGGCCTAGAGAGCGTAACTTCTACACATCACAGATCAGGAAGCCAACATACACCTCTAGAGAACCGTTACCAGTCCAGCTTACTTTGAGTAAGGAACAACCAGACGATAGAACGACGCCACCAAGCTCCCACAAATTTGGAATTGGCTTCAAAGGCCAAAGCGCCCAACGCGCTGATGCTGAGGAGCTCTCGAGACAAAAGCGAGATTCTCTTGGTAGCTCCTTCAATATGTCTGCTAAAGTATGGTTTTTGAATGTGAGCAATCGAAGATCGATCGGAAGTGAACAACTCTGACGTCATACAGGATCAGCTTATGCTTGTATTAGATCCCTTAAACAGGCCGAAGGAAACAAAAGGCAAGCAGCAGAGGCGTCGCTCGTCTATCCTCAGGGCACTCGGTAGGGGTGGTATACCCGCCGATGCAGGAGTGGAACAGCGTCGAAAAGCCTCACTTGTACCTCTCCTCGACGAACCCGGCCAGATGGATGCACAAGGCGTACGTAGGAAGAGCAGTATTGTAGAGGCAATCAAGAGGCGCCCATCCGTTGAGGATGGTGAAGTGAACGATGAAGGACGTCCACAATTTAATCTCGATTGGCAGAACGAAAATGGAGGATTGTCGAGATCTCCCCAACCACGCAGGTGGTCAACCAGTGACAGTGACGTTTCGGAGTATAGACCTTTCCCTCTCTACATCCACGACAAGGTACTCACAAGTGTTGCGATTCCCTTCAGTCAGATTGTGTCGATCCACACGACACAGCTGCAAAGGGGCGTACCTAACGTGACTCCACCTGGTTCTCCGAAATCGCGCAAGGCAAGTCTAGCATTTGAAACACCAGAGGGAGGAAAATCGATGGAGGGTCCACGGAAGATTGCTGAGAAACCTGCTACGATTGAGATACAAGTTAAGAAAGGCCCAAACGCCCCAAACCTATCTAACACTGCTGATGGTACCATAAGTATCGAATTTTGGGACAGCCTAAGCGGACAGATTGAAGCAGACGTTATCTTGAAGTACATCCAAATGGTCAGAATGAACAGCAATAACGCCCCAGACGACGTTAGACACGCTGCACAGGATCTTGTTCATAGAGAGTCTCAAGGTGGACAAGCACAAACTGCTTGATGTTTTGCTTTTTTTTTTCTTTTACGAAATTATAACGATATGATGTACATGTATGATAGTAACGAAAATGTAAGGTATTTATTAATATGATTTAAATTCAATAGTCATCTTTTTCGCTCTCACTCCATTCTGAGAGATTGTCACTTTGTGCATAGTCATCCTCAACCCAGTGGTCGCCATGGAGAGGCTCATCCGCAAGGATTGTATACCATGACATCTCAGATGGTTTCTTCAAAGGGTTGGCTGCACTTTCGTTCAACGTCGCAGCTCTCCTTTCAGAATTCACGTCAGATTTCCTGCTCAAGAGTATCTAAGACGGTCAGAAAGTGAATAGCAAATGCAGAGACGCACGACTAGCCAGAGTCCCATAAGTATCTGCTCCTTCTGAGTTGTATTAGATATTACATCTCATGTAACGTACGGACTCACTCTCTCAGAATCGACAGCATCTAGTATATCCTTCAAATGTATCATCAGCCGCCGCAGACTACCAGCAGTTTCATCTAGGCCCCTAACAATATATTTGTCGTATAATTCATCCACTTTATTGCCAATTTCTGCTGGAATTGGACGTGAATTCAGCGTGCTATCATTTAACTTCCTAACAATCTGTCTAACAGCGTGTTTATCACCACCGAGGGTGTCTAATAACCGCTCTACTTTCGTATTGTCTACAACGCCCTTGCGCATTATATCTACGCGCTTCTTAACTGTTATCTACCAAGACTAGAGGAAATGAGATGGCGATAAAATATCTATGCGTAGCAGAAAAACCATCAATATCAAAATCAATTACTCAGATATTGTCATCCGGTTCTTATAATTCGAGGAATACGTCCAGTAAATTCATAAAGAACTATGACTTCAATTACAAAATGACAGGATACAATGGTAGACAAGTCTCATTCACAGTAACAGCCGTCGCTGGACACCTTACAGCCTCAGACTTCGGGAAAGATTACCGGAAATGGCACAGTTGCGATCCTCTGCAGTTGTTTGACGGTAGAGTTGAAGTCAGTACAGCCGGGAATATGTCAGCAATCGAGCAGAATCTCAAAAATGAAGCGAGATCGAGCAGTCACTTGATGATATGGACAGATTGTGATCGTGAAGGTGAACACATCGGTGCAGAGATAATGAGTATCTGCCGGAAAGCCAACCCAAGGATTGAAGTGAGCAGGGCGAAATTCTCAGCCATTATTCCAAAGTGAGCGCTTTGCTTTCTACCCTATTGTCTAACATTCACGATAGCCAGATACACAATGCTGCGCGTCATCCTGCTGAATTGGACATGAAACAGGTACGGGCTGTCGAAGCGCGTATTGAGCTTGATCTCCGGATTGGTGCCGCGTTTACGCGTCTGATGACTATGAATCTCTCCAAGCAGATTGCAGAATTAGATGGTAAGATGATCTCATATGGTATGTTTCTGTCATGTAAAACATTGTTATTTCTAAAGTACATACAGGCCCTTGTCAATTCCCCACACTTGGATTCGTTGTCGATCAATACCAACGCATAAAAGACTTCATATCAGAGGCGTTCTGGTACATTTTTGTGTCAATCATACACAGAGATGATGATGGCAAGGATAGCAATGTTGTTTTTCATTGGCAACGTGACAGACTTTTTGATCCAGATTTGTCGTTTATCCTTTATGAACAATGCGCCATCAATCCCTCAGCCCGTGTTACCAAAGTTGAAACCAAACCACATACAAAATACAAGCCATACCCATTAACCACCGTTGAGTTACAAAAATCGGGTTCGAGGTTGTTAAAATTATCCCCAAAGGAGGTACTAGACGTTAGTTCAAAATTTTGCTATGGTATTACAAATCTAACAAATTCAATAGATAGCAGAAAAGCTCTATCAGAAGGGGTTTCTCTCATATCCGCGTACAGAAACCGATCAGTATGATCCATCATTCGACTTTCACTCGCTTATCGATAAGCAAGCGAATGATGGCGTTTGGGGCTCTTATGCGAGGTCATTGACAGATAGTGGATTCGACAAGCCGCGCGAGGGGAAGAAAAATGATAAAGCGCACCCACCTATCCATCCAACAGCCCATGCATCTGGATTGACAGGCAATGATAAGCGAGTATATGAATACATAACCCGTCGCTTTCTCGCTTCATGCTCTAGAGACGCCAAAGGGAAAAACACTAATGCGGAAGTAGAAATCGCTGGGGAGATATTTAAAGCATCTGGCTCGGTATTACTGGAGAAGAATTACTTGAATGTCTTCCCTTACGACAAGTGGTCCAGTCATACGATACCTAATTTCACAGTAGGGCAGGTCTTCACACCATCTGTTTGCGAACTACGCGAGGGGAAGACGACACCACCGAATCTTCTTACTGAAGCAGATCTCGTTAGCTTGATGGACAAGCATGGTATTGGGACTGATGCGACTATCGCGGAGCATATTCACAAGATCATCGATAGAGAATATGTAATGGAACACAAGCAGGGTAATACAAAATACCTTGTACCGTCTACACTCGGTGTCGCTCTCGTTGAAGGATACAACAAGATGAATTTGGAGAAATCTGTATCTAAACCACAACTCAGACGCGAGAATGAGGAGAGAATGAACCGTATTGGTGAAGGTCTGGTAGAAAAAACCGACGTCCTTATAGAGTCCATTGACCAATATAAGGATATTTATATTCGGTCTGCTCGGCAATTTCAAGTTTTGGTCGAGAGTGTCAAGCATTACTTGCAAAATCCTGATGCGTTTGACGATAACGTTGTTAACGCTCAGGGAAACAATGATGAAGATGACTATGATGATGGCTTCGGTGGTGGCGGCAACGGCGGTGGTGGTAACGACAGCGACGACCACGATGGTGGTCCTCCCACTACTCGCCGAAGAGGGCGTCCACCGGGATCAAAGAATAAAACTACTAGGAATTCTACCGCCAATTCAAACTATCAAATGACGGTGTTCGAGCCATCCAAAACAAACACGCCTAAAGAAGGTCAAGTTAGGTGCAAATGTGATCTTTCTGCAAAGCGTTTTGTCACTCAACAAGGTGCAAACAAAGGGCGAGCATTCTGGAAATGTCCTAACACATCTAAGAGTGCGCAGTGTAATTTCTGGTCATGGGAAGATAGTCTCAATGTTGGAAATGCCAACACTCATCAAAATCAAGACGACGACTATAATCTAATAAACGACGATGAATTAATCGCCGATGACGATGGTGAGATCCCTTACTGTGATATGTGTGGCATGAATGGGCATTGGCCAGCATCTTGCAAGAATCCCCAAAGGGCACCTCCCAGAGAATCATCAAGTGGTGCAACAAGAGCTACCTCAAGGAAGGCCACTTCAAACTCTTCTACTAGCACCAAAAATGGCGATACTTGTTACAAATGCAACAAGAAAGGTCATTGGGCGAGCAATTGTCCTAATCCAGCCAAAGCACCAGCTAAGAGGAAAACATATACTAGGAAATCAACACAGAAAAGACAAAAAAGATCGTAATTTATTTAGAAACATCAGCATATACATCATATCTACGTTGGGAAGATAATGGTATTCCACTTCTTATTTGTTGAAGTTGTTCGACATCTGCATTATATCATTAATATTATTTATTAATTGTAATTCTATTTACCTATATCTGCATATACGATTGATTCCTGCTCGTCGGTGGTGGCGATGACTTGACCGGATGGATTGACGACTGTAGAGTGACCCCACTTATGGACTTTAGACAATGTCTAATGAATAGCTAAATCTGTACTTACGGCGTGGTATTCTGCTGTTTCGTCTCTTGCTGGACTGCACATAGCGACGTAAAACTGTATTGTGAGATTGATGTGTACACAAGTGAGTATCAACTTACTTGATTATCAACAGCACTGTTAATTAATTGGTGATTAATAAATTTTTTGAAAGGAATGAATAACCCACCGAGCTCTCTGGAGTAACTCCCAGTGTAATGGACCCGTTGTTGTGTTGAAAGCGCCTGGATAAATCATAGCAATACAGCCTGACATATGATTTGTGAGAAATCGTGACTTGAATAATAATATACACACCCTTGCGTGCTGCTATCATAGCCATCCTGTTGACTTTGTTAGCGTCGCTAACGAAATAAATAAAACGCGTACTCTGGGAACCTAACATCGTAACAAATGCCAAGTCCAATCTTGCCGAATGCTGGAGTCTGTCAGTGATGCTCAAACTTGTCATTAACCTATACTTACGACTATCAACGATGGTGATGTCAGAACCAGCAGTGAGCGTCTCACTTTCCTGTCTGTTGTTAACCCTAGCGTAATAATAAAAGTTTCCTCACTTTGAAAGAAATCTTGCCCGGTATGTCGATATCAAAGAGATGCAATTTGCGATGCTTGCCGATAAGGTTTCCCTCATTGTCATACACAGTAAGGGTGTTAAATATACGACCTGTACCTTCTTCGCGTTCTGGGATAGATCCACCGATTATGTGGACTTTTGCTTGCTTCGCAACGTCGCTCAGCATCTTTATCGACTCACTGAGCTCACCAGTAGGTTTACCAGGTGTTGGGATATTCTCTGCGTATTTCTCAAAGTATTTGACTCCATATGGGCTATTAAAGCATTCCTGGTGCGATTTAGATGTGAGTCAGCAGCTTTATATGACGCACAGGCAAGACGACCAAATCAGACTTCGTGGACGCTTCTAATATCAATTTTCTCGCTCTGTCGAGATTCTTCGTCTTATCAGGTGTTGTTCCACCCAGTTGGATTAGTGATAACTTGAAATTACGCATTAATGATGATGGTGATGGTTTGAACATAAGCTGAGATGTTCTGTTGTATAGGATTACATGAGGGTGCAATATGACTCTATTATTGATAGTATAGCGTCTACTACGTCGATATTATGGAAACAAACGCATGAAGAAATAGCAAGAAGGTGCTCGAATATACAATCTATAAAGTAATACAGTAGTAATGCTTATTTAATTACTTATCATGCGCTTAGAAAGGCTGATAATCGACCTTACTCATCATGACTAAATGAGGGTATATAAATGGTCATTCTGAATCCGGGATTCATCAGCTACAACGAAAAGCTAATAACAACAACAGTACAACAAGCACATTTATACAAAATTAGATTCACAGCAAGAATGTCCATTTCCAGACAAGTACAAAAGTCTTTCCAAAGCGTCGAGTCTACAGACGGTGACGGTGCACGTGTGTTCAGATCTATCGGAACACCACAGTTGCGTAATTTCCATCCATTCCTCATGCTTGACCACTTTAAAGTTGGCAAGGGTGCTGGTTTCCCAAACCACCCACATAGAGGTATGTATTGTACTGCTAAACTATCTTATCGCTAACAGCCACACAGGACAAGCTACAGTCACTATGATGTTGAAGGGGACCTTCAAACACGGCGATAACCAGGGCCATAGTGGATACATCCACGAGGGTGGCGTACAATTTATGAAAGCGGCATCTGGATTAATACACAGCGAAATGCCTGTCCAAGATAAGCCAACTGATCCGGTTCCTGAAGGTCTACAACTCTGGGTTGACCTTCCAGAGGGTGAGAAGAGCGCTAAGCCAGAATATCAGGAATTCTCAGATGAACAGCTCCCACGAGCATATCCACAGGGTAATGATGGCGACGTTGAGATAAAAGTCATTAGTGGAGAGACGAACGGTGTAAAATCTCCTGTTACAGTTTGTGCGGGATGTTGGTACTTCGATATCTCGCTGAAAAAGAAAGGTGCACAAGTTTTTCAGGATATACCATCAAACTGGAACACATTCTCGTACATTATCTCGGGAAATGCAAAGATGGGTGACAAGCAGGGTTTGAAAGCACACAGTACTATCACATTCACAAAGCAAGACGAACAAAATGGCTTACAAATTGAAGCCGAGGAGGATAACACCCGCTTGGTATTGATCGCGGGAGAGCCACTCAATCAAAAAGTCATACAATACGGACCATTTGTACTCTCCTCTGAGGAAGATATTTACAAGGCATTTGAAGATTATCAACTCGGTAGAAATGGATTTGAGAGGCAAAACCTCCAGGACTAGATATATTATAATCTGAAATAATGTTTTGTATTTTTATATTTAATAATTTCTTTTTCTATTATCTTGATAGTGTGTAGTCTCCTTCTTCCTTCCATACAACAAATATGTCAAGTACATCGTGAGTGCATTCGGTGGACGAATACCAATATATTCATACGAAATAGACAACGCGGTATCCATGTACACCCAGCCGCACTCTTCTCCATACTGGACCACTTCATGAGAAGGCCGATGCAGCAAGAGAGAGTTATCGGTGCATTATTAGGTAGCAGGAGCAGCGAGAGCGACGTAGAAGTTAAATCAGCCTTTGCTGTGCCACACTCTGAGAACGATGAGCAAGCTACTGTCGATTCTGAGCACCTCCAAAGCATGCTTGATTTACATTTGAAGGTCAATCCTAGAGAAGTTCTGGTAGGATGGTCAGTGTGCTCTTTGATAATGTACAGTTACTTACATCCACTAGGTACGCAACTGGATCATCCCTCAATGCCTACTCTGCACTCATACAGAACTTCTTCACTCAGCAAAACACACAACCATACAACGCAGTACATCTCACAGTAGACACTCAGAATTTCAACTTTAAGGACGCCGTTAAGGGATACCTTGGCAGCTCACTCGGACCGCTTCCAAAAATGGACAACTGTGTATTCCAATCACTCCCGGTCGATTTGTTGGTAAGAGAACAGGAGAAGGCAAGCTTAGATGCACTCGCTGCACCACCAAAGCAGACATTAGACGACATACCAGCCCTTCGTGCTGCGCTTGAGAAACTCTCTGCACAAATTGATGAAGTGTTGGCATATGTTGAGAAGGTAGTTAGCGGTGAGGTTGAAGGTGATGCTGTTGTCGGAAAGGCTCTTCTCTCAGCTGTCCAATCACTCTCAACGAGGTTTGAGGAGGGAGACCTCAACAAGATCCTCGATGCACACATCCAAGACACCAAGGCAGTCTCCTACTTGGCTGATCTCATACGCACACAGGCAGATATTGCATCCAGATTGAGCCTGCTCGGATAGATAGCTGGTTGACTAATTTAATTTAGACAAAAAAGCAAGAGTAGTGATGAATTATTCATTTGTATAACTGTTATTCACAAGTTTCCTTTCTCAAAACATTTTAATGTTGATTACTGCTTTTGTGGTGCACCGCTATTGACACCTACCATTCCCCATAATTGTCCTTTGAGCTCTTCAGTTTGACGTTTCTGATCCTCTTGGATAATCTTGGAGAATTCTTCCTTGTTGTCATTCCAGTATTTTTGTTCCAATTGATAGATCGCCTGCGCTTCTTTTCTCTTCAGGTCAAGATAGCTCAATGGTGGTTGACCTTTACCTGCATCTGTTGAGATGCTGACAGGAGAAGCTGGCGGTCTCATTGAACTGGCTCCAAAGCCCCAGCCAGATCTCTTAGGCTGAGCACCCTGGTTCTTCCAGTTTTCAATATGCTTTTGTCTCATATTCTCCTCAACCTTTGCCCATTCAACTGGGATATTTGTATCACCGTACTTTTTGAGTACTGGTCGGACATCTGATACATTGAACAAGGCAATACCTGGTTTAGGTAAGAGAAGTTTGGAGTATTCTAAAAATTTACTCACACTCAAGGAATGGAATGTGGGCAATCAGGTCTTTATTTCCCTTCTCGCCTTTCCATGGCTTTAAAATAAGACCATTATCTGGCTGCGCGTAGACATTCTCTCGATTTGTGTCTAGCACGATAACTTTGCTAAGGTCACGGTTGAGATAGCTAAGATCCTAAAGAAGGTCAGTGATCATATTTACGGCCCTAGTTTACCAACCTTGACGGTCTTACCATCCTTATACCTTGTTGACTCTCTGTAAAGCCTGTAAGGGACGTATGCACCAAATGGATCAAGCTTTTCGATAACTGGCATCGCCGTGTAATTTGGTTGAGTCGTGAATAATACAATCTCATAGAACTGTGAAAGGTAACCGAGGAAATACTCTGCACCTGGTCTCTTTGCTGTTCTCCATCCGTGTTGGCGCTAACCGGGTATTAGCAGGGGTCATCCTTGTAAATAATCACTCACATCCCAACTTGAAGAAACTAGCAGACCCTCTAAGTCGACTAATAAGGTGTATTTACGATCATTAGGTGGTGGCATCATTGGTGGGAGCAATTCTGACCATGCTGGCTTGTCGAACACGTCTGTGTATCCCCGGAGACGGCTAATGAGACGACTCCACCAACTATTGTCGATAGCCCCTTCACCTGCTTTCCTGATTCTCTCCTCTGCTTCCTTACGTTCTGCGTCGTCTTCCCAGTCTCTGGCGAGGTGTACAGCACCAGCAACAGCGCCCAAACCAGCCAATATCATCATAATACGCGAGTTCATTTGTCTGCGCTTCTCTATTGAGGACATGCTTCTTTTACCCTTTGCTTGTGCATTTGTGCTGCCACCAATTCTCAATGGCTCGTCTGTGGAGATATTCAGATCTGGTACTAAAGAGTCCAGCTTATCTGATGCTATAGACGTCTCTGGAAGTTCTTTCTTCTGTGGCTTCTCTATCTTCTCTGATGGTTCTTCTGAAGTGTTCTTCTTATCAGAAAACTGCCTGAGAAATACAGCCCTTCTGGCTACCTGTGGAGTTGCAACTGTTAATTCTCTAATAACTCCTGCTCTTAGTAAAGAGGTCATGACGGTCGAGTGCAAGAAGTCTTCTGCTCCGACAATCATCGATGATTTTAGACGGACACAGCGAGCCAATTTTAGATCTAGCGATTTGCCCGTATGATAGTAGCATAATAGCTACGGCTTCTGGTACGCTGAATTTCAACATCAACAGAAGTTATTGACGCAGAAGTTCAGAGGATAGCACAGTGAGGCTATGGAAAGGTGATAGAGACAGCTACAAAAGCTACAAAGCAATAGTCAACTTTGAAGACGCTGTTGTTGCTGTTTTATGGCATCCAAAGGTTGAAAACCAGCTATTCCTCTGCTGTGGGGGTACTGTGAGTTGTACAGCTACTAAATACGATTGTTAAACACCCATCAGATATTCCTATTCGATCTTAATATCTCTTCTCCGCTTATAAAAGCATCTGAAGCAAGCAAGACATGGAATGTTACAGAAGTCGAAATAAACAGCGTTAGTTAGATTTAACTACAGCTACAATTCTTTTTAATACTCCCTGTTAGATCTCTATTGACAGAAAAGCACAACAGGTGGCCTTTTGCGACGACTCTGGTGCTGTTGGCGTTTTAGACACCTCCACAGGCAAAACCAGACTATTCAGATACAAGCATGCGAACATAGCCAGTAAGGTTGCTTACAAGAATGGAAAAGATGGTGACCGTGAGTGTTATTTTCTCTCGATGAAAATATTCACAATCAGCAGTTCTCTCAGGATCCTACGACAGCAGCGCTCTCATATGGAATACATCGAAGGGGACGATAGGAGACACGCTCGATTTGAGCACACGCCAGGGCCAGTCTATGGCGCCTGCTTTTGTTCTTTCGCTCGCATCATCAGAAGATGGGAAGAAACTCGCTGTTGGTTCTGGAAATGGCTCTGTGTGGCTCTCCTCATCGCGTCTATCTAATGCAAGGGAAGTTACTGCTCACAATGGTCCCGTAGTCGGTCTTGCCTTCGTAAATGGTCGTCTTATCAGCTGCTCATTGTACCAATTATGTATCTGGAAGGAGAACCTCGAGGGTGTAGATTCTACTACGACTATAGATGGACTAGAAAAGGCGAACTGCATCGCTACGACGTCCACTCATGTCTACATCGGCGGGTTTGAGAAAAACGGCAAAGGCAGAGCTGTTGTTCTCCCATTGAGTTTATAGAATATTATATCATTTGTATTTTTACTCGTTCCTGCATTATCTATATTCTTCTTAATTTGCTCTCTCGTCATTTTGATTGTTGTGATCACTGCAATCATTGTCTCATAAACCTTCGACTATATTGTATTATGTGCTTATCTTGTGAAACCGCCACCTTATTTATATATATATATCCTACTTACTTTTTTCCTAACCCTCCTGGCTACGAATGATAGTTGTTCATTTGGCACCTCAGAAAACTATGCAGTCTTGTTAGCGCGATTATACAACTTTTATTCTTTCTTTAAGAACCTCTAATCGTGATTTCTAGCCTGCTTAGAGTTAAAGAAACTATAGGTTATTATCTACTCAACTTACCCTTGCTATTACTATCCTCGATAAACTTAGGTTATAGGTCGCTCCACATTTACTCTATACAGGCTGTCCGATATGCGCGTTCGTCATTTTCGTTTCTTCTCCCGTGTGAAAGTTCCTTGTGCTTATATGTCTAGTTATATGAACAGCGTCTAGGGAATTCGGGATTGTTGATGTAAATAGTCAGAAGGAAGCTTTTAAAATGGCTTGCTAACACGATTATATTACTATTATCAGACAACCAAGTTCTTCTGTTATCGTCTCGCTCAATCATTCCTTCACTTCTAGTATGTAAGCGCAGAGGGAACAGTGCTTCGACTTATAGCATCGGAGTCTATGCCCCAACTTGAAGGACTTTTCAAAATATACTGATTTTCACTTAGAATAGCTCTGTAAGATTTTGAACTTTAGGTATCTTCAATTCCTTCTCGATTGCGGCTCTTTTACTTTTAAACTTCACAATATAGTAAAACAGTTGTTTTATAAAAGATTTTCAAGCAAATTTATTCATTTGAACCTACATGGCCTAACGAGAGAATGTGCAAATCTTCAGGTACCTAAAGTTATCTACACGGGATAACAGTGCTCTTACAGTGTGTGGGCCTCTCCGTCATTCTGCTAAGCGAGGATGATACTGCATATACATGCGATTGCTGCAAGCACGCTATGTGAGATAACTTGCACGATCTTTGGAGATCCCCCCTTTAGAATTTTTACAGCCTGATTATGGGCTTAATAAGGTAAAACTTTAGTTAGATGTGAATGTGTTATGTTAATTCTTCCAGAAGTAATCCCTGGAAGAATGCCATTGATAATTTTACTTAAACAGTCACTCAAATAACCTTTCGAATTTGTCAACGCTCGGTCCTTGTCATCGTTAATCATGTATCGTTTGTCAAAAGGACGGATAAGATGGTTCGAACAGTGATGTTAGCGCTGTCTTACTTTTCCAAGTGTACTCCGTATAAAGCCTGTCCGCCCCGGAAAGCATTTCCACAAAGGTCATTAGGGGGCAGGTTATGATCACTAAAGTCATCATTACGCTTGTCCTCTTGAGTTCATGTCGATACATCAGCACATCTATTTACGCCTGCAGAACAAGGCCATGTCATTCAGACTGAAGCATATTATCATTAAATACTTGTCTTGGGTTTGTAAAGCAAAGTGACTATCCCGGTTTCCCTGCACAATCTTGGAAGTACCATGATTCACCATTACGATACAAAGGGCAGACAGGAATATTACATAGTGAACCAGCTTCATGATGCCCGGTCCAAATATGGTCTTGAAACTGCCGTAAGGTAGAGAACCGGTACCATAAGCCAGTCCTAGTAATTTGTTAGTAAAAATAACGTTTATGAAGTCAAATATGACCAGCTAATATGTTTTTCGTAAGTCCAATATGCCCATTTTGGGTATCTTCTGCAGAAGTTTTGTTTGTCTTCAACATATTCCTTCCATTGATTTGAGTCTATGACTTTCGATTCATCCATGACATTGATATAAAGACAAAGAAAGTTGAAAAACGGAGTTTATATTTTGTAAATTCAGGAACACGAAAAGAAAATAATAATGTAAAAAATGGTTGCTGAGCCATTTTCGTAAAAGGCTTTCATTGTTTATTTTGAGTTTGATGCAAAATAAAATTCAGCTAAATGAGCATTAGTGATGTGAGTAAAAATAAGTGGCCATTCCGTGTAAGCCCTAACTAATTTTTGGGGTACTGTCCGCGTAATTGTTCGGCATAAAGGAGATGCCGTGATTGCTAATGAAGCAGCCCAAAATTAGTACTCAAACTACCTTTCCTAAACACTATTTGTTCTAACGACTCATGTTTTGATTTTTTTTCATCTTTTGACGTATGTATGTACCAAGATACAGGACAAAACCAGAAAATCATACAATTTGTAAGTCTGATCATTTCTTGAACTTCAATAAAAGCTGAACACGGTTACCTAATCCGATATACTGCTTCTGATGAACATTGAAATGATATCACATTATGCATTGGTATAATAGTTCCAATCAAATTTTACATAAGGATGCACCTACAAGTCCAAGAAGGTATGGTCCTAGTTAGTCTGTTTTATAGCTCCTATGATCCCTTCCAATTTTGTATATGTTCAATTTTGTATGTCTGTGGATAAAAGCAAGATTGCGCTTACTGTAGAATGATAGAAATAGAGATGTAAAAGTTGGAAAAAGCACACAACATCCTAAATGTAAAAATAACGCTTTTCAGGTACCAGAAAACGGCTGAAATCAACCAATACTTGTATTAACGTAATCTTCACTTGTAATGTGCTCTTTCCATTAGTGTTTTACACTTATTGAGAGACAGTAAAAGTGAGATCGTATTTATTCTGACGTCAATGTAGTTCAGACGCATGTGTTGACTACATTTACTGGTGCTCTCTAAGCGGCGCAAACGGATATGCGCAAGTTAAGTAAGAGGAGCGAAATCAAAGCATGTTACTGTTTACATTAATCACTTACTCAACTGAACTCAATAGCAGGGGTTGTTTGCGATCGCTAACATGCACTGTTCAATTTCAGCTACGACCTGGTACCAATTATGTATCTGGAAGGGGAACATCGAGGATGTAGACTCTACTACGACTATAGATGGGCTAGAGAAGGCGAACTGCACCGTTACAACGGTCACTCACTATTACATCAGCGGTTTCTAGAAGAATGGAAAAGATGGGGCTATTGTTCTATCATTGAGTTTATAGCATATTATATCCTTTGTATTTTCACTCGTTCCTGCATTGTCTATATTCTTATCGTTATCATCCATGGCAAGTGATGGCCTCTTTGATGAGTGAGTGGGTTCTGTGTACTTAATTTTAAAACTAACACGCCTAAAGGCTCGCAGAATTACTTTACACTCGGCACTGCACTATCACTGCCGCTCATTCACCACACAAACCGCCAAATCCAAATTCCGGACTCCTCAGATGGCTCACGAACATCAGAGAGAAATGTGCATTCGGTACAGGAAAGATAATATTTCGTCTGATCTTCCCAGAGATGGATATGAAGCGCAGATATGGTGTCAAGGAGCACACGCTCGTACCACTTCTCAGCAGCATTCTCGGCGTAGATATTCCACTAACATCTCACTGTCTCGGCATCGCCGCTTACAATGCCCTATCTAAAGTGCCGTCATCGTCGAAGCGGACATGCTTATCTCTCCATAGAATCGACGAACTCCTCAATGAGTTAGCAGCGAAATGTATATGGAGTAGTGATTGCGTAAAGGTAAATAAAAGTAGACGTACGAAGGATGACATACTACGCGATTTATTCTCCGGATTAACACCCGAAAGTGTAGCATTTACAGTCCAGGTGGGTAGATCATTAGTCAATGCTTACGAATAACATTATTGCAGGTTATCCTCAAAGATATCACACCTCTGCTTTTTCCCTCTCCTGCAAAGTCATTGATGGATTGCAATAGCAACTCGTACACCAAATTGACCTTACATGATACAATGGCCGCATGGCATTGGTACATGCCGAAAATATATTCCAAAATGGCTGACCTGGATTTGTCTGCCGACGCCATCGATGAGCTACCTCTTGACGCTACGCCTTTCCAATGCATCCAATTAATACAGTCCCGTCCAGGGGTCCAATTAGAAGTAAGTCTATACCATGGCTTGAAGCTCTCGCCTAACCCAATAGATTCCTTCATGCATCAAAGGACAATCTCTAAGACATGCGCTGGACGTCAATCAGGGCTGCGAGCAATTAATGGCCGAAACAAAATACGATGGTGGGTGTCATACCTATGTAGAGTTTGTGCTAATACTATTACAGGGGAAAGAGTGCAGATACATATCATAGATCAGGATATTATCAAAATTTTCTCTAAGTCAAAAGTAGATAGTACATCGGACAGGGCAGGTATTGTTCCCATAATAAGAGAGGCACTGGGGCTTCCTTCTAAGAGCTATCCTCCAGGTTTTCCAGATGGAGAATTCAATGATTCGCTCACCTCCTCAGAGCCCACACGGGGTATTACCTCAGGAATTTTCGAAGCCGAGATGGTTGCTTTCGATAGGCGCAAAAACAAAATCGATGAATATTACAGGATCAGGGAGCTGTTGCAATCATGCAAGGGCAACAACAAATTATCCAATTTTGAAGCAATGTGAGGGTGTTTCGTAGTACACCACACCGCTAATTACTGTCAGGAATTCAAACAGCAGTTTAGAGAGCGTCGACGAGAATCTAAATGATTGTTCGAAAAGACATCTTGCTGTAGTGTTTTTCGATATTCTCCATCTTGACGGGAGGGATCTCACAGACGAGCCTCTTTCTAATCGCAGGGAGATACTTGAAGAGGTGGTGCGCAAAGTACCTCAATTTGTTTGTCTTATTGCTTGCGTTTGCACTCATCTCACAATTCTCAGAGTATGCTCTCGCAAGTTGACAAAATAGACATCCGCAACTCAAACAAGGCTATGCACGTAAGTAGTAATATGAGTGAAGGGTTACATCTAACTTTTTCAGTCACTCCAGCGAATATATGCATCAAACATCGCAAACTGTCAGGGTTCGTCGCCTTCACCTATATTATAATTACGTCTCACTTCACCAGAGGGCCTCGTATTAAAGCCGAGCTATGGTACCTATAACTGTTCACGATTACGTTGGGTGAAGGTAAGTTGTCGTATTTAAAAAATCCTTCGCGGAAGCTTAATCAACTCTCAGATCAAACGAGATTATATACCTGGATTGGGAGACACAGCTGATTTTGTCATTATTGGTGCACGACATGACCCACAGCGCGGTCGTGAGCTATTGGGTAGGCTGATCGCAAAATATCGTTCCTTCTGACATCAATAGTCCTCCCGCATGTGTTGACTACATTCACTGTTGCTCTCAAAGCGAAGCAAACGGATATGCGCAAGCTACGTAAGAGGAGCGGAATCAATGTAAGTTATAATCAATTATATCATTACACGACTCAACTCAATACAACAGCAATGGGATGTTCGCGACCACTATCATGCGTTGTTTGAGGTCAGCTATGGTCTGGTACGGTCTGAACTAGAGGACCTCAACTTGGAAGCCAAGTGCAGGGCGGGAGAGAGCGTAAGTAAAAATATCATCGCTCTTTGCTCAACTAAATTGCCAGCCATCGCTACCTTATACATATTCATTCGAGAGAGGCTTAAAGATACCTACAATCCTATTCCAGCGACCTATCCTATTTGAGCTCACAGGCGCATCCTTCACCCGCAAGCCTAGATCAAAGGTAAGCATCGATAATTCTTGCATACATCCCATTAATATGATCAGTGGTACGAGCTGCGCTTCCCGAGAATAACAAAAGTATACAACGATAAAGCTAAAGCATGGGATAGTGGACTTACATTACGCGACCTCCAGAGTTTGGCATTAAATTCCATCGACACGGATAGACAGGATGCGGAAGATGAAATAAAGGGTGTTTTCGAAGGATACACTATCAACAGGTGTGACAAATGGCTCACAGTCTTGAAGCAATCTGAAAATAGCCATTCGTGGGAGAAATGCAAGACATGGCTTGACCCTGCCATAAAAAATTTTGGAGAAGACAAGGAATTTTCTTCTAATAGTTTGATGCTCGAATCAGATGTCTCCAGTAGTGACGACAAGCTTTTAGCGGGGGTCATCCCTCGGTACCGCCACCAGACACCCGCCACTTCTCCCAAAACTATCTCGCAAGTACTTGGCAAGCGCGGTCGTGAAAATTACGATGATAGGACCGAAGATGAAGAATCATGTGCGTCCGAGCAGTTCAAGTCCACACAGGAACTCGACGAACAAACGGAGGAGGAACCCATCCATGTGGCAGATTTAACGGAGACACCACAGACACCCAACAGGAGACCATATATTAGTACACCACTAACACCTCAGAAACGCGGCAAGGCTGTTCCGCCGCTCGATCGTTGTTTAATTTTCGCTGATTCACATAACGCAACTAGAGGGTTAGACAGATCAGCAATCTCTCTCGGAAATGGCCTGGATAGATTGTTTGACTATGTTGGATGGTATATGCGTCCACAAGACTGTGATTTCGCAGGTCGTATTGCCCTTGTCGTACTCTCTACCACTCGTCTTGGGGTCGTAGCTGCACTCAAATCCCGAAAAAATTACATCGATAGAGAGTTCACAGGTGTATCCCTTGGAAGGGTTGTCACGCTGGTCGTTGACGCCCAATCAGATCAGCCCATTAGCGGTTATAGACAGATATGGGATTCGCTCGACATGTAATTTATCGCTTATTGATGATGGATATGTACTTCTTACTGTATTTCATTGTCTCAAGGTTCTATAGGATCAGATATCCCAAAAGTAGCAAAATTGAGAGCATTCCCAGATAGTGAGAAGAGGTGTGGTGTACTCCCATAATACATACCAATAGAGGATCAAAAATTTGTATAAAAAACACCATACGTCGATCATTATCGTGTCAATGAACTGAATCATCTGTATAGTCTAGGTGTTCAGATAACGACTAATGAAGAAGAAGATATAATTGCTTTTCTAAGATACTTTTTTCCATAATTTGTAATAGCTACAATCTAAGTTTCGGCCATATTAGAAATGTAGGCGGTTGCTTGACCTAACTGATAGTCTCTTGAACACTTTGTTCAAAGGTAGTATCGAAAAGACCTACATCGCTATAATAGGGTTGTCAGTCGACCCCGAAGCATCTTATGTCATCTTCATGAGCCCCTACGCGTAAGTCCAGCAGTGTGAAGCATTTCGGCATACGTCATCTGATTGACATACGTCTGATTTATGAAATACTGCAAATGCTAATCTCGCAAGCTAAGCTTAGCCATCCGAGGGAGAATAAGTTTTTGTGAGGTAGTGCAAAAATTGAATTCGTAATACTATTATTCACTTAAAGAAGTAGCGCAAAGGAGAATGAGATCTCACATTGACGATCCAGGAGGCAATTCCGAAGTTTGCTCACACGATTAGATTGACATAACTACCAAGTTCAACTCGATATGACAAGACTGTAATGTCGAAACGAATGAGGTGGAACGGTACTTCATCAACCAACTTGACCATGTCAAAATCAAAACATTGATAATTTTGTTGTAATTTGTCAGCATTTATTGGTGTTTATCAACATAGAATGCAATTTTTATATTCTTTTATCTGTCTACTCAATGTTTTACAAACTCATTATGCCACAAAAACACGTGAAATAATATGTGAATACTCGGGAAAACAGACTAAACGGACTGGTTATGTTATCATTTTAAATGAGAATCACAATATACTACCTTGGAGGCGATCATCGCCATGTTAAATTGTGTGACGACATATAATCTGCGACAAAAAAATAGAGAGTTGTAAACACAAATAAAAATTTACATGTTTAGAAAAATAATAATAGTAACTAATTGATCTTTTTCTTTTTTATTAAAGTATCAACCAAAAAACTTTACTTGCGCCGTGAAAACAGCAAAAAAAAAAAATATGGTGAAACTGGGATTCGAACCCAGGACGGCTAAGCCATGTGAACTCAACACACAGCCGGGGTGGCTGAAATCACTTCGAATTGAAGCTCTTTCTTAAGTCACACCGTATGGACCAGACTAACGCATTTCACCATTGCGCCATTGAGGCATCTGATATCATCATATCATGATACGAGATAGTTACGCTTTTTTATGATTTTGTCTTTTGTCAAAAAGTCTGTGTTGAGTCACAATACAGAACAGAATGCTCAGAAAGGCTCTAGGCGCTGTCCGTACCACTCCTATACACATGCTCCACTTCGACACCGCGGTGCTGACACCAACCGAGAGGTTACGCATGAAAGCCGAGGCTTACATGGTGAGAACGCTCACGAGATCTGGCGATCATCCCGCGCGTAACATCGTAACAAGTATTCTGCGTAAGCCAAGGAAGAAGTTCACTTCACCCTTGAACGCAACGGTGCGCAACACACCAATGCTTGAGGGTCTAAAGGAGATGGAAACTATAGTAGCCCATCCTTTCGTACCCTGGGTACCTGCAACACTAAGCTTTTCACGAGCAGAGGATAAAGACCAAGCAA